ACAACAACAACAACAACAACAACAACAACAACAACAACAACAACAACAACAACAACAACAACAACAACAACAACAACAACAACAACAACAACAACTGGGTTCTACTCAGGTGGCTGTCATTCACAAGTCCACCCCATTCTGTCAGTTAGTCCCTCGACGGAGCATACTTCCTTTTCGCAGCCGGCAACCGTTCCACAATCCTGGGCACCATGTACTCTTTGTCCCATGTATAGGTGACGCTGGGATGCTGCATACACAGTTGCGCCCATTTCGCGAAGCATGGCCATTTGCTCGTTGCCGGGTCGCTGTCCAGGATTTGTGTCGCGAGGCGAGCCGGAAAGATGATGTCGTTGGAGAAGTCAATCAGGCGGAGGATGAAGGGGGCTGACATGGCCTACCAAGGAAAGTGCACGTCAGGGGAATGACAGCCCCACGCGAGGTTGGGGATTTATAAGTGAGTATGAGTATACACACCTCGACAATTGTCAGGTTATCACTTCCTCCGAAATACGGACCCCGTCCATTCACAGCCACGTCGGAAAGCAATATCTCAATCTCCGTTTCCAGAAGTCGCCAAATCTCTTCCACGATTTTGTCCTGTGGGTTTCCCGTGTCCGCACCCACGAGTTTAAACATGAGAGGATTAAACTTGGTGAAGTAGGTGTCGACGAAGAATGACATTTTGTAGCGCATATGGGCTGCCTCGACTCTTGCTGCGAGGACAGATTGAGCTGGAGAGCCTGAGCCAAGATCGGGAACGGTGGGTAGAAGATGAGACGGATAGAGATCTGTAAAGAAGGAGACGATTTGGGCGGATTCGGTGAGGGTGAGAGTGTCGGTGAAAGAGTCGGAAGAGGATGGCTGAGGCGTGTACTGGAGGACAGGAACAAGACCGCGCTGGAGAAAAGCTCAGTTAGCTCCGTCTAAAAAGCATTGCTAACCTTTGGTGTGGAAACATGAAGATGGAAAAGAACAAGCCGCAGTCCATTATGCTAGTTTTGAGAGGAGGCAGGTATAGCAGAAGGGAGAACAAGCAGAAGACCTGGCATATTCCGGGACCAAGAGAAGTAGCAGCGACAGTAAAGATCAATTGAATGCTGAATAGTCAGACCAATCGTGTTGAAGGCGCAACACGGTTGGTGGGATAACTGAGCCCATCAAAGACAGAGAGCGACAGCCACAACAAAACAAGGTACAACTCATAGCGAAATCCCCATGCACAGAACACAGAAGCAAATGCGTAATCTCAAAGCATCAATCCCCGATTACAAGGAACCTAGAATCCCCCAGTACAAAACGAATGGACAAGTAGGAGAATACTCACCGGGTTCAGCTTCAGGAACCATTCCGGCCTCGGCTCATCCATATTGATCAGGACTTCCTCGTACTCCAGCCCGAGCTCTCGCAGCACAATATGGACACGGTGGGACCAGCCGCATCCATGGTTCGTGAAAAACTTGATCTTGGCCTGTTGTTGTTGTTCTGCACGTGTATGGGCGGCAGCGGCCGGAGCAGGATCAAGAGATATAGATCCTGAAGACATGGTTTCTTTGCTGGCATGCAACACCAAGGAATAGAATAAGAACTGGGATAGCTAGATGGATACTTAGGGCAGCGAACTGGAAAGTAACTTGATGCGAACAACGCTAGGTAGGTACCGAGAATGTTAGATTAGGAACCCACGAAGAAGAAGAGAGAGGGAGAGAGAGAGAAAACGAAGGGAAGGGAGAAGCCCGTATTTGTAGACCGCAGGACCCAAGTAAGATTGAGCTGTGCAGCTGTTTTTCCCTGCAGCTTTTTAGGCGGCAGTAACGGACGAAACTTCGACCGAAATGCTGCATGTGCCATATGACTTTTTGGAACATATTTCAAAGTCTCTCACAGCGACGCTACATTCAGTGATTTCAACGCACGTCTGGTCGTTCAAAGTCCAGCGCGGAGCATGGTGGGAAGGGAGTATCGATTGTAGGCGACGAGGCTGCGAGTCCCTGAAAGTTGTCAGTCTGATGGCCGAAGATCTCAGCACGGCTTTGCCAACCCTCGTTCAGCTTCGAGCCTCGTGGGTTGGACGAGAGCAAGGCCGGAGGCACCTGGTGTCGGATATTTGTTTCCCCGGACCGCAATTACATCCAGGGTTCCTCGTAGTTCGGCTTCATTTCGTTGGTACTGTAGCATCAATAGCTTCTCTTGTCGAGCATGCAGGAGCACATATCACGGTTCTTGATCATCCCAGTGAGCGCTCAAAAACGTATAAATCTTGGTCATGATTATGTTCATACATCTCGTGATGGCTCTGTCGTTCGATTTTGACCCTCGTCTGTGACGGAGGTCTTCCTCTTCCACGGCTAGAGTACGAACTACCCGTTCACAATATGGCAAGTCCACCGCCCCTCTAGCCGGCCATTCCGCTAAACTATATGATATCATGTGTATCTGCCGATTCTCCCAACTTTCACTAGATCAGCATCAACATCCGAGCGACAAGATCACTTCGGTAGAGCGAACCAGCCGATGCTGGGCATCACCGCCATCTCCAGATCGCAAATGTCGGGAACTTTGTTGCTGAAGTCGACATTCCAATCAAGGTAAATTTCGGGGTCAGACACGCCAAGAGGCACGCGTTTGTGATGCACCCGTAAGTGATCAGCCGAATCGTCATATTGGGGATGAACGAGGCGAGAAAATGTCCCGACAGGACGATAGCAGCGCATTTCCATATCGCGGAACCTCCCATGGATAGAATCGTCTCGGATGGTGATGGCTTGTTGGAAGTCAGGGAGAGAGGCGGGCTCTGCACCTTTGGGGTGGTCGATTCGGGATCTGTGGTCTCCCTCGTATCTTCTTCATTTGACGGCCGAGCTTCCAATGACGGGGAGGTGGTTGGACTTGGCCGGGCCTTCTCGTCGAGCAATGGCCGCTTGCAATCCTCAATCTCCCTCTTGAACGCCTGCATCTGGTTCTGCAGCTGCCTTATCTCCTCCATTGCATGATTGAATCGTTTCTGCCATAACAAATCCGGATTCTGCAAATATGCTGGTGGCGGTGTGACTGGACTCCTTGAAAGATCAAGTCCGCCAACGCGCTTGCGAGCGACGATGGAAGAGTTAGGAGCGCTGATGTTGCTTCTTGGCGGTTGCACGGTCGGGTAGTTCACCTTGGAAAAGGTGTAGTCTGACATCATTGGAGAGCCCCATGATGCGGTGGAAGAAGAGACGCCCGAGAAACCCTCGTCTTCAAATCGCCAGGGGATATTTTCGAATGTGGTTTTGAGGGACGAGATGAGAAGCTCATCCTTCATGATGGCCGGTCCAGTGTCCAAACGGAGTCTTGTTGACGCAGTGTTGTAGTGTGGCTGGCAAAGAGCAGTTGGAGTCCCATTTGATGCTTCCTGAAGCCGTCCCAGCGCCTCTTTTATCAGTGGCAGAACATGAGATAAACCCCAATCACCAATAGCCTGGGTCCAGACCAGAAACTTGCTGAAATGTACGTCCTTGCTGAGATCAAACTGACACAGCGGGGCCATGCAGTAAGCTTGCCCTTGTTCGAGATCAATCCAATGCAAATTCAGTAGAGCAAAGCTATTGTCGATGGTGCATGAGAAAGAGACTGGCAACTGGTCAGGAGCCGTCATTGACCCGTTCGGATCCTTTCTCGCCCGCGTGTATAGCATCTGTAGGGCGCGTGTGCAGTACGCGCCTGCGATGGCACATTGGTTGTTCGCTGATTCTACGCGCTGCTTCTTGTTCCCATAGGCGCGCTCGAAGGTCAGAAAGGGACAGTACAGCGACGCTCCAGGGGCAATGTATCCCGTCTCGAAATGCACGATTGTCCCCGTGGCTTGAAGCCACTGAGGCATTATGGCCAACTCTTTGTTTGTGAAGGCTGCAGCGGAAAATCCGCATCCCAGACCAGGACGAGGAACCGATAGTTCGTAGAAGGGCGCCGGATGATTAATCGTTCGTTCTGGAAGGGCTTCGCGACTGCCAAAGAATGGGACCATGCATCGCGAATGAGATTCATTCACCATCGGTGGTAGCAGGTTCGGTGGAAATATCGGGGAAGGTCCAAATCCTCGACCCGTTGTAACCTGGTTCCAAAAGCAGTTCTTTTGGATATCGAAGTGAGATGTATCTTGGCTGGCAGTTTCCACAATCTGCAGGAAAGCCGTCGGTATGCGGTCTTTCGGTGGACTGTCGAGGATGTGAATTTTGTGCGGTGCTAGGACTTCTTGTCGGAAAGTACACCATGGTAAGTGACTTCCGTCGTAGGAGGCAGGTGGCAGGCCACCTGAGGAGGGCGAGGAGTTCGATGAGCCGCTGGTAGAAGACATTTTGCCGCAGAGGATCGGTATCCGAGTCGAGGCTTTGCTCAATCCACAGCTCGCTAATCCCACAACCGGAAAGAGAGATGATAAGAGCTATCGACTTTGCTGCCTCGAAGAAGTGTAGTAGCAGTGGGGTAGATCAATTAATTGCACATTGGAAAAAAGGCGACAAACGACGGAGATGAAAGAGTAGAGAGGAAAAAGTAGGCCGGAAAAAATAGTTGTGAAGTCGACCAGGAACTTCATAAAGCAAGTACGGGAAGTGATAAAGCCATAACCCAGAAATGCCATAGAAAGCACTGTCTTGCATGAATGGACGCGCTTGCATACCTACATACCTACCGTTTGAGTGTCGCGAACATTGGTCGGAAAAAGGCGGGCTGAGGAAAATCAGGTGCTCCCATTGGTTTCAACCTCTGGATAGGCTCGGCACTCCCTAAGAGATGGAAGCATTGGTTAAGCCACGACTCAAGGCGGCTCTGGCAGGAATAACACTCGACAGTTTGATCGCAGGTGGCAGTTCATCACAAATAGCCCTGCAGCTAACTCGAAAAACTGGGGAGCTGCGTTGTTTCAGATTTACGGAAAAGGCATAAACATGGGGAATAAGAGCTCGCTTGCGCTCCGTTCCTTGCGGGTGGAAAGACAAATCTAGAGTAAGGCTGTTGACGGCAATGGACTGAGCGCTTTGAGGGTCGAGATGAAAATATCGTGGAATATAAATGGGGCGTCGAGAGGAAGAATTATTGGCTCTTTGGAAATGGCGCCAGTCTGAAAATGGTCTAGCGGATTATCCACAGCGGCAAGACAGCCAATAGGCGAGGACAAGGCGGCGCCCTCCTTTGAACCCTCCTCGCGGCGTATCTCGACTTCTTTCCAGCCCCTGGCCCTTCACACCGCCTTCTCAGTCTGAAGATTTGCATAGTCCACACCTCGCAGGCCCTCCAAACGATCTCCTTACTACGAGGTATACTCAGGCGATTATACGGAGTACCATGTCACAGGGGATGAACTTTCCATTTTTGCGGGCGACATCCAGGGCCAATTAATTTGATGAAGGCAAGGACGGGATTTGTGCATTTCGCGGCCACGTTATCTGAGTCGAATAAAGACAAGGAGCTAATCTTTTACTTTCAAGAGAGTATCATTATGTCCATTCGTTCTGATGTCGTGGCTCCTCTTGCCTTTACTTATTTTTGAATGCCAGATTACCTGTACAATCTTCCCCGAAATCTATCCCTGCGCCCGTATCCATTTCGGACTGAGCTCTACTAGTACACTTTTGATCGTCTCAAGCTTCCTCCTTGTAGGGCTCTGGTTGCTAGGGGAACCTGTTACTGCATCCATTGACCCGTGTGGGAAGCTGTCTGACAAATATTCTCTTGCTGGTTCAAGCTGAACGAGTGCATCGAGGGTTTCCAGGAGAGTGAAGATCTGCTGGAGGTGACAATTCTCCGCCCACACGAAGATGCTGCCTAGCCGGGACAGCAGGTATTCCACATCCCGCTCATTGCAAAGATCATAACTTCGAATTAGAGCCACCGTATGGGAAAGTCCGCCTTCATAGCTGTGGAGATTCAGAGTCGCCGTTTTGCTGTCTCCGCCAGAGCTGTTATGGACCGAGAGGGAGAACGACTGCACGGATCTTCTTGATTGCCAAAAGAAGTTTCGTCCCTGGCTTTGGAATGCGGTCTCATCTGCCGCTTCCGCGAGGAGTGCGAGCGCGTTATTGCAAGTCGACCCCGATCCCGCCGCTGCATTCTGCGCAGCCATCAACGAGTCCCGTTGTATTTCGACGTTAAAAAATGGCCAGAGTAATGAGTTGCTTCCGACTGTGGGTTGAGAGATCTTTGCTAGATTGCATGGTTCACCCTGGGCATCCGAGATGATACCGTCCTGCAACTCGAGGTCATGCGACGTGAAGTTTTTGGAGCTGAAACCAATAGTGATGTTGGGCTTGGGGATGGGAAGTGGCATAGTCCATTGACTGGCTGAGACGCGTCCAACGGGGCTTCCCTTAGGCATAGCGTCAGGGTGGAAGGTCGCGTCAGTCTTGATTTGTAGTTTCTTCGACGACTTCATTGCGGTTTGAATGAGTGGGAGAAACGATTCTGCCAATTGCTTGTCGCTTATTCTGGACCTCTTCTGCATCTTCTGGGCGAACTTCCGGGCATCTGGATGGGGCCGGTAGATGTCGTTAAAGGGCATGCCCATGCTAAATGCATGCCTACTCCAGCGTTCATCGGAGAGTTGACTCTCTTCAACGTTGATGCGGTTCGGGACTAATGTGTGTTGTCGATAGTACGAGGAGGCAAAGGGGCTGACATGCTCAGGGCCTGTGATTTCTTTGATCGGCGAGTATAGACTGGTGACTGAAGATGGAGTGCTCGCCTGACTGGCCATTATGGTTGTTTTGCCGGACTTGGAAGTGCGATCCTTTTGTTCAGTCTCGAGTGCGGATAACTGTTTCCTGTTGATTTTGTTGGTCCACAAATCCTGGAGGCCGAAGCCCTCTCTATATATCTCTCCCGGGACCGTGTCTTGAATGCTTCTATACCTCATGGAGGGATTGGACAGGAAGTTGTTAATTCTGCCTCTGCAATAAGGCGCATCGAGTGATTCTATTCATGGCCTCCTCAATATATGCATTGATGCAATGATTGGTTCGTTGTGGTGGCTGCAAGCAATTAGATCCACATCTCTCGAGGAACGCCTTGTGCTTGTTATTTTTTATAGCCGTCGGCCCATCGGCCCATCTGGGCGCTTAAAATGAGATGCGACTCGGCGATCTATTCCCATCCGTCGCTTCAAGGTTGTGGGGGGGGGAGGGGGGGGGCAATCCACTGCAGGCCAATCAACTAAACGCGCTTGATCGATATTCATGGTGCCCCTTGAGCTAAGAAGCGCCACAAGGTCAAGAATAGTACTTTTGGCGGTACCGGGTACAAGTGCAGCTAGGTAGATTGGGTACCTTACCAAGACGGCCGGGCCTAGAGGGTACAATGAAGTAGCTGCTATGGCGGTTTCGATTTTCCTCAGCGCTTGTACAACGTGACCACCTGTGAGAGAGGTCGCAGAACAGGTCGCCGTAGTCGAGTGCCTACGGACTGACTACACAACGGGACGCTGTTGTTGGCTCAACGAGTGCAATACGCAGAGCAAAGGCCTTGAGGGCGGACAGGGATAAGTCCACGTGTCTCCTGATCATTCTGTCTGTGCGAGAAGGAGATGATGCCAAACATTGCGACACCGAAACTGCTCAACTTCTAATCAGGGAACTAGCGCACTGACTTGAGCAAGAATTCTGTTGCCCGTGTATTCTCGGCATGGGACGTGCTCTCCGCCACAGTCTTCCAGACTTCATGCTCTTTCATAATACCTTCAAGCTCGGCCTTGACAACGGCCCAAGAATCGGCGCCTAGGGCAAGTCTCAAAGGTGGAGTGATGTGATTCCTTTTGGATGCAAGCTCATGGAGAACTTTAGCACAGACTGATGCATCACTCCACTGCACGGCGTTTGCTGCGCTGGTCAGGTAGGCCCTGACCGCATTATATCCACAAGCTGGGTCCTCATAAGCCGGGTGCCGTGGAGGTAATACCATGTTCTGCGGAAAGTTGGTTGCAACAGCGCCGAGCTCTATAATGGTGAACTTGATGTTCCAGTCTGGGTGCATCTCTTTCGCAAGAGCATCTGTGAATCCTTCGAGGGCGAATTTGCTGGCATGGTAGAAAGCCGAACCGGCGTAACAAACTCTGCCCCCCACAGACGAGATCTGCATGAACAGACCACCCTTTCCGGGCGGATTGGTTTCTCTCAGAATCGGCAAAGCCGCTTTGGTGACGTTGACGGCACCCCAGAAGTTGGTCTCGAGCTGCGCGCGTGCATCGGCATCGGGGAGAACTTCGGTATCACCGGTCACACCGAACCCTGCATTATTGACCACAACATCTATGCAGCCAAACTTATCAACGGCAGCCTGGACGATCCGGGCGACTTGGTCTTTCGAAGTTACGTCGAGACAAAGTTTCAGGACTCTCGGGCCGTCAGGTAGGTATGAGAGTGTTTCGGGCTTCCGAGCTGTAGCTACAACGATAGACCCCGCGTCGTAGGCGTACTGTGCAAGAGCTTTGCCCAGTCCAGAAGAGCAACCGGTGACTGGCACTTTTAGCTTTCTCACTCTCAAAAAGGAAGGCATGCATACTCAACCAGACGTCCTCCTCTGTCATAACTATTATGCCTCCTATGAACAATGTACAGGAACAACTCGAAACACAATAGTGTTAGGTTCTGACGTTCTTCTCGCAGAAAGCGACATGTATATCCTTTTGAGGTCGCTGCGAACCCGTTCTCGAACGCCCTCGCCTTTTAGGGTGGCAAAGGCCTGGTTGAGAGCCAATAAGAGATGCAGGCCGATAAGGCCAACCTGCATCAAAGGGAGCCAAGCCAGTCATCGTTGAGGAATGGGTGTTGTGACGTGGCAGGTGGAGGAAAAGATGTTGAAGCTCGACGTCGATCGGGCCTCTCCCCATTAAAGCCCTTCACGGCAACTGCGCGTGGGTGACGAAGACATACAAGATCGACCTCCAAGTTCTAGAGGAAGCCTGGCTTGGCTGATCTCAATCTTGGTCAGAGTCATAGTCCCCTAAACCCAGAGTAGGTGGTTTTGCAGGAACGGGTGCTGGTGGTGGTTTTGGTGTTGCAGTAGGCTCGGTCCTGCGCACCAATCCGGGGACTAGTGGTTTCTTGATCTTTTTAATTCTCTCGAATGATGGAGGCGGCTGTGAATGCTGGACGTGCGCAATATGGCTGTTTGCGGGAGTCTGTTCTTGTTCCAGAAGCCTCGCTTTTTCAGCGTTGGCGGCCTGGAATGCGTTGCGGGCAGCTTCAGCGTCCTCGCGTTCTTGCCGCTCTCTCTGCTCTCTTTGGAGATCTCTCACTTGATCGAGAGCCTCCTCCTCCTTGCCACCCTTCTCGCCGCGCTCTATGCGTGCATTGCGCTGCATAATCTCGTCAAGGGCGTCTGCGACTTGCATCTCTCGTTTACTTTCTTCCATCTTCTGCTCCAGCTCCTCCATGGCGTTGCGTTCTGCATTTTCCTCTTCCGCGGCTTCCTCTCTCTCCAGTCGATCCAGGCGCTCCTCGTCAGTCTCTTTCAGCTCTGGATTTTCGGGGTCTCGCCATGACTCAAAGTTTCGTTTCGCGCCTCGTTCACAGGTGTAATCCATGTTCTTAGGGTCGGTCTTGAAGGTTATCTCGGAGGAACATCTAGTGCAGCGGATGTAGAAACGGTAGATAGAAATAGTCAAGTACTTCTCGTCGGTCGTTTCCTTCCGGGCGTTGAACTTGCGGCCTTTGTAGATATATTCGCCGCAGGATGTGCATTTCATGCTGAAGGGAGCCATGAGGCGGACAGGGATGGTCTTGGGACCGGTCGGCCGGAGGTGTTTGGGGGTCCGAGCGATCTTGGAGGGATCGAACTCCGGAGGGTAGTACTTGGTGAGCACCTTTCGTTCAGACATGTCGACGACTTGCCAGACGGGATGAAGGGTGGACTTGGGTGACTTGGGTGCCTTGACAGTGAAGGCGAAAATGGGTTGAAGAACGAAATAAATCAGACGCCGCAGGCAAAACAATACCTGACTCGCTTAGTACCAGCCAAACCAGCAGCCAATCGGAGGTCGAGTTGTTCCGCGCCTCGCTCTCTCCCCACGTACGGGCAAGGTACGGGGTATGTACCCTCTCTTTCTCTCTCTCTCTCGTAACGACTGCGCAGTCACGCCCACGGACGCAGTGAGAACAAGGCTACGTGGGTTTTTGGAAAGAGTGTTCCCAAGCAATGGCCTTTGCTCCGTGACCATCCCTTTCCTCATATTCTTACCTCTTCACCAGCATTCCTACTGATGCATTTCCACACGTGCTTCACGGTCACTATTCACCACAACAATGGACAAATACCTCCGAGTGTGGCGGCAAGACGCTCTCAACAAGGGCCAGCATGATGCCGCCATCTATATTGGAGACAAGGTCCTTGCTCTGACGAGTATGTGAGTTCACTCATCCAGCCTGGGGCCAGAGCTAATCGATTCAGACAATGACGCCGACGCCTTCTGGCTGGCTCAAGTCCATTTTGGCCACAACAACTTTACCCGTGCTCTGGCTCTACTGCTCCGCAAGGACCTGATCAACCGAAGTCTCTCGTGTCGATACCTTGCTGCCCATTGTTACGTCAAGCAAGGAAGATACGACCAAGCCCTCGCCATTCTCGGCGAGGAAAATCCTACCCACTTGATCACCGCTTCCCACAATGCCAGAAGAAAGCTGGCACATATCAATGGCCACTCCCAGAGGAATATCACACAAAGAGGAGGCAAAGCCCAGCGAGACAGGATCGAGTTCAGCGAAGAAAGAGAACGAGACAGAGAGTCAGAAAAAGAACTCAAATTCCAGGCGGGCATGTGCTATCTACGCGGCTTGTGTTTTGCGAAACGCAATGCCTTTGACCGGGCACGCGACTGCTACAAGGATGCCGTTCGAATAGACGTGCAGTGCTTCGAAGCTTTTGATCAGCTTATGAAGAACTCCTTGATGTCCCCTTCCGAGGAGTTGGCCTTTCTCGAAGAACTCGATTTCGACTCAATACGCATCGAAGACCAGTCTCTGGCTCAGGAAGCCGCTCACTTCACGAAGCTCTTGTACACCACTCGTTTGTCCAAATATTCGGCCCCCGAAACCCTAGCAAATGCCGCTGAAACCCTCTCAACCCACTACAACCTGGCCTCCAATCCAGACTTGCTGTTGACTCGAGCAGAGACCCTCTACACCCAGTGTCGTTTTCACGATGCCCTTGCAATCACCACGAGCATCCTCAACTCGCAAAACAGCCCTGATGGCTCGGCCGACGCCTCATCAAGCAACACCAACGCCTCGCTCGGTCACAGTCCGCGCCTCTATCCCCTGCATCTCGCCGTTCTCCACGAGACTGGATCTCACAACACCCTCTTCCATCTCTCTCACACTCTAGCAGCTCACGCCCCTCACGAATCATACACTTATCTGGCTATTGGCACGTACTATCTATCAACCTACCGCATCCCTGAAGCACGCCGGTTCTTTTCAAAAGCATCGCTCATGGATCCACACTCGGCTGCGGCGTGGATCGGATTCGCTCATACGTTTGCCGCCGAGGGCGAACATGATCAGGCCATTGCTGCATATTCGACAGCCGCAAGATTATTCCAGGGGAGCCACCTGCCCCAGCTGTTTCTAGGCATGCAGCACTTGGCTCTAAACAACATGCGGCTGGCTTGGGAATACTGCCTCGCAGCATTCCAAATGAGTAGCGGCACGCCCAACTCAGGCTCGGAGGATGATTTGGCAAACATGATATTCAATAACACTGCTAGTCTAGGTGGAGACCCTCTGGTACTCAACGAAATTGGCGTGATATTGTACCACCAGTCGAATCTACCGGCGGCTGCAAAGCTATTCCACAAGTCTCTCCAACTCGCTTCAGAATTGGGTTGCAACATGACCGCATGGATCGCAACAAGAGCAAATCTAGCACATTCACTCAGACGAATGGGAAGATTTGAGGAGGCACTTGCCGAATTTGACGAATGCTTGAGAATAGCTACAGGGGGAGCAGCTCCTTCGTCAGCTTACGAGCCAGGACGTGGAATGACAGCCTTTGCCCATCTCAGTCTCGCCGGCACCGGCACAAGTCTCAGTCCTAGCGGAGCAGTTAGCGGCTATGACGAGCGTAATCTTATTGGAAGTATCCACACCAGTCGCGGTTTGGTCCTTCTCAGCATCGTGGGGCGCACGAAAGAGGCGGTAATGGCTCTTCACGAGGCTGTACGAGTCCTTGGTGGCGATGCCGGCGGTGGTGGTGTGGCTGGAACGTTGCTGAGTCGCGCGTTGCAGTTCTGGTCCCTAGAAGGGAGTCCGGCTCTCAACGGCCTCGCAGGCGCATTACAGCAAGGATCACCTGAACCTACATCAAAAGTCGGCACAAGGTCGAAGCGCAGAGGAAACGAAGCTGCAGCATCAACCACGACAACGGGACAAATGAGTAACGAAGAGAAAATCGAGCAACGAATGGACGGGCATGCGGCTGAGATTTTGAATGCTGCTTTGGGTTCTGTACGATAAAATGGTGTGGGTCGAGAAGACGTTGAGTTGTGGTCTCTGGGTTTCGTTGCGTTGCAACCTAAGCTCTAAGCTTCAGCCCCCCCCCCTACCGAGTACAAACTGTGCTGCCGTGGTACAATGGAATGCAAACTCTAGTTCAGCAGCTGACAGTGGAGCATTGATTTCTGGACTCACACGACGGAGTCTGAGCAGGTCACCGACGATAATGTCACTTTCGCCTGTATGGGACTTGGATAGCACCCCTTTTTGTTCACGCTGCTTACGGGCTGCCTAGACAGTGGACGAAAGGATACTAGAATCCCCAGATGATTTTGGTATTTACCAGGCCGCGGCTACGAAGAGCGAAAAAGTGAAAATGGACAGGTGTGATGTCCTTCAGGCTCTCTGTGAAACCTTAATGATTCGTAGGTCGAGTCGGCATTGAACAGGATGAAGTCTCACTCAGTTCACGACACGATTATGGGAAGTGCTGTAACGACACGACTAGGAACGGGGTCTGTAGTCGCATTGATTAGCATTGCGGGCGGGAAAAAAGCAGATCAAGGAAGGAAAGATTATTACTACTATCGAGCCCTTGAATGCCCGACCGAGGATTGTTTGATTTCGCTCTGCTACGGTACCTACAACAAAGAAACATGCACGCTGGTGGGCTAGGTAGGCGGCATGACAACCCAAGCAGGAAATGGAAGCAAGCCACCCTTGTGCATTCATTCCCCTTTCCCGTTTCCCATTCCCTCCGTATCCCTTTTCGGTCGCTGGCGAGGCCCGTTCGTGGACGCATCAAGCAAGCATCAGCCATGTCAGATCAGACCCGAGAGAGAGGCACGCAAGCACGCACGCACGAAGCAGAATTGCCACCATACTCATGTTTCCCCTTTTTCTCGCCGGGTCGCATGCGTATTCTCCCGCCAAACCTGCCCCATTCTGGTCGGGAGCAGTATCATATCGCAATTGTGTGAAATGATGATGAGATGAGGTACTGGACTGTTCTGTACTGTAGGTGCCCGTCCCTTGCCCAAAAACGCCGCCGCCGAGTAAATTGAACCGCCATCGCCCAACCCAACCGCCAATTCCTTGGAGGCCATTTTCACTTGGTCCTTAATATTTCCCCTATCGAGCCTCGGAGAAACGCCATGTTGTGAGCTGTTCAGACCCAGAAGACCGAGACCGAGACCGAGGCCGATTACCGCCTTAGCAAAGTCATGAATGCATTTGAACAGACCCATACGTTGTAGAACGCCCTGCACCCGTATCGAAACCGAATCGAACCCGTCAATCCATTGTTGGGTGAAACTTCCCTATCAGCTTTCCTCTCCAAAGGTTGCCATTCAAAGCCAAGGCATCCACAACCCATCCATTCCACTAAGTCGCGTAGGATCGGTCGCCTTACTGACCAGGTCCACGACGTTCTGACAAGCAGGAAGGACACCTGTGACGCCGGTGGGAATGGCATTTGAGGCAGCCGCGGCGGCACTTGCACTTCCTTCGCCCCCAGCCGCAGTACCATTGGTACTGGCGGTTTGTGTTGCCGAAGAAGCGGTCGAAGGAAAACCGACACTACCCTGGGTCTTCGCCAATGTCAGTGCGCGCCGCGTGATGAACTCGACATTCATCGCCACCAGCTCTCTCAAATGTGATCCTTCCATTTTCTGATCCCCTCCTTGACCACCACTTCCGCTAGATTGAGGCCGCCCAGCAGCCCAATTATACATCTCATCTCTCACAAAGATAGCAAGTTGCTGCTCCATTTCATATCCGTTATCCCCCTCAGCAAGGCACCGCGCAATTGCCATTAAGCTTGCTGTGAAGATCCCTTCCACACCCAGGGGTCCCATGAGCGTTTGTATGTTTGGAGTCAACCGGAAAGGCACCTGCTCGGGATTATAGAACAACGCTCGACTTGAATTGAGATTGGGTAACAGGTCAGACGCCCATATATCCCCAGTCGCTCGAGAAATGGAGAATTTCATGGGATACCGCGCAGACATATGCATTATATAGGTCATAAACGTGGTCGCCGCAAATTGATAACTGAATTGTCGCCGGAAGAGCCAGAAGTCTTCGAAAGAAGGGTAGGTGGCTTGGAAATACTTCAATGCGATAGTGTTGGCGACCCATCTTTCCTGGATTGTGGTGAAGATTTCGGTCTTCATGATGGCAACTTGTTCAGGTGTTCTGGGATTTGCCTTCTGCTGCTCGGCGATGGTGCGGGATTTCTCGAGGACGAAGAGGATAGGGTCATCCCGGGACATGGTGTTGGGAGGAAGTTTGCGTACGTGGTCTTCATACACAGATTGGAGTGTCACATAGGAGGCGTCGTCTTGTACTAGGCGAATGTGCGGTGCTATCGGCACGAAGATGGGTAAGTGGAAGTATAGATTTCTGCGACGGGATTCTTTGCGCTTGGCCAGTGTCTGGCTGAAGATCCGGAAGAGTTGCACGATGCGTTCTTCGCGACGAACTTTGCCACCTGTTGGGTGCTGAACCGCAAAGGGATGCAGAGAACCGTCATGACCGCGAATCGTTAGGCGGCGATGGCAGATGCTGTTTCCTCGCACAAGTTCGACGGTCGGCATAAAGCGCTCAATACGGACGAAGTCGGTGTTTTTGTCTTTGTGTTGTTGATACTGTCCAGGGACCTCCACCGAGTCGTCAAACTTGAGGAATTTGAACTCGCTCAGATGATGGCTGTACGACTCCAATGGTGCCCATTGCTGCCTATGATCGAGCTTCTGTTCGAACTTGTCTCGCCACTTCCTTAACTTGTGAATGTACTCATACATCGTTGGTTTGGTTTGGACAAAATCGGCCTCAAACGACTTGCGGATGTGAGCTGGAAGGACGGACTGGACGAATCGGGCAACGTTAGCTTCGGTCTGAGGAGGCAATTTGGCTCCTTCAGCATAAGTCATGGGCGCCCGGCTGATGTAGTGCAAACCGTCGTTTAGCAATGCAACAATAAGTCGATGAGCATCCTCGTCTGGCGGACACTTGAAATGCTTCGACAACTGATCTGTCATGGTTTCCATTGACAGTGCGAGTAAGGGGAAAGCAGTCTTCAGGCCAGCCATGATCTCATCGGTATAATCCCACGGCCTCTTGGGCTCTTCAGGCTTCTTGTCAGCTTCTGTACCGTTCGGCTGGGTGGTGTCGGCGTCAGGCTCTTGCTTGGGTTTGGGAGACGATGATCCATTGGCAGGAGCTTCGCCATTGGCTGTTCTGGGCCGTGAGCCGACTTCCTTTTTCTCTTCCTGACTCTTCTGCTGCTTGGCCTTCTGGGCTTCATACTGTTTTTTCTTCCCCAGGAAATCTTCTCGTGTCGCACGCAGGTGATAGAACAACGCCTGCGGGAATCCTTTGGCGATCTTCACTAGCACTGATTTGGCAAGCCGTGCCTCTTTATGCTCGAGGCTGCCGAGTAGTTGGGGAACAAACGTAGTCCAGTACCACACTGGCGTCTCACCCTTGAAGTCCTCAAACGCCTTCGCAATATGTCCCTCTTCGTCGTCGAGGCTAAGTAGCCACAATACTCGACTGAGCATCTTCCTTGATTTGGCACTTTTGTACAATCCAGCCGCTTCGAGATAGCAACTCACAGCGTTGCTGGCAGCCTCGATGTTGGTCGGGCTCTCCTTGAATTTGCGATCGGAATACTGGCCCCATTCTGCCCATGCTTTCGGTAGACGAAGATCGTAGTAGAGAGCAACGCCAAATGCTTCGTTAGCTTCCTCCGCATGTTGAAGCTTTGCCAGAAACATGCCTTTGAGCGTATAGAACTCAGCCTTCTGTTGCGCACCAAAATAATTGAGATTGGTATTGTTGATTACGTCAAGACCACTGTTCAACTCGGCCATGTTCTGGTAATGGCACTGGGCTTGTTCTTTCAACTTAAGAAAGGCCTCTTGGATCTCAATGTTGGGCAATGTGTAGATCCTGCCAAGCTGATTGATACATACTTCGGGCATTTGGTGTTTCCGTGCAACATGCGAAAACTTGTTGATAATCCAGGCTGTTTCATGGTAACCCCGGAATGCATATGAGTTGTTGCCAACGTTGTTTCCGCCTTGAGGAAGAAGAGACAGGTACGTCGAGTTCACAAGCTGAAAAACGTGCTGACGCCAGGTAACCAGGTCTTGCCACGCATTGATATCGTCCCAGATGTTCGGCAGCCGGTCTCTCCAGGCCTGCAGAAGAAGCTTGAGCTCTTGCGATTTGCTGTCAAGATTTCGCTCATTGGTGCCCATGAGACTGTCGCAAATAACGCTCGCGTCATGAAGCTCGACCAGCTGCTGGAAGTTCTGCAGGATGGGGATATGAGCATTTGTTATACGCTTGGGAAGTTGATGCCATTTGCGGATGGAGAGCTGTATGGCCTCGTCACAGACATGTTGGAATTCCGCACGCGACATCTGTTTGGAATTGTATCGGAGTAGTGCCATGAATGCTTGGAAAAAGGTTCGTCTAGGCGTCGGAGCGTCAGAAACGGACTTGATCATTGCATCCAGCTGATTCCGATTCTCTTCGCCAGTCCAAGCTTCATAGTTCCTCCAGGCCGATTCGAGAAGAAGATCATTGAAGTTTTCGTGCTTTGCAAACTCGCCCAACAGATCCCACTGTTGAAGTTTCTGGGCGCATATCATCCAGTGATCTTCCCACAAGTAGTATTCTCCTTGAGAGAAAGGCACAACACCAGTTCGTGCTTTGACTTGTGCCGACTCCCAGAGTTGCTGGGCTTTGTCCCAGATTCCATGCTGCTCATACGAGAGCGCAGCGTTCGTTTCCATAAACTTGCACCGTCTTCTCCAGGCTCCATAGAACAGGTCATCCTCCTGTAGCCCGGCATAGACTTCAACTAGAGCATCGAGATTGCTCTCACGAACTGCCAGGGTATCGATAAGTGGGTCAATGGTGGATTCCTCCAATGAAATAAGCGCAGTGTACCATGCATCATAAGTTCTACTCAAAAATTTCATGACATGAGGAGGCACTTTGAACCGTGGTTTGGCTCGAACCGCTCCCTCAAGCAATGCTTGAACGACGTTGGGGCGGAGATTCAGTTGTCTCTGGTGATATTCGCGGGTGAGAAGGGTGACCATTCCTTTCTCGAGGTCAAGACGCTCGTCCCGATTCAGGGCAGACCAGCAGAGAGGGAATAGTTTGACCCAGACATCGTATGCAACATTGTCATCGATATGCTGCAACTGGGTGAGGGGTTCAAGCAGGTCACGGACTTTTACCTCATGGATTTCTTGATTGAACCGGCGCTGCGCAACAACAAGAGCGTCGAGGCTGTCTTCGACAATTACATCATCTTTTCGTTGCTCGGGACTGACGAGGTTGAGGCTGAACAAATGAGACATGGGACAAACTCGAACATCTTCCGGGTGGAGGCGGGCCGGCATCGACATTTCAACAGAGCCCATGATGAGATGTGAGGCTTGCTTCAACCAGAACGAATCTGCCAATGTGTCCCAATTCTGCAGGGTCAATACGTAGTTGAGCCGATAACTCGCGGTTTTGGACAAGGCGCGGTTGAATATGTTCATGAATCGGTTTCGCATCTCCACATCTTTGGCGCGAGTTCCGATTAAGAAAGCATGCTCCAGCCTCACAGTCAGCTCCGTCCGCGTTACCGTGGGGTCCTCGTAGATCTTGATGACGAGTTCAAGGAAGCGCTCAAGGAGATTTTGAGTAGGCCACTTCTCGAATATGAGCATCTTATGTAGCACGGCCGTCTTCTCCTTAAGCGTCGGATATGGCTCGGTCGAGTTAAACACCCACTTCTCCACCATGTCCAAAACTTTGCTGCACATTTCGACGTTGAAGGATTTCTCAACGAGCGAGGCCAGAACACTAAGAAATGGTCGTCGCTGTTCATTGAGTTCTCCCATGCGCGATGATAGTATATCGATGGTTTTCTTGATAAGATCAACGCCGAGCGCAAATTCGTAAGGATCCATCAATGGTTCGCCCAGACGCCAACCTTGGGGAGGAGGCCCAGGCGGAATCATATAAGCGTTAATGTGCTCCTTTGCCAGTTTCTGCTGCAACGCTTTCATCGCCCCATTGATATGGTCGTCCACATCGGCCGGCCGTACCAATGAAAGAGTCCACAGGTTATTGATGCCTGAAACGTAGCTGCCATTTGACAAGGCTTCACCAACCATAACCTTGGAATATCGGGTCGGGAAGTCTGAAGGTGGTGCGTCCAAGTCCATTGCATCTGCATCATCCGCTTTTTGTGTTGGAACCGCCTCAAGCACTCGTCGAACCAATGGAAGAGACTTATCATCATCAGTCACCAAGTGCAGGCAATCTTGAATTTCAGGTTCCTCCATCTTCAGTGGCTTCTCCAATAGCTTCTGGATCTTCTCCATATGGTTAATGATCCATTCGTTCGTCTTTGTGCTCAACAGGATTCGCATGACCTGTAGAGCATTGACCATGCAAGTCAGCTGTTTCTCCTCCGCCTTGTCTGCTTTTTCCCCACTTAGGATCGGATCGAGCAGCTTCTCGTAAAGACCAACATCAACATCTGTCCACAAATTGGGTGCCAAAAGATCTCGAAGGAGCTGAACGCCCTTTTTGCACATGTCATTTGACAGAGCCTGTTGCTGAACCTTCTGCATGGTTTTGGCCTTGAGCTCTGCGGCCGGCACAGGAAAGCGTTCCGGCAAAGAAGTGATGAAGGTGATCATATACTTTACAACAGCCGTGCGAAGCTCAAGCGGAATCACGTATTCGCTCTTCTCCTTGGCCGGTGGGGGTGCCAGCTTCTGATCCCCAACCGTATCTCTCTTGCGTGAAGGCGTCAAGTCAGCTCCAGTCTGGGGCGGAGATGCCGCAGAGACTCGTCGGCTTTCCCATTGCTGAATCAACGAAATTAGGTTCAAGGCGAGCTTTTTGTTCTCGTTGGAGGGGTTTGGTGGAGGAGCAAGTTTGTGGAGCATCTGAATCATCGTCGGGATGAACAGTTCCCTCGACTCGTAAAAGAGATCGGGCTGGCGAACAATGAAGTTGAAGATGCTCTGAACCTGTTGCAGGTTTCCTGTCTCTTCGTTTAGGATCTTGCGCGGTAACCGAGCCCAGGATGGTGCTCTCTTGTCTCCAGGGGTATTGCCACTGACGCCTATCCTCGCTGGCAGTACTGGAGCTAGAACTTCCAAGGCTTGTGTAACCAAAGTTTTGCCTTCATTTTGGTGAGCCTTCAACAGCTGATTGTAGATCTGCACAGCGATCTTTGGAGGGGTGTCATAAGACCTGATGAAATAACATATGAGGACATAAGCTGCGTACTTATTGATGACATCTTCCAGTTTGATGTGGCCCCAAGAATATTTGATTATGTCTTTTCGATCCTCTGAAACGGCATCTTTGTGATATTTCAGGATGAACGCAGAGAGCTGCAACGCTTCCATACGAGTATGGTCCACGCCTGGTTGAGATGAGTCGTCGGTCGGATCAGGAGCCGCGGGTTTCCATAGACGCTCCAAAAAGAGATTGAACAACTTGCTGTCTGCTAGTGGCTCGGCCTTGCTCTCCTCTTGGCGTATGTTCTGCACATCTCTTGCCATAATTGGATTGACCACATTGTGCAACAGGAACGTCTTCACCTTGTGAGGTTCGGCTTTTTGCGAATAAACGTCGAGACATCGCTCGATAATATTGTACCGGTGGGTTGCAGAATGATCAGTGATGATGGCGTCAAAGATATACTTCGACAGCTTCAAGGGAGTTTTTATGGTTCCCTGTGCAGCCGAAGAAAAGAGCTCGATCATGAAGTTGAGGTCATCTGGCGAGGATGTCAGGTATTGTGTCAATACATCCATCACTTGGTCTCCGGTTTGCTCGGCACGCAGGCGTTGGAAAGGTTGCAGCTGATCTTTGCGTAATTCTCCCTCGATTTCTTGGCCGGCAGTCAAGATCTTGGCTCTGAGCTGCTCCTGATCGCGCAGCCAGTCTTTGGCTGACTCAAAAGTGCAAATTGAGTGTACTACGTAGATCCCGTTGATTGCCGCAGTGTGGCGCTCTTGCGTTCCCTCGACGTCGAAGGCAGCCGTAATGAGTGCTTCTGTGTCGCTCATGACAGCATCGCGTATAGTTGCGCTAGATTCCGACCTCAGGATTTGCGCAAAAAAGCGACCGTACTTCTCCTCTTGGAGGCGCGATTGAAAGAAAGACCACGTCTCCTTGGGATATTTGTTGAGATATAGTATGAGCGGATGACGGAATGGGCTAGCGACAGTACGGCGCAGTTTTCCTTCCAGATCTAGGACGCTGTTGACCAAATCTCCCATAAAGCTGGTAGCAGCAGGGGGAAGGAGGTGAAAAATATTGAATATCGCCGTGACAATCTTCATCTGTGGATTTTGTTCTATCAGCCCAAAGGACACCTTTTGCAGCAACTGCTCGTCGGCGATGACTCTCATATGTTCAAGTAATCGAGCGCCTATTTCAACTTTGAAATAGTTTGTCAGCAGAGTCAGTAATCTCGCAAGGCCTTCCAGTCCTGCGACAGTCAGTCGCTTCGAGTCTTGGAGATTCATCAAAATAGGCCTCAATCCATTCTGGAGAAGGTCCTTTGGGAGCTTCGAGGTCTGGACCAGCACTTCCTTGAGGCCGGCGTTGGCAGCCTCGATGATTTCGGGTGATTTCGAGTAAAGCAGTTTGAAGAAGACGGTAATAATCCGGGCTCGGCTGGAATTCTGCGGACCGCTTGCAAACTCTGGCAAACTCATGGCAATGGAAAGGAGCTTTAGGCATGAAACACGCAAGTTGACAATCAGCTGAGCATTGTTGTATTCGTCAGGTTTGGGGTGGAGGATCTCAGAATCCGCGTCCGCAAGAGCGAGTGACTCCATCATAAGCCGGTTGAGCTGGTCATTCAATGGGACGAGATCATGACCTAGACCCAAGCAGTATGTAATGGCGTCGATAAAGCCTGTTTGCGAGAGGAAGGGAAGAGCTCGAAGTGGTTTGTTGAAGATCGGCGGGAGAAATCTTTCTTTAACAGGGGCAATCAGCTCATGTACCTCAACCCCCACAACCTCTGCCATAGTCGAGAAGGCACGTTGCGCTGTCTCACGTGCATGCGTATTCATGTGAGAGAGTTCCAGACTGAATGTTACAGAAAGGGCATGGACAGTGCTCCTCTCGTTGGCGAGCATCTCCCGTGTCTGACCAGCGCAGCATTTCCGGAGAATGAATTCCAATGTTTCTTGGGCAGTAACCCGGGTGCTTGCTGGGACCTCTTGAGGCGTGTCTTTGATCACGAAAAGCAAAGCTTTGACTATCTCCAGTTGCTTACTGTTGAGGAAAGGGTTGCCCAGGTTGAATTTCTTGACCAGAATCTGTATTCCCAAAGTAGCGCCGGCTTTGGTGAACCACTCCACCTCGCGGCATCTGTGGCAGAATGTCTGAGTAAGATGCGTGAAGAAAGGAAGTTTAGCAGCCTTTTCTTCACTGCCAAAGATGGTGCGAGCCGTATCAAGCACGGCCAACATCGATGCTTCGGCAGCCTCGCGGATGACGATGTTGTCTGAGGCCAGGCAATCACAGATAACATCGCCTAAGATGCGGGTGCTGAGATAGACCGCACCTTCACCCAGATTGACGTCGAATTCCTTGGTTCTCCGGCCAGAGTCGCACAGGGCTTGCCCGAGTTCAACAACAGTAAAATGACGCGATATATTCTGAATGAAAGCTTCGGCCTGAGACTTCAGATCCGGGACAGCCGTTGCAGTGAAGCAGGCTTTAAGGAGCCTCTTCAGATTCTCTTCCTGATCTCGACGTTTTTGCACCGACTTTCCAAATTCATTTTCAGCCAGCATGTCGGCGTATGTCGAAATCCGCCGCGAAAGGAGGTCGCTTGCCTGAAGTCGGAGTAGAGCCGCAAGATCGTCTGGAAGATGGTCGTGGCCGATGAACAGTTTCACCTGGTTACTGATGTACTTAAATGACTGCTGCTTGTAATAGAGATCTAATGCCTTCGTATTTGTGCTTTTAGCTGTCTCAGTGAGTTTCCGAATAGCCAGGTCGACGCCAGTATCCAAAGGGAAAGCTCGATCCCGGCTGGTCTCAATAAGTCGGATATCAAAGCTGGGTTCGTCGTCAGTGTAACGCCGATATGACAGGCGATGCGGATGGTTCAGGAATTTTCTGTTGCGCCCCCCGAGTTTCCCAAGGATGCGCATCGTCGTATGAGAGTGAAAATGTTGGTATGGCTGAGGCTTCAGGTGCTCAAACAAGGCAGTCATCAGATCATCCATGATCGGTGCCATGATCGGATCCAAATAGTCTGCCGTTAAATTGTCAACGCAGAGCTCGAGCGTTCTAAGGCCTTGCCCAACAAGATCGGGGCCAGCTCGAAGAGCCACGACTAGGGGCCTCATCAAGTGATTGAGATGCGGTAACAAATGGCTGAGTCTAGCCGGTACAGTTAACGTCAATTCAACGTACAGATCCCGGTCATGCGGATCCCTGGCGCCTTGGAGAAGATGATTGAAAGTTTCCAGCAGCATCTCGAGCAGTGGCAGGATTTCCTTATAAAGGAGTTCGAAGCGCCCGCCACCAATACTCCGGAATAGGGACCGAAGAAGAATGAAGTAATGGATAGGTTTCTCTGCCGTCACCGACAGCTGCACGCATTGTGTGATAATCTTCGTGATGTGCGGAAGCAGAACTTGCTCATTGTGTGTGGAGAACAGCGTGACGGCCATAAATGACAACTTGAACATCCTCAATAATATCGAGGATAGGACAATGTCTGACGATCCAACCTCAGGTAATTTGTTCATCAGGTACTGAAGGACCATGCCTGCAAATGCCGGCGAGGTGGCTTCGCTGGCGAGGAAGAATTGGGGGAGATGTAGCAACGCGGTATGCTCAGACATTAGTTCATGGAGGTAAGGGATCTCAGCCTGGAATACTTCATGGAAGGTGGCTGGATCGATGCAGTGGAATACCGTCCCAAAGCTCTCTAGCAACTCCTTTTCATCTCGCGTCATCTGTGCCATTGAGTGGCTGGCCATGAAGTCAACTGGAGAGGAATACTGCATATCTGGTAATGGAGCTTCCGCACCATAGTAGCGAAATACCCGTGCGCCTTCGTGAAAGAGCTTGGTAACAACTCGTGTTTCCTCAGCGTTGTATCCAAAGGAGACTTCGTTCCAGTTGATAGGAATGCTGGCCTGGTCTACGTTTAGACCTGGCGGATTGCATGTCTTCAGCTGATAGAACATATTCTTGAGGCCATTGACAAGGTTCTTAAAGAGGAATTTGTTGTCGTTGACCGGGTCGGCACCTCGCTCTCGCGGATTCGAAGTCTTAATAGGAGTGGCATTGAATATGTCCACTTCGTCCCAGTCCGGAACCTGGTCTTTGTCATCCATATATGTCTCTGGTTGATTCTCCTTGGATCTGTCTCCATATTGGCGGCTCAACTTCACGGCGTTCTCATATTGATAATTCATTGCGGCAAATTTGTCGCCGATTGCATCAAGAATCATGATCAGGAAATATCTTGCCTCCTCCTTATTCTCCAGCTTGGTGATACTTTCGGCCATGTTGAGGAGTAATTTTGCGCTCATCGTTTGGAAACTCGTCCCCGGGAAGTTGTCATGGAGGTTCTTCGTGTAAACTTCGATTGTCCGCCGTATCTGATTGCGATCCAACGAGTCTCGCACGTGATGGAGAAGGTCTGCAAGCATACTATATGCTAATGGACGCATGCTCTCATACACTGTAAGGCCATCCCCAATGAGGATGCGTTCGTCCAGCAACTCGTCGATCTTGTTCAAGAAGATTTTGCGATAATTGAAATTGATAATGTGCCGTATCGCAACTAGCAATTCTTTTCGAGTGCCAGACTTTTCCCTTGGGCAGTCTTTCAACAATCTAACAACAACACCCGGCAGAGTTGGCAAGAAGTCTGTCAGTTGATTTGCGTATACCCGGAGTAGGTAGGCCAGGAAACTCATAGTCTTGACCTGCGCGGTGATAAAATCTCCGAATGCGGCACGGTTCTTGATCTCTTTGCTGACACCGGTAAATATAGTTTTATTGGCCGCCGCCTCAGCGTGTGCTTTCTCTTGCGCTTTTGCCTGCAGCAGGAGAATTCCCTTGATCGAGGGCACAAACTTTTTGACATTGGCAGCCACCATACCCCGATGCGCCTGGAATATAGAAACGACAATGATAGGACATTCCGACAAGACCTTGAAGGATTGCATACCCTTTGCCAGGGGCGCGTGCTCTTTCTTTTCGGTTCCTGGATCCGACACCGTCGTGGCCGGCGAGCCGGGTCGCGGGGACTGAAAGGTCTGGCTTTGAGGATTTGACGTCGAGGATGAAGTTTGATGATGAGGCGCCGGAGAATCGAAGGTATCGCGAACCACCTGTTCCATCAACTCGAACATCTCTTGAATGAGGTCTAGGAAAGGCTGGACTTTTGAAGCGGTGGCAATCGGTTGGTGGCGCTCGAGATCCATGATCGTCTTCAGGCATAGTACAGCATTATCTTCATTTTCCACCCTCACCAGCTCCATCAGCATTTCCACCATGTCCAAAGCAAAGGGTTCGATTTCCGGCAGCTGATGTTGCAGTCGGTGCAAGATCTCGAGAATCTGGTTTCGGAGTATGTGTTCGAAGGAGGTTGGGTTCAAGTCTGGTTTCCCTTCCAAGATCTTCTTGAAGACGGGCCATAACTTGGTCAGGAATTTCGTATAGACGCTGGAGGGTGTACATAGAGATTCAATAGAGTCACGAAGTTCGGTAGCCACGTTCGATTTTGTCCGCGTATCTGCCAAAGGGCCAGAGTCAGTTAGGGCTGGGAGAAAGCCGCTTATAGCAGGTGCGCGACTTGCCAATCTTTGGATCACTGAGCCTCGCAACATAGACATCGATCTTCTGGGAGGCATCCATGGTGATGTCGTTCCTAGTCTACCCCCCGATTACACCAGGGAATGGAAAGACCGGCTAAGCGTAGAGAAGGATATATATCGCAGGGCTTGAGCGCCTTCATAAGGATTCACCTTCCCAAAGGCCCATTTGCAGATGCGCGGACTTGGATCGGATCGCAGGAGTAAAATAGTCACAGCGGCAGGAGTACAATGGAAATAACTGGTCGCTAGAAGAAGATGTTGAGACGGAATTAACTGAACTCCCTGCAACAATACGAAACAAGAATGTAAAGAGAAGAAATGGGTGTAGGCAAGTTGCCTTGTTGGCCCTGGGGTGCCTCCTCCGACCAAATTTGTATGGAGATTCTGCGGAGAATAGAGGCGCGAGGTAGAAAAGTGAATGCGAGGGGGGGAGTTACTTGCCTCGAGCGTGCAAATCACGTGAAAGCGCCAGTCCACGAAAGGGATAGTTGCCGGCAATGAAAGCCAATCATACTACAGAGTAGATGTGGCAGTGGGGCCCCTTGGGAGTGGAGTTTGGCGTGGCCCCGATGGCAGCCTTTAGAAAGGCAAGAAGGGCAAAAAACCATTTCGAGCGAACTGCCAAAGAGCCGATATGTCAAAAGTGAAGATGAAGACATTTCTTTACGACTCCAGCACTGTCTTTCTCTCGCTCCTTCTTTCCACTCGGGAGGCGCTTTTGCCGCCGCGTTGCTCGTATCTTCATTTCAGAGGCTGAACATCTCGGTAAGGCCTCGTAGTACTCTATCATTGACGGGACATCGCCAAAAACCCAACGCGAAAATTCACTGTGTTGACCGGGTATCTGAATCCTTTGCAAGCCGAGCCTCAGCTCGAAGTAAACCAAAACTTCAATGAAAGCCGACGCTTGCTGACGAGTCACAATGAACTTCGGTCCACTCATCCATAGCACGCTGCCACCACCAGCAGCCCGATAGTAGCTCGTGTCAATGCTGCGACACATTGCTTCCGTGTCGTTGAATATGAGGCATTTGAACTGTTCGATGAAAATCGATTGATCCTCCAGAATGTGTCCGATGTCTCCTTGATTTGCCATCCAAGCTGGTGTGAGACCGTCGAGATCTTGTCTGACCATGTGAGTCTGCGCGTCGCCTCTGGAGATTCCAAAGCCATGTCAGAAATAGCCATCAACGTCACTATAATGAAAGAGAATGTCTTAGCCAATATGGAGATGAAAGGCGGTGACGGAGGGATTGATGAGTTACATTGTGCGAACGGAGACACGACTTACCGATGATGGTTTAGTTGATGACGACTCATCATGCAACTTCAGAGCGTCCAGCCTCTCCTGGTTGTCCTGCGCAGCATCCGTCTCTGGCACTTCCTTAATACTAGGGGTCGTCGGCGGCTTCGCCAGTCCGGCCTTCATGCGGTTTGCCTGCTCGGTGAGCTTCGCCCATTTGGCCTCGCGTGCTTTCTCCCGTTGAGCGGCAGTGCTCTGCATTTCATTGTAGTCATGCGAACATTCGTCGAACAGTTGAGGATTGATCTCCATGAAGAGTTTCATTGCATTGTACACCATGCCATGTATTGTGCTGACCACTGATTAGCAGAGGTAGACGTCGAGGGAAGCATACATACCGGTTCCAATGACCCTTTGAATTCTCATACAGCGGAGCAAACATGATCGGGAGGATGGTTTCGACATTATCACTGACGAGATTGCAGAAGTATTCATTGTTCCAAAAATACAGCGCACGCTCCGCCACCTGGAAATGAGGACTCGCGACTGATTTGGCCAATTGGTTGAAAAGAGGTTCCTGAACTTTGGCAAATTCTTGCGGATCCATGACCTCGAAAATATCCTCGACTTCGTTCAGGAACATCACTTCTTTGGTGCTGTTGACTTTTGGCCAATAGCGTAATAGACCAAGAACAACCTACAGTACCGTCAGCATCCTAAGAGCCTCATGATTCGATGATGACTTACTTCTTCTGTCAACGCCGCGTCTTTCTCCAAGAACTGGACGATACAGTATGCCAATTGGGGATGATACATGCTCAAACTCTTAACTTTGTGAAGCGGAATAAGAACCCTGGTCAAAAAGAGCTTGTGCTCTTCCTTCAGAGGGAGAGCAAAGCCGTTGATGATCGAGCCAAGAATCTCGAGAAGCTCGGCTATGCCATTGAACCTCTCCGTTTCGTACGTAAACTGGAAGAAGACATTGTTGATGGATCTTCGAATGTAGGACCGAAGATTCAAGAATTTGCCGTAGATCCGGTGAAGTGTTGTCTTGAGAAAATCTCTTTCCCTTGGGTCTTCTGAATCGAACAGCTCGAGTAACTGAAGAACAAAATGATGATCAATGTAGGCTTTAGCAATGTTGGTGTTGAAGTCTTGACTTTCAATGAAACGCAAGAAGAACTCATAGACGACTTGGATGTGCGGCCAAGCCACTTCAAGGACTGGTTCATCTTCCTCGGGATCAAATGCTTCTCCCTGTGGATTGACAGGAGGAGGGACAGGGCGGAAAAGGTTCTTGCTAAACATTTCGACGACTTTTGGATACATCGGCTCGGTTATGACCGATCTGTTGTTGGCAACATAATCCAGAAGTTCGTGGAGGGCCAGTCTCTTGATTTCTTTAGATTTCATGTCGGCTGTCTGGTCATTGAAGTCAAAGATGATGTTGCACTGATCGATCTTCTGCATGAATAGCTCTTGTCGTCGGTTGGGAGGGACTTCATGGAAACCCGGCAATTTCTCCAGATCACGAGCTCTTTGGTCTGATACATCAAATCTCGAGGAATGCTGTCTCTTGGGAGTGCGGACACCCTCAGGCACATCTTTCGGTGTAGACTGCAATCGGTCGAAGAGGAGGGATTTCTGGCCAGCCTTGGGAGGTGCAAGGTCGCCAGGCATCGTTTCAGTTGCGCCAGGTCCGGGAATGTGAGGAGCACTTGGGCTTATGATGACGCTTGGAGCGATGTGATGACGGCCCGCGGCTGTTCCAGGTCCGCCGAGTCCATGACCAGAGCCTTGCGACATGTAATGAGAAGCCAACGAACCTGACCCTGCGGTAGAGCTAGCATGATGTTGAGCGCTTCCGTGGTTGGGTGTCGCGCCCTCATGACCCGCGCCCTTGTTCCGCAAGTCATTGAGATTCGTTGACGAGGAGGTCGGGGTGGCGGTGTTAGAGCTATTGGGGGATCTAGAATCGCTACCGGGGAGCGTGGTGGATGATGAGAGCGGAGAGGCGGTGCCTGAGTTATTCGCATCTTTCTTCTTGGAAGACTTGTTGCCTTCTTTTGCCCTCGACAACTGCTCATGCTAGAACATCAGTGAGTGAGAGCGTTTGGACGGAGACAGCACAAGATGCGGGTATGAGACTTACCACCCTCTGCCTGAAACCTTTCATTTTGCCAGGTTCTCTTCAATAGGTATTGGAAGCTTTTACGCACCCACAATAACAAGGACGTTTGTCGTAGTCGATGCGCCGCCTTGTCGATTCTAAGAAGCCACGAGGCTGTTACGTGCGTTTCATCCGAGTCACGACCTCCGGCTTGACTTCTCAGTAGGAGGCGACGGGTAGGGGTGTCGGAGAGTACCAGATCAATTCGACGGGATGCAGTTATGCCGGCAACTTCCTTCTCTTCTATCAATTGCTCATTCTTGGGAGCAGACCTGGCACTGAGGAGGAACAACAACACGGTAGGCCGGTGGAGGGAGTGGTAGACGGAAGCTGGGGAGGGTTCGGTTGAAAGACTGCAAGGACTCTAACTCGAGCACGGCGGGATGCGGGCAGAAAGAATCGATCTATGATCAAAGACGGCGAGAATGGGGGCGGCTTAATGATTTCAGTGCATTGAGAAGGGCATCCATTGAACAGAAGTCGAGGTGACGAGTAGTCGAGTAGTTGTGCGCAGCTCAAGGTCAAATGCAAGTCAAAAGTGTAGTCGCAGTCGCAGGTTGGCGGGGACGGTGCAGTGTTTCGGTGTCAGTACGCGGCCGGCTTGAGGTGCAATTTAGCAAGTTAGGCAAGGCCAACTTGACCCAGTGGTGCCCATGGGCGTCAAAGGGGCCTACCCAGTATTGGCCTGGCCGCTAGGCTTAGCCAACTACTGTTTAGGTGGGTGTCACTTTGTTTGGGTGCTCGGAAGAGTTGCCTGGGGTGATTTCTCTGAGATATTCAGTGTACTTGACTTGTGCTTGCATGTACTCGGTACCGAGTAACTCAGTGACCAACTGTTGCTGCCAAGCCCATCGTGCTAAATCAAGATTCTGTTTCATCAATTCTGTCATGGGGTCCAAAGATAAACCACTTCCCAAGTCATAAGGATATATCACCCGAGAGAGAGACGAGTGTGAACCAAAACCTTCATGACCCAAGGTACTCTGCGCACTTCCTTGCAGCTACCGGCCTTGGTCTTGCCTTCCCCGCGTTAAACAAGGTGAGACGCTTGTCCGCTTGTCTCCGACGGCTATTAGACCAGTGACGTGAGGTGCGATAATATGACAATGAGAATCGGGCCTGACTCAGAACACAGCTACAGATCATCGATCGACCACATCACATATCTAGACTACGCATCCCAGTACTCAAAATGTCAAGGGACCGACAAATTGCGCCTTGGTTCCAGGTCCCAGCTACCCCGGTCCTCTCTGTTGAACATCCCTGCATTGTTCAGAATGCGGAGAAGGCTATTGGCATGCTCGGAGGGCCTAGAGAGATCCTGCAGAGTCTTGAGCCTGGATGGGACAAGCCGCTGGGACTCAAGTTTCAGCCGGATGACCCAAGCTGCCGTGCAGTGCTGTCCTACAACAAGCGAACCCACAATCTTCTACTTAAAGTAACAGTTCCCAGAAGAACAGGCAGGAGAAGACAGCGAGGTTCTGACGAGGCCTACCTCGAATATTCTACAGATTCGCAGCCCCGGAGAGACGTCAAATACCTGCTTCGTTCATTGAGGGACAATCGTGAACGCTACCGGGCTGAAATCGTCGGTCCGATTGGCTCTACACACGTCTGGCGTACGATGCCAGACTTCATGTACACATCTAGAGGATCTCCCTTTTTGAGCGAAATACACTCCAAAATTCTTCCTCAGCGGTACCCACTGCTCAAGCAATGGTCTTTGCCTCAAACTTTTGTCGAAGCAGATACAGAGCTTATTCCTCCTCCGATGCTCTCCACGCAGAACCTCCCAGTCAACTACATATATCGTCAGAGTTCTGCCGCAAAGGCCATTTCCGATCCGCGTACAGCAAAACGGGCAGTAGACGATCCAGAGACGCCTACACAGTTGTCCACAAGTCAAGAGCAACGAGACGATAAGGAGGGGTCTGATAAGCTCACCACTTGAGCTTACCAGTCCGTCACGACTGTCTTGAAGCTAGCACAGGCGGCCCAAGATTCATGTATAAGAGTTTTGAGAAAAACAAACCGCTTTGCTTGTGCTGGTCACTACTTTCGCCCACTCCTGAATCTGTCCGGCTCAGGAGCTCATTCTGCCTGCGCCTTTGCCACTTGTTCAGAAATTTTGCAGACGCTTTGTGCTCGATTGACATGTTCCGCTGCCATGTCGCTCCAAATCCTTTCGGTGATGAGCGTCTGGCATGATAGACCCTAGCCGGGAGAGAAATTAGGATCTCAGAACGTGATACAAGATTTCACGTCAGTCGACAGCTGAGCAAATTGAACAAATGCCATACAGGAAACTGGCGCACTCGACCTACCCGGGCCATCCCTATTTGGCAAAAGTTGGTGCTCAAATTCAATTGGAGCATCCTCATCTGGTGTACTCGGTGATAATAAGGATTAATTTCGTCCAGCAGAATGACGAGGGGCACAGCCATAACCAAACCCAGAACATGATGTTGGGAGTTAAGTTATGGTTTCACTTGGCGTGTAACTTTTTTTCCAAACATAGAGAATAGTCAGTCTCGGCCTGGCGCTTCTGCGAAGGTCATTTCCATGAGCCCCTCGAAAGCCCCGTTGCCGCGATCCAACTGTCCTTTGCGCCGGCTAAGAAACCCGGCGAACTTGCTCGCTTGGTAGCTTGTTAGTCAGCAAGCCCCCAACCCTCCGCCGAGTCAGATACGTCTTGGCCATCTTGGCGCAGACCGACCAATGGTAAAACGTCCCTAGGACGTGCCGAGCATGCCAATTCCTGGCACCTATGACTTTCGTGAGAGCCCCGCTGATCCCTCCCTTTTTCCCAGGACATACTCATCATTTCATCCTTCCGCAATCCCGTCAATGCACTGAAGCCTGTCGCTGGCACTGTCTCCACGATTGAAGAGGATGGCCACGGATTGCCGACCGCCGCTTCAGGCTATCTCGCCCGCCTCGACGAATAAAACTTCGATATCAGGCCGCCGGCATCATGGCTACAAAAAAATCCGATGGAAAAAGTACGATCCCAGCAAGAAGTCTCCGAACTCAGCCCCGGACCAGTTTGTACAGTGGCAACCCCCGGACTCAGCACGAGACGAAGATCAGGAGGAGACTGCCCATCGCAAGTCGAAGTCCAGTGACGCTAGACAAAATCCGCAGGCGAAGGCACTAGTCCTGGTCTCTCCCGTTGAGCCTCTTCCATTAAACGGAACGCGCGAGGATCCATTCCTAGTCCTGCCTATCAAATCAACCGAAACAGTCCAAGACACATTGGACTACTACATCACCATCTGCAAAGGCTTCAACAACAAAAAGTCGGTCGTCCCTGGGCCGGTCAATCCTCATCTGTCGCTCTTACTGCCTTATGCACTTAAGCATACCATTCTGTTCGAATCCATCATAACAGTCTGTCGAGCATCCATCCTCATTTCGCTTGGACGACCGATATGGGAAGACTACGCCTTCGTTCGCCACCGTGGCAGCGCCATAGCAGGTCTTAATGAAAAGCTCAAATCGAACGAGGCTACCGACGATGCAGCCTTGCTGACCGTTACGATGCTCATGACTCTCGAGTATCTTTCTGGAAACCAACGAGGCGTGATAATGCATTGCAAAGGTTTGGAGAAAATGCTTGAGCTCCGCGGGCCACTCTCCGAGACGGGCGATCCGGGTTCGGAAACCGACTGGGTGAGATTTGTCAGGCATGGTCTGATAGCATACAAAGCTCTGGGTTCCTTTGTGACGGGCCAGCCACCAGAAGTACCTCGCGACTCGGTCGGCTACCTTAGGGAAACTTTCCAGGAACTACATCTCGATCAACCACTTGCCTATCCCGAAACTCCATTTCCGCCCGACTTATGCATTATTCTCTCTCGCCTTCCATCGGGAGTCTCCGAACTCTGTCTTGCGTCCCGGATATCTGTGCAGATGATCAAGCTCCTCGCCTCCATCTCGGCGGCCACCACGCTCCTAGCGACCGAAACTGTCAGCTACGAAAACCTCCTTGACCGTACCTGGACCCCGCCTTCGGAGTTGCCACTCCCCGATTCGTCCCAGTACGACGAAGAATGGAAGCAAACAATGATTCAAACCATCCTCTCCTCCCTTCAACGAATGTCGTTAACATCCACTTGCCCAGTCGAATACCACCTCACCATGGGTTTGCTGGCCTATATCTTCCAGCTCCGGGGTCTTACCGCAGTAAACCTCTTCTACGATCCCATCCTCCGCAAATTCATCACCGCCTTGCTAACCCACACCAAACCGGCTTCGCTCCAGGAACAAAACTGCCTAGTTTGGTCCAGTATGGCAGTTGCAGGATCTCTTGCCCTGCGGGTCGTTCCCATGCCTGACTCCCACTTGGTTATGGAGCATGCGTTGGATCTTTACCCACAGGCCCGCCAATGGGCCCGCCTGGAAAAGGTTCTTCGTACATTCTTCTATACGAAAGAAATCGGCGCACATTGGAAACGCGTCTGGCAATCCGCCATGAAGAGGCGGGAGTTTGTGCTTGTTCAACGGCAACAACAGGTACGTTACAGCGATGCGAAGATTGACAATGGCATGAATACGGACGGTGAACCACAAGAGCAAAGCCCTCTGTCAAAACAGAATCCGCTGGATTCTTCAGATTTCGACATGAGCTCCGAAGCGATAAGGGCACATATCCGCCAACACATCGCCGGCGCGCCGAAGACGATAGCCGAAATGGCCCAGGCCATGGGGCTCTGCCCATTTCGGCCGCAGCCGTCATTGCCTTCATCAGCGAGTTCTGCATATACTACGACTGCGACGACAAGCCCGAACACGCAATCAACTCCATCACCAAAAGCTACATGAGAGCCTTTCGCGCAGTATGGAACGAGTCCTTCTCCAAGAACCAATATCCAGTCTCAGCCCTTACTGTTTTTGTTTGAGACGTACAGAGTCTGCTTGACGAATAGCGGAAATCGCCGCTTCAACTCCTCCATTGCCACGAAACGCGTCATCGTCCCTTCCCAGCTACAGCATTTGTGCCGGTCAAGCGCGAAGATTGAGACACTCTTGCCAACAAATCTCAGTTCCTCAAGCCGCTTAAGGAAGGTGACGGCGGCCTGCAACATTTCTTTCGACGAGCTGGGACTCCCAAGTCTCGACGGAAGAGAATCAACCAGTCATTCTCCGAAACTGACAAAATTTCCGCTCACATCATATACATACTACGTGGCGAGAAGCTCATCGCGCCTGATCTCCGTGACGCCTGGCAGCAATCTCTCTGAAGAGTGGTTCACGTCCTGGACGTGCAGCGCGCGATTAATCTCTCGTAGCGCCTAAGCTAGGACGCTACTTTGAATCACCCGGCAGAGTCAGAGTGTTTTCATGATTTACAAGGCATACATCAGGTACGGTGTAATGAAAATGCTAGACAACTTCGGACAGCCGACGGTGTGGCCCCCTTGCCAAGAATGCCAGGAAAGTCTCTCTCGACAGCATCGCGTCTCAACTTAGCAGGTCTCTTTCGTTATGCTGCGGCAACCATTTACGCCAGCAAACAAACATTTCCCCCCCTATGTCAATGAGCACCGAACGCACGACGTCCAGACGGGCAAGGCAATTGAATTTCCAGAGCTCACACCAGGTTTTCTCATCTCCCCACCAAACGGAGAGGGATAAAATTGATCCGTGACACACTCCTCGCACAAAATGTCGAGATGTCCCATCTTCGTCGCCGTCCTCTGCCACGATGCGGTCATCCGCACCGAGTTCTTGAGACGTGTCTCAAGGCCCCGCAGAAAGCATCGTTCGTGGTGATAATGTATACGAGATGTAGAGCCATCGCTGGTGAGGGGATGATTCCGATCCTCGCCGGTACCAATAGCGCGCGCATGACGCCGGTGAACGAGGCTGTCCGGCTAGCTATGATCTGGACAGCGGGTCGGGGGTGGATATGGATATGGACATGGATAATCAATTGCAGAGAACTCCTCTCATCTCCTTTCCATGTCCTTCTCCTTGTTTCCCCCCTTTCTTGCTCCAGGACATGCTAGCAATATACCACAATTCATCGATTTTCTCTCCATCTCCATCTCCCTGTCTTCCGTCGGCAAATTTGTCCCGCTGCAAGTGCACATATTACATGCAGAGTCCTTGATGCATGTAACTAGGGAAAAGAAAGATGGACGAGAGAAAAAAGAGAGAGAAATAGAAAAGAAAAGAAAAGACCCTTAACTCATTGATTGTATTTTCGAGTGAAGAGATGTTGAATGAGGGCGCGAGATATGGAGTTTCACATAAATGGGACATATATCCTAAGTACTAGCTTACTTTCTATGATCCGCTCAAGCGTCTTACCGTTATCTACTCAACTTCTAGTGGCTGTCTAGTCGGCACACATGTCCGAGCTGCAATTTATACTCTGAAAGAATTGCATACTCGAGTGTCACCCGATTTACCTCTGTCAGAAACCCACCACTCTGTTCAATTCTCATTCTTCGCTCTTCAGCTCCGCATTGCCATCAGCATTCGAGTAAAATATTACGTTGGGGCGGCATTTTTGTCCGAAGTATTGGCCGGTTGCCGAAAATGTTTTTGATGAGCCAAGTCCATCCATGTGCCGCCAACGGCTTCTCAGGACCTGCCGACGCGAAGTTGGGCACAAAAGTCGTTTGAGGCCGGCCGGTCGAAGCGGCATCGTCTTGGATGAAGCAAAAAGCCGAGGCACCCGAATCTTCTGGGCTGCCGTCCCCAACATGGAAGAGTCATTCCGTCATAATGGGCAATGAAAATAGACGATATAGGATGTCATGGCAGTATTCAATGTCCGCCACGATTACATTTCATTCTGTGCTCAAGCTCTTGAGCGTCTCCTGGATACCTTGTTTCAAGGCGCGGTACTGAATGCGTTGTAAAACGAGGGGTGGGTTGCGTAGGAGCTGCGCTGCTCGCGAAAACACTCTGTGGCCGTAGAGCAGAAGCACAACGGCAGTCATCAGCCAAATGAGGTAGACGACCATTGCTGCCATGTATAGCCGCATTCTGACCACGACAGGAATGACCACACCGTCTCGGATTTCATGGTACCTGTCGACAATGAAGTTTCGGATTGGTCTCCTTCTGTGTTTTCGCTGGAGGTGCTGTTGCAAGCCTTCGGTCATATGCCAGGCAACCCGCCTGTTGATCTTCTCCCATGTTACGTCGCAAGTATACTTTCGTGCTGCAGTTGCCATAACCGCACGAAGGTTTTTGTTAGCAGAGAGAAGCTTGACGAGAGAAATGTACTGCTCCAGATCGTGGGGAGGAACCAAATATCCAGTCTCTTGGTCTTGGACAATATCTGATGGGCCCCCTTCGTCACGAGCAATCACTGGGAGACCGCTCGCCATTGCTTCCAAAACAACCAGACCGAATGTCTCGGTGATGGAGCAGTGCAGGAAAACATCGCCGGTCGCATATGCACGAGCGAGGTCAACACCGGTGCGGAAGCCGGTGAAGATGACGTGCTCTGCGACGTCATCGAAGAGGCGGTGGACCTGGTCCTCAACTTCGGCACTCATATTGCCACCTACGATGAGCAATTTAAAGGGAAAGCCTTCTTGGGCGAGCCGTATCGCGACCTGGGCCAGGAACTCGAAGCCCTTCTCGGGAGCCAAGCGGCAGACGCAGACCAGGATGATTTCTCCGTTGGGTGCCAATTCCTTGCGGTATGTCTCGTCCCGCTGAGAAGGGTCAAACAGAGTGGTGTCGACACCCCGGCCCAATCGGACCATCTTGTTGCTCGGAGCGCCTGCTTTCTCAAGATACCGGCCCACGCCAGAGGAAGGGTAGAAGATGGTATGGACGGTACGGTGATTGAACAGGAAACCTTGGACGACCCCTAGCAGCCAGACGGAAAAGCGGGCAACAGGACCCGGGAACAGAATCTCGCTGTAGGCCGACAGATCAGTCTGGAAATTGAGGAGAACGACAGGGGGATCTTGTAATTGGCGGATCTGGAACAGCATTTGAAAGCCGGTGGAAGCAGGACTGGCAAGATATACAATGTCGGGCTTGAAGGTCTGTTTGTAGACATCGTCGAGCTGGAAGGGATATACGACGGTCAGGTCGGGGTTGTAGGGCAGTTCATAGCCCGGCAGTCGAAATTCAGTGAGGTTCGCACCACTGGTTGGCTTGAGGCGCGACTGTCTGGAATGAGGAGCAACGATGGCCAGTTGGACACCATTTCTGCGCAGGTATTCGATCAACATGAGCGTGGTTCGACTGACGCCGTTGACAGGGCCCAGGGATTCGGTTGCAAGGAGGACTCGCTTGCCCTTGAGATAGGAGGGAAAGGCATCTCGTCGGTCGGGCACCACAGTACCAGCACCAGCACCTGCTGCTACCGTTGGCGTTGTCATGCCATTGCCGGTGGCGGTGGTGGAAGAAGAGAGCTTGACTTTCTCTTCACCGATCCGCTCCTCGACCCCCATCGTGCTGTGCAGCTGTGCTACTTGCGCCGTGTGGGGGATAAAAGATTCTCCGGTCTCTGAACGATATTCCGGGGCGCAGTCTGCCCCTCTTCTTATCGCTATCGTTATCGATATCCAGTCTCTGCTTATCGACCGCCACAAAACTGGAACTTCAGGCTGGTGCAAATTTGCCTGACCTTCGTTGGGGGAGAAAAAGAGTAACAAGTAAAAGAATAGTGCGTAAAACTGAGTGACTGGCAGACGCACAATTAGTCACTTTGCATTCGAGCTCCAATCCGTCTCTCAGCCTCCAGTGTGGCACGTGTCACTCTCTTATTCTCTCTCTCTTTCTCTCTTGCAGCCTTTTTGGTTCTCCTGGTTCTCGTCCTCGCTGTTGCAATCCCGACGGGCTTCTTATGATTTCGTCTTGTCAGACTCGCTGTGCTCCCGACTTGTTCTCTTTATGGACTTGATCCTCGGGACCCTCGTGCCCCCCTCGCAGCATGACCTGCCCACCCGACAAGATTTAGGCCGATGGTGGCGACCTTGCGCAGAGTCGAGTCGGACGCGTAGAAGACGCTGACGGCTCCCACGTGGGTGGAAGCGCTGAACAGCAGGCTTCCCGACCATGTTGACAGCGTCAAGTCGAGCATTTCCAGCACTGTCCCTTGCCAGCCACTCAGATGTGCTGGATGACTGCGCGTGCTCGGGTGCGTTTGATACAGTCGCCCTTTGTGTTGATTCCCTCGCGCCCCCCTCGCGCCCTTACACCCGCTCATGACCATCGCAATGCCCATGACCATGTGAGTCTCGTTCGAAGCTTCACCAACGTTGCCCCATTTTTCGTCTTCCACCCTGGTGAAAAGTCGGATCTTGTAATTGCCCTGCGGCGGCGCCCTCGCCTTCTCTTGAAGCCAGGCTTCTCTTATCTGGGGCTTGTTAAATTCGTCGGTGCTGGTCACCGCCATGCTATGCCACGCAAACCGCGCTCATTGTTACATTAATATGGCCTGATTCCCTTGAGTCTCACGTCCGCCCGCTGTTCTTCTCCTCCATCTCCCAAGAAAAGCATCTCTCGCAGCTTGTTACCGTCGTTGTCGCTATGGATTTCGCAGTGCCCTCGCTCGTCGGCACTTCTGACGGCAGCTCCTGTAACGACTCCACAGGTCTTTTGACGCCAGACAGCAGTCCCTTATTCCGCCCCTCACACCTTAAAGACTCGTTCGAGACGCGACTCGCTCACGCTCTGGAAGAGCCCAAAAGGCGCAGACTCGATCCGCCCTCAGCCCGCGCCGAGAGCCCCTTCATCCCCTCGTTCGCCGACCTGTTTGCGCCTGTCCCCAGCGATGTGAGGAAAATCTGCGTAATTGGCGCAGGTTATGTCGGTACGCACATGCGCCCCCTCCTACAGAATGTACGCGAGGTATCGAGGTGAACTAATCGGATCACGAGTCTTTAGGCGGTCCTACGGCAGCAGTCATCGCACTACACAATCCCAAGGTGGGCGTCGAGGTGTTGGACAGAGACCAGCGACGCATCGAACGATGGAACTCCGCTCACCTGCCGATCCACGAGCCAGGTTTGAACAAGATTGTGCGATTGACAAGAGACGGGGCAATTATAAAGGAGCCCGGCGACCGCAACTCCATTTCCCACGGACGCAATGGCGAGTCTGACTACGTCTCCAGACGCGGCCCGAACCTCTTCTTCACGTGTGACACGCAGGTCAGCATCTCCACTGCCGACATGGTTTTCCTGGCAGTCAACACTCCCACGAAAACCACGGGAGTCGGTGCCGGGAGAGCGACCAACATGACCGCTCTTGATGGCGCTGTCAAGGATGTGGCATTGTATGCGAAGCCCGGCACTATCATTGTTGAGAAGAGCACGGTGCCCTGTGGAACCGCTCAGCGCATCAGGAACACGGTGAGTGACCAGTTTGACGCGGGCTGCATTGTGGGTTTCTGACGAAGATTTGCCAGCTCGACGCGCTGCGACCGGGCGTGCCGTTTGAGGTCCTATCAAACCCCGAATTTCTGTCTGAAGGAACAGCGATCAAAAATCTCATGAAACCGGATCGGGTCATTATCGGCTCTTCTGGCACTCCTTCCGGCAAACTGGCAGCTGATGCGCTCGCCAGTCTGTATGCCGCATGGATTCCCTCGTCCCAGATTCTACAGATCAATGCGTGGTCATCAGAGCTTTCCAAGCTTGTGGCCAATGCCATGCTCGCACAACGGATTAGCAGCATCAACTCTATCAGTGCGATTTGCGAAGCAACAGGCGCAAACGTAGAGGAGATCGCGAAGTCCATCGGCCTAGATACCCGGATAGGACCGCAATTCTTGAAGGCCGGTCTCGGTTTCGGGGGCTCTTGCTTCAGGAAAGATATTGCCAGTCTCACATACCTCGCCGAATCTCTGGGTCTGGAAGAAGTGGCCCATTACTGGGGTCAGGTCAACTCGATCAATGTCATGCAACGCAATCGCTTCGCAAGAAAAGTCCTCAAAAGGTTCAACGAAAATCTGTTTGGGAAGAAAATCACGTTGATGGGATTTGCATTCAAAAAGAACACCAGCGATGCGCGCGAGTCTCCCGCGGTGGACGTCATCAGAACTTTACTCGACGAGCAACCTGCGGAAATTGCAATTTTTGATCCTTTTTGTGACGAAGATGATATGCTCCGAGAGATTAATGCGGCCGTCAGCAACACACCTGGTTTTGCAGGCGAAACCTCCTCCGTGAAGATCTACACCGATCCATATGAGGCTTGTATGGAATCAAATGCCATACTTATCATTACAGATTGCGACCAGTTCAAAAACTCACCTCAAAGACTTCGCGGCAGCAATGCATCCGAAACGAGCCTACCCACCAATAAGCCTGCGAGCACCTGTGCGTCGCCGAAGCAACAAGAAGATGACCATCTAGGTGCCAACTTTGCAAACTACAGGCTAGCTCCTCAGCCAGATTGCGTGGCCAACTGTCCCGACTGCAGATCGAAAGCCAGGGGGCCGATTTCCACCGACCCCGTCGAATGGGCTCGCATCGTCTACAGCATGAGAGAGCCGAAATGGATCTTCGACGGCAGAGGCATTATTGATGCAGATGAAATGGAGAAGCTCGGAGGTGTTCGCGTCGATGGTATTGGGAAGTGGCGGCCTGAAGATGGACAGAAGCGCTGCTGGTGATTCCCCGGTCCATTTGAGGTTAAGCCAGCCTCGATTAACACATACGTTCAAATTGTTTCCGAACGGCGTTGAGAACCAGAGATGCGGTATGAGGGCTCGAGGCCTCCATGCACAAATGCTTCACACTATCGAATGCCTTGCAACATCCCCAGAGTCTATATTGTCGGCAGAAAAGCCACGTGGCTACAAGATGCATATCCGGCGTCGAAGCGCAGTTCTAGAATCGAGGGCGTCCCTTCACCATTCCTGACCCGATTTCGCACCACAACACCGTATCTCCTAGTTGCATGGTCCCCACGATCATACATAATACGTAAAACTCCTCGGAGTTGGCAGTCAAGCAGATAGAAAGACCACTTAGACGTATATGAAATGCCTATCATACGATCAGTACAACGTCCTGTCCGAGGATCCTTGATTGAGGCCGTCTAAGTAATCAAGCAGTGGGACTCACGGGTGTTGAAAACTAAACAATTACGGCCGAGAAGCTTGGAAGCGGTAAATTGAGTAGCCTAAAGCGCTTGCCCATCTTGAATGGAACAGGCGAGCCGAAAAAGCCCCTTCAATGGATTGCCACATAACATTCTGACCAGTGCCAGCCCTTCGATGCTGTCGACTCTTAGGGGTAAGTCCTTTGAGGCAAAGGGGCCCGCGTCACAATCCCATCAGACATCCCGGCACCGCAGCTTGAACAGATCGAGTATCTGCTGGCATTGGATCTTCGAATCCGATTCCTTTGGCGCGACATTGGACCTCGCTCGAACGCATCCTGAAAGGGGGGGGCTTTATTTAAGGTTGAAGAATGTAATCAGATTGGTGGAGCATACCAGCCTTGAACAGATCGGGCCACCTCTGAATTTCCTCTTTCGGCAACAGGTACGTTTGACGTGTTGCTTCTTGGTTGCCTGCCGTCTCGAATGATCAGTCCTTTGACATGAACCAAGTCTCTTTGAATGCCAATCGTCGGCGCTGATGTCTTGTTGGCCTACCTTTTTCACTGTCGTCCCTTCTTCCCAGTCACGAGTTGGGATCCAGCAGAGTTTTTGTGAATAAGCTTGCACTATGGAAGTCGGCGCGAGAGGTGCATCCTTTGCGAGGAAAGAAAGATGTTCCAATGAAGTCCAGCAGACGGCGTCTTTAATGAGGACCCTGGTGGAAGCAGGGCGAGTATATATAAGGGATCATCTGTTCCGGTGAGCAACAACTCCATCAGACATTCTCAGCTTCATGAATATCCCCAACCCAGTCATCGGAAATAGCTGCAGATGCACCATGAAGTCGTCATTCCTGGTCTCAATACTTTTCTCCATACTCCCCCCTCTGACCCTCTCCGAGTTCGTCACCTCCAAGAACGGCCTCCAGGTCGACGTCTACCATCTTCCGCCCGCCCCGGTCGTGTACCAAAGCAGTACGAATCTCAGTTTCTCTCCAACAGCCTTCACACTCATTCATGGCGCCCACGAAGCCGTATTGGTGGACAGCCCCGCCACATTCCTCCAGGGCCAGAACCTCACCAAATGGGTCAAGGATATCGCTGGCCCTCACAAGAGCCTGAAATACATCTACGTCACCCACGGCCACGGTGACCACTTCTTTACTGCTCAGCAAATCGCTGCCACCTGGCCGGGATGTCAAGTCGTCGCGAAAGCTGACGTGAACGCACATATGCTGCAACAGTACGAAGAACCTTTGTTCACGGATCTTTGGCTCTCTCTCTTTCCCGGCGGCCAAATCACCAGCCAGCCATTCAACGCGACGCTCATCCTCCCGGCCAACGGCACCTTTGAAATCGAGGGACACGTCTTCCGGGCCGTGGAGGTCGGACAGGGCGACACGTCCAACTCGACCGTGCTGCACGTGCCCGACGTAGACCTAGTAGTCGGCGGGGACGTCGTCTACGGCAAATGCCACCAACTCTTTGTCGAAGACCTCAGCCCGCAACTGCGCAACCAGTGGATCGCGTCGCTCGACAAGGTCGCCGCGCTCAGGCCGCGCTTCGTGGTGCCGAGCCACACGAAGCCCGGCGACGGATTCGCGCCCAGCCACATCGCCGACACGAAGCTCTACATCCGGGCGTGGGAGAAGGCGCTGGCCATGAGCACCACGTGGCAGGAGCTGGAGGACGCCATGAAGACGCAGTTCCCCCTGCGCGCCGGCAGTTTTATTCTCAGGTGGAGCAGTCAGGCGCCGTTCAACGTGGCCAGTGTTTGACGGGAAGATGCCGAGGGTGGTAGAAGAGTATGAGAGCCAGCCGGAACAGCTGAGGCACAGGGCCAATGGAGAGGAGAGGGGGGGTTACAGGAAGTACGTAGCTAGAGAAGTGGATTTCCGCAAGCGCTCAGGCAAAAGGAGAACGCCGCTGAGGTCTTGTACGGGGGTAGAGATGCATGAGATGCTCGACGTGCGACATTGGGAAAATCTCCTCACGCCATGGCACAGTCCATATTAGGTCGTCTGTACTGGGTACTCGGAACATAATAATAATACCCGGTACTCGCGTTATTGGGCGGTTGCCAGGGTGCCAGTCACGACGAGGCTGGGCATAATACCCAGAGGGGCCACCAGGCTACTGGGTACACCAGCCGAGCACGAAAAGTTACCGAGGCTTCTTTTCTTCTCTGTGCTCCCTCCACCTCCCTAACTGGGCCATTGCGGCACGTATTAATACCTACTTGGTATTATTGCTGACGCCGCGCCTGACCTCTGCGTGTCGAAATGCGGGGAACCGGTCCAGACACACGCTCCGAGTATGTAGGCAGGGCAGCTCGGGCTCCCTCTTTGTGGAGGAACGAGAACGTTTTAAGTACCGTGTTGTTATTCCTACGGAGGACTTCCGCGCCGGAGGGTTATAAATAACGCATATATACTGGGTACATATATGGTCCTCTACCCGGGTTACTGGGACTCTGTGACGGGTATCAACGTCGCGAGGATATAACCTGACTGGTTCGACTTGGACTCGGTACTCGAGTCCCGCGGAGTAACCTGTCTGTTCGTGTTGCTGCTCACTTCCTTTGGCCGACCGACGCATCTCATCGCATCGCATTCCATCATGGCGCACCCATTGCCACCGCCGCCGCCAATTGCCCCCGACGTCAGCGCCTCCTTCAACATCTACTCGCAATCCCTCAAGCCGCGCCCGCTTCCCTCTGACCCGGCTGTGCGCGCAGACATCGAGCACGTCCTCGAGCACGGCTACGTGATCATCCCGGACTGCTTCAGCGCGGCCGAGGCGCGCGAGGCACGCGCCGAGATCGTGCGGCTGCTCGGCAAAGAAAACGCATCCGCTCTAGTCGGGCGCAATGCCTTCGAGGGCTTCAACACGAACCGCATCTACTCGCTGCTCAACAAGTCCCGCGTGTTTGACAAGTTTGTCATCTTGCCCCGTGTGCTAGCGCTCAATGACTTTTTCTTGGATCAGGGGTATGTACTCTCCATATTGTGTGGCTTAACATGTCATATATTTGTTGGATATCTGTGTGTTATATAGTTGACGGCAATGTGCTTTGACTTTGTGCATGGGGTGTCATGCTGGGGTTCTTGTGCTGTGCAGTGCTATCCAAGGCTGAGAATTGAGGCGTCCTTCCCGTTCCATTTTCCCGGGGCCAAAGATATTATCTGGCATGACATGACCTTACCTGATCTGACTGAGGGCGGAAACGCCACATCAGGTACCTTTTGTCGGCATTCCACACCATTTCGATTAATCCTGGCGAGAAGGCGCAAGCACTGCATCATGATGACGGGTACATCCAGTTTCTCAGACCGAGATTGCCGTTTGGGGCGGCGATAATGGTCGCATTCGACGAGTATACTGCCGAGAATGGTGAGTTTCTGAACACGCCTATCTGTCCACGGCCCCCTTGCGGAAGAGAGTTTCAAACGGGTCAAATGTGAGGAATAAGGAATAGTTGGCTGACGCCCTGGACGTCTCTGGTATTGTTATTAGGTGCCACGCGAATCGTCCCCGGGTCACACAAATGGGACAGTTCACGACGAGGCATGCCCGAAGAAACCATCCCTGCGCTCTGCCCCGAAGGCGGAGTGGTTTATTTCATAAGTACCTTGTGGCACGGTGGTGGAGCAAACGTGTCGGACAAGCCTCGACAAAGCGCCACCGTGCAGTACTGCCAGCCGTATATTCGGCCCATCGAGAACCAGATACTGGCGGTGGATCCGAGGAAGCTGGACAAGATCCATCCGCGTATCGTGGAGATGATGGGATATAAACACATGCAGCCTTTCATGGGGTATGCAGATGGGTTGGGTCCTCGGAGGGCAGCGAGACGCATGGTCAAATGGCTGCAGGAGGAAGTGGATGATGATCCACCAACCTTTGCGCATGGGTTTAGAGAAGACTCCAAGTTGTAGTCAGTTGGAGGGCCCTGAACAAGGCATCGAGGCATGAACATGTACCGAAAAGTAATCTGGTTTCAGCCCTGGGTGAGGTCAGGCTGTATTACTTGTCCTAAGCCATTCCTTTCGCCGCAAGGGATCGACCTGAGTGATCCTTGTTTGGCTGTATGTCATCCAAGTCATACTCTTAAGTACTTACTACTCATACACCAATAGTCACCACCTTATTTTTGACTGGCTGCGGGGCCATTAAGCCGAGGATCAGCGTGATACATCCGCATGGGCCTGGAGAAGTATATAACGCACGTGTACAGTCGCTCATATTTGCTCCCGCAGGAGATGGACGGAGCTATGAAGGGGGCAACAAGAACTGCCCGGATGTCCGGAATCAGAGATGGGCGGGCATGGAACGGCCGGAAAAGGACATTGTGTGGGCTAGGGTTGCCCAAGTTACCTTGGTTGGTAGAGGAGAGAGTTTGAGGCGAGGGCCAGGGTGTGGGAGATTGTTTGATCTGGGCAGCTTTATCAGATTGCATCGTGGTGGTTTCGTGTTTGGTGTCTGGCGTCTTGGATGTTTGTCATGGTCGGCAGCCTGACTCAGCGCGCACATCGACGTCAGTGCCTTGTCATTGTGCGTGCACTGGCGCCACTACAACCCGTTACAGGAATGCTAGCCCGCCAGTTTGATTGGGGGATGGCATGCTTAAGCCCTTTAGGCCGCCAGGCTGCTCCAGTTAGAGGCTGGCGGGGCCTGTGGCTCAACCTAGTTAAGCCCCCAATTCACTAGGTGGCCCCAGAGCGAGATTTTCCCTATTCGATCGTTGTGTCCAAGCGCTACGAACCAGTGGCAGGGCCGTTAGGAAGCCTGGAGGCCGCCGAAGCCGCCCAAGCCGCCCAAAGATCCTGGAATGGCAAACACGGAAGAGACCAAGCCATCAGGTTCTCTGGCAACCTCCTCTGTACTCTGTATCCTGGTGACTTCGCTTCTCTGACTTCACTGCTGATGATTTACGGAGGACCTCCTACGTGTGCTCGACTGCCATCGATCCTGAGGGGGCGTTGACCGTGGCGGACTGGCTGTCTGTCGCCATCGCAGACCCTGAACCTCAGCTTCAACTCGGCTCTCTCGGTTGATCTCTCACTCTGCACCTGCGCCCTCCAGCTGCACTTCCCATCGCCGACCCTCGTTTTGTCCGTGTCCCTCGACACAGCGCCTTTGACGGAGTAAACAATTCCCTCCAGGTCTTTGCGCAATGGCTTCGTCGCGCCCGGGTTCGCGCCGCATCAGTTCTATCAGCAACTCCAATACAGAACCTTTCCCTTCGATCCCCGACTCACCGGCGGGCCCAAGTTCTACCAACAACAATACCACGACAACCACAACCACCGTCCACATCCCTCATCGTGGGAGACCTTACACAGTAACCTCCACCCAGCCCACGAACCAATCTCCCACCACTGTAGCATCCGCGCCCGACAACACCGTGATTCCCAACTCGGCCGCCGTGACCCCGACCATAACGAGAACTACCTATGCCACGCCTCAAATAAATCAGATCAACCAGCTCAACCGATTCCGGCCAGTCGGTATTAGACGACTGCCCTCAGCAAACCTGCGAGCGGCAGCACAAGATGATGAAAATCTATCGAGTCAACCTCCCGGTCGGGCTGCGTCTGGTAGAGGACGCAGTAGTTCTGCGCCACAACGTCCGAATCTGGGCATACCCGGCTTGAACCAACTAACGAGGCAAAGTACGAGACAATCACTCCTGCCAACCCTCGCCGAAGCCCCATCGGCGCCAGAACCCGCGCCAGCAGATGGCACCGTGGATCGAGACACGATGAATCAAAACGTAACAGGCGGAGTGAGTAGGAGACGGAGTATCAGCAACGCTGCACGTTCGATCGTGAGCAGAATGAGTGACACGTCGAGGGAACGACAAGAACCTGAGTATGAATCAGAAGTCGTCGACCTGCTCGATGTGATTGGTACGTCAAACGGACTGGCTAGACAGAACTGGGCAATACTGATTGCATTTTAGATCCCGAGGTCTCGACGCTGACTACTCTCAACAACGTCCAAAACTCACTCTTTGTGCCAGATCTTGGGAGATGGTTGAACCGAAGACCAACCTATACGCTGAGTCGTCGGCCAACCCAGACCCGGAGGCCCGAGACCATTGAAGAAAAGGAAGTGGGCATGACTCCAGTTACCACCGAGGCGGCACCCATAGAAGGGCCACCCGTGGGAGCCCCAGAGGAGGAAGCGGGTGCCCCTCCCACCATGCAAAGGACCTGGTCATGGCAGCGCAAACCCCAGATTGAGCGTACCCGCAGTATTTCATCGGTTGTCACAGACTCTCACTTCGCCGTATTACCACATGGTGTGTCCCTCGAGGGATGGAGTGACGAGGACAAGGAGGCGCTGGATGATCATGTCAGGCACATGTTGCACTCGAAACGCTCCAAGTTCAAACAGAGAATGGTGGCTTTTGGGAAGTATGTCTCAAAACGTGAGTTGAGGAACCTCTGCGGCTTCTTTACCGGGTGCTGACCATGACAACAGCACTCGGGTTTTTTGTGTTTCTGTATGCAACTCTAATTACTTTGTTTGGTTTGGCCTGGGTTCTTTTCTTGATCGGTAGGGTTGGATGCTTACTCTTGGCATCATCTTGTTGGCTGACAGTGATCCATCAGGTTGGATTTATGTTGGAGACCGACAAGAGTACGACATCAATGTAATCGACAATGTGCTGGTTGCCTTGTTTGCGGTTGTTGGTGATGGTCTGGCACCATTCCGAACTGTCGACACATATCACATGTGCTTTATCGCTCACTATCACCACCTGACTTGGAAGCTCAGACGAGAAAGAGGAATGCCGAAGCTGCGTGACCACAATGACCTCCCTGCTCAAACGGAGAAGGAAGCCGACCCCGAGTCTGTGGTTCCGGAGGACTCGGAGTTCTCGGTTTTGACGCACAAGCAACAGCAAAAGCTCATGCACCATCAAGCAAAGTTCTCCAAGTCGCATTCATTTTATAAGCCTCACGAAACGGGAACTCATTATGCCTTCCCATTACGCTTGCTGGTGGCCATCGTGGTCTTACTGGATTGTCATTCACTTTTCCAGATCGCGCTCGGCACCTGTACTTGGTCGATCAGCTATCACGTCCGACCACAAGCTCTGACGGCGACGATCCTCTCGTGTTCCATCACGTGCAACATCGTGGCGGGTATTTTGATCGCCATCGGTGACCGAAAGACACGCAAGAAGGACGTGGCTTTGAAGATGCAACGACAAGCCTTGACCAAGACAGCCATAAAGAAGGTGGAAAAGCACAAGCGAGAGAGGATGGAAAACGCACTCGAGGATCAAGGGCGAGATATTAATTTTGAAGTCATCGATGAAGAGACTGCTGACCAGGTTAATTCGAGGACTCATTAGGGATGGCTCTCAGACTTGGCAGTCCAAAAGACACAGAAGCATGGCGTTAGGGTGGAAAGGCCTCTCAAACTGGTATTTGCCGGCACGACCCCGAGATGATTAAGCGACTGTGCAACATGGAAGAGGTGTATCTACAAACATGTCAGATTTTGACGACATCTCTGCATATCAGGACCATCATCAGTTTGGATCAAATGTTGATAATGGAAATATTGGATATATTCCTCCTGTGTTGGGACAATTCTTGCGATCTTCCCTTATCATCCCACTCCCTGTGGACGGCTTCTAGTCACCTACGAGTGATCACCTACAAGTCTTTCGCTTCACATTGTTGGTTGATTCCGATGGCGCTATGGGCAACACGTGATACATTACCCTGAAAGCCTTCAAGGTTCCATGTCGTGAATTCGATGGCTTAAGCAAGAATCGGGAGTAAAGTGCCTGCCAAGTCTCTGCAAGGACCTAGAGCCGATGCAAATGGCTCCGCTTCCATATTCGACTTCTACACCCAAGCAGCCAACAGAGTCTCAACGAGGCTTATACAGCAGTTTCCTAGGGACGTTGTGGGGAAAACGGATAGCAATCAAGAATACTGTCTGGCCCCAGAGCGCCGGCATTGTGGTAACTATCGCAGACGGCCCCAGGAATGATCATGTTATCATCGAGCAGAAGTGCGAGGGCGCTTTCAACACGGCCAACTTCACACAGGGTGACACGACGGACGTGAATAAGATCGAGGCCGAAAGAGTACCCCGTAACGTGTATGATGCGGCTTCAGCGGAACTAGAGAGGCTGAATCTACAGGTCCGTTGAGGCTAGGATGGTACCACTGGCTTTCTCAGTTTCTCAGGATACCCAGTCGGTGGCTTGAGACTGTACATGCTGCTACGTAGGAGGAGGTATTAATTATGAATATCTAGCTTACCCCTTTTTGGGACAAGGCGCGCCAGACGACCAAAAAAAATAAAAAGTGCCACAGAAGAAGAATGACCACAATAGACTTAGGTTATAGCTCTCTGTGATTTGTGAATAATAGGTGACTACTGGATGCTTCATTCTCTGAGTCATCTCGATTCTCAAACTTATGGGCCATTCAGCGATATCAATGTTACCTATCGTCGTCTAAGAGAAACTAGGTAGGAATCGACCTCAAAGATCTCTAGTTATGGGGTTGGTGGTGTCTGACGCCTTTCCTGACGCTGTTCAATGTGCCAATTGCGTTTGTCACTTGCTTTGGTATTTTGAAACATGCCATACATGCACACACGCAGATTTTCCGATTTGAGAAGCCATACACACATCCGCCCGGGTTATAAAGGTTTTCGGTTTTCGCGCACGACTGTGCTTTGTGTATGTAATGGAGGAAGACGGGAAGGGTGCCTAGAGGTGGTTTTCGAAACGCGGGATGCAATATCTGTCATCAACGAGGCTGCTCAGCATAAGGATATCAAATATAGAGTTGCTACGGGATTCGCAACATTATATGAGGCTTGTCGATCTTAAATTTTAATTCGATATATATATATATCTTTTCCCGGATTTGGTATCTTCCATTCGTCCTCGTCGTATACATACAAGGAAATACTCCGTGCTCCACACATACAGAGTCCTTGGCTATCGAAGTGAGTGAATAAGAAGGGGATGATGGACATTCATCAATAACCCCATGGTACATACATGGCGCATGTCTCAAATGACATATCACATATTCCATATTCCCATGTTCCAGACCCAATATCTCAGCTCATGGCCTCCTGTCCGATTTCCTCGACAACATACGTACTCATGCACCGCCTGCCTTCCCACCCAACCACATAATTACCTGGCCATCCAAGTACCTAGAGTACTGTACGAGTCCCTTTACCCGCCATATTCAATCTTGAAGCTGGACCGCCTCTCCCTGACCGACGTCTTGGGCAGCGCGATCCGCAGCACCCCGTCCTTGAGCCGCGCCTTCATGTGGTCCAGGTCCACCGTCTGCGGGAAGGTGAAGGAGCGCAGGAACCGGCCCACGTGCCGTTCCTGCAGCAGCGTCGTCGGCGCCGCCCCATCTTCGTCGTCGGCCGACGAGGAGCCCCTACGGTGCAGTTTGTGCGGTTTCCGCTCCACAGTGGTGCTTTTACTGCCTTCGTTGTCGCCGCCGGAACCGCGGAGCTTTTCGCCTTCGGCCGCGGCACCGGCTTCGGTGCGCTCGTGCTCATGGCCGGGGCTGCGGGTTCTCATTTCGATGGGTTTCGGTTTCGCGCCACCTGACTCACCACCACCACCACCACCACCCCCCTCAGCAGTGACGGTGGTGCTCTCGCTGGCGCCTCTTTCCACTTGCGCCTCCTTGCTCGGCCGGAGGCCGAAGGCGTTGCCCCATTCGCCATACAGGCCGAGTGCCGGCGCCTGGGCCTCAACCAGCAGACCCTGCGAGCCCAGTCTCTCGATCTTGATGTCATTTGGGTTGTGAATGCCTGGGAAGTCACCCTCCAAAAAGTACGCTTCGGCTGTCTCCCTGACGGTGAAGTTGGGGAAGACCACGCCCTCCTCAAACACCGAGTGCGGTTGCCGGTGGTGGTGTTTCTGGTTGAAGACAGAGTCGATCTCCCCCCCGCCGAGGTAGTCGAACACCGAGCGTATCGATCCTCGGTGGTACGGCCCATGTGAGTCGAATGTAACATGGGGTGGTTTCAGGACCGTATTCAGGTTCAATGGAGACATCGTGTGCTGTGCTGGCTTTTGTATTCTTGTTGTGTGGTTTGTCGGCAATTAGAGCGTTTGTCTTGTTATTTCTTTCGTTCTTGTTGGGATCTTCCTACTTCTTCCTCCTAGGTGTACTTCTCCGATGTCTAAAGCCACCGGCGATTCATTAAATGAGCCTGAGAAGGCAAGGCCACGCAAGTCGCAGAATGGGTGGATTGTAACTCACTGGCCACTGATCACGTGGCACAGTGGAACTTATTTTGCTCACTCCACCTCGCCTTATCCAACGGTTTTCCTGTTCGTGGTGTTCCGGTAAGACTATTTTGATTGATGACTGTTCGAGAGCGTTCGTGATTTGACCTTTTGATTGTGGTGTGATGGAAAAAGAGGCTCAGACTTAATGTATCTACTTGTAGACAATCGCGTGATCTTGCTGAGTTCTGGGGATCCGCCTGACGGCTAGCGGATCTTTGAGATATTCTCTTAGGCGAAAATGAGAGCGAAAAGAGAATCTCTCTTCGATCAAGACGACATCATGAATGAAACGGCGGCACTGTAACAGGCAGCTCTCTTGGCGCGCAGTCGAGACTTCATGGGGAAAAGCACCCTCCCACGGTGTTGTCGCTCCTGATTCATGTGACAGCCTTTTTTTTGCTGTCCCCGCTTCCCCGACGACGCAACAATGGCATGATTGTCGACCGGTGTGAGTTTGACAAATGAAACCAGCCAATCTTTGCTCGGATTGCCTTCTGGGTACTCGTACTTGGACGTAAACAAACGATGTCTTGCGTGATTGAAAACGGTTTAGGAGACTTCCACCTGATTTGGAAATTCTGGAGGTGGCATCATCATCAGTAGCCGGTCGCATTCGTTCGTCTAGCCCAGAAGCATATCCTTGTTTGGTAAGGATATCACCGAACCAACCTCGTCAGCGGCGCCGATGAACCATGGACCCAGATTGCAATTGTAACAAGTACAGTACTTGTAAGCTTGCCAAGCGGTCGGGCTTTGAGGCCACAACCTGATGGTCGTAAATGTCAAACCCAACCTTTCCCCATGGGACGGGGCGAACCAGCGGGCTGACTTTACAGCACCTGATTGTCGACGGACCGGAACCTTCTACACTTTAGACCCCGCAAGTATAAGAGCCTCCTGGGTGTCTTGTTACTTTCGCCTCGCGTCCAAATCCATCCTCCGTAACCAAAACATCTTCACAATAACCAAGCGAACAAGCAAGAACAATCAGCAATGCCGGAATCAGAGCATAACAACTTACACTCGCTGAAGACCAATGCCGGGACTGCTGTCATGGCCGTGAGCGGTGTCTATGCCGCCAACGAGCTGGGTAAAGCTGTCACCGAGGACTATCCCAAGGACGCCAACGAACACTATGTCAAGGCTGCAGTGGGCGCAGCTGTCGCCGTTGGAGCTTTCCATCTGCTAAAAAAGCAGAAACCAAAACGCCCACGTGAAGAAGGCGAGCTTGAAGAATACACCGACACGAGCGACGACGACGAATATCATCGTCATGAACCTCGGCGTCGGTACTCACATCACGAACACGAACACGAACACGAACACCACCACGAAGCCCCAGGCCACAACAGACGTCTCTTGGAAGAGGCCGTGGGGGCCTACAGTTTGGGCAAAGAACTCTTGGGCGATAGGCGGCATCATGTCATCCACCTCATCACTGAGGCTCTGGGAGCGGTTGCCGCCGTCAAGGACATGAATGACAGGTCTAAACAGGAAGCTCGCGAAAATAGAGAAGCTCTTCGGGAAGATTGATTTGGTCGATGTTATGGGATTGTTCGAGTTTGGGAGAGAAAGATGGAAAGGAGGAGGGTTTGGGAATATGATGACTCGCATCATGCAAATTCTCGGCGTCATTTCAGCAGCTTGTTTCACGTTTTTGAGCGGCAAACAGCACGTTGATGTTTGTAATGACAGCGGACTGCTTATGGTCACGTGTGCATGTCTTGGCATTGGCCACACGTGCAGCCTCGCCGGCAACGACGAAACTTCATCACTTCTTGGATATTCCTTACCATTACTTGGTACGTCTAAACTACAAGTATAGCTACTTGCTTTCTGGCGAAATATGAGGCTCCTGAGAATCTTTTGTGACACTGAAAGTCCAAAGCCATGTTTCAAGAGTGAATAGGTTCAGCACGATTAGTGGTGTGACCGGGAAGTCTAGATTTGCGCATCCTCGTGTCCGCTTCGTCTCGCTCCCCGATCACGACCGAAGGTCTCGTTGTTGTGCTAGGACTTTTTGCCTCCTGTCTCGCTGAACTTGTTGCCTTTTCTCTGGAGAGATCCAGGCGCGTGGAACGACTTCCGCGAAACTCTACAGGTAAATCCCCAGTCGAGGTATCGGCGCAGTCAATCTTTCCAATTTCATGCCATCATCACACATCCCAGGGGGCTTGGAGTTGTCGGGAATATCGCCAAAGGCTTCACTTTGCACGATATCCTTCATCCCAGGCCCAGACAGTCCTGCACTCTGCGGAAATGGAATTTGTCAGATCCCCCGTCTTTGGGAGACTCGGATTCAGCGCCTCCTCGTAGTAATGTGGCTTGCAAGGCACCCTTAAAACTACCGAACGAGCACGAATGTATGGCCATTCATGGAGCAGGTCGAAACTCAAGTGGAGGGTCACACAGCCACTCGAGAACCTCTTGGAGCCGTTAGATGACCTCTCTGCCGCTCCTACTCTCGTCAGTCTCGGGGCCATCTTGGAGCCCCACACTTTCAGAATGAGCAGACATAATCCTTGGACCCTGCCACCACAAGAAGAGCTTAGTCACTATGGACAGAAGGGTTACGATGACCACGCCAAAGAGCAGGGGTGCAAAGGACAGGAAACAAGCATCTGATTTGACGTTAACTGCGTATTCGGATCGGCGAGGTCCTCCCGCGGCCCCAGCTGAATCAACCACGATCCTCAGCGCCGAATTCCAACCTTTCCAACCTCCATTCCTCGGTTTCTGACTTGACGGCATCTGCTGATTTATCTTCACCGTTTCGGAGATCTACAACTTGAACCTTCCCTTTACCAGGTTTCGGCTTCGAGCATTCTTATGACCCCTCTGTGTCAAAGCAGGTCTAGACTAGACAGCAACATCCTGGACATGCTCAGCATAACCCTTCGCTTTGTCCACGCCTTTTGGACTACTACCAAACTCGACGACATGGACATCATCGTCATTCGTCAGGATCTTCTTGTCCATGTTGCGCAAGACATTCTCTCCAAACACCTCAGGCATTGTCTCGAGCGAATGGCCCTTTGTCTCGGGGAAGAAGAAGTACATGGTCAGGACCTCGACAGCCACCCACCCCACATAGACGAAATAATACTTCCAGCCAATCGAGCTCAGCCCAATCGGATTGACGAACTGGTTGAAGAAAAGCGAGGCCTTGGTGGTGAAGACTGAGATGCTGAGACCCATTGCGCGCAGGCGGTATGGCAGAATCTCGGTCGAGTAGAGATAGAGTGTCGGGATGAGGCAGAAGTTGTAACCGGTGTTGAAAATGAAGATGAAGCCCAGAGACGATCGGCCCGCACCTACCGTTTTGCGTTCGTTGTAGAGGGCCACCGAGGTCGCGAAGCCAACGAGCGACAGCCACATAAAGGTGCCGCCGCCGACAAACAGAACCCGACGGCCGACCTTGGTGGCAAAAATGACGGCGCAAAAAGAGGTGGCATAGTTGACGGTAGTGACGATCCCGTTCAGTCGTGTCTGCTCCTGCTGCCCGGTGATGCCAATGCTATCCAGGATCTTGGGAAGATAGTAGGATATCAAACCGGTACCGGACCACTGGCCAAAGACCGCAAGAGATATCAAAATCATGAGCCGTTTCCGGTTCTCGGGTGTCTGAAGAAACAAGCGAAGCCCCTTGTGCTTCATCTGCTTCTCTTGCTGCAACGCTTCGCACATCTCGTGGTACTCGGCAATCGGCAAAGGATGATTTGGGTCGCCACCACCGTGGTGCTTGACCAGAATTGCAAAGGCCTCGTCACCTCGGTCCTTGTAGCACAGCCAACGTGGCGACTCGTCAAGGAACCAAATGGCGCTTGTCTGTATGAGCGCCGGACATGCCTGGAAGAGCGTCGGAAGGCGCCAAGCCCACGAGCTCGGGATATGGACACTCCCGTAGGCAACCCATGCTGCGAGCACGGAGCCAAGGGCAAAGCTGCAGTTGTACATGGCGGAGAAGAAAACCCTGTGGCGCGGGTGGGCGAGCTCTGCGAGAAGGATCGGCGCAGCAGCCAGGGCCAGACTGATGCCAAAGCCGATTACGACACGACCGCCGATGAACAGGCCAATGCTACTGCTAACACACTGCAAGACGACGCCGAGCATCATGATGATGCTGCCGATGAAGATGGACCATCGCCGGCCAAAGCGGTCAGACACGATGGCGGAAAACGGCGTCGACCCTATCGCGCCGAGCGCATATGCCGAGCTCGTTATCCCGAGCAATGGGCCGTTCGGATTCCCAAACTGGTTCTTCCACTTGTCAATGCCTTGAAGGGCGTTGAGGACGGAACCATCAAAGCCGTTCGTGGCGCAGACCACCAGAGTGGCCGGGGCAAGAACGAGGTAGAGCCTGACCAGCGCCGGCGTCAATCCGAGCCCTTTCTGATCCTCTTGTGCGAGAACCTCGGACACCGTCAAGGTTGTAGGTATATCTGAGTCCATTGGAAACTCGGTGAATGACAAGGAAGAAGAGGAGAGGAGAGGGGCTCAAGGGCTCAAGGTGTGAGAAGACAGCGACTGTGTCGAGTCGAGTTATTGTGCGCAAGAAAACCAGACAAAGCTGCCACATTATGTAGAACGAGGTATCCCGTGCTGTACCCGAAGTGTAAGTCACAACGCAATAGCTCCCTGGATAATTAGCAATTGCAATGAGCCATGCATGGGCCTGTCGTCGTAGTGGTATAGTTTAGTTCAAGATCGAGTGAATATAGCCACCAAGCCAGAAAGAAACCCCCTCCACACAACGATCTGCAAGCCCTGTGACCCCGTATCTTTCTGCTGGCGTCCCCCCCCCCCCCCCCCCCACCTTCTTGCCTTTCCCCATGGGGAGGGAGAGTGAATGAAACGGACAGAGACCGGCGGTGCGCCGAGTAGCTGATTGAATTTGAGTTGAGAGAGTCGTCCGCCATCAGGGCGGAGAGAATTCCTCGGTAGAGAACTCCTTGTCCCTTGCTTTAATTTGGGGAAGACGATCATCCCTTCTCCTATCCCATAAGTGCTGAAGCTTTTAAGGCTCCTGGCGAATCGGTTCGCGCAGGGCCTGCTGGTTGGTTGGTGAGTTAGTGAGCTGGTTAGTCTCCCTGGACGACGACAAGGTGATTGATCGACGACAACCATGATGATATGCTGTGAGTTAGTTTGGCCCCCGCCACCGCGTTGCTGGAGTCTCCGCAGCCTTGGGCCGAGTAGCCGGCCGGGCATGGTCGATCCTGATGCTGATGGTGATGTTGAAGACTACCATGGGGAACGACCTGAAATTTGCCTATAGGCTGGCTGGGAATACTTGCACGACTTGTTTAGCCGATGGCCTGACCAACCTAGCGCAGAGGGTCGGTAATTGAGTTCGCTGGTGGGCGAGCGACATGGCTCACGTGTAGTGACTGAGCCATTTCTTGCCTGGGGAGAGGTTGAGTGACGAACGAGCGAGTTAGCTAGATGCGAGTCCATCACCATTCCCCCAGAAAGGGAAAAAGAAGCAGAAAGTTGAAGCTTTTTTTTTAAGCAAGTCAGCTAATAGCTGGAGCTAGATTTCAAGGGCTTGATTGTATCTTAGGCTAAATAGTTGTGGTAGGGCGTTGATATTTGCCTTGAGATCCGGAGAATCAACTCCGGACCCCGGAGCCTGTGCCGAGCCTTTGGCCCAGATTACCGGGTACCGGTTCCGTCTCGCCGCTTTGACTCGGCCTGTCTCATGTTGGCTCGGCTCACCTGCTGTTCTTCGTACTGGCCAAGACTGCTACTACAGTAGTGTAAACAAAACCCCACCCCCTCACTTTTAGTCACCACCGCAGGCGTCACGACGCTTAGTTAGAGGCCAGCGAGGCTGGCGAGGCTGGCGAGACTGCGCATCTCTCTGATCATTCATCCTTCACCCCTGCATTCCTCCTTTACACCACTATATCGAAACCATGAGCTCCCTTCCACCACCTCCCCAGAAGGCACCTTTGATCTTTGCCATGCTGCCTGCCTCTGGATGTCCTCTTGAACATTACCTCGTTCTTACCAGGAGAATCCACCGCGTGCCTTAGCCTGACTTCAAATACACCTACTCAGCTTTAAGGCACAAATCCACGATATTAATTCTTGTCTTAATGGGGAAAGGCGCGTTTTCTCCTCCTCCTCGAAAAGATTGCCCCGATTTCATGTTGTGTCATTGCGCCGAGAAGTTGTCTTAGTGCTCCAAGCGAACGGGCACTGAGTGATCGCATCAATACAATGTCTCGCAGAAACCGTATTCTTGTGTGCTATTCTTTGCAGCACCAAACAACGACCGCATCATATTTGCCGCTATGTTGTCCATGCTTACCTAAAAGGACATGAAAAGGGCTAAGTGTCGTCCACAGCTTTCCGAACTTGTGCACGAGTGCAATAAATTCATCAGACCGGCCAACGGCCTGGGCTTGCAGAACTCTGAGAATGATATCGACGACCGTGGAACCTCGGATAGTTGGGGGAAAGTTCATGCTCCACTTCGTGTATCGGCGATCCATTTCCTAGGCTGCAATTTTTGTTCGATTGTGCCGAATGTTGTGAGATTCAAGCATGTGCTGAGTGACTCTTTCCTGGAGGACAGAAACGAAGTTTTGACGCGAATGATGCATTCGGTCGCAGTGGTTGAGGTCATTCATTCCACAGCCTCCCTGCGAGTTGGGATTTTTCTCGAAAATGAAGGCTCTATTTGCATTCGAGTGTACCCATGGCACTGTTTGAAGAACCGAGTCCCGGACATGTATGATGATCCATTGGGGGCAGACCATGTTTGACTCGTAGAAATATGTGCCATCAAATCGATATACCAGTCCGAGCTGAAACCTTTGAAGGATTGTTCAACGAGAGCAGGAAACGTTGGAAGATACCAGGTCAAAAAAGGCATAGTGGTTGCTCGGATTAAAGCAGCAAGGCGCTCAGGTCTGCAGACGGAATGGGCTCTGGCGAGGTGAAGTTTCAGTGCTGGATCATCGTGGTCTGTATTGTTCGGAGAGTCGCCGTCGGTATCAGTCGCCGTTGCTGTCCCGGGTATATGTGATGTGTGGTATGAGGGCTAGCCGCGTGTATGTAGGGTAGACATGGCGAGGATGGACACTTCGAGCCGACTGAAGCGGGGTCGGTGATAACCGCGTTGGAGTCACAGTTTACAGTCGTGGGTTGAATCGTAGATCGAAGACACAATTTGGGGGGAGTGACTCATGTACTGCGTATACATGAGGGGGAAAGATACCTGGTATATCAATGACATGATGATGTCCTTACGATCGCTATACAACTACACCACACTCATTCTACTAGTCTAGGGAATACGAACACGTGAACCAACTAAGTTGCCAGCTATGGTCCTTCAAACATCCCACGGTCAATACCCGCCCTTCGCCGAAGGCCTGCCAACCGCACCGCTGGTTTCGATTTCTCTGCGCAAGCTCGAAGCCAACGACGATGGGGAGTCGCACAGCTTCTTCACGGCCTCGAAGGAACTGGGCTTCTTCTACCTGGACATGGAAGGGTCTGCGCTGGGCGAGAAGATCGTGGCCCAGGCCGAGCAGCTGCACGCCGTGCAGAAGCAGTTTCACGCCCTTCCGAACGAGGAAAAGGAGAGATTTTTGAGGGAGAAGCTCGACCCATTTTTCGGATACCGCATCCTGGGAACCAGGGAGATGGAGGACGGGACGGTGGTGAGGAACGAGAACTATAATGTATGTGTCCAATCCAATCCCAATCCCGATCCATCAACCTGGCTCCGCTCCTTTGGGAAGATGATAATGATATTTGCTCTTGGAGAGGGGGGGGGGGAAGAGGACTTGAAATTTTGCCGACTGACTGACTTGTTCATTCTCGACACAAGATGCGCAAAGATGACTTGATCGGCAACTGCAAACCACTTCCGTGCCCGGACCTCATCAGGCAGAACTGGCAGCTGTTGGGCGACTACGCCCGCAACTGCCGCGCCGCCATCGACCTGATGTTCACGCACCTCGAGAAGAACCTGGAGCTCCCGATCGGGACCTTGGCCAAGCTGCACCGCATCGAGGAGCGGTCGGGCGACCACGTGCGCTTCAACAAGTCTGCGCCGGGCAAATTCGACGAGCAGAAGGCCCGGCTGGGCGAGCACACCGACTTTGGCTCCCTGACCATCCTCTTCAACTGGATGGGCGGGCTGCAGATCCGCATGCCCGAGACCAACGAATGGGTCTACGTGCGTCCCGTGCCTGGCTCCGCGGTGGTGAACCTCGGCGATGCCCTGGTCAAGTTCACGGCCGGCTTGCTGCGGTCCAACGTCCATCGCGTGGTGCCGCCGATGCCGCCGCAGGACGGGCGCGACCGGCACAGCCTGGTGTTTTTCTCGCGGCCCGAGGACGCCGTCGTCCTGCGCCGGCTCAAGGGCGGCCTCATCGACAAGCAGCCACAGACCCAGAAGGAAGAGATGGAGTTGACCAGCGAGGAGTGGATTCTTCGACGGAGCGTCGGAGATCTGAAGGGCGTCTATACCCACAAAGGCGGTCTGGAGCTGCGTTTTCCTTTGGTAGAAGGGAAAGCATGAGCCGTCGCAGAGTTTGTCTTTTCTTCGGAAGGTTGTGATGTAGTAGGTAGCAAAGGTATAGTTAGCTAAAGGCGGGTGGGCAGGCAGGCAGGCAGACGTCATGGTGGAAAAAGAACCCTGATACGAAAGATCTCGACATCAAAACCATCCATTTATCTTCTAGTGCTGAGATTCTCTTTAGAAAACGCTCACGTCCCATTCACCGGCCTGTCTGGGCCCCGGGAGCGTGCTCTTCCCTCTCGCGACGAACTTACCGTACCCTTTCTTGCCGAGCAGCCCACCACCATCTCTGTCCCACACAACCTCACCTCTGAGAATGGTGTACCTTGGCCACTGATTGAGCTCCATCCCCTCGAAGGGGGTATAGTCCACATTGTGATGGAGCATGGAATTAGTGAGTTTGAACGTCCCCAACTTGCCTGGTGGATACCAGATTGTGAGGTCTGCATCGCTGACGCCTGGTAAAATTGTGCCTTTTTGTGGATACAATCCGTACAGGCGAGCTGCATTTGTGCTGGTCACTTCCACGAATTTTTGCAGCGGCAGTCTGTTCGCGCTCAGCGTCAGTGCAAGGCGGGTCTCGATCCCGGGGCACCCATTGGGAATGCCACTGAATCGGCCCTCGGGGTACTCCTCGCTGATGATGGATTTCTTGCCCTTCTCATAGTCTTCGTACATGAAGGGGCAGTGGTCGGAGGAGAGCACTGTGAATGTACCGTTGGCGAGACCTATCCAGATGGCGTCGTGGTCATGGGCAGACTCGCGAGGCGGAGGGGAACAGACGCACTTTGCGCCCTCGAAGCCTGGTTTATCCAGGTCCGCCTGGGTCAGGAAGAGATATTGTGGGCATGTCTCGGCGTATACGGGAAGTCCACGAGTCTGGGCGTTACGAAGGTGGGCTGCGGCGCTGGGGGACGAGACATGCACAACAAGGCTGGATAGATGTGGCGATCAGCTCACATCTCTACCATGTAAAACGGGGGAAAGCCAACAATGGCGACTTACATCGGCGCGTCCATCAGCTCGGCTAGCGCAATCGCCCGATTTGTCGCCTCCGTCTCCACGATCTGTGGTCTAGACGTGGCGTGGTACTTTGGAGCATACAGCTTCCTCTCCTCCAACTTCTTGGTCATCCAAGTCAACACATCTCCGTTCTCTGCATGAATCATGGTTGTGATCCCTTCCTTTCTCGACGCCAGCAACACGTCGAGGATCTGGTCGTCTCGCAGTTGCAGGGCCGCGTAGGTCATGTATATCTTGAGCGAGGAGATGCCGAGTTCGCGCAGACGTGGGAATTCTGACAGAGCCTGTTCTCCCGGGTGGCCGACGAGCATGTGGAATGAGTAATCAGTGTAGCAGTTGTCTTTGGCTCGTGCCTGAGTATCTTCAAGGACCTGGAGGAGCGAGGGTATGGTTTTGGCCTGAGGTGCAAATGCCCTGAGAGGTGGGGGTCAGTGTTCGCTTGTTTGGTGGTATGCCACAAGTCATTTGGGATTTCGACGTACACAATCGTCGTGGTCCCTCCACAGATGCTGCTCCTCGTGCCCGTCTCAAAGTTATCCGAGCTTCTGCCCTTGCCGCCGAACAGCGCAGGCTCTTCGAGATGCACATGGCAATCAATGCCACCGGGCTATGACCCAGATGTTTTCAGCATGCAGTCGTCAACCACCCAACAGAACTCGACCAGAGTCATACCATCACATAGCCACCTTCGGCATCAATCACCCTCTTCGCACTACTGGTGCCCAGTACGCCCGGAGGAGCCAGTAGCGCGATCTTCCCATCCTTGATAGCGATGTCGTAGTTCGCGGTGTCGGAGGCGGTCACCACGAGCCCATTGATGACGAGAAGGTCGAAGCCGTCCATAGTGGAACTGCAGTACCGTGGCAGCAGAGCCTGCGAGTTTGAAGATATGGATGCATGGTGGCAGCACCCCCTCCTTGATTGCACAAGCCCAATGGTTTCACGGTCTGCTCGGTGCTTGTGCCGGGGGCTTGAACTGACTCTTTCTGGGGAAGCGGCCAAGCTTCAACTGCGCCTCTGATAAGCAACCTCGCGCATCTCCGCGTGTGCCAGAAGAGGATTAGCGTCGATGGTGACGTTCTCCAGCTTCTCCGCAGCGGTCAACGCCGCTTCGCTTCACCTTCCCTAAACTCCCTAGTAACCACCTACTATTTTCGTTCATTAATAGTAGATTCAACACCATGTTTCCCAAATCTGATATGGCTCAGGTGTTGGGTAATATGGCCTTGAGTGCCAATCTATCTATCGGTAAAGCAGTCCACCCAGGTACGCATCAATCTCGTCCACAAGGCTTTTCGATCCGAGGCCGAATCTGGCACCAATCCACCCGTCAGGCCTCACCACGAAAACTGCCCCGGACTCAACCTCCACGCCATACCTCTGGTAGGCATTGCTGCCATCACCATCGTAATACACTCTCCCCAATGGATCAGTCCCCAGTTCGAACCAGGCATTGCCGACTTTCTCTGGCAAGATGGTAAGAAAGTCCACGGGCCATTTTTGGGGTTGGGAGGTTGAGGATCCGTTGAGGTGAACCCCATTTGTCTCTGCTGCAGTTCCTGGCACCCTTTCGAGCTTCAGGTGTTGGTTCTTTTGTACGTCTTCCTTCATCTGGCCGAATGAACTCTTTGCTTCAGCCGATTTTCCAATGAAGATGAGAACAGAAAATCTCGCCAGGTTTGCCATCAGAGTGTGCAGCCAAACCGGTTCCCACAATGCGGGTGTCAAGACTTGAACATCTGGCGCTCGGTAACCTGCTATCGCTGGTGCCGGGATGATCGTTCGCTTGGCCACCAGCTCAGCATCCTCTGTGCTATCATCCCTGGAAACAGCAATGTTCGGTTCGAAGCCAATGGTCAAGCCAGTGTTGAATCCTTTGGCTTCCTGCAATATCCTCCCCAAAACGACGTTTGGATCCTCAGTTTTATCCCCCTGCCAATCCTTTGGCAGTCTCCCAGAGACCAGCACACTGATATCCTCGTCATACTTGATGAGTTTCCTTGCATTCGGTCTTCTTTCCAACTCATAAGTCTCCAGGACCTCCCTCTTCAGCACACCCGTCAACACAAGCGCAAGCTTCCAGCCAAGGTTGACCGCATCGTGCATGCCAGCGTTCATCCCCTGGCCGGCTCCTGAACTGTGACTGTGGGCCGCGTCACCGGCAATAAAGACTGACTCCTTGGCCCAGAAATTTCTCGCGACACGCTGCCCAACGCTGTATACGCTCGCCCAATCCACTCTCTCGTATTCAATGTCGAAGGGCTTGACGGACAGTTTCGCTTCCTGGATAAAAACTTCTTGATTGAGCTCCTTATACAGCTTTTGTCGCTCGTCATTCAACGCAAAGCCGATCCTCGTGGCGCCATGATCGAGCGGGATCCAGAGGACATTGCCGTACAGCGGACTCTCGATTGCGCCATAGGACCTGGGTTTCGGCATCGTCGTGCTTTTCAACACCCCGTCAATTCTCACCCATTTGTCTTCCGTGCGATCTCCATCAGATTCAATCCCTGCGGCACCACGCACCAGCGTCCTTGATCCATCACAGCCGATCAAATACCGACAGTTGACGGTATATTCCCTCTCTTGCCCCTCACCTGCACTCCGATCCAGGATCCTTGCCTTCACCCTTCCCTTCCCGCCAACCTCGACTGATTCGTCCACCGTCAGATCGACAAACTTGCAACTCTCCGCCACGTTGACGCCCAACTTGGCCAATTCGGCGCGGAAAATGTCCTCGACGAACTTCTGCCGGAGGACGCTCGCAAACGTGAAGCGCGTGTCCTCGAGGCCCTCGACAAAACTCCATCCTCGCCCAAACACCTCTGTGCCGGACGTGTCGTACGCGGCGCTCGATCGCACGGCGACGCACTGCTGCGTGATCTGCTCGGCGAGCCCCATCTGCGCGAGGATTTCCATGGATCGCGGCCAGAAGGTCACGGCGCGCCCGAAATTTTCCTGCACGGGCTTGGGATGCATCTCGACGACGTGCACGGAAATCGGCTCCGCGGAGGGGTTGGGATTGACTGGAGGCGACGAGAACCGCCGTAGTTGGTAGGCCAGGTTGAGGCCCACGGGTCCGCCGCCGACGATGAGCACGTCCACGTCGACGTCGGCCACCGCCGAGGTAGTTAGCGAGGCTGCCATTTGGATCGGATCGGATCTGGGTTGTGGTCCTGTCTTCTCCTTTTCCCTCCCCTTTCCCTTCGCTCTTCGGTTCTATTTCTCTGTCTTGCAGATAGACCCTTCCTGTATATTTCGTAGGCTATCTATCACCTATCGGCCCAGGCCGGTATCGGTCGCGCGCAGGCCCAACTTGCCCTCTTTCTGTGTTTTGGCTCCTTTCTTCTCTCCCTATATCTTTAATTCTCAAGTGGGAAAAAAGGATATTCTAAAGTTCTAGGCGTAACGCAGAAAAAATAGAGGATGAACTATCGAAAAACAAACCAGAAAAACCAGTACACATAGACGTAAACATATGACATGCCCTTTGCTTTTTCCTTCTCCTTCTTATTCGGCTCTCTACTTGGTAACTACATAAGTAATCCATGGCCCCCGACAATCTCCTAGCCGCGCACACTCGGTGCCTTATCACCAACCGCAAGGCTGAAGTGGAATGATAAGCGACGTTGTTCTCCGCGCCAGGGAACTCACAAAGTACGAAGGTGTGTTGTCGAGCAAAACGCCGATATCCGCGCCTGTGAAGCGAGTTCAAGTCCATGTCCGTGTGTTTAGGAATGCTGAAACGAGGTGTGACAAAGGAGTATGTACATGCGAGACCTCCAAGAATAGTTCTCATGACCAATGTGCGCAACGAGAATATTGGGGTGTACCCTCGTAGCGAGTGATGAGAATGCAGAGGAGTCATGCTGTCTTTAGGCCCCTTGGTCTTCAGTTCAGCCCTTTGTCCCTCTGTCAGCCTGTCCTCCCATCAAGTGCTGGTAGGTTTTGGAGTGATGGAGGGGAACTAACGCAATTGTAGATCCTCTGCTCTGTGAGCCTCCCATCTTTGAAATCGAAAAATATGGCAACCCGTATCTTCATCTGCATCCCTTCTTTCAGCGCCGGCCGCTGATTTTTTTTTGCCACAGTGGCTGTCCAGAGTATTTCCATTGCGACCTTTGCCTTGACGGTCATCCGCAGGGGATCGGAGTTGTTTGCTCTAGAGATCCCAGGAGCTTGAGGCTGATTTTGACCGGCAGACATTGGTGGGATATATACAGAATGGACCAGAGGATCCATGTCTCCCAGAACTTCCTATTTGATGTTTTTAAAGAACTCATTGAATAGCGGTGAAGCCACGCAAAGAGCGGTCATACTATTTCTCCGGCGTGGAAAATCAGATACGTGGCGTCTGGGTGGACATAGGTTGCGTAAAAAGAAGGATACTTTGCTGAATCTAGACCCGACGCAAATTGACCATGGGAGAAGCAGACGGGGAGGATCAAGTTGACAAATGTGATATAGTATTGCCTCTCCCATATAGTGTAGGGACGTTGAGATCTTGCAGTGGCCATGGCAAAGTGTCTTGGACCTAGCGATCTTGACCGGTGGCCCTTATGAAGTGTCTGCGAGCTCCTGAATCTTCAAAGTTTGATAAAGATCGATACGGCCGCTTAAGAGATCTTGAGAACGACGATCAGATGGTGTAAGATATCGAGATATTGCAATACTGTTACAAGCTGAACAGGTGGATTTGGTGAGGGAAAGTTGAAGTTTTGCTGAAGTGCTCGGTGCCCGCCTCACCCACATTCTAGGAGTTGGGAAAGCGCGTCCAGAGCCACCACTCCAGGGACATGACACGGCAAGGGCATCCAAGACACCATCACGAAGCGCGTCTTGTACCACGCATTTACCTCAGCGAGTCAGCTGGGCTGAGGTTGTGTGGGCTGGTCGACTCTTATTCATGGTGCTCAGTCTGGTCGTAAACACTGGTCAAGACACCAAAGATAGGGCGAACGGAGTAGGAACAATGAAACAGTCAAAAGCGAGACTTGTTGTATACTTGCAAGCCAACGGTAGCAGTCTGAATACATCATAAAGCCTGGTGGTTATATATCTGGGGGCGATGGACCTGACACAACATTCTGGTGAGCAGTGTATTGCCGACAACGTCCTTGGTGATAATTGACAACACCAAAGCATGGACCCAATTCAAGACACTATTCCTTCAAAGGCTTATGGCTGGCCTTGCATGTTCTGAATAGAGGAAGCTGTCCATATCTAGAATAGTCAGTTAGGTTTTCCATCTCATCAAATCGTAGCAATGAAGATGCTGTTCTGCACAAAGCCTGAAAGCTGTTCCGAGTCCACTTCCCGCCCTGGGATTTAGGTAGACATGAAGTAGGATCCCCTGGTTCAATGAGTTCTCAGCTCTCCTCGGTGTAGTAATCCTTCGTTCGTTCAGCCGCCGCAGCCATAACCTCCTGAATCACACTCTCGTCGTATCTGGGAATGAGCTTGACCTTGAAATCTCTGGGGATAGCCACGAGGGCAGACTTGAACTGGTTGTAGTCAACATAGTCCGTGTTCGGAGGCTCTGTTTCACTTGCCACGATCTTGTAGCACACCAGCAACCGAATGAGCGCAGTGTACAAGAGTCGGCTGGCTATGAATTGACCTGAGCAGGCTCTGGACCCGGCGCCGAAAGAGAAATGCTGGATACCCTGACTGGGCTTTTCCTCAGGCACCGTTGCCGATGGTAGCGTCACATATTCATCGTTCAACCATCGATCCGGGTTGAATACTGCGGCATCCGGACCGAAGTGTTCAACGTCGTGGTTGGCCGCTTGAGCGTTGATGAGGATCATGGTCTTGGGCGGGATTTTGGCGCCATTCCAGTCAATTTCGGTAACGGTCTTGCGGGGGAGGGACATGGCGCTGACAGTGTAATACCGAGCAGCTTCCTTGATGATGGCATTGACATATGGGACCTTCTCTTCCTGGAAGCTGTTTGACCACACAGATGCCGGATCTGGATAGTATCGCATTATATCCTCATAAGCGCGCTCTTGGAATATCTGGCCTTCCTTCGTGGCAAGAGAGCCAATGCAGGAAGTCAAGGTGCCTGGGATTGTTTCGAAGCCACCTGACACCAGAGAAAGACAAATCGACGAGACTTCGACACCGGTCAGCTTGGTCTCTTCGTCCTTCAGAATGGCGGCGCTGATGCAAGGCTTATCAGTGCCTTTCTTGATCATATCTCGGACCTTGTTGAGGAGAAAGTTCAGATAGCGATCACGGCGATCACGTAGCTCCTTTGACCGACGGATCTTTTCGTTGTTGGGGAAGTAGCGCATGATCGGAACGTAGTCTTGGTAATTTTCCGAAGCTGAACGCAGGAGGGAGATTGCCGATCCGACGTGTAGGATTTCTCTAAGCATATCGTCGTAGACATTGTCCATTCGGATGCCATAGCAAAGAGTCAATGTTGTGTTGAGGGCATATCGCTGAATGTATGGTCGGACGCCGATCTCAAGTTCGCCGTTCTTGCTGTCGCGAAAGAGGTCACGGACAATGCAATAGGACTCCAAGTCGAACATATCGAAGTATCCCCTCATCGCAGGACGGCCAAGAGCCAGACCAGCAGCTTTCCGCTTGTTTTTGCAGGACGCGTCCCAGGGGCTGGAGCCGATCGTGAATCCTTGCGTGGTGGATATAACACCGTGAAATGTGTATAACGTGGGTCTGTCGATAACAGCTGTCTGATGGCCAACGAGCATCTGCCTGGCATCTTCGAAAGAATTTACAACAACGGCTCGAGTGTTGCCTAGGCGGATTTGGAAGACAGATTGTCGATACTTCCGCCACCACCCTTCGCAGACCGTTGCGTGGTCGGGCCCCAGTTGCTGGAGATGCCCAAGTATCGGCAGAGCACCGGGAATCTCTGGGATACCTTTGATCTTTGGGATGTCGGTGGCGGTTGACCACTAGTAACGTTAGCCTTGGAAGAAAAGAAAGATCCGGACGCTGACCTTATAGAGCCCAACAAGGATCAAAAGCCCCGCGACGATCCAGATAGCGTAGTCGTGATTGATAGCTTGAAAAAGCCCAGCTACCGAAGTTGCCATTTTTGCCCCAGTATCTCAAGCAAATTTCGAAGCCTTGACCTCCCAAGATTCGACGTTATGCTTCTGAAATAAAGGGAAAGAAGCTCGGGAACCAAAAGCAAATTTTATATCACTGAGATTCTCGGTTGTGAAAGAAAACGTCGATCAAGTATGGAGAAGCGAGCTTGCGGACTTGTGCGAGCAGGAGCACGAAAGGACGGAGAAGAACGGCCAGCCGTGTTTATGGCGGCAAGAGCCGCAGTGGAGGGTTTGCTGTCATGCATTTTAGACCATCGAGGACCTTCGAAACCTATTTCATCGTCGGTTAAGAATGTCCTCTCTTTCTGTGACTGATCTATTCGGCGTCAGTGGGCGAGTTGCCCTGGTGTCCGGGGGATGCTCGGGCCTTGGTTTAATGATCGCAAAGGTAAGCGGGATGCATCCCGCACCTAGGTTGAGAAGACTCGGATCTTGACGCGAAATAGGGTCTGGTCTCGAATGGTGCAAAGGTATATGTCACTGCACTACCGACAGATGACATTGAAGCAGTGGTGACTGAGCTCAATGACATGGGACTGCCATCTGGGGGCAAGGCTATTGGGTATTCGTCCAGCCATGCCTGGCATTGCAATTGGTTGACTGACGAACAACGAATGCACAGATTTGCGAGCGATCTGTCTTCAAAAGGAGGCATTGCTGCTGTTGCAAGAGAACTCGAGAAACACGAGACTCACCTGGACATTCTTTGTTCAAACGCTGGGATCAGAAGAGACCCGCCAAAGATGTGCAACGTCAAAACTGCGTCGCTGGACGAATTGCAAGAGTCTCTGTGGTCTTCGCGGCATTCGGATTGGGACGACACTTTCCGTGTCAATGTTACGGCCCACTACTTTTTGTCGGTTGCACTGCTGAAGCTGTTGGTGGCAGCGAGCGATCTTGATCTTGGAAATGGCCGGAAGGGTCGAGACGAGGGCCGAGGGGTGATGATCATTACCAGTAGCTGTGCCAGTATGCATAATTGCACAAATGTCGATTTGACCAGCTATGCGGCAAGCAAAGCGGCGATTGACCACTTGGTTGCTCTGTTGGCGAGCAAGTTCGCAAGATGTGAGTGTCGTCGTTTAACTTCGCAGGTCCAAGAACCGAGAGTGGTGCTGATTACGTTGACGGTCCAGGGTACGTCAGAGTCAATGCCATCAACCCAGGCTGTAAGCGAGCCCGACAGACATGCGCTAGCATATGGCTGAATTGAGTCACAGTTGTTCCTAGTAGAATGAACCCGGTTGAAGAAGGCGACAATCAATTTGCAGAGCTCTTCAGGGCAATGCCAGCAGCAAGGATTGGAAAGATGGAGGATATTGCAGGAGCAGTGCTATATTTGAGCAGCCAAGCAGGGGTAAGTTGACCGGTGCTCCCCATTGAAAAGGGGAGGTGTGCTAAATCACCGACCATCAGGCTTATGTTGATGGGAGATGCCTCTGTGTCGATGGCGGACGAGTTCTTCTCGCAAACGGACAATAAGGAACGGTAACATCTGGAGTCTTGAGAGGTCAGAAAAGAGGGAACTTGACAGAAGCAGGAGTCGGTGAATCTCCTGGCCTTTTTGATAGAACTCTTGGTCCAAACCAGGAATAGCGCGACATGTCTTGGCTTTCAAACCCAAAATTGGAAGGAGAGATTTTTCGCTGTTTATGGTAGCGGACGTCATTCACAGTCACGGGACTAGCTGTCACGGGATCATTGCCAGGCCCACGGGGAAAAGCTTGGCGCGCGGCATAGGACGAACATGATGGAGTTGGACGGAGCAACTCTTACTTGATGCCAGAGCCAGCCCCCTGCATGGCCGCTAGAAAGTACTGGGTACTCGTACAATTACCCAGTCAAGCCCGGTACAGGAGAACACATTGCCACCGAGCATGCGACGTCAATCTTCCGGGGCGCCCTCGCCTATTTCCAAACACTTACGGTACCTAGTACCCACTACCGCTTTTCTGACTTTGGCATTTTCCCTGCCACGGCCGTCGCGCGTCTGCCTATGCTCCTGTGCCGCTCTTGGATTGCTCCATCTATCGAATGTCAGCCTCGCTCGTATATATTTCCTGCAGCCTTAACACTTCGGCCACATAGAAGGCACATTGGCTCGGCATGAGACCGAACTTCATGTCTCAATGCGGGACGTGGACGCGGGTGGCCGGGAGATCTGACGACCTTATTGCACTGCCGAGGTGCTTGTAATCATTATCTCCAATCACCTGAGCAGTGTCAGTTCTGGGGCCTTTTGTGCAACTTGCGCTGGCTTCCTAGTGGTTGAGATATATCTGCGATCTACGTCCTTCCTTCGTTCCACAGCATGCGTCTCCATATTGGCTGTTCTTGTACATTCTTTGATGATCACTTGTGCACCTTCCCCTTGAGTCGTAGGTTGGTGCCTTTTCCCCGTCAACGTTGCATTGCCATATATCATGGCCAACAAGCTTCTGGAGCTTCCCGATAACAACTTCCAGGCGCTGCCGTCAAGGTATCATCTCTTCCACATGCGGGGTTAGAATAGCTTCCGGATGCTGGAGCTGTAGTGTTCAGCGGCAAAAAAAAACAAACAAAACAAAACAGGTTGGTCGCACGAGAGAGCTGTGGGCGGGAAATAGGCCCTCTCCCGTCGTTGTTGTCCTGTTTTCCTACTTCCCTGCTCCTGCCTCTCTTGCTTGCTCAACGTGGTCTTCATTCTTGCGAAATGAGAAACTTATATACAATCCTTGCGGCCACCTTCTATGGGCTGATACAGGCAAAGTAGGCGGCCCAGGCATCATCCACACATTCACTGACATTACGCAGGAATCTGGCGCCTGCCCCTCACATGCTGATCGCAAGGCAGGATGTTGACCCAACGGAGCTGTATCCTGCACATTACATCTCTATGCCGGTGGATCATTTCCACAACGAATCCCGATATGAACCACATTCAAATAAAACATTCAATCTTCGGTACTATTTTGATGCAACATACTACAAACCTGGAGGCCCTGTGATAGTCCTGCAGAGCGGGGAAGCAGATGCCAGCACGCGTCTACCATACCTTCAGAAAGGAATTGTCTACCAGCTAGCAACGGCTCTTAACGGCATTGGCGTGGTCTTGGAGCACAGATATTATGGAAAGAGTTTCCCTACACCTGACCTGTCGACCGAAAACCTACGGTTTTTATCCACCGACCAGGCAGTGGCTGATCAAGCATACTTTGCGTCACATGTCGTCTTTCCGGGACTGGAGCACGTAAATTTGACAGCTCCGGGCACGCCTTATCTAGCTTATGGCGGCTCTTATTCTGGAGGCGTTGTCGCATTCTTGCGTAAGTTATATCCTGAGATCTACTGGGGCGCAATTTCATCATCGGGAGTCACGGAGGCGATTTATGACTACTGGGAGTATTATGAACCCGTTCGCCAATATGGTCCACCGGCATGTATCGCAAACCAAGTCAAGTTGATCAACATTATGGATAACATCCTCCTGAAGAATGATGCGAAGACCGTGGCACAGCTCAAGAAGGGTTTCGGCATGCAGACCCTAACGCATAGCGACGATCTTGCAAACCTTGCATCGGGTGGAATTGGCTGGTGGCAGTCAAGAAACTGGGACCCGGCCGTTAACAGTCCGGAATTCAGCTACTACTGCGGAAACATCAGCTCTGACACTCTTCTTTGGCCCAGCTATGCCAGCATGAAGGCCAACGCTACATCACTCATAAGTGCAGGCGGATGGGGAAATGAAAGCGCACAACTGCTGAACCCTATGCTCAATTGGATGGCATGGACTAACAACAGTTACGTCGGATCGTGCGACGCCTCGCTTGATGAATGCTACAACAATCACAACGCGTCAGCACCCATGTATACCGACAAGAACATCACAAATTATAATGCACTGTCATGGGCGTATCAGTACTGTACAGAGTGGGGTTACATTCAAGACGGATCAAGTGTTCCAGACGATGAACTTCCTCTCATATCTCGTCTGCTGACCATCAAATATTTGACCCAAGTTTGCCGATATGCCTTTAACATTACAACGCCGCCGAACGTCAATGCTGTCAATAAGTACGGAGGCTTCAACATCTCCTATCCGAGACTTGCGACTATAGGAGGTCAAGCCGACCCCTGGCGTCCCGCTACAGCGTTGGCGACGCTGGCTGAACCTGATGTACTCAACCAAACAAGCACGCCAAGCGAGCCCGTTATTCTCATTCAAGGGGCAGTGCATCATTGGGACGAAAATGGATTGGTAAGTCTTTTCCGAAAGCAATGCTGACCGAAACGTCGGTGTAGTACTTTTTCCATCGAGGCCATGACGCTGACTTTCTGTATTTTGAAGTTTCCGAATGAGACAACGTCAAATCTGCCACCAGCCCCTGTGGCCAACGCCCAGAGGCAAATCGTAGAGGCGGCCCAAGGATGGATCGCAGAGTGGGAGGCATCAGGCCTCTGAGTACTCCGTACTCCGCAGGATCTACATGCTTCTCACCGAAAGCATTGGTGGATGAGTTTGGGTGGGGAGCGTGATATGCAGTAGTCCCAAAGCCTGTGAAGCTGATGAGATTGTTCTCTTCGAGGCAACCTGCAAGGAACATACGTGTTAAGGACAGTTAAGAAACTGTGGAACTTTCATAGCCAGGTATGCGACTTGTGCAGCTTTTCACAAGAGCTTCTGAAGGAACCTCGAACTTCACGATGCTGCTCAAGCGATCGACGAGGACATGACGCCAGGGACGTCAAGGTAAGACAGTGTATTTATATACGGAGTAGTGGATGCGCCGGTCTGAACAAGCGAGAGCGACTGAACAGATTAGCGGTGTAGCGATCTCCATTCTAAACCACGTACTAAATGTACTAGGCTCGCCTAGACCCCGTCGGTGAGAATGGATGTTGTCCGCTCATGTACGACTGCTGCACCAATTTTAGTTGAAGCTTGTGGTACCCAGTACTGTACCCTATACCCAGGTAGGTAGGGTAGAAGCAGGTATTACTTTGTACGAGGTAATACACAAAGAGACAACCTTTCGCGGATTGAAAAAGGGGGAAGGTGTTTGACAGTTCAAATGACACAATCTTGGTCGGCCAGTTTGGCCAGTTCACCAGACCCCCCGGCTGTGACATTCAAATGACGGAACTGGCAATGAATTTTGGAAAATGAAGCATCTCTCCATGTTTTCCCCATTGACATATCTTTGCCAAGGGTTCGCACGCTTGTCGATTTCTTGTTCAACCAGGAGCCCGAATGGGACAGAATTTAAGATTTGTGATCTTACTCCAAAGCCCGAGCTCGAGCACACCTCGCCTTGCGAGATATACGAAAGGGGCTGAATCCCGGCACAGTGGCGTTTGAGAACAGCCAACCACCACAGCATTGCTCTATCATTGTCAGACCTGGTCGAGACAAGGCGAGGGCACGTGGTTTAACATGGATCCAGTCTTTCTTTCCACCTGTTTTCTGCACAAAAACCTACGCAGCGGCCATGGCTCGTGGGTGGATGTGGATGTGGATGTGGACTACTGGGTACTGGGTACACCGGCCGCTATGCCGCTGCTGGACATTCATTTGGTGCCCACAGTCACTGCTGGGTGGGAACTTGTCAAGCCTCGTCACATTCGCCATCGCCTTTATCTTCACCGGTCTAGTTTAGCTCGGCCTGTTCCACTTACCTATTCGGCGTCTACTGCCAGTCCAACCGAGGCCAGGCGTCTGTTTTGGTACCTGGCGCTTTCCCCAGAAAGGCGCGGCCAGTGTACGTACAAGGACTAGGGAATCTCGATTTCTTGTTGACGTTTTCTCCTTGCTAGCCGAAGGGGCCGATCACTGGGCGGATGCCGCCATCCACTCTCCACATTCTCAATTGGACGGTCAGTATCACCACGCCAGAAAACCAATATATTTCTTTAGACACTGTTGCTATGCCCCAGAGCCCGGAGAAAAAGAAAAAAAATAAGCAAAGAATCCATCCGCGAAGCTCTCGCGCTATTCCAGTTCGGCAATTCTCCGTGGCTTGCTGACGCTAGGTAAGCCCATGAGCCCCCCATATTTGTTGCAGTGTGTGTCGGCGATGGATGAAACGTCGGTCTTCCACCAGACTTCCCGTTTGCTCCACTTCCCCTCGAACTTGCAGCAACCTCTGACACTCTTCATCAAAACCCTGAGGACAAGTCTCTTCATCGGCCTGGCTCGTGCTGGTCTGTGGGCTCACATCCTAGCTTCCTGCAATCTCACCCTCGGCTGGAGAACCTGATCATCGCTGTCCTTTTTCTCCGGCTTAGTCGTCTGCGAGATAGAGTTGTCTTTTATCCTGAATCAGGTATCAACCAACTCTCTTTATTGGGTCGGGCATTTTGGTTTTCTCGTCAAAATCCTGGTTGATCACTCTCATTTTTAGCACGAATGGTCCTTTGTGGCTTGCACTTGTCCCTTTGGCTCGCGTCGACCAACGAAGCGGGCAAGGCTTGAAAATCTGGCTCTGTCCAGTTGTGCCATGGCCCGATCTCTGTGTCCGGGTTGTCCCCGTCCCATTTGAAATCCCTGTCGCAGCCTTAATGCCATCAAACGGACCCTGCCACTTTCAGAGTTCTAGGTGACAGCTGCCTTCAGCAGCCAGGCCTCCCCAGGAAACCTCGCCAGCCTTCTCCAGATTTTGCTGCCCGTTCGTCCACCGACCGAGTTCCCGTAATAATTTGTTTCTTGCATTCTCCGGCCTCTATACATCCTCCACAAGCCTCACAACTTCAACTGCGATGGACCAGGTCCTTAAAGACCGAAAGATGGCCTCTGCCTCTGCCAGAAGGAAAAAGTTCCAAGAACGACAACAGCAGCAGGCGCTAGATCGAGAGAAACTCGCAGAGCACAAGAGGAGGATTTTGATATTTGACCATATGGCGGAGCATCTTTCCGACACTGCGGAGGGGCTTGATAGAGAGGACTCGGCAGACGAGGTCGATATGGACAATGGACGTTTCGATCGGGAGTCGTCCGTGGAGACACCTTCCGAGAGGAGCATTTTGACGCCAGATGAAATGGCTCAGAACAAAGCTTGTTTTGACAAACGAGGCTCACCTGAAGCGGATCGAGTTGCAGGTCTCAAAATACAGATACCAGATGAAGAGGAGGTTCTTCAGCATATGGACATAGACGAGGGTCGTGTCGTCGTGTCGACTTCTCCGAAACCCCACCTCCAAGCTTCCCTGGCGTCCTGGTCCGACTTCAGATACGACCGCTACTCTGCAGTTCTCGAGTCTCCACTGTCAGAAACTCTCAGTCCTGAACTTGACAATGACGAAACGTTTTCGCCCATCGAAACGGCCACGCCGATTTCCTACCAGCAACCAAAATCTCGGCCTTCCCTTATTTCAATTGTTAGCGTTTCCCACCGAGGCAAACGAAGGACGGCCTCTATGCAGAGTCCCTCATTGCCAAATGTGCCGCCAACATCGGAACGACCGAGTAAACGCCAGTCGATGAGTAGTGTGCATTCTGGGTTTCTAGCCGCGGAAGCTACACTGTTCGAAGTCCCAAGCCTACCCGAGAATGCTTTCGAGCGCATAGCCAATGCCAGTCAAGAATCGCTCCCGTTGTCAACCAAGGAGCCAACCAGATCCAAAGCCGACAGGAAGTCCAGTATGCCGCGATTGTCGACCGCACTCAGTCACGCACGCATGAGCAGTATCAAAAGCTTCATCAAGACGCCCACGTCTGCGACAACACCTGTGCCACCCACACAATTGTTGTCTCGGCCTTCAAGTCATATGAGCAGACCTTCCACTGCAAATACACAAGCAGTGGATGCCTATTCTCTTATGAGACATCCTGCCGCATCGACAAGTTCGAGCAACCTTTCTTCTGTCACGCCCCCTCTCACATCTCAGAATGCTTCCGCTTCAATGGTGGCGACGGCCAACTCCAACATGACGGCGCTCCCATCGCTCCCGACTCCTCCGGCAGATGAAGATGGTTCAGATCCCTTGGCGACCAGACCAGCCATGCAGAGAAAGAAGTCTTTCTCCGCTCTACGGAGACGAAGTGAGAGTATTGGACAGGCAATTAAAGGATTGGGCAAGATTACGACCAAGCACGATGTTCCAATCCCAACCAACCCAGGTCTGATGACTCCCAAAAAATCACAGGCGTTTGATTTATCTAAATTCCCCACTCCACCTCTCCCTTCTCCTCGGACTGGTAAAAGTAGTGCCGGCTCATTTACTTCGACCAGGACACCGAGTAGTGGAGGTCATATAGGGTTAGGGCTGCGGAGTGTTGATGGATTCGCACAAAGGTAACAGGATTGACCAGTTTCGGAAAGAAGAAATTCGGAGTTCAGCATTCACAGGGCACAAGAGCGAGCACGCTTTTTGATGAAGTTACGAATTGGATCTTATTAGCGATATTGTATAAAAGAATAGTACTATTCGAGGACAGTTTAATGCTTGAAATATCATCGCACTCGCCAGAGGGACGAGAATATCATTGTTTCGAACTGTTGACTCAAATTCCTTGTTCCGTTGATGTGCTGAGTACCCAGTATTGGGTATTGGTCCGAGCTGGGATAGTCAGCCTCGTTCCTCCCTATCACGTGTTTCCCAGCCTCGTTGAAGCCACCTCCGCTTTCTGTTGATATTGCGTACCCAGAAATACTCTTGAACTGGCCGGGGCCGGTACAGTACGCGTCAACTCGCAGTCTCCGAGAGTCTGGAGATGCCACCCCAGAGCAGAGGAGCATCGCCTGCTCTAGGTCCACGTCCCTACTCAAACTCGGATTCTCTCCCGCCCACCCTGCGGCCCTATCTGGAGAACCTGCCCTCTCCAACTGCTCTGGTCCCTGGCGATCAACGCACTCCAACAGGTCCTCGCATGATCATACCTGACCGCGATATCGCCACGCCAACACCAAGTCCTCAGCAGACGCGAGTTGCAGCCGCATTTGAGCTCGGTGCCGAAGATAAGGAAGAGAGCGAAGATGGAGACATGGACACTCATACCCCAGAGGAGAGACTCTCACCATCGGAAGAGGCTGCGCCTGAACAGGACGGCAATGACGTCGATGTCGCAGGTGTGACCTTGGACGACGATGATTTTGAGTCACATTATTCTCGTCAGGAATCTTCGGAATCAGACCAGGAAGGAGACGAAGTTCAGGCGGAAGGAGAAACAGTCTCTCCCGAGGACTACAACGAAGGAGGGCAGCAGGATCAAAATGGTACCGCAAGACCGGGAGAGCCCCTTCCGTCGGCTTCGGAGAGGCTAGAATCGTTGTCTCGTGTGCGTTCATTGCCTGCTCGCCCAACGCTCTCTCAGACATCGGGGCACTCCCAACCTCAGCATCAGAGGGACGGACTTCACACCTCGCAATCAACGACCGCTCTCCCGCCTCCGCCCCCTCCGCCACTCTATCCTCCCTTCTACAATCGGCCACCAACTCCCCTGCCACCATCTCCTAGCCTAACTTCTCTGCTCCGTCCTCCGTCCTTGCTGAATCGCTCCACTGCCTCAACTCGTCCAACCACACCTGACAGCTCCGATGTGGAAACCCCCAACGACACCGAAGCAGCTGTCGCTCATTCAGCTCGACGCGCACATCCAGTGCCGCCAACGTCACCCAAAGTCCCTACATATGAGTACTACGGCTTCGTTTTGTACTTGGCTTCAACCCTCGCCTTTCTGATTTACATCCTCTGGTCTTATCTCCCGTCTCCTTTCCTTCACGCTCTAGGGATTACCTATTATCCAAATCGGTGGTGGTCTCTCGCCATACCCGCCTGGATCGTCATGCTACTTATTTTTATCTACGTCGCCCTCTTGAGTTATAATGTCGAATATCTCACTCTTCCGCTGACGAGTCTGGAATGTATGGTTGACGGCGCCGCAAATGTAGCTATACTCGATGAGTCGGGACGAGTGAGAAAGGGGGGCAGCAAAAGATTGGTGAAGGAGCTAGAAGAGCGGGCCAGACTTGAGCGAGAAATGGAGAGCGCAAGAGCAAAGAGCGGGAAAGGAAGAAAGCACCCCAAGGCTGGAATCGAAGCAGCTCATCGGTCAAAAGACAAAGGAAAGCGCAAGTCCTCTCGACCAAGCGCCGATTATCCTTCGCAATCAGACATCCGGGCATGGGACTATGAAATTTCTCCATCTTCTCATGCCGCAGCGTCTTCCCTCCACAGCAGCCGGCCAACGCCATTCTCATATCAGTACCCTTCAACATATCCCTTCATCCCGACAACTACGCAATTGACTCAAAACCAGCGCGACTACCAGACGCAAGGAGCTTACCCGTCACACCCGAATTGGAAGCTCATGTGGAATGAGGGGACAGATGCAGTTATGGATGTGCCTATCGGTGGCGTGTGTGAGGTGCTGTATGGCTGAGCGAGACTCTGGATGCCGATGGCGGTTACGCGCCAACATTCTCGTCTCAAATATCAGACCGCCGGTTCACCAAGACCCTCTCAAAACAGAGTTATCCCAGTCCTTATTCCGCTCGCCGCAAGTCAACCTGAACTCTGTGTTGTTGTATTGGGAATGGCTGCAGGACCATACCATTGACTCGATTCGTCAACAGTCTGATAGCAAGCAGATATCCCCCTCGTTTCTCGGCATGAAAGGAATCATGCGCATCTCCAGGAGGCTATTTGGATTGCAGACGAACCGAGGGGCTGGAGAAAATGGACACTTCCGGGTATGTCGTACACGCGGATTGGGCGCGAGCATTGTCGAACAGGTGACATCAAAATACTTACGGAGCGATAATCAATTGGTAGAGCACTCTTTACCCGTGTTGACAAGTGTCGAAAATTTGCCGCGGGATACGCAGATGCTTCAGATTGTGCGAGATTTTGATCGCAGATATCCAGTTGATTGGGGGGACATCCGCATGGGCGACGGATACCATTCGGGAAACGCGACCAAGGCAGAACAAACACTGCCCTCAACATTCGCTACAGAAACGTTGAGCTGACTGAGGTTCGGTGGCCAAGAAGGTCTCGGCGGACTGACACCAGCAATTCTTTCAGACCGCCGGGATGGACATGTAGGCAAACCCTGCCTCATAGACATTTTCCGGCGCTTCGTCTTGGAGAATTTGCGCCTTCCCAGCTTATCTTGATCTGTTGCGGGCGAAACATGCCCTCGATATCCAGCCAAAAGAACCAGGAGTGCCAGAAAATTGCCACGAGATGCGCGGACTAATGTACCCTTTTTCCCTAATTGGGTTCGACACAGTCGGTGCCTACATGCTTCTGGCTTAAATCTCGGCAAGAAATTGGTGGTATCTTGATGGCAGTATCAAAGAAACCTCCTGGTAACATTCGAGAACTTCTCCACAATGATATTGTTCTTGACGACACGGTTGCAGCATCTTGATCGCCGGGTGGCGTACCCACCGATGTCATGTCTTAAGTATCGATTCTGGTTCATCTATTGAGCAATTCTCAGAGCCATTAATCCACCATTGTATCCAATACTTCGACCAACCATACTGCCGCGCAACGGAGGATCAGGTTCAACACCGAATTATCAACAAATCTGCGGTATCGTCGAACACCGTCCCCTCTTAAAGGAGATGGAACTTGCGGGGGATGCACGAAGGGCATACATCACCGCGTTGAAAGGCCGTTGAATGCAACTCTCCAGAATAGTCGAACACCGAGGTTGCGCCAGCCTCATATTACCGTTTCATCTGCGTGTCTTGAAGCCTGTTTGAGTCCGGATGGTACCACCACCTGCCCAAAACGTGCAAACTGGAGTATGAGTTTGCAAGCCAATAAGAGGGGGCAATCTTGCACGAGGCGATTGGTCGAATGCGTCGTGAAAAGACGTTACAGATTGTGATTGGGCGCCACATGAACTTGTCTAATTGTCTCGCCTTCTGCCAGCCTTGCAGCTTTTGCTTACATGGCAAATGCGATCCATTGACTAAGCAGAGGACCGACCTGGTTTCGGTGACAGATCTTGTCCCTCGACGCAATTGCCAGCTTGTCAAACAAGAAGATTCCGGCGCTGCTAAGCGGAGCTCTAGCCTAGAACTTCGGCCTGGAACTCCCGCAAGAATGTGCAGTTTCTCGCAGTGGCATGACAATCAACTTCGCCCATTCTCGTGACAGACTACAAATTAAGGGTCCCGAATCCCGATGACGGACAGGGGAGGACAAATCGAAACCAAACCAACAACAGAGCTTCCATTCGGCTCTGGGAGAATGGGTAGACTTCCACTACCGGTACCGTTAATGCTGGAAACGACAATCTCTTGCACATTCAAGGAAATTTGTGGCGGTTAAGCGCCCTGCTCCTCATGTTTGCTTCTCAAGCGCGACCAGCTCGAGTGGTATCGCCCTAAGCCTGATTACCCAATCAAGGTGATTATATTGCAAACTCCATTCTCGGCCTAGTGCGAAACGACAGTGAGAGCGGCTGCGGCGGACTCGGTGAGAAACTTGCTGGCGTTCAGACCTCAACACAGGGTCTACATATCGTTAGAATGAGCGGGATATCCGCAAGGCTGCGAGAATAGGACATAATCTTGAGTGCACAGGGATTCAACTTCCGAGGTTAGTGAGACCTGACCGGGGCTTTATTGTGGGGATACCGATGAGCAAGCCATATACGCTTTGGAATCGCATATAAATATCTATATTGAAAAAGAGCTCTATCATCTACGATGTACCGAGTACAAATTCCCGAATGGGATATGTTGCATTTTCCCAAGCAAGCGTCGCGGGATTATACCCGCAGAGCAGCAAGTTTCATGCCTACTCGGGTCGAGGTGCTAGGCGAGTGACGGAACGCGGGGGAAGGTAACTGGCCAATGCCGTCAACTGCTTCAAGGCTGAATACCAGACGGAGGTCTCCGTGATCAGCACGAATCAGATATGGGATCCGTGATATATGGTAATCCTCCTCAACGGTCGACGAAGTCGTGAATGGGATTTCTCCCACATTACAGCCGCGGATTAGGCGCCACGAGGGTTGAAGGGTGCTGAGGGTGCCCGAACTTGACGACTTGGTGGCCTGATCTGCATGAGTCCGTCTATCTAGTTGCTTGATCGTTCCCACCTGACGAACACTGCTCAACGTCTTTATACCGGACCCTGAAAAAGCACATGGCAACGATACGGAAAGACGTTGCCGTCGGAAAAAATTAAGCTCGTTACAGCCATCGAGATGCAGTCCTTTATTCTTGAGGCTCCTTCCTACCCGGACTATTCACTCGACTGCCACGTTTCCGGCACAGAGACACTTAGTGATCACTATTCCTGGGTCCGTTAATAACGGCCACCTTCTTCCATCTCAATTGCCAGTAATCTTGGAGGTGCTTGCTGTGCGTCTCTAAGGCTGATTGCTGCTGTGGCTGTCCCCAATTGAAGCTAAGGATCAAAGCCAACTATCCACCGAGCGCAAATTCAACCGGGGAAGTCGACACTGTACCACGAGGGGGTCGATCCCGAGGCGCACGAGTCGAGGCGAGCGGTCAGTCAAGTGATTCATGCGCGTGGCAACTCAAATGGCCTGCACTGGAGGCTGCCCATCCCAACAAGGACCAACATCATCAGCATTATCACATACAATCCAACCTCTGCCGCAACCAGAGGGCAGATTCGGCCCCTGCCAGTGCGGCAGTTGTCCGAAATTTTATGCGCTCGACGGTACCAGTCCCGCAATATCGGTTTGCTCCTCATTCCAGGGTGAAATGTCGCCTGGCACCATGTTCGCAAACATCAATAACCCGACCATGGAATTTTTTCAGCCTGCTCATGACACTGTCAGGTGTTTCGGAGGACCCCAAGATGTGGACATTGCTGGTCACTCGAACAGCGTGCCTTGTCTGGATCAGCCCGATCTGAACTACGGCGCTTTCCCGATGACCACGAGCATACCAGATCAAGGTAACGGCACACCGAGTAGCCCAGAGTGCGTGCTTGCATCCTTCGAGCCCGTTAGCACCATCGCTACCCGGAACGAGGTCAGTTTTAAGCATTGGTGGTTTTTTTCAGAACGGAAATGGACTGACGCTCCTCCTCACAGAGACGGAAGGCACAGAACCGAGCAGCTCAAAGAGCTTTCCGAGTTCGCCAGCAGCAAGCCTTAGCAGACGCACACTCCAAGCTGCGCTCCCTGCAAGAAGAATTGGAAGAAGCTACCGGAAAGAAAGATCATTTTGAACGACTATATAAAAGCCTCAGTCGTGAACATGAGCGTCTCCTCAGAACATTTCAGGAGTTATTGGCGTCGGTGCAGTCTACATAAGTCCTTAGGGACCGAGGTTTATCTGTCACGCTGGTTTTGATCCTTCTCCTTGGAATGAGGAGGCTAAACCTATATGTATACATATATATGCAGCTAATCACGTCAAAACTATCCTCGAAGCCCTGCTACGTCGATCGTTCATTATCTATCCCTACAAAAGGACAATGGGACTATGGCGCCTCACGCGGATACCCATCGAGGCCGGGCTGCAGCGATCGGGGGTACTTCTGAGATTCATCCCGGTGAGAATACCCGATACGGTAAAAGGTAGTGTAAGAGCTCGCTCGTGGTGGAGGTAGGGCGTACCTCTCAGACCGTGGCTAGCAAGCATCCATTGGACGAATTCCTCGGCGTCGGATAACATGTCGGCTTCCTGAAGGTTAGTCATCAGTGGGATGACTAGCACCCACCTACATCACCGGGTTGTGGGATGGCGGTTTAAGCACCCCCGCAAGGCCCGACGGCTCTTCTCAGCATGGGACATTTGTTCCACAGCCATCTCTAATTCACGACCACCTCGATTGCCTGTTGCTCACATCTCTGAGCCGGGGTAAGCCGTCACACACGTATTCTTGGGCGCGTCGCATCTTCATTCCAACCAGCCGTGTCGGCAGCAAACTCTTAAATCGCGAGAAGGGTGGTCGTGAAGCCAGCATATCGTCAAGAGTTGAACCCTGAGCGGCACGTACATCCCACCCTGTCCGCATCTGGTGTTTGTAAAAGCATGGCTAGCGATCATGATCAACATGCCAGCAAATGGGGTGCCACAAAGAAGAAGCCGGTCGTTATTTCTGGATTCGAGTTCGTGTTAATGGGAGCAGATGGTGCTCTCGACAAGGCCGGTATCAGCCAAATAAGAGCACATACTACACGAGAACTGCATAGGACGAGACGACAAAATGGCCAGGTATGTCTATTCCCTCGTGCAGGAGACAATTCCAGCACCTGTTACGACTTCCTGTTGGCTCCAAAGTGCAATGCAAGGCCGCTTAGCTAATCCTGTAGTATCAGGTATTACTGCCGCGACGTCGTCGCAATGGCGCTGGTAATATACTCTTTGGCTCTCAATTTGATCCTTTCCACTCTCTCCCACAGCTTCCGATAGAAGAACGCGTACCCGGGATACTGGACGAGATTAAACATAATGGTAACCTTGGCCCTTTCCAACTCTACCCCTACGATTCTTGTACTTCCAGTATTCACGGCCGCGTTTCGCGATTTTGGCCCACTGATATCGTGTCTAGTCTTCATAGTGTATAACCAGAGAGGGATGCAACAGAGCGTCTGGCCTGAAGGGGCTAAAAACAGCACGTTCTTCACGGCCATGCTCCTCATGTGTTCGGTCCATCTCGACGGTCTGAGTTCGAAATCGACGTCGCCCACCACTACTGCTTTAAAGTTGGAAGCCATGCGACGCGTTCGAATTCTTATCCAGCAGCATTCCCCACTTGCGATCATCAGCTGCATCTCTGCCATCGCTTGCCTTGCAACATGCGCTTTAGTAAGTGAGACCCAGAAGCCTTTTCCACGCGCTCAAGGTTACAAGCATAGGTGACAAAGCTTATGAAGAAGGTAATGGAATCAGGCTAGGCTGACCTTTTAGGTGCGTGGAGAGCTGGCAGGGGCAGAGGAATACGTTACGCACCGGAACGCTTACGCAGTGCTCATTAGAGAAGCAGTCAGGCTGCACATGTTTGAAGAATCGAGATTTTGTAAGGATGTTCTGAGGATCATCACGATGATTGCGTGAGCATATGAAACTCCGTAGGCCAATTGACCAATGCTTACTACCCAGAACAGAATATCGAGAAGGTGCCGCATACCAATCCCTGGCCTCGCTACCCCAGCACACCCGCAAACTCTTCTCAAAGAATATGAACACGTGTTCGAAGACAGATGGCATTCACGGATCCAGGCCGATCCAGAGCTATATTCGCCCCTTTACGATGGAAGGATAGACCCTAGCGAAGACCCGTTCCCATTTCTGAGGAGAGATCATCTTCGATTACTAGTCCAGATGATGCAATCGGTGGTCAAGATCTGGACTCGGCGAGACCCCTGCTCAGCGCAGCAGCAACTGACCGCTGACACATTGATATCGATGTCTTTGTGCCAGCGCATATTGGCCATGCCGTCCTCCACGATACCGGATCTACCATGCTCCACCGATTACGTCTACGAGGCCTGCAGACTGACCTCCGTCCTCCTAATTCGATCAGTTGAAAGCAACAGACATTGGCGGTTTGTGGCTAAAGGCACGTCAATACTTCAAGACATCCGAGACGCACTCCACAAAACCGATCTGGACAACCTGTGGGACAAGGATATTGGTCTACTTTACTACGTCGTGCTAGTCTTTCACAGCGCCACCTTTGGCACGCCACATTACTTGTTCGGCCATATCCTCCAAACAAGGATACATTTTGCGGTGACGTACTCATACGACGACTGGATTGGCGCGATCAAACCCATGTTGACGCTCCACGAACTGATGCCGACGAAGGAGGCCGCGTTGCCAGAACGATCTGCAGGATCGGGCTCTGTGGCCAGTTACACCGAGACTTTGGCCGACATGCAATCAAGTGCAGAGTCCAACCAGGTAATACTTTCTTCCCCCTGATGGCGATACAAGTGCATGGCTGAATGCACTCGGAGCTCAATCGGACTTCGGACTGTTCTCGCCCGTATCATGACGGGGATCATTAGGACACAGTTGAAAGTCTCGCTGCGAGCCCCGAGGATTCCGAAGAAATATATCCAGTAGGGATACTGTCTAGCGCAAGATAGACAGACGGATCTTGCAGATGGAAGCCGGTTGGTCAAGCATGTTCCTGGGGTGTTGCCACACTTCAGCACTGCAGCAGGGACGAAAGAGATCTCTTTAGCGGTACAGGCGCCGCGGACATTATAAATCAATCGGATCCGCTCAGGGTCTTCGAAGACCTCTTCTAAGCCGGCTCAAACGCTGGGGTATATATAGTGAAAGGCCAATCCGAAGGCAGTTCGTGGAGACACCACATTCAATTCGTGGTCGCCAGTGGAAAAAGGTCTCGGTAACGGCGAAATCCCTACAACACCACGAGCCTCAAGATGGACAGTGAAATTCTGGATTCTTTTTTTTTTGGCGCGATGTTTTCCCATCCCTTCATGAAAGAGTTTGGGGGCTGATCGCAGAATGGCAACGTTTCTGGAAGTATTGCCAAGGTTTGGGAAAATCTGCACGCACCTCACCCCTATCCAGGAAACATGTCCTCCGTCGGTGACGCCGCCCTTGCTCACCGCCGGGCGTGAGTGTGAAATCATTACTGTCGCCAAATGAAGCCTTTAATCCTGAAGAAGAAAAATATTATTCGCGAACCCGGGATTACGAACGACTCTAACTACTAGCGGCTTGGCACCACACACGTGAATGAGAAGTTTAGAACACAATGGTTAGAAAACACCCTGACTTTCAGTGATCTCTCTGAAAAGACCGCCCAAAAAAAGCAAATAAAAATGAAGAGAGTGGGATTCGAACCCACGCGGGTTGCCCCATCAGGAAACGTAGTGTCAAGGCTGTAGCCTTAACCTGACGCCATAACCAAGCTCGGCCATCTCTCCAGATTGATCTGTCGATACACAACAGGCAATTGTTGGAGAGGATTTTGCGCCTGCAATATAAGAAGAGTCACCTCCCCATATCGCTTACGCGAGGACGAAAAGTGAGGGCTAAGTCAGTCGCTAAGCGTAAATAAGTCTAGATCGCGACTTGGCATTCAATGAGCACCCACATAAACTCCGAGTAGATTTATCATTGCTTGAAGTGTCAAGGGCCCCGAAACCACCCAGTACCGTGGCAAGTTTTGTCAGAGATTATGTGACGGGATTCCTGTCCCCATAAAGGGATACCATCGACCAATGCAGACTTGAATGTCGTCCCCCCAAGGGCGCGAAGCATCTGGTCTCCTGAGAGCCAGTGGTCTGTTCATGCGGACACTTTACGCGACATCTCATGCTCGGTAGAGACGCTACGGCTCAAACGTGCAGGTTCGCTCTCGTTGACTCGGGACAAAATGAACCCCTGTTAGCTGGTGGGTGAGCTGGAACCTGGCCTTTGGCACCCGAGGTGATCGGCAACCATCACATCATCATGTCTTTTCCAATAGCTCGAGTGACCTGAGCATCGGAAGCGCCTCAAAGAAACGCTAGACCAGGCCTCAAAGAAGTACTGGGTATATGAACCTAGAGCTTCTCGGTCTGTTTCGGACTTTGTCCTCAGCAGATCACCGTGTCCGTTACTGCTCTTGAAACAGGCTCCCCTTGTCATCCAACCCGTATTTGCTTTGGAAATGAGGCAGGACAATATCTTTATGATTACCTACACTGTGCAGCCGGAGCTTGCCGCAAGAGCGTGGAAGCTCTCACATAACTAAAGGCGAGCACGATGTTGGCCTCGCAATAGCCTATCTCCAGAAGGTCGGGTGGCTTTCTACTACTGGTAGGTACTCTACTTACATAGTAGAGCCACGCAAGCAGCGTGGCGGAAAAACAATTCTTCCGCCGCATTGTGGTCTCGTGCTTCACCTTTACGGGGCGTATTCGTATTTCAGCATCAACACGGCTAAGAGCCAATCACAATCTGCCAACAGTCAAGAAGACCTATCATGGCACATGCGCAAGGCACACTCGCCGTAATCTGGCGTTTACAATGGATATCTATGCCAGCTTTGTTGCGTCTAGAGGAGAAGCGAGGCCCCTCCTATTGGGCATGTTGACACCAGTGCCCGACGGATAGGCGAGTCAGCCTGATGAGGAAAAGGCGAGGCTGACTCCATGCCGAATACGAAACAGACAGGCCGCAATTACTTCACAAGGGTATGTTTGATTGAGCTGAGATGATAATAACTGTTCTGTGCCTCTCCATGCGAAGCTTTATCATGTCTATAACTGCCCCAATATTTGGCTTTGGTGGATTGCTTGTCTCGTTTGACTTTGTGCCGATTGATGTCCTCACCGGATCCCTCCACCACTTGCCGTAACTGCTCAGGAAGATAAAAAGCTTGACCCAACGGTCTCGATCCTATGGACCGAAGCTGTCAGTCCTCCAAACGCCCTTCCTTGACAACCCAGCTAATCGGATTGAAGCCGAGATTAACAAGTTCCTCGACAATATCGCCCAAGGTCCATCAGCTGTTTTTGCCGCCCTCTTCGCCGCGTCGGCTGGATTCCATATATGGCAGAGCAAGTGCGTATCTCCATTAAATTGTTCCCCTCTAGGATTTCTTCGGGCTGCTAATCCGGTCACTTTGGCAGGAAGTACAACTGCTGGAGAGACACATGGCCGCTCCCCTGCGCCTGCATTATTATGATGGCCGGTTTCATTTGTCGCGAGATTGCAGCAGATGATCATGATGCAAACAGTCTGGCCAGTGCAATTCAGGGGCTGTTCTACAGCGCGACGTAAGTCCAGGAGTAACCCGGTCTCCTGCCCAGGTCTGGGGGGGGATCGACTGCTGACCATGCATTACCCTGCAGACCAACGTTCACCCTTCCTCTATACATCTTTCTGCTCTTCTCTTCAGTCACCATTGAGCTGTTGCCGTGGCTGCACCCCACTATTTCCTACATCACCATTTGGATCTTCACTACCGCGATCATCTCCTGCACCGCTCAGGGTGCATCAACATACTTCAACCCAGACGCGAAGAAAGGATCCATCGGCCCAGCTCACGCTCTCCTCAAAGCAAGCCTGTTTTTGCAGCTCGCTCTGAACGGGGCGTTTGCCTGCATCCTCCTCAATCTGCTTTTTCGACGGAACACCACTGCTAATCGTCGACGAGGCCTTCTGTTGTCCATGTTTGTTCTGATAGCGCTTATTTGCGTGCGCAATGTCTTTCGGACGATCCAGCTCTTCGTCTCACCACGCTCCCCACTGTGGACTGATGAAGCGTACTTCTGGGTCTTTGAGAGCTGCGCCATGTTATGCTATACAGTATTGTTTCATACCCTCCATTTGGGGAAATATGTTCCTCCTGGGTTCGGCGACTGTACCCCAGGAAGACGGTGTACCTGAGGGCACGAAGGTATTGTGCTTGGACTGGACTCGCGAGTGTCGACACACAACCCGACATAGTTACAGAAAGTGTAAAGCCCTGATTGGCCAGCCTCGTATGAGCCGCATCTCTCTTTGGTGTCACAGCCTTGCAGAGACTTGGACCAATTGGGGGCCTGATGACGTTGACCGAAGGAAAGAACCTCGGTGGATCCCCGGCAGTTGCAGAAAGTTCAATTTTTTCACTTTTGGACAGAGATGATTAGTGGTGGTGGAGGTGGCGGAGGTGGCGGTGATGGTGGTGGTGGTGATGGTGGTAGCTAGTGACTTGCATCATGTTTTGTACTCTCTTCATCTGCTCAATCTCACGTCTTATACACAAAGAACCTTAATACGAAGGAAATTAGACTCGCCATGCCGCTTCCAACCGGAGTCTACCGCGCTGACCAAGTTGGGTCTCTGCTTCGGCCGAAGGAAATCCTCGAGGCGCGTGAGAAAGTCGTGGCTGGAGAACTGTCCAAGTCGGACCTCCGGCAGCTCGAGGACAAGTACATCGCAGATGTCGTGCGGAAACAGCTCAATGCGGGCCTACGAGCCATCACAGACGGCGAGTTCCGTCGCGCATTCTTCCACCTAGACTTTCTCCAGCATCTGGACGGCATCGAGGTGCGCGGGAATATGATGTCGACCAACACCTCCAAGGGCGGATTTGCACCCCCGAAACTGGTTGTCACCGGGAAGCTGGGCCACAGCAAGCCCATCCAGGTCGACGATTTCAAGTTCTTGGAACGCCAGATCGCCGAGGCCGGCGGCCAGGAGAGCTTTGGCAAGGTTTCGGCGAAAGTGGCGATCCCCAGCCCGACGATGGTGCATTTTCGAGGCGGGCGCGAGACGATCGACCTCGACGCGTACCCGTCCATGGACGTCTTCTTTGACGACCTCGCGCGGGTCTATCAGGAGGAGATCCAGGACCTATACGATGCAGGATGCCGGTTCGTACAGCTCGACGACACAAATCTCGCGTACCTGTGCGATCCGAAGATGCGGTCCGAGGCAGAGAGCAGACACGGCAGCGACGCGAAACAGCTCGCGAGCCAGTACGCGACCCTGATCAACCGAGCCATTGAGAAACGGCCCCGCGACATGACTATCGGGATCCACCTGTGCAGGGGCAACCACCGTAGCCAATGGTTCGCGCAAGGCGGCTACGAGCCTGTCGCCGAGGTCCTCTTCAAAGACCTCAACGTTGACGTCTACTTCCTCGAATACGACGACGCGCGCTCCGGCGACTTCAGCCCCTTGCGCCACCTGCCGCCGCACAAGGTCGTCGTGCTCGGCATCATGACCAGCAAAAAGGGTGATCTGGACGACAAAGCCGCCATGATCCAGCGCTTGAACGAGGCCGCCAAGTACTGCGGGAAGGGCCTTGATCAGCTCTGCCTCAGCCACCAATGCGGCTTCAGCAGTACCATGGAAGGCAATGAGTTAAGCGAGGAGCAGCAATGGGCAAAGATTCGGTTGGAGGTCGAGATTGCCAAGGCGATTTGGGGCCCCAGTACCGCGGAGTGAGTCGCCCCTGCAAAAGCTGTTCTCGAGGCCCTCGTAAACGATCTGAGAAGAAGGGAGGAGAGCCGAATTGTTTACGGCGCAACCAATTCACCTTCCCTTCAAGCAAGAGTTGTGAGATATGGAATTTGGTAGTGTGGTGAAAAAAAGAAGCTCGAATCGTGTGTACGCCGCTTTCAACAACGGCAAGATTACAAGACGGTAGAACGACAAGACGCACAGGATGTTCAATGCACATATGGAGGAGGATGCAAGTCATAACACATCAAGATGTACTGGCACTGTTCAACATTGATACCCACCCACGCTTGCTGTGAGGTCCAAGACTGACGCCTCCGCAAGATATGACTATATCTAAAATTCTAGATGTTGGTATAAAATCCACCAAAAAAAACTGCATGGTGCTCAACCTGAGATTTACCAATCCCCATGGCCAGCATTGTATTCCTTGGTGAGAAAGTCAGCCCCGGGTGCTTTTGCATAAGGCTGTGCAGGTTCTCGCAGTGCCAGTCCTTGCAATGCGGTATGCAAGCATCTCGGGCGCAGGGCACAATTTGATTAAGCCGGCGCCCAATTGCGCAGCCATTCATGCCCCTAGTAGTCAAAATCTTCCTGCCTCACAGTTGCCTTCTGGAATTCCAGCCTCACCTCGAGCTTGGAATTTCCACAGCTACTCCAGCCGGCCTATTTGTGACCAAGATTCTCTCCTCGGTTTTCACCAACATTCCGTCTGCCTGTCCATCAAGTCCACCGTTTCAGGCAAAAAGTTGTCCCGTATCAACGATGGCCGACGTAGTTATTGGAATACTGGGACTTGTCTCGACAGCCGACGTCGTTTTTACTCGTCTTTTCAAAGTACATCAAGCACGTCAAAAATGCCGACAAGGAAATCCTGGACCTTGCAGCGCAAGTTAACACTCTGCACGGCAGCACTCGGTCTGCTTCGAGAGATCCTCTCAATACATCAATTCCGGGATCGTCAGAACTCGAAGTCCAAAGACTCTGGGCATGAAATATCAGACGATCAGGATGGCAATCTAGCGCACACAGTTACTAGACGGTGGAGATGGCCCATGTCCTTGTCTGAAGTGCGCGAACATAGTCGGGAGGTTCAATCGCAGAATACTATACCAAGCCCAGCGCTGACCGCCACGGGAGCATTCCTCATTCTCGACGTACTCACAAAGACGGAGACCTCTAAAACTATTCTCGAAGACATCCATCAGCGAGTGGAACAAGTTGTCCGCATAGAACTAAGTAAAGAAACTCAGGAGCTACTGTCGCTAGTTTGTACCTTCAATCTATTAGGGTACCAAAAAACAAATGCCAAACTACGCCACCCTGGCACTGGAATTCAGTTTACCGATGGCCATGAGTTCCAAATGTGGCTTACAACTGACAATTCGTGAAATCGCTCCCTCCCGATTTGTATTCATCTTATGCACGCCTCCTAGTTCGCATCACCAAGATGCCAACAGCGACTCAAGACGTTGTGGCACGTGTACTGAAATGGATCACACACATCATAATCTACCTGTGGAAGCCCTGCTCGAAGCCTTGTCAGTGAAGCCTGGGATTCGTCGTTTGGATCCGACAAACAGACTTGACGTGGATGAAATCCTCATATTTTGCGGAACTCTGGTGCGCTTAAGGCCGGATGGGGATATATTGAACTGGCACATTTTACGGTCAAAGAATTTTTAATGTCTATCGACCCTGCCACCTAGCTAGAATTCGTCAAGTACAAATCGGAGATCAGGAGAGATTCATCCTATCTGACCGTCACTACGTTGACCTATTTGGCATGTGAAGACTTTTCTGAGAGTCGCTTTCCGTCATGCGAGTTGGGAAAACGCTGTGACGATCATTCTTTTCTAGAGATTGCCGTGGATGATTGGGAAACCTTCGCAAGGCATTGTGATGGTGATGAAGAAGCTGACCTGCTCTTGCAAAGGTTTTTCTGCCCATCCAAACATGCATGTATCACTTGGTGGACTCAGGCATGTTTCACTTTGTACAAAATATGCGCATTCTTTGAAGGTGGTGAGGGTCAGTGGCTTGACTGGGGGCTATTACAACATTGCATTGGGCTGCTATGCTGAGAATGCCCAGCACTCGTAAGGGGATTCTTTCTGAACTGAACCCTTGCGACCCTGATAACCGACTAGGAACACCACTTCAAATGTCGTTGATGGGCGATAGACTATGTTATACGTCACTCAAAGAGAGCTACAAAGAATGTACACATGCGTGGAAAAGATATGATGGTGAACAAGGCCCCCTCGGCGAAATAGTCCAGCTTCTCATTGCCGACGGCGCAGATGTTAACAAAATCTTCAGTCATTTCCCGAGAACATGGCAACATCCCTCAGTGCTGTTACTATAAATTATGTTCAATGGACGTGGCAGGCCAGAAATCACTACGCAGCTTTTGAAAGCTAGAGTAATATGCGATAATAGCGCCATTGAAATTCTTGAGAACTACCTCGAAGAAGATTTGGATAGGATCTACAAAGCAGTCTGCAAGGGGAAGGAATCGAAGCTGGAGCAGACTGATGTTCCCATCATGGATATCATCCAATCTATTCAAAAGCATCACTATCACCGCAAGTATGAAGAACGTATCCGAAAAATGAAAGCCAAATTGTATTTGGCGCCGAGAGATATGACGGTTCAACTCACAAAACGGATAAAGACTGAAACTCAGAAGAATCAAGGCAAAACAACTTGCCAAGTCAATCAGGAAGCGAGTGAGAAGGGTCAAGGGAAACTTAGCGGTGGTCGTCTGTAAGAGATATCCATAATAGGCCATGGTGTTTACAGTTGGGAATTCTTCAAGGGTCAACTGTCGGGTCTGAGGAACTGCCATTCCTTCTTCCTTTCCCAGTAGTACTAGCTCCAAGAATTCGGATGAACTTGGATATTCTGGTAACAGCATCTTACTAGCATTTTCGTCTACATGGAACTCCCATATTCACATCGAAGTCAAGGTTGTATACTTCCTTCAATAATATCAACGACACCTCCATATTGTATTCGTCCAGAACATGAATCTTCTCAGCATGCGTTGTGGTTTAAGAGGCCAATATTATCTGCCGTCGCATTTAACATGTCGGGTTTTTATTGCGCTTTTCGCTTAAATAGAGTCTCGAAATACTTCGTAATTCCATGATTTTAGTCCCTGGCTAACCTTAGTCTGATTCGCGACGTCGATATCGTCTGCTTGTGTGTCGATGGCCTGTGGAAGCAGGGTGGTTACAGAGGCACCCTCAAAAGAACCGCCTTTCGCAACGAGGGACGTAGGGCCACGAGGCGCTGGAGATCTAGCGAGCTAGAAACGAACTTTGCGTGATGCTTGGGAGACAAACCTGCCGCCGCAAAAAAAGACAAAAGGGTGATGTGGCATTGGAGCCGAGTGTCCGCCGAGGCGGGCAATTTCCCCCATTTTGCCAATAATGTTGCCTCCACCAAGACTCATTTGCTCTTTTTCGCGGTCATGATAGCCGTTGCTCCCATCCTGCAGGCCCCGACTGCCGTTTCCACAGTGTGATTGCAAATGGCAGCCTGCACGGAATTGTGCAGTCTTCGATCCGTGTCCTAGATGTTTCGCTGGTCATGTGTCCGGACATCAAGGCCCGGAAATGAGACGTCGTATGCTGCCCAGGGAAGTTCTGCTGCGATCTACCAGGAAGCGGTTGCCAGGTGATGCTTGGTTGAGAGCCTACAGAAAGGTGAAACCTGAACCTATATCATTAGTACTAAACCTGCAGAAAATCGTACTCCAAATCGCCAGGTCAGAACAAGTCCAAGAGAATAGGGTACAAAAGCAGTAACTTGGTGTTGACACAATGTCGCCTAATGGAACCAATGGGACGACCGAGCCCAAACACGGCAAGATGATGTCGCAGAACGAGTATATGCCAGATTTGCCGGCCAAACATCTCAATACTCCAGTCGAAGTCACTCCATCGCCCGAGGAAAAGACCACTGGGCACTTCAATGATGCCAACATCAAGCTGTTCCTCTCTGGGATGCATCGAGATGGTGTAGTCATTCTCAAAGACATCATCAACCCAGATCACCTCGATGTCATCAACGAGTTCATGATTGAGGACACCAAGAACGAACTCAGCAAGGAGAATCTGTACAAAAACTTCGGTGCCGAGAATATTCAACAAGGTCCTCCTCTGACGCCACCAAAATACTTCTTTGACGACGTCTATCTGAATAAGCTCCTTTTCCATGCCGTGAATCTTTACCTGGGACCGAACGCGACATGGAACATGGTCAGCGGCAACAACGCCTTACCTCATGGTGTCAAGCGGCAACCTGTTCACTCCGATGCCATGTGCAATCATCCCCCGGCACCTTTCTACGTGGTTGCAAATGTCTACACCTGTGATGCTAGCGCTGCCAATGGCTCGACAGAGATTTGGCTGGGGACGCATCATTTCAACACTGAGGCTCAGACACCGCCCGGTCCAAAAGGCGAAACTCACATCACAGACGAGTATGTGGCGGAAAGGCAGAAAACTCTGCCTGGCATTCAACCTACGGTGAAGAAAGGTTCGATCTTGTTCCGCGATATGAGATTATGGCATGCCGGAGTGTGCAACAAGTCCGACGACATGCGGTTCATGATTGCCTTGGGGTTCTCTGCCAGCTGGTGGCACGGCACAGCAAAGTTCAGAGTCCCCGCGGAGACAGGAGTATTTGAGCGCATCATTCACGGCACCAAGGGCCAGGGGATCACGCCTTTGATGATCGAGCTGCCCCCAGAAGAGTATGAGAAGCTGCGGGATGCACATGACTTTAGCGATGTCGAGAAGATGACGTACGAGGGGGAAATATTCTAGTCAGGCACTGCAAATCACCGGCTATCAAGATCAAATGGACTGATACAGCCTCAATTGCGGATACGCTGAATTCTTCGTAGGATATCTGTACCCTTAAGGGGCACTGCGCAATCTGCCTCTTTGCAATAGAGTCCTCTCTTACAACAGATGTCTTGGATAGAGCTCATTTAATAGAATACAAAGCTTACCTACCAACTACAAATAGAATAGACTGACAATAGTTTCAGCCATCAATCTCCCTTCTTCCCTTTAGCTCTCAGTGGTAAGTCCTTCTCGCCAATGCTTCCACAAGGCTGATCGAAAGCCTTGCAGTTGTGGCCAATCGGCTACTGCAACATCATCCCGCATCACGTGTACGGAACGTCAAGATCGTTTTCCGGTCACCAATTGACCATTTTCCGTCTTCGTTCCTATCTCCAGCTTCTCCGTTCTTCGTTCACAGCTTCATCCCTGGTAAACCATGTCGCTCACTTGCCAGACCCCAGAACAGCAATGATTGTCCGGGTCTTGTGCAACTTCTGATAGTTGCGCTTGGATGTCTCCCGGTATCAAACTCAAGCAGGAAAGGGACAATGATACCTTTGACTGCAAGTGCGTTCCTGATGATGTTCCGTACACTCAAAGCCTATCGATTACAAAGTACAAAGCTCAAAACTGTAGCGGTCAGCCAGTACAAGGCGCTCACGCTCACCCGTCGCTGGACCGAAAAAGAGATCGCAAGGTAAGTCTGTCGGAATCGAACAAGATGCGCGCTTCCTTGATAGTATACTTTATTGCTTTCTTTGCCAGCTGCGTCTGGGGTCTTCCCACTGCTTCGCTAGTTCGAGGTCAGAATTCGAATTGTTTCCCGTTTGGAAGTGCCTCATTCAATGGCTCCCTCGAGGCACCCAACATGACAAGGAAGGAGTGGTGGTGCCCTCAATCTATGACATACGGTTTCCTTGGCTTCTCCTATCCTATGGAAGGAGAGTGCTACGATGACAGCTTTGACCGCATCAACGCCGACTTGCAACGCCAGAAACGTGATTTCGGCGCAAGCTTGATCAGAGTCTACCTTCCCTATTGCTATACCACCTATATTTGGGAGAGCCTCATCAAAGCAGCTGTGGCCAATGATATGGGAGTTGTTGCGCAAGTCGCTTGGCCTCTGAACGGCGATCCAGTATGTTCGAAACTCCCTTATACGACTGCCCATTGACTAAATCTCGCCGACAGCTCGAATACTGGTAGAAAATTGCCACCTCCATAATTGAGATCCTCTCAAACAGCACTTACAAGGATGTTGCACCCTACATGTTTCACAGCATCGAATTCGGCACGGAACCAATTGGTGATCAGGACGACGGCGACAACTTCATCAATGACCTCGTTAACTTCAAGGCGGCAGTTAGACCGTATGGTATCCCAGTCGGCATCAGCGAAGATTGGGACCGTCCCGGGATCATGTGTAGCAATTATACCGCAGGGCAAGCACCAGGTCTCGGGCCCACTGGGAAGCAAATCCTTCCGCAAAGCGACTTTGTCCATGCTCATATTATGCCATACTATCATGGATACAACATATCTGGATCATGGAACTATATCAGTGAGCAGGTCCACTGGTACAAGAACTATACCCCTGTTCCACTCGTAATCTCTGAGGTGAGATGCCTTCTCGCTCGAATTTTTTGCTGCAGGGCTAACGCTTGCCTTTTACCCAGACACAATGGGCTTGGGAACTCAATGTTCTACACCAAGGAAGCAAAGACATTGATACTCCGCAGTACACAACGTTCTGGAAGACATACGATGAGAACTGCCAGTTCTTCAAGAAGAACAACGTCGGCTGGTTCTTGCACGCGTGGAAATGGGAGGGAACTTTCAACATGGTCACCCCAAATGGCTCATATGCGATACCGAATTGGAAACCCCAAAAGTGCTAGGGACGAGTTAGGGATGTGAGTAAAATGCTCAGAAAGGGCAAGAGGAGACTTAGAGGTTTAAATGTGGTAGCATCCAATAGCATATAGTTAGTCATTGCATCAACCGCCATCAATCGCCATCAATTCCATTCAAGGCACGGAGCATTTGAATCTAGATTTGAACATTCGCATATACTAGCGGAGTGGTTAGTGGCCTTGACTTCTGTACGCGTGACCAGTAGCTGACACATAGTATCCACCCACAAGACGCACCCAGACGAATACTACCCTGACTTATCGCTGTCCATGTACCCGCAGAAGGTCCAGTCCCATCCGTGTCTTTTGCCAGGATCGACCACGGAGCCACGGAGCCACGGAGCCACGGAGCCACGGAGCCAGGCACATTCTTCTCCGTACCTCGTAAAACAAAGCAGGTTTCGACTTCTGAATCTGGGAGTGAATTGAAAGACTGATCAAATGAGGTGACTGGTGGCTGGGATGAATTCTGTAAGCTGCACTATGCAAGGCTTCATCCATCACCCACGTTGCGCCAGGGTCAGGGTCTGATGTTCGCCTGGGAGGGAGGCGCTTTACATGTACACCCACCATACGTACGGGCGGACAGGTTCACAAATGTGATCGCTTCAGAGGAACGGGAAATCATACTACTTCATGTCCTCAAAGACAACATCATCTCCTATCACCTCCCCCCTTCAGAATAACACTCCGGGTGCAATACCCGACGCCTGACCCTAGTAGGTTGCAATCACCCACAACAATAACGACGGACGACAACACCGACAATGGGCTCCCTCTCTCCTGAGCTCACCAACACCACAAGCGCCATCGACGCCAACATCACCACCACCAGCAGCAGCCCGCAGTCCATATTCCACGTCGTCCACTTCCGTTACTACGCCCACATCCCGCCGTCGACGCGGGCCGACATCGCACGCCGCTTCCTCGCGCTGCAGTCGACGTGTGTCCTCCCGGGTACCCACAAAACGTACATACGCTCCTTCACGGGCGGCCGCGACGTCAGCGTCGAGGAACTACACAAAGGCTTCCACACCGTCTTCGTCCTCGAGTTCGCCTCCCAGGGCGACCGCGACTGGTACGTCCACGAGGACCCCGTGCACCGGAACTTTGGCGTCGACGTATTGACGGGCGTGGTGGAGGAGGTTATGGTCGTGGATTTTCGGAGGGGCGAGTTTTGATAATACGCACAGATTCATGCATTTCCTCGCGATTTCGGGCGTGCTATACTATTTCGGCCAGCTGGCCAGGAGAAGGGAAGGGGGCGTTGGGGGTTGTGATGGAAAGAAAGAGTGAGAGAGCGAGAAAGGTGAGCGAGGAGAGGCGGGCATATTCTCTGGCGCCAGAAATGTGCCAATTTTGACGCGACAGGCTGATGGGAGATTTTCATGTGAGACTCGATGCAGCTGCTTGTATTGCCTAGAATATGGAAAGAAGTGCCTGGCTGGGGTTGAGAAAGTGCGGCTATATCTCGATTGCATTACATGTGGACAAGACTCCTCCCAACGTGCCATCCTCGGTATTTATCGACATGGTATCACCTGCGACACCAACGCGCCCTGTCGACATGGCCCTCAAACTTCGACTTCTCGTCCCTCGGGGATCTTAAAGTCCTTGAATTTCCGCGCCGGAACCCCGGCCTCGAACATGTAGTCGAGTTCCTCGTACGTACGTCCCTTTGTCTCGGGTAGGCGGAAGAAACACCAGATCGTGGCGATGGTGCTGAGCCCGCCGAAGAAGAACCCGGTTTTACCCCTCCAGTTGCCCGAGGAGGCATTAAGCATGTACGGAACCACGACGGTCATGATGATCTGGGCGATGGAGCCGCTGCTCGTGGCCAAAGCGACTGTTTGCGACCGCAGACGAGTTGCGCCGATCTCTGCGAAGATGACAAAGTTGATGGGTCCCACCGTCCCCTGGAACAGGAATGTCAGGATGTCGAGCAGGGCGGCTTGTGCCCAGGCCAGACCTGGGCGCGAGGTGTAATGCGGAACGCAGTCTAGGATGCCAATGATGAAAAGAGAGACGGCCATCATCCCCACACCATACATATAGATGGTCCGCCTGCCGAAGAAGGACATGAAGACCCAGGAGCAGCAAGTGGCCACGAAGCCAATCGCCGTGTTGCCGACACCCATGTCGAAAGAAGCGCTGACTGGCAGGCCGGCCAGGGTGAAGAAATAAACGGCATAGCCAATCAGGGAAATGCCAGTGATGACCTGGAAAATCTGGACCATGATGGCGACCTCGGTGCGAGCACGACTCGATGCTCGAAAGCATTCGAAAAAGGTTGTGTCCTTTTCCACTTCGATCTCGTGCATCGTAGTCGCTTCGATGTTTGCGAGCGTGGCTTTGATGTCGACCTTGGGCGACTCCCGGGCGAGTCGTCTCAAAGCCTTCTCGGCCTCGTCGACGCGGCCTTTGCGCACCAGCCACCAAGGGCTCTCCGGAGCAAAGAAGAGACCTAGTGCTAGAATGGGGATCCAGATCCACTGGATGGCAAAGGGGATGCGGTATGCCCATTGGTCAATCCTTTCCGAGAACCCTTTGCCGACCCCGGAAGCAACAAACTGTCCAATAACATAGGCGAGATTCATTCCGGCATTGAGAATCCCGCGGAGAGCCAAGGGACACACCTCGGACGCGTATGTTGGTGCCAGGACGACGTAGGTGCCGTAAAGGATACCGGCGAGGAATTCTCCTGCCGCCAAGGTATGGATGTTGTTTGCAAACATCTGAAGAAAGATGAAAGCGGTGCTGAAAAAGAGGGATCCCCAGAAGACTTTCTTTCGGCCCCATCGTTCCATTGGCCATGAAGCTGTAAAGGCTCCGAGGAACTGACCTACGGGCGTTCCCATGCCGAGGACGTTCTGCCATTTCGCCGACACCTCGTAGCCAATGTCGCCTCCGTAGTTCGTGCCATATTTCTTGATAAATGCGGGTAGTGCGTAGAAGCTATAAATTAAGCCTGAGTCATAGCCAACCATGACCTATTCTTCCTAGTTAGAACAGTGTCCTCACTTGCGGTCTGCTCTGCCGAGAAACCAGACGGATTTTGGAGGTACGGAGCACTCACCAATGACCACGCAAATAACGTCGCCCAGAAGACCGCCATGGGGTATAGTTTAACGGCTTCGATGACCCCCAACGAGTGCTCGATGTGAGTGGCGATCTTTGCCTGCTCCAACAATTCTGCATGCTGCTCCTCCTTGACGTTGGTGATTTCACCTTTGGTATCATCCTTGGTCGAAGACATGATGGAGCTTGAAGTCAGATGCACCTCTGATTGAACCACTTCCTGGAAGTCTGAGTTCGCTGGAAACAATAGCGGAAACGGCAACCCTCAATAAAAGGTGGGAATGGCGGGAGTCTTGACTTCGGTCAAGAAGACAGTCAAGCTGTCTATCTGTTCGATAGTAGCTCGAAACATCAAGATAAGAGGTTGCCACCGTGGTAACGGTAGCAGTTCACTTATCTGAAGCTGTTCGATAGTATAGAAGTGAGAAAGGTGCTACCACATGCTGGAGGCAAACGTCCTTGCGACGGTTCCGACCCGCTTGATAAGGACACGGATCCACGGCATGCCTCCGGGATGCGACCTCCGTGTCCCCAACGGCCTGGATCAACATCTATCGCTCGACCCTTTCCCCGGATTTTGCGGCTCGTGACCACGCGGAGATACCTCATGAGTATGTCGTGGTGATCGGATTGATTGGATAGATAGATGAGAGTGGACCATCAGTGAGGGGTTCCCTTGCCATCTCAAGCGAATCTTGAGAAAAGGACTTTCTGTTGAAGAACCAAAGGGAAACACCGACATGTTGGAGAAATTCCCCTGTGCCCCGGTGAGTGACCGGAGATCATCAGGAGGATCAGAGGATCTACTATTTAATTAAGCGCAGCAGCTGGTATCTACTGCCGAGGACGAATGTGATCAGTGCGGGGATCCTGTTGTTGATAAGGCGGTTAAGGATAAGAGACCCATCCCCTTCCTTTCTCGGTTAGCTGGCATGTCACATGTTGGAGCTAAGCCCAATTAGCCAGTGTATTAGCCGGCCACACGAAACATCCACTTTTCTCCCACTTCAAGCTCGAGCAATCTTGGTTCGCTTATGCGTTTCAAGCTACAGCAACTCTTCACAACGGAAAGTACGTCTCGCTCATTGTAGCTCTGGAACCGCCCTTGGCAGCGATCCAAATGTAGCGGATTCTGTGGAAGAGAGTGAGGTTGTCTCCCCAGATCCGGCTATGTTCCCGAGGAATGCCGCTATTGGGCGCTCTCTTCACGGTCAATCCAGGCTATCCTTATGATCTGAGCTGTCACAATGCAAACAAACCAGCCTCTCATGCAGCACGAGTTTGCGCTCATCGAGACTCGCACGACTCCTAGGACTCTTGCGCATCAGTCTGGGCCAAGAGATGCCCGAATTAAAACAGCATGTGCGGAATGCAAGCGAAGGAAGACCAAATGCGACGGCACGCATCCGTGCTATTCTTGTCGATGGTACAAGCAACCTGAAAGATGCATATATACCTTTTCGCGACCTGCGCTTGTTCTCAGTCGAAAGTGAGTTTCCAACTGATGCATTCGCCGAGTCCAAGCCATGGAACAATTAGTAACCCAGAACAAGAAATTTCGAGTCTGTTCGCCAACGCCTCGAGACCACGACCGATATTCTAGCAAAGTTGTTCCCATCGCCATCTATTGATATCCTCAGCGGTCTCTCTCGCGAGGAATTACTCCAACAGATCGGCTTATCATTCGAGGGCAATACATCCCAAGATGGACCCAGTCGAGGGAGTCTTGCCGTTACCCTCCTCCCTGTCGAGGCCAGATCCCAAGATAGCCGCGACAATCAGATGGACCAAGATGACACGACTACCGGTGCTGGTCTGGACTCCCAGCAGCAGGACGATGCTTCCTCCGAGGCCGGTGACGATGTGAATGCTCTCTCGGCAATGTCCAATCAACCGTCGTCCTATGTTGGTCCGTCCTCAACAATGCAGATGTTCCGCACCATACTCAGAATTGCCCCTGAGTCGGTGGGTCAACAACAACCTACCCAAAGTCCTACAACCAGCCAACGAAGTACATCGTATCGGTCTCCAGAGGTCAGCCACAGGACCCCGCCGTCTCTCCAAATGACCGAGAGGATTGGCGCTTTGATCGATGCCTATTTCCATTGGATCCACCCGGCTACTCCTATTCTTGATCAGGCCGAATTCAGAAATGTTGCCTCTGCTGGAACTCGAAATGACCCTCCATGGCTTTGTCTTTTCAACATGGTGTTGGCGCTAGGTTCCATTGGAAGCACGAGGACCGACTCCAGAGAACACCTCAGCTATTATCATGCAGCAAAATCCCATCTGGACGTAGAGGGCCTTGGAAACAAGAGCTTCGAAACGTTGCAGGCTCTGATTCTGATGGCTGGCTGGTATAACCATTACCGAAATCGGCCGAATCTTGCGTCTGCGCTTCTTGGAGCAGCGTTTCGCATGGCGTACGCTTTGGGCCTTCATAAGGAGCAACCCAACAGCAACCAATCTGCTGAGCATCAAGAACTGAGGCGGAAAATCTGGTGGAACCTCGTGGTCCTGGATTCGGCCGAAGCTGTAACCTTGGGCCGTACATTGGATACTAAAATATTTGAAAGCGAAGTCAAATATCCCCGAGAGGTCGGGCAAGATGTAAGTCCTCGGCTCTTACGTGAAGAGCCCCCCATTCTTGGCTACCAATTGTCATCTAGCTGATCGCTGCGATCGTCAACAGGGGAATGATGTTGTGGAAGTCTCATCTCCTTCCTCTACTTTGGTCATAACCATCGGATTCTCGCGTATCATGACAGAGATCCAGAGCCGATTGATGACATCGAACACAGTGCCGTTCGCCGAATTACTCAGCCTCGATGCACACCTGGTGGATTGGTACGAAGCTTTACCGGCCTACTTTCACAAACTGGTGGGAATGAGTAGCTCTGCCATATCAGAGCCGTCCAGTTCGGAACGCTTTGTGCAACCGTTTTTGACCATTAGATGGCGCTACCTCAATCTCAGGATGTTGCTATACCGACCCAGCCTTATGGAGGCCGTCCTCCATCGGATCCCCTTTGGCGGGCTTACGTCGGACCAGCGATTGTGTGTACGAAAGTGTCTGACGCTGTCCGGGGAAACCATTGATTCGGTGAAAACAAGGTCTTCGGAACTGCCGAACCAATACATTGCCTGGCCGTCGACGTGGTATCTGTTGCAAATTTGCATGGTCCCTCTTCTCAGCTTGTATGTGTTCCGGGAGGATGGCAGCGACCAAGGCCATTCACAGACCGACGCTGTTCATCATCTAGGGTTTAGGCATCCAGGCAGCGTCAAAGACCAAGTTCGACAAATTCGAGACGAATGTCATAGGCAAGTCCAGACCACTCTGCGCTTGATGAAAGAGATGGAGCCATGGGCCGTGGCATCAGGCAAAATGCATGATTTGATCACACATCTGTACGAGGCGAGAGACCAGCACCTGCGCGTCTGGAACAACAGCGATGAGAGCCCGATGATTGTTCTAGGGTCTCCAGAAAATTCGTCGATGCAATCATCGGAAGCGATGAACGCAAGAGTGTTGCAGGTTGACCGTGTAAGCATGAACCTGGGCGGCGCAAATATAAGAACTGCCAACCCTTTGCAGGCCGAAGGCGTGGTGGTCCCCTCAAATGGTCTAAATCCGGCTGTCGGCATGGCCCAGTATAGCATTGGGGCCCACAGCAACAATACTACAACTACTACTCTCAATCCGTCGTCCGAGCAATTTCCACGAGACTTCTCGATTTACAACAGCTTCGCATGGCCGAATGCGACTTTGGAAAGCCTTTTTGACTTGCCGGATGATTTTCAATACATGAACCAAGGCATGTTCGGAATGGGATGATGGTTGTGCTCTGTTTGTCTACGGACCCTTCAACAAAAGCGATATTTTGAATATTGTGTTGCTTCAAGATGGCTTGATCAATTGCGATGTTGTTCAGGGGCCACCATCAGCCTCCCTTTGGGTGATAGTTGAGTGTGGAAGCCTCCGAATTCGCGTTTATATTCCAGATCATGAACGTGGTCATGTCATCAGAAGGTACCGAATCTTCTCAAGGACCTAGTAAGGAGTGATGGCCTCAGGCACCTTCACCCCGGGGGAGGGCATAGTATGCAAGACCACCTTTGGCCTGAGGAGGCCTTGCTCAGTCATTTTGGCTTGTCCGTCATGACCTTTTTGGGGTCCGACAACACTGGCATATTATTTGATTAATGGCGGTGCCATCTTGGACATTCCGGAGCTAGCAAAATCGGTGAGATGTCTTCTTCTCGCGGCTTGCTCTCCCACTGATATCCCAGAATCCAGCAGTCTTAGAACAGCACCTAGGGTGGGATATCAAACGAAACACGGGATGGCTCTGAGCGCAAAATTCGTTCTAAAAAGGGAAGGGCCCTACTCCTGTACATATCACAGGTGTCAGATGGCGATGCCATAGCAAAAGATATCAGGCTGAGACCACAGATCACTTTTCAGGACGCTGGGTCCGATATCAGTCGAATAGAATCGTGAAATGGGAAGAATGGTGGGGATGGTGGATTTTCAAGCAACCGTAGTTGGCCTGCGTCAAGCATACGCTCCATACTTCTATTTTGCAATCATTAGCTCGTGATATATATATATCGGCACCAACGAAGTTCGAGTCCTGTCATACGTCCAGGTGAATTCTCGGCCTTGAGCGTATCCATAATTATACATCCGCGCACAGATTTTTCCATTTGACATGAGGAGGCATAGGCACGAAGAGAAGCCATGAACATTGCCGTGGCTCTCAGTGATGGCATTCTTGACAGTGAGGAAATTTTTGTCAGTCAGTCAGTCAGTCAGTCAGTCCAATCCACTATCTCCAGAGCCACTGAGAGCCACGCACGTCGGGATCGCGTGCCGAAGCACCCGGGCTATACCCAGCACCGTCTTTACATAACCACATTCAAACTCACAGTGTGCGACAGATGTCTACCCCCAATGCGAAGTGAATAATAGATGGTTAGTCAGGCCATCCTAGCATTCCTGAGAAGTCATCGTTCAACAAAGCTTTGAAGAGGGAAGGGTATCAAGCAGCTCGTTTACTCTTGCAGCGTTTCAGCTCTCGACTCCGTTTTGCGCTACAAGAGCAGTATTGTAGGAGGAGAGCGGAGTGATCCGTCCAAATCGCCCAGGAACCATGGGAGAAGCAACGACGTCCTTGCGCAAGAACACTCTCGTCCTCGAAGGACGGCCCGAGTCCGAGTTCACGCCCATTCTCCAGTCGCGGAAACAGGCCCGTCTAGTATGTCTAGAAGAGCACGCGGTATCGCCATACCCAACCCCAGCGATTTCATCCACCTTTGGGAAATTCAAGCCGTCGTATGTAGCCGGTCTCAAAGACCGACTAGGCGACATCGAACTGCGCGTCAAGATCATGGACGCCAACAATATTGGCGCGCAAATCATCTCCATGAACCAACCGACGGCCCAAGCGTTCCTGAAGCTGGACGAGCAGCTCGAGTGGTGTCGCAAGTCGAACCAGTTCGTCTACGAGAACTACTGCCAACGGTATCCGGATCGATTCTTCGCCTTTGCGACTCTCCCGACTCAGAGCGGCGAGGCCGCGGCGGCGGAACTTGAACGCTGTGTCACAGAGTATGGCTTTGTAGGGGCCATGATCAATGGTTTCACAAACACCTCGGATCCCGCTCAGGGGCTGTACCTTGATCATCAGCAGTTCGAGAAACTGTGGGAAGTCTCTGAGCGGTTGCAGAAGCCCATCTTTATTCACCCCCGTGTGCCATTGGCCAGTAACATTAAAGTGTTGGAGGATATGCCCATCTTTCATGGCGCCCCATATGGCTTTGGCAGGGAGACGGTGGAGCACGTCCTCAGACTGATGTATAGTGGCGTTTTTGATCGGTTTCCTAGGTTGAAGATCTGTCTGGGTCATATGGGCGAAGGGTTATCTTGGATCCTGCCGAGGACGGACACGACGTTCAGGCTTTATACCACCGGTAAGTGTCATGGAGTTGGCTAGTTCTCCGTCTCCCGGAGAGTCGCGCAAAAGACTGCCTTGCTGCCACCGCGATAATTCAGGTTTCCCGATCCAAACGGTACTGACCTTCATTCTCTTCCTAGAGGCCCAAGGCCCAAAGAAAAAGCGTTTCCAGGACTACTTCCAGCAGAACATCCTCCCTAACACCAGCGGGATGCCTAGGACGGCGGCCCTCATGAACCTAATGGCCGAGTCGCGGGTTGAGAATATCATGTTTGCCGTGGACTACCCCTACGAGTCGATCGCCGAGATGAGGGCCTGGTTCGAGACAGTGCCCATATCCGACGAGAACTGGAGAGATATCGGGTACCGCAATGCCATCAGGCTGTTTGGGCTGCCTCTCGATTATGATTAGCGGTGGACTAGGATGAAATAAAGGGTAAAGCTTTATGAGGGACATCAGCTTCGTTTCCGATGGACTTGGCAAAATGAACAAATATATGCAAGCATTTCAGATCAGAGTACGATGCACTCTCTGCACCTCAAGTGGTGAATGTTGGAACAGCTGGGAGAGCGTGATCACCACCAACACCGAACCGTGTGTGTGTGACTCACAAGACATGACGGATGAAGGGCTTGGGCAGAAATCCAGCTTGAAAACCATGCGCCCAATCGTGCTCGCCCATGTGGATGTAGGCGATGTGATTTGTTCTGTTGTTTGATGTGGAGTGAAGCAGTGAAGCAGCCAAAGATGGGCACATGATGAGGACCTGTCCTGAATCAGAAGAAATGCCGGACTGAGCCAGATTCTGACATGATGCGCTGGATGGCAACAATTGATGCCTAGGATGAGTGTCTTTTTTCAGTCCGGTCGTGATGGCTGTCGTCGTGGTGTGGAGGACGGTGCACGGCACGTTGGACAGGGCAGGACAGGGGCAACTCTGAACTTGGGGGGCTCGCAAAGCCAAAACTTTAACTGAAGTTCACGCAACGTCAGGCACCGGCCCGCGCCTACTGTACCAGCCTTTGGCCAACTTAGCTCAAGCCACGCCAGAAGCAGGCCCTGGCCCCCGGACCCTACAAGTACACCCCTTCTCCCCCCCCCCGGGCCTCGGCCCTGGCCCCTAGCACCTCCCCCCACCAGAGCGGCAGCTGCCGGGTAGCTTGTACTGTAGTTAAGTGTCCGAAGCACTGGACCCCTGGACCCCTGGACCCCTGGACCCCTCCGCAGATCCCTCTGTAGATCCCTGGGAAGGCTTCGCACATGTAATAATAGTGACATACCGAGTACATACCTGAGCACCATGGCAATCACCTCGAGCAATTGCAGTTCTTCATCCTCATCTTCCTCTACAAATCATCCTCTCCTCTTTGCCGCAGTCACCCAACAGCCCAGTTTTCTCGTCACATGCGCACACCCAGACAAACATAGCCAGATATTCGCTGGCCCAACAAGAATCCAGCGATAAACCAGCAGCTCCAGCAATGCGCCCTATCACCACCGCGGGCCCCTTAAGCGAGCCGTTAATCCTCCGCGACGTGTCCTAGCCTCATTCTACCGCTTCTTCGTTTGTACCTTGCTGCCCGATGAATCCACAATGGTTGACTCAATGCCTTATGCTACAAACCAAAAGACTGTCACGCTACCCGACCATAGGTTTTCCAAAATGAGTGCAATATTGTCGTCTTCAAGTATCTCACCGGCCCTCACCTCTACAGAGTTTTCTCATCCTCATGCTCGCTTAAAATTCTCCCGCAGGTGCAGACGCAGACGCAAGACGCACACCTGAAGCTATCTCAGTGTCACCGCCTCTTCGTCAAATCCCTTCTCCACCGCACAATACTTAGTTACACTGCAGCACCGCCCCTTCCACCCTCCTTGACACCATGGCATCCGAGAAACGTTTACGACGACTGTCCCAGACGAGAGCCCGACCTACCGGAGCCACCAAACGCTCCTCAAGTCTGCGGCGGGTATATAACCGTTTCTTTCATCCAGACTCACCAGTCTCCGAGTCTGAGGAAACCCCAGTCATACCCGAGTCGAGCCAACGTCCGCTGTCCGAGATTGAAGTCCTTCAGGGTGAACTGCAACAATGTCGCCAAAATCTCGAGGAAGCCAGGGAGATGGTTATGTCTCAGGACCAGGAGCTGACGACGTTGGAGAAAAATACACAGAAGATGGAAAGACGTTACAGGGAGAAAGAAGCTGCACTGCGGCGGCTGAAAGCGTCATTGGAGGAGACCATGGTGGCGGTCGTCGTGCAGCAGATTAGAGATGCCCAGAAAGCGGAACGGGAATTCGTCAAAGAAGAGTGTAATCGTGAACACCAAGCGGCTTTGGAAAGCCTACACCACAAATACAGGTCACGGGTCGCCATTCTGTCCCAACAGCTCTCGGACTCTAGCTCAGCAAATGAGCGGTTGAAGATAACCTACGAAAATGAGGTTTCTGCACTGCGCACCGAAATCGCTTCTCTAAATACCGACCTCGAAGTGGCCAAGGCCGCCATTGTCGAGACCACTGAGTCGCTAAAAACCGTTCAACTGGCCTCAACAACCGCTCTGGAAGAGACGGAGAAAGCAAATGCCACCCTGCGAGCCGAGCTCGAATCTCAGATTACTTCCCTCACGGAGGAATTGAGCACTGTCCAATCAGGGTTGCAAAATGCCGAGGTGAGCATCGAAGATCACACCAAACGATACGAGGACCTGCAAAACACCTCCTCAAGAGCACTGGAAGATGCAAATGCCAACCTGGCATCCGTTCGCGCCTCATTAGAGGCTCAACTTGAAGCACACGCCGCAGAGCTCTCGACGACCAAAGAGGCCCTCGAAACCTCGTCTAGGGACAGGGAAGCCGACAGGTCGGTACATCAGATCGTCCAAGACGAGCTCGCCGGGGCCCGCAATCAGATCGATGAGCTGACGAACCACCTGCAAGACCACTCGACGTCAAAAGCTGCCCTCGAAGAGAAAGTCGCCCAGCTCCTAACCGAGCTTGAAGCATTTGAGGCTTGCAAACAAGAACTGGAAAGCTCGCATGCTCGAGTAACAGATTTGACCACAGAACTTTCTTCATCGCAGGAAGCAAGAGAAACTACCGATGCACAGGTAGCTCAACTTTCCGCCGAACTTGAAGCTTACACCCAGCTTAAAGCAGAGCATGAAGCTCAAACACAAGAGCTCGAGACCATCCACGCGAAGGTTGCAGACTTGACAACCGAGCTTGAAGCCTTCGATGCTTGCAAGAGAGAATTGGAAGAAGCTGAATCAAAGATTGGTCATCTCAATGCCGAACTTGAAGATCATGACCAGCTCAAAGCAGACCATGAAGCATCCAAGCAAGAACTCGAGGACATTCAAGCCAAAGTTGCGGACCTTTCAACAGAGCTGGAAATCCTTGAGGGTTGCAAGAGAGATCTCGATGAGGCTGAGTCGAAGATCGGTCATTTGACCGCCACACTTGAAGATCATGAACAACTCAAGGAGGACCACGAGTCTTCCAAACAGGAATTGGAGAGCGCCCAAGCCAAAGTCGCAGAGCTGGAAAGTCAGATTGAAGGAACCAAAGAGAGCTTGGCTGCGGCCGAGTCACGGCTTGCCCAACTCGCGGAGGAACTCGAGGGGTATGCTCAGCTCAAAGAAGATCATCAGGCCGAAAAAGAACGTTCTGCGGGCCTGCTTAGCGACATCGACCGCCATCTTGCTGCTGTGACTGAGGCAGAAGGAAGGCACAAGGAAGCAGAAGCGCGTGCTATTGGGGCGGAAGAGAGACACGCCGCCGCACTCCAGGAGCGGGATCAACATGCTGCCGCTGTCACGGAAGCAGAAGAAAAATTGAAAGAATCTGAAGGGCGCGCTGCGGAGGCGGAGGAGAAACACGCAGCCACGCTCGAGGAGCTTGAACAGCATAAGGCTTCTGTGGCTGAGGCCGAAGCACGCGCTGCTGAAGCCGACGAGAAACACGCCTCTGTACTTCAGGAGCTGGAAGAGCATAGGGCCGCCGCAACCGAGGCGGAGGAGAAACAGAAAGAAGCTGAAGCTCGCGCTATTGATGCAGAAGAGAAGCATGCCACGGCCCTCCAGAACCTAGAACAGCATAGGGCTACTGCGACGGAGGCGGAAGAGAGACAGAAGGAAGCAGAAGCGCGTGCCGCTGAGGCGGAAGACATGCATAAATCTGTCCTTGCCGAGATCGAGACGTTGAAAGAAAGTCTTGCGTCAGAGACTTCGGACCATGCAGCGACGAAAGAGCACAATGAGCAGCTCACCCGAGACCTTGAAGAGGCTTCGAACTCTCATCAAACGTCGCAAGCTTCTCTAGAAGAGGCATTGGAAAATATCGCCGCCTTAAAGGAGCAGACCAAGTCGCTTGAGGCCGAGATTGCTTCCATTACCGAGTCGAAGCAGGCCGATGCAGAACAGTTTGAGGCACAACAAGCCAAGCATGCCGAAGAACTAGTAGCAGCCAAGGACGAGATCTCAAAGCTTGAGGCAGAGAAGGCGAAACTAGCTGACGACGTCGAAGCTGCCGATACGGCCAAGAAAGCGCTTGAGGAGAAAGTTGAAACCCTCGAAGCGGAGAGCTCCAAGCTTTCTACCGAGCTCGAAGAGACCAAAGCAACAGTGCAGGAGCAGGAGGAAAAGCTTGAAGCAGCAGTAAAGGCACAAGCCGATGCGCAGAAGCAGCTCGAAGAGGCGCAAGCGGAAGCTCAAAAGCAGCTTGAAGAAGCTCAAGCCAGTCAACATTCCGCAGAAGAAAAGTGTGTCGCTCTTGAAACAGAAGTGAAGTCGCTCCAGGACTCCAAGGAAGAACTAGCAAAGAAATGCGAAGAAGTGGAGGCAGGTCAGCACGCCGCAGAAGAGAAGGTTGCGGCCCTGGAAGAGCAGCTCAAGGTGCTTCAGGCCTCCAACGAAGAGTTGACAATAAAATGCGGGAAGCTCGAGGAGACAGAAGCCGCTCTGCATGCCGCAGAAGAGAAACTTGCTAGTTTTGAAGAACAGCTGAAATCGCTCCAAGACACCAATGAAGAACTGTCGGAGAAGTGTAAAAAGCTTGTCGAACTGGAGACCGAACATAACGCCGTTCAAGAGAAAGCCGCTGCCCTCGAAGCGCAGGTGGAAACAATTCAAGCATCAAACGACGAGCTGACGAACAGGCTTGAGACCACCGCAAGTGCCAAAGCGGCAGCGGAGAGTGAGGTGGAAAAGCTACAGCAAGATCATGCGTCAACCGTCGATGGACTCCAACAGGAACTCTCGTCCACCAAGGAAGCTCTCGAAAAGGCAAAAGACGAGGCAACCGCGTCTGTGGCGGAACTCGAAGCGAAATTGGCCGCTTCTGACGCTTCCCACCAGGAAGCTCAGGAATTGCTAGAAAAGGTTCGTGCAGATGCAGACCAATCTAAGACTGAAATGGATGAGAAGCTTGCTGAGGCAGAGAATGCCCTGAAAGCTGCCCAAGAGGCGCTGTCCAAAGCACAAGCTGACGCTGATGCCTTAACCAGTGATTTTGAGCAGAAACTGTCCGACGCGCAAGCTAATCAGCTTGCGGCTGAGGAGGAGGCGGCCAAGGCGAGAGAAGAACTTGAAGCCAAGCTTGCCGCAGCTTTAGCAGAACAGAAATCCGCCGAAGACGCGCTTGCAGAGATCAAGAAGGAAATCGAGACCGCTGAAGAGGCCAAAGCTTCGCTCGAGTCCAAGCTTGGAGAGGCAGAAAGCGCCACAGCAGCTGCTGAGCAGCGCGTTACGGAAACCGAGGCCGCTAAGGCCGAGTTGGAGGGAAAGGTGAAACAGGCCGAGGACGACAGAACTAATACTGAGCAAGAGCTTCAAACAGTGAGAGACAAGTTGGCGGAAATCCAGGGAGAACTTGAGGCTGTTCAACAGGAGAAGCTTAGCGTTACTGAGCAGTCAGCGAAGGATCTTGAAGCTAAAGAAGCAGACCTGAGCGCTGCCCTTGCCTCCAAGTCGGAACTCGAAGGCCAGCTCAAGGAGACGGAAGCAAACCTCGAGGCTGCCAAGAAGGCTGAGGATGAGTCCAATGGTCAGTTGAAAGAGCTCGAAATCGAGCTCGAGGCCCTCAAGGCTCAAGCAATTGACATCGGCAAGATGTCGGAAGATTTGGACGCCAGAGAGCAAGTCATCCAAGAACTGACCACGAGAAAGGATGAAGCCGAGGAGCAGCTAAAAGACAGCGAGGCTAAGCTTAATTCTTTAAAAGAAGAGATTGAGGCGCTGAAGACATTGACGGAGTCCTCGAAGGAAGAGGCAGCCAAGCACCTCGAGGGTCGAGAGCAAGAATTCAAGCAACAATCCGAGCAAGCTGCTCGGGAGCTTACAGCGCTGCAAGCCGAATTGAAGTCCAAAGAAGATGAGATCGCAGGTCTCAGGGCTTTGAAGGAGAAAATGGAAGAAGATATGGGAACTTTCTCATCCCCACCAACCTCGCCTGACCCAGAAGCGATCGAGGACAAGACATCAACCGTGGCCACTGTCAATGGTGGACGTAGTCGGAGAAGGAAGTCCAAAGCCAAGGTTGTTGATGACAGCGACGCTGCGAAAGCAGATGCGGATGACGAGTGACGATGAACTGTTTCCATCGTTTATGAGGGACGACAGACGAGGCGATGTATTTTGCAGAGCATGTTAATGGCGATGGGTGATAAGGAACGATATGACCTTGATGGGGTTGGCGTGGCTTGGGTGGGGGATTCGAGGAGTAAAAGGTGCATCGATCTATGGGTTTTGCATGGTAACCATACGGCATTGGAGCAGGCGGCCACCTCCTTGATCTCGAAGTATATACCTATGGACATGAGCACGGACGAACGGAGTAGCCTTTTCATCATGCTGGAATGATGACCTATGATCCGCCGGACAATGCTCGGCGGCCAAATGCTCCGCCGAAAGGCGCATCTCCAAAAATGACATCAGGAAAATCTCCCTCCGCATTATTTGTCAATGTCTCGATTTGCCGTCAAGCCTGTCAAGATGACGATGCCCGACACGACCAGGATTTCAAATTATTCAAATTATATCGCTCTCCCGACCCTCGTCAATATCTTCGCCCTCGCCATCTTCGCTACCGCCTTCTGCATGCTCCTCCGACGCATTTCTCGTCTGTCTCATCCAAAAGCGCCCCGACCATATCATAACCCCGCTCCCGTTACGCGGATGAGACTCGCCCAGATGTCCTCCCATATTACAAATGGCCATACCACTGGCTCATACACCAACGGCGAGTCTGATGCCACGGCTGCGCTGGCAGATATACCCAAATCAAACACTTTCACCTCGAAACTCCCTCCAGACCCGCAATATCCCACGCCGATCGACTCTCACAAAGCCCCTCGACAGAAACTGGGTCCTCGTATGGTGCGAGGGGCGCTATACACGTTTGTCAGACCTGAGCCGACCGAAGATCCCGAACTCCTGGCAGTCAGCAAAGCCGCACTTCGCGATATTGGTCTCGTCGAAAGCGAAGCATCATCTGAAGCATTCAAACAGGTCGTCGCAGGCAATAAGTTTTATTGGGATGAAGAGAAGGGCGGTGTATATCCCTGGGCGCAGTGCTACGGCGGCTTCCAGTTCGGCTCTTGGGCGGGGCAACTAGGTGATGGCCGGGCTATTTCCCTATTTGAGACAACAAATCCAAAGACCCAGGTCCGCTATGAGCTACAACTGAAGGGTGCAGGCAAAACACCCTACTCGCGCTTTGCCGACGGCAAGGCCGTTTTGAGATCGAGTATCAGAGAGTTTGTTGTGTCGGAATATCTCAATGCGATTGGCATACCTACCACTAGAGCTCTATCATTGACGTTGTGTCCCAAGTCCGAGGTCGTCAGAGAACGTCTTGAACCTGGCGCGATTGTCTGCCGCTTTGCTCAAACGTGGCTGAGACTAGGCACATTTGATCTCATGCGATCAAGAGGTGACCGGGATTTGATCCGCAAGACTGCGACCTACATTGCTGAAGATGTCTTTGGCGGGTGGGACAAGCTGCCAGCTGCCTTGCCAGCTGACACTGCGGACTCTTATCTCAATCCGGCAAGAGGCGTTCCCAAAGACGAACTCCAAGGCAAAGAAGGCGCCGAAGAGAATCGTTTTACCAGAGTTTATCGCGAAATCGTACGAAGAAATGCCAGGCTTGTGGGCATGATGCAGGCATATGGATTCATGAATGGGGTGCTGAATACTGACAACACTTCAATTTATGGTCTATCGCTCGATTATGGGCCATTTGCCTTTATGGACAACTTTGATCCTGCTTACACACCCAACCATGATGACCATATGCTGAGATACAGCTACCGCGCACAACCGAGCATTTTCTGGTGGAACCTTGTTCGTCTCGGCGAAGCCCTCGGTGAATTGATTGGCGCTGGGGATAAAGTTGACGACGAAACATTTATTGAAAAGGGTGTGCATGAAGATTTCGCACCCATCCTAATCAAGCGCGCCGAGACCATAATTGACCAGATCTCGGACGAGTATAAGGCGGTCTTCCTGAGCGAGTATCGCCGTCTGATGACGGTGCGACTAGGTTTGAAAACTCAAAAGGAGAGTGATTTTGAGAAGCTGTTCTCAGAACTGCTCGATACAATGGAAGCATTGGAACTTGACTTCAACCACTTTTTCCGCCGCCTGTCCTCGGTGAAAATGGACGACGTCAGCACGAAAGAAAAACGCGAAAGGACGGCCGAGAGATTCTTTCACCGAGAGGGCGTCACTGGTCTAAATGAATCAGTCGAATCTGGGCGCGAAAAGGTCGGACGATGGCTCGACTCCTGGCGCGAGCGAGTGGTTGAGGATTGGGATATCACTGACGAGCCTACGGCTTCCGCAGCAGATGATCAGCGAGAGAAGCTCATGAAGAGCGTCAATCCCAACTTCGTGCCTAGAGGGTGGTTGCTGGATGACATTATCGATCGAGTGCAGAACAAGAAAGAAAGGGATATCCTGAAGGGAGTTATGGAAATGACACTGGCTCCGTTCGAGGATGGGTGGAGCTGGAATGAGGAGATCGAGAAGAAATATTGTGGTGATGTGCCTCGATTTCAGAGGGCCATCCAGTGTAGTTGTTCGTCATAAACTAGACATGATACCTCAGGCAAGGCTTCCCTTGTTGAAGGTCGGGGTATCTCGGTATATCGTATCCGCTGGTCATGTAGGCGCCAAGATATATCAAGACGGTAAGGATAAACATTAATGCCATTATAACTTCCGAGGGTTTCTCTTGCTAATCATCATACGTAGTATAACCATGAGTGGCATCGTTATTCTAGCAATACCGAGTACTATACACCCGTAAAAACTGTACGCATTAACAGATGACTAATTTGGTGAAGCACTAAACCTCAATTCAGCAAAGTAGGATGCATCATTTAGACTCGCGACTCGCCAGCTGGATGAAACTATAGTCAACTGGACGATCCTCTCGCACGACAACAGTAAGGCTACCGGCTTCGATGTAGCTGGCTGGAGGCAAGCGAAGCAATGAAACTAATCTATCAGCCACCGACTTCAGTGTCGAGTGTGGCCTAGTGTTTCGCCGTGAAGGTGAGAAGACTAGATGAACGAAGTCTGGACCAAATCACAAGATCAGGAGTATCACGTTGCCTATATACATCCTCGTGTAAGGCTTTCCTTGGACAAGGATGAAATGTAGGTGTCCGAAGCTTGTGCGAAGGAGCTTCGAGAACTTCAGCTACTACCATCGTTTTCTTCACTGCAGAAATTCTACAAGCGGTTCGGCCACGTCTCTGTGACGTCTGTGCTGCTCAGCGAACACTAAAAGACGACCAAGTTCGCCATCGCTCTAGATCGTCAGAATAACAGAAAGCAGCAAGATACGATCCGATGGGCGGTGGGAGCCAAGGTCAACGCCCCTTGTGCTGCTATTAGTGCTCAATATGCCCGAGAGAAAGGCACGGACGACAAATCTGCAGAGAAGGGCCATGTCAACTCGTCCTATCTGGCACTTCGCGCTACCGGAGGCGATACTCTAATTGGTTCCGACATTCCAAAATAGGCGTCAACGATTGCTGCGTCGAAGAACTGGCGTGTCGTCAAGAACGAGATCGCGGTGCCCATTCTGCAGTGGAACAGCCCTGTAGAGGCAAGCCGTGCTTGTGGGTGGGTATCGAACCCCTTTATTGGGATCATTCGGGATGAATACTCACCATGAAATCAGCCGCTACAGTAGACTCGGAGAAGGCTGTGTTTAGCGTTCTAGACGCAGCTCGGGGCGGCAAGGGTCCGGACTGAGTAAGTGAAGTTATCGTGACGTCTGAAATCTCATTACGTACGCTCGGTCACAGCTGCTGGCAAATCGACCGGTGTTTCTGTGCACTGAGCTCAGCAATAAAAATATCGACGTGTATATGGTCCGTGGGGATACAAAGCAGTGGCCTATAAAACCAGGTGCGGATGCACATTATATTCAGGTTCTCTTTCAGACCTGCTGGGGTTACAGATCTGTGGTATCCGAACCAAATCCCACCTCATGTATTCAAGTCCGGGGATAAAGCTGATCTTTGTTGTCACTCTCTTGGCCTTGGTCCCTATGTCAACCTGGACAAGCCTCCATCACACACCGGCGCCGCTGTCTCAGGCAAAACTTACGGGAGCGCCTTACTGCGTGAATCAGACATCGCCGGCATCTGGGTCCATTTGCCAGTGCCGGAACAGGCACTCGCAGCCGTGGATCAACGTTTCATAGCCGACTGCGACGCCAACAATATGAGCGTCAAGGACGTAGCCGCATTCGAGAAGATGGGCATCATATCCACGAGCGAGCTCACTCCTGGTCCGAGCGTGGTTGAAACTTGGTCTGACAACCGGATAGGAACTCCACTTTGCACCGAGCAACGCACGATAGTGGAGGGCAAGAAATACCTAGTGGACGATAAGGAGCTACAAGACTTACCGGCGCCGAAGAATACACCCCTTCAATGGCGCGAGTGCCGCGAAGAACTACTTCGGAATGCTAGATATCCAGAGCGCTACGATGAGGGCCCAACCGTATTTCACGTCGTGTTTGAATAGTTCCACAACTGATCACAGGTTTTCCAGTCCACTCCCCAGACGGTTGTCCCCGGATGAGTGAGCAAGAGTGAGGTAGCATTGGTGATGGTGATATTATTCTTCCTTACATAAGTGAGCAGGGCCAACCAATAGTTAGGCTGCAGTAGAAGTGATCATAGGGCGGACCGACAAAACGCGCACAGAAACATGGTGAGAGGGAAAATGGAGCGTTCGTTGTGAACGGGTTCGTGCATGTACACTTTAGAACATACCACAGATATCGATGAATCAATGGATATGTATGTCCCCGGTAGCGAAATTCAAGAAAAGAAATAATAATAAAGAATTTCCGGTGAGATGACTGGAGGATGGTGAGTGCCAGAGTATCTATTTCCAAGAGAGATATATATATTCATACATATACCTACCTCTTCTCCTGAAAGACATTCACCATCTTTCTTCCCTACATCCGTCTCCCTCTTTCGTAGTAGACCTGTACATGTACATGATACATGCTAATTTATACATAATTCACCCAGGATTTTCGAACTCCACCATGACGGGTCAGAGCCGAGAAAATACACAAAGACAGGTGCACCTCGTCAACGTCTTCACGTCGGATGTGGATGGATGCGGAGGGAACCTCGCGCCCATCGTTCTTCACGCCGAGGGCCTGACGGACGAGGACATGCAAGGCGTTGCGCGCAAGCACGAGCGCGAGAGCTCGTTCGTGCTGCCGCCGGAGCGGCGGGAAAATGGACCCGACGACGATGATGGCGATGTGGATTTCCTCCTGCGATTCTTTGTGCCCGAGCACGAGATGGAAATGTGCGGACACGCCACCGTCGGCACGGCCTGGGTCATGCACGAGCTGGGCATTGTCGGGCCGGACAGGACGCGGATCACGTTCATGACCAAGTCCGGGCGGGTGCGCACGCGACGTGTGGAGAGAAAAGGAGAAGACGGGCAGGGAAGAACGACGCAGGTGTTCGTGTCTCAGCCGGCAGGCACGGTCGTGGACATCGCGGACCAGACGACGGTCGCAGAGATTCTCTCCGTGCTGGGCATCTCCGAATCCCAACTGCAGACTACGCCGCGGGCGATCCAGAACGCATGCACCAGCCGGGTCAAGACGGCGATTGCGCTGCGCAATGCAGCCGTCGTGAATGTCCTAAAGCCTGATTTCTCGCGCGTCCGGGGTCTTTGTGAGAGGTTGGGGTCTACGGGCCTGTACCCGTATGCGATTGTGCAAGGGGAAAACAGCGCCGCTGCCGCCGCTGGCGGAGACGGGGCCGGCCAATACCCTGCCCTGGAGGTCGAGGCGCGCCAGTTTCCCAAGGCCTCAGGGTATCCCGAGGACGCGGCGACGGGGATCGCGGCCGCGGCGTTGGCATATGCGCTTGCGGACAACGGGGTGCTGCGCGTGGGACAAGAGGCCGTGGTACACCAGGGCAGAGCGATGGGGTACCAGTCTCGGATCAACGTGCTGCTGAAGGAGGATGGATGTTGGGTAGGCGGAACGTGCGCGTGGGGCGGTCGGTCTGGTTGATGTGTGCTGATAACCCCCTAGGAGAAGAGGATGGGCCGCCCCGTGGGCTGTTGTCTTGGATCGGGCTTCTTCTCTTCTCATCTGGTATTCAGCGGGAGTATACTTGTGGCTTGATTCCTGGCAGCATTTGCAGCTTTGTTTGCGTCTCTTGCGCTGAGCTTCAGCCCTGTCTCCCGTGACAGATTTCATGCTGTTCCAGTCGGAGCATACTGGGACGCAGAAGACGAAAGTGTGTTGACGAGAAATACCTTGTTTACGGAAAGGCACTTGCCATACACACCGCGAAATATGAGGCACGAGGCATCTTTTCACACGCCTCGCACTAGCCGAGCAGCGAAATCAGCCAGACCCATACAACTATTAATTCGAAGTGCCCGTCTAATAGCGTAGTCTTTCCGTCCGCCAGTCTATCCCAGCCTCCGTCTCATTTTCTGCCAGGGGCGTGAGCGCCCTCAATATATCCACCTCGAGCGCGTTCCACTGATCGTCGAGGACCTTGTACTGGCCCGAAAAGTGGTGAATGTTGGTGCTCAGGGTGCCGTAGAGATTCGCCCCGACGTTCTCGATCTGCTTCACCTTGGGGTACTTCTTCAAGACTGGAATGAGTGGGTGGTCCAACCTGCCCTGTTCAAGCTGCTTCTGCGCCTCTTTCAAGGCGGTTTGGAAGAAGGCGGTCCACGCCGCCGTTGCGCTCGTCGCTGCTTTCGCATCACGCGCGGGCAGCGCCTCCAAAAGATGTCGAAAAGCCAGGTTTGTGATTATCCGCTGCTGGGAACGGTTCGCGTTCCGGAGGTCCTCGATTTCCTTTCGGAGCTCGGCTTCACGGGCTGCTGAGTCGTTTGAGAACAAATGTTTTCTGAGCGAGTATATATCTGCAGAAGGGTTTCGTGTGACGGCAGGGCACCCAGCCTCAAGACAAAACTCTGCCACCTTGGCCGAGAATAACTGGTAAATCGACTGTTTGCCAAAATCGGAGTAGCTCTGCAGCAGCTGATACCATAACGCACTGAGATTACCGGGTGAGACTGGGCCGTCACGCAGCAAAGAGATGATTTCATCCCGCGGACTGGCGGGTCTCTCAACTGTCGTACTGGGAGGCATTCGTCGCCTAAAACCTTGGAGCCATGTCTTGAAAACCGAGGTAATCAGCCAGTTCGACAGAATTACATCCAGCCGGAGAAGCATCCGCGTGCATAGATTTGGCAACACGGCCAACGCGCGGCCCGCTGGAGCGAGATCCCCGTTCTCGACCGTGAAGCCGACTAGCCAAGGAGCCACTCGCAACAGGCTTTCGTAGCATTCTGGTTCCCAGTACTCCCACGCGAGGGCGCCCAATTCGTTTATGCACGCCTGGGCGTCCGATTGCAGATGTGCGTCGCGGTGCGTCTCGAGGTATTTGCGGAGATCAACGGGGGTCGTGTCGAACTGTAGCTGGGTCCAGTCTGTCGACGGCGTGGTTGATGAGGCGCTCTCACCCATGATAGCGTAGACTGAACCACGCTGCGTCTTGAGGCTCGCTGCAAGCCCTCGGGTCGAGAGCGAGATATATTCTGCGTAGGTATATATATCTATGTATAACTCCCGTATAGCTACTTTCCAAGATTTCTTTACAGGCCAAGTAAGTTTGAAAAAAGGGGGAAAGTAGATGTAACAAGGAGGCAGCCGGTTGAATGTCGGACCGGTTCTTTCCGCCGAGCCGGTTCTGGCTTCCTCCATGCCGCTTCTAATACTCCGGACGAACCTCATTTATGTCCTTACATAGCTCGACGACGTCTCTGTTTGAACCTCGATGCGCCCATTCGCCCCAAAGCCAACCCATTTCCTTGCATCTCCCAGACGCTTCATTTCCTCTCCCACCCTTCTATCTCTATTTTCCCCCACCTGGCTATCGATCCACGCACTCAATGAGTCGCTTCGAAGTTGACTTACGCTCGCCCAGCCTCCCCCAATCACACCTTGTCCTTGGCTTGCGAAAAGGATAATCACGCAATCCACGAGAGCCAGATGGACTATCAGAAGCACCATTACACTTGCGAATGCCTTCCACGTCACAGGTCTCAATGCCACCACGAAACTACTTAAGTGAATCTCTTCCCTCGAATCGAATTTCAGGGCGAGGTCGTAGTATGCCATCGAGAACAAATTGGTGAACACGCTTTGCAGTGCCAAGGCAGGATGTCCCGTGGCATCGAGTGTCGTACTCACCAAGCTCAGATAATGCGGGTGCAGTGAGGATCGTCCGCTGGATGTGTCACGCCCCGTGGCGGGGTTAGAAGAGGAGTTTCCGAAAGTGGGCTGGCAGTCCAGGCAGAATGTGAGTGCGGTATGCTTCCATCCTAGGTTTGAATTCAACAGGATGGCCTGCCCGGTGCGCGATTCCAACCTCATATTGGCACTCGAGACCCAGACGTCACGCCTTACACTTGAGCTTGAAGAATCCGGCTCTGGTGGTGCGAGGCTGAGAATCCCTCGCTCTGCGAGCGTATCATTGATCTTGGACGACGGACCAGTGTTGTTGAGCCCGACAGTCCCCATTTGGAGACGAATTCCTTCTGTACTAAATGTGCGATTGTCATAGTCCCATTCGATACTCGGCTCCGTGCGATTGCGCCAACTACTGGCGCTGATATGACGGTCGGCCACGTTGAAAGCGCTGTAGCAGAGAGAAAGCGAGAAGGTCACCAGTGGGTCGTTCGTGGGGATGTCAAGCCATTCGCCCCTGCTCACGTAGTCTGCTTCAGATGCCAACCTCAGATTCGAGACAGTCGGTCCGCCATCATCGTCTTCGAAGATCTTCTGTCGCTTACAGTAATTAAGCCAGCGACCCCAAGTGCCGGTCGTGTTGATGAGGAGATAGGCTTGACCTACACCATACAGCATGTAAGTGTTCATTCCATACCGTGTACCACTGTTCGGATCAAGGACCTCATCGATGCTATCCATGGCTGAAACAATGCCGGCTGTTTGAGTTACGGGACAGGCCATTAACGACCACTCTGAGCGCCGCTGTGCATTTGGAACTGCTGTACTGCAACTGAAGTTCTTTGCTCCCTTGTCGTTTTCATGGTAGCGGAAGCGCGGGACTGAGCTTAGATCGATGGAAATGTCCCCGCTGATCCTTGGACCGGCGCATTCGTCGATATTGCCCATGTCAAGGGATGCGTGTTTGACTACAGGGCGTCCACAGACCACACGAGAGTCCAGAACAGTGGCTTTACCGTCGTAACTCTGAAGCGTCTCCCGCGAGCTCTTCTGCAATATCGGCATGAACGCCCGCATTACAGTCCCCGTATCGTGAACACCATCAATCGCTTCACGGACCTCCCCAACTTCCGAGTATTCGGCAAAAGCGGGATACTGGGCTGGCGGCAGGAGCATGTACCCTTCTCCGGACCAGGTTGCTTGAGAAGAGATACCAGCATCCCAGTTCAGAGTGGATGGAATTGACGTGTTCTGCACCAAGCCTGCTATCGGGCTGATTTGCAAGTCGGATAACAGAATTGTTGAGGTGAATTGCACAACGGTGGTCGTTAACAGGAGAAACACTGCTAACAACCCGACGATCACAGCCTTCCTCCTCTTGCAGGAATCAAAAAGATCCACGACAAGCTGGTGTGGTCCATTGTTCTGATACTGCAAAAGAGCCATTGACACAGAGTTCGGCAGCGTAACATGAGATCTTTGCAATGCTAGATTTGCGAGCATAGAGGTGCATAGTGCCGCCTGCGCGAACACGGCAAATCGAATGACAAGAGCTGTCAACGCTATGGCCTGAGCGATGCGTCCTTCGGCCACGATCCGTCGCCAAAAATTATTATGGTCGTCTGCCTTCCACAAGAACCATAAGAACGCAATTGCACCGGCGATGAGAAGGGTGCCGAGTGACAACACCCCGAACCCGTAGCGACCGATGTCGAGGACCTTTCCCGGTTCCTGGCGGCGTGGAATAACTGTTTCTGGTCTGTCTGGCGAGGCTCCGGTCCACAAAGGGTCTCCCGAAGAGTGTAATGATGGAGTTGAAAGCTCAAAGATATCGGACGGGCCATTTTTGGCCGCCATTCCGGCCCTCAATGCAATGGCGAGAAAGAGATGTCAGAAGAATAAAAGGTATCAGACATGAAAGCCCTGCTTCGACGATCACAACATCATTTTCTTCCGAGGACCCCCATTAAAGACAAGAAAAGAGCACAGATCTAGACTGCCTTGGCTAAGCCGTGGCACTTAGAGTGGAGGACTCACCCTGGAGCTGACTATTGCAGCATTTCTGGGCGTCGGTGGGGGATGCAGTGGGTGGGCTAACTCATCCCGCTTCCAAGATGTCTTAAGACCAACAGGTATCCGCTGCCTTTTCCGACGTACTCACCTCCACTTCCTCCAATAACGCTTCAGGTGGTTGCATCTCTTGCTTGTGCCATGAACATGAAGCTTTGGCCCTCATCAAATATGCCCATGCACTTAGGTTCGCATTCCGCCACGCCTGCCAACCACACCGGCTCAAGAATATACATTGTAACTAAAGGTTAATTCACGTTGAGCCAAGATGCATTTCGCTTAATTTATTGTTGGACTCCCAATGGGATGATTTCGGCCCACTGGGAGAGCTCAGCTGCCCAGCCTCGTCCAGTTTTCGACCAATTAACCACTCCGATCGCTCTTGTCCCAGGCAAACATCCTGATACTGGGTTCCTTGGCTCGATGAATGTCCACAAGCCGATGTGTGCATGAGGCGGGTCGACGACTTCATGGTGCTTCTTTGGGATCTGGGGTTTCCAGATAGGCATGTTTGTTCTAGGTCCCTTATTAAAACATCCCATGTTTCTACCACAAGTCAGATACTCTATCTTTCCTTAAGCACGCGATGGCGGTCGGCATTTGTTGTACACCACGCGGACCACAGTTGGTGAATATATATGCACTCGTTCTGATAACGATATCACAGTTCGCGTGCGCTGGAGTGGGACTCCCTCCATATGATACAGACTGGGTTCCTAAAGCTGTTCTTCAACCGCGGGCAACAACGACTTTCCCACCAGCACCAAAGGATACTTGTGGCTTTCTTTCGGGAGATTTTGGTATGTTCGAGGGAGCTCCTTTCCATCAATATCCCCTATAGCGTGCGTTTTGGATGCAACCCGTTGTCCGACGCGGTCCTGACCTAGGCACGGGTAGATATGCCACTTACTTGCCAGAGTTCACGCACCTGTGCACGGTTCGGGTCCTTTATTGGATGCTGCCTGCCATACCAGTGCACCAACATCGCGACAACATGTCGTGACCATTCCAGTTCTCAATCCTGCGACACTAAGCTATCATCCTGTGTGGTAACCGAAGATCCACCCAATACATTGGACTGGTGAGGCTCTAGCTATCATGCGACCTGGCTCAGCAGTTGTGCTCGACTAATCTAAATATGCATTTTACAGCCAGAGCAGAGCACCATACTGTGGACAGCTCCTCCTGGAAGGCGGATCGACAGCGTGGATATGCACCACCAAGGAGAACTATATAATGACTGTGCTCCGGGCCAGCATCCGCATTGAATTGGGTGATTGGCCTGCAGAAGTAACCGCTTCTGCCATTGCCTCGCACTCCTCAGGATTGACAACGAGCTCTACTACAACCGCGGCGCATTTTACTCCAAGCTTGCCTACAAGGGCCCCTTCCCCGGCGTCAGCTAGCATTGTTCCGGCTGTGTTTGGCGGCCTGGCTATCGGCGGCATCACAACGATGGCCGCTGTGACCATCGCCAGTATCTTCTTCATCCGCTGCAAGCGCCGCACACAGTATGAATGCGTCTCTCAATAATCCGATCCTCCACGCTTAACCACGATTTAGCTAGTAACTAACCACCCCTGCACCTGAGTGACGAATCTGCCGTCACAAGGCTGACGAGGCCTAGATCATTGGATAAGGATCAACCAAATAAAGGTTGAATTGACGAGTCTGCGCCTCCTTGAGCGTTTTCAAGCGAGCAATCACCCTGGCGCTCGAGGACTGTAGAGAAAAGGCAATGCCACAAGAAATTTCCACGGCCACCTATTAGGTCTATGTTGACGAGATAAGCGGTCATTCCAAGCAGTTACCACTCCCGACTCCTCAGTCGGCGCTACGGGAGATTGCGTCAAAGAATGAGTGATCGCTTCGGAGTTTAAGCACTATACATATTACCCCGTTGATAAACCCTGCGAGAAGATGTGCAAAGCTCCCAATCCCGTAGGGAGCCGTGGACTCAGGCTGCGCTGAGGCCGCCGTTCAAGGGGATACGAGTGCTGGCCGATGATTATGATATCAGAGATATGTCTCATGTCTTACCCAAGACCCTCGCATATCAGTAGGAAACATCATTTCTTCGTCCTCTTCCTCTTCCCTCTTTTTCCAGCATCGTCATCTCTTCCTTCTTCGTCCGTGCCATTATCGCTCTCTTTCTTTCCTCTCTTTAGAGCGCCTTGCGCCATTTCTGTCCCTATTCCGGCCCACATTCTCCCTTCAACTTTCCCTATATCGCCATCCCACCGTATTGCCATTTCCCTCTTCTCTGGATCCCGACCCCGAAGCCACTCCGCTGCAATCCACCCACACTCCTTACCCAACTTCTCTGTCCCTTCCTTCAGCCTCTTTCCTCCGCGAATGTTCATCCCGTGATCCGCGCCCTTTACAGTCACCCTCCATGTCTTCGCCTTCATCTTTTCCCTGATAACTTGTAGACTCTGAAGTGGACACATGCTATCGTTATCCCCGGAGATGAAGAGCACGTCCACATCCTCGTCAATGTCGAGGAGAATCTTGTCCCGCATGTCTCCGCTCGGTCCTACGAGAGGATACGATGCCAGCACCAGAGCCTTCACCTCGTTGTCGGTATGCGATGCGACCACGGCTGCGCGCGCCCCCATGCTTCGACCACCGTATGCCAGAAACGCTTTCTGCCCCTTGAGGCTCCATGACAGTGATCCGCTTTCCATCTCATGCTCTTTCACAAGCTCAAACAGCCTTGCCCTTGCCTTCACATTCATGTTTCCCTGGAACATCACGACGGCCGAGCCTGCCGACGCGAATCCTTGCGAGAAATTCACCATGGCAGAGGCTGAGAGGTCGCCTCCTGCGCCGTGAGTGAAGATCAGTGAAGTGGGATGAGGGACCGGGTGGCTCCGGAGACAAGGGGTTTGCTTGTTCGGTTTTCCGGATTTGGCGGGACTTGCACTGGTGATTGTGAACGCTGTGAATTTGACGGACGTGGAACCCAGGTTGAGGCTGGCGGGAAGACTGGTGGAAGTGGACTTTTCCCTAGCCTCCATAGCTTGGCTAGCACTGAGAGGGTCGACTTTGTCCTCGCCGCCGTGGACTTGAGTTTCTTCCGCAACCTGTAAATTTGCGTCCCGTACGTCTGATCTGTTCTTCGCGGCCTCGTCTTGGGTGGGGGAGCTTGTTACGGCGCCGGACCGCGTGGTCTTTCGTCTGGTTCGAGGGGCCATATGGTCTTTAGGCTTTGTGAATACACCCGGTCGTTGTAAACGCGATTGCGGACGGCCAAATCCAACCCTGAGTTCGACAGTCTGTTTTCAGATATCGCCTCAGCGAGTGGTATTCTCAGGCACACGTCAGAGAGGGATGCAAACTTTGACCGGTCCTGGCAGATTGATGGATCCCCTTCCTGTGTGTACTTTGCCGTCGCTTACTTTATGTGCATTTCACCCCATCCCAAACACAAAGTTTCGTTAGGATTAAGCCCTCCATAAGGGAAAAGCAGAAGATGACAATATTCGAAAACAAAAAAGGCGCGTGGCTGGGACGTGAAAACAAGCTTGTTCGTATTCGGATTCTCATCCCCAGTATTAACAAAGGGGCGACGCATTCCGAGTACAAGGCTGTGACATGCGGCAGCTCGGTGGAGAACTCCGATCTCTCTGCCGCGCGAATACCATGCAGAAGTGATTGTTCTTTATCGCCCAGCGAGAAGCATTCAATATTGTCGATGGCGTGACCAACAGAAGGCATCGGAGATAGAGCGGCCCGGACAGACCCGGAAGAGGGAATATTTCTTTCGATGCTTTTCTTCGTTAGCAGACATACTGCGCACTTTCAGAAGCACTACTTGTACAGGCTAGCTTCTCAAGATGGGCGATGCGGGACGAGCGTGTCCCGTTTCACGCATTGCCGTGATAGGAGCAGGTCCGGTGGGAATCTCATGCGCGAAATATCTCCTTGCTGAGAAGGCATTTGCGACAATCGACATTTACGAACAGCGTGATCGGGTCGGAGGGATCTGGAATCTCTCCGCACCAGAACGATCGAAACGGATTCCAATCCCGCAGATTGATCCGCGATACGGCCAAAAACAAACACGACACAGACATGAGAATGGCGGCGCCGAGGACGGGCACGGCTCCTCGGAATTCTCGGAGTCCCTGGAGTTTGAGTCGCCACTCTACGACTATCTCGAAACGAATATTCCGAAGCAACTGATGGCGTTCTCCGACAAGCCCTTCCCGGAAGAAGAGCCATTGTTCCCTAGCCACCAGGCCGTGTTGAAGTACTTGGAAGAGTATGCGGACGAAGTTAGAGGGTTGATTCGCTTTAACACAGCAGTTGAAAACGTGCGGCCAGTCAGGGATCAAGAGAATGGGAGTGAAAAGTGGGATTTGACGGCGCAGAATGTTCTCTCAAGAGAGATTGTCAGAAGCGTGTATGATGCCGTGGTGGTGGCAAACGGGCATTACACTGTGCCGTATGTCCCAGCTATCAAAGGCGTCGCGGATTGGCATTCTTCATACCCCACGGCCATCATTCATTCGAAAGCCTATCGAAGACCAGAGGACTTTAGGGACAAGAAGGTCATCGTGATTGGGAACTCTGCTTCGGGGTTGGACATTGCCGCACAGATTGGGAAATATTGTCGGAAGCCCGTATTGCTTTCGTCAAGATCGGTGTCGGCTTTTGGGACATTGCCGGGTGGTGGGTATAGGGAAGATGTTGACGAAGTTGTGGAGTTCTTGTCGCCAAAGCAGGGGGAGTCCAGAGCAGTGAGGTTCAAGAGCGGCAGGATTGAGAAGGATATCGATGCAGTTGTGTTTGCAACCGGATACTTCTACTCATACCCATTCCTTTCCGGCGTGCTGCCGCCGCTGGTCACTGACGGCTTCCGCACAAGAGGCACGTACCAGCACCTCTTCAGCATTGACCATCCGACATTGGCCTTTCCAGTGATCAATCTCAAAGTCATTCCTTTTCCGCTTTCCCAGAACCAGGCCGCCGTCTTGGCCCGGGTTTGGAGCAACCGGCTTGACTTGCCTTCACCTGCAGAGATGCGAGATTGGGAGCGAGACACGGTCCGTCGTAAAGGGGATGGGAAATACTTCCATGTCCAGAAATTTCCGGAAGATGCGGCGCAGATCAACGAGCTCTATGCATGGGCACTGCAGGCGAAAAGGAAAGATGGACTGGAGAATGATGGCGCTGGGAAGCTGGGGACGAGATGGGACCAGAAACGAGTCTGGATGAGGTCCAAATTCCCTGAGATCAAGGCTGCGTACGTCAAGAGAGGTGAAGCGAGACTCCGGGTGAAGACAATAGAGGAGCTGGGATTTGATTTTGATCAATGGCGAGAGCAAGTAGAGGATAAAGACCTGGAAATGTTCCAGAGAGCACTCTGTTGATAGACGAAGTAGACAGACCTGGTGGCTGTCAGTCCTACAGTGCATCGCTTAAGGGACAATGTCCTCCGGTTCCAGAATAAACAAGGGTATCTCTCATTCTTGACCTCAATTGCCACTCCAGGGTTTCAGTTTGTCTCGGTCCTCAGACCAGATATCGGGGCTACGCTCTAATTGACTAGGCTGCGAGCCAAAGCGCCCGCCAATCACAAAATTCAAAGAATGTACACAGTACCCAGTAGGTAATTGAGCCGACGGGTCTGGGAACTGAGACAAGTTTCAGCCTTGTCAGGGTTGGCTCGGCTAAGTTCCCCTCGGCTGACTTGCCTCCAAAGCTCCATCGCAGCTACCGCCAGAAGCCGACCACTGTTTCCCGCCCTTGACCTCCATAACCAAGACGTCAATTAGTTCCTCGTCCGCATTGCATCGTCGGCCTCGGCGAGCTCTCCATGAACCTCAAGCCGACCATGAATTCCTCCAGCACAAAGCTCTCCGTCCACAGAGTATAATGACGGGGCCTGCACGCAAAAGGGTACGCAAAAGAGGCAGCACGTCATTTTCCAGATACCGCAGGCCCAAGAGGTCCAAGCCTACCGTAGAAGAACCCTCGCTTGAGGAGCGGAAGAAAATCTGTGCAGAATACGAGTCGTTTAACGAGGTAGGGGAGGATTATTGGCTTGTTCAAGATATATTGCGCCACCGCCGTGGCCGCAGGAAGGGCACGTTGGAGTATCTGGTGCTCTGGGCAGATCATCCCCGGACTGGCCAGCGCTTTCCACCAGAGTGGGTATGGAATATGAAGGATCTTCTATATCATCTCTGCTAACCGAGCTTATAGCTGGCGAGCGACAAAGTCACAGAGCCGGCTAAAGAGGAGTACTGGGCCAAACTGACCGCAGAGAACGATAAGGTCGCAGAGGACGGCAACGCCGCCGAGGGCGACCAGACCGTCAAGAAACCAGACGGCGAAGAGAAACCTAAGGGCCAAGAGAATCCAAAGGGGGAAGGGAACCCCGACTGCGAAGGGAGCCCAGAGAGAGAAAAGGTCTCAGAGGGCAAAGAGACCGCAGGGAGTGAAGACGCTGTGGAGATCGCAGACCAAGATATCCCCGAAGACATCGCTGTGGACAACGGAGAACCAGTCTCTCCTTACGTTCCATCAACACGCATTCAAAGCGTAAGCGCCTTGAGTTCTGCTCGACTGGCTTCAGAAGAGTTTTCAGAGAGAGTCAACTCTTACAGCCCCTCAGAGCCGTCGGCCCGGCCAAAGTCAGTCAGAACTCGCGACCGATCATCCAGAAGCAAGACAACCGAGCCCCACCCCCCCATATCGCCGGAGTTTTCGAACCAAGATCGAAGAAGTTCTTGGGATTGGACCGACGAGGCGCACACGCCAACTAGGGGTGTATCACCATCGCAGGAATCTCACCCCCCATTGCCTGCCGAACCACCAGTGGCTGATACTACCATACCCCCAACATTCCCTCGCTCTCGAGGCCCGAGCGAACAGTTGCTTGGCTTTTCGTCAATCAAGTTTTTTGGCCATTCTCCGACACTCTCTTCAGCCTCGAAACCCTTAGACCGGGGAGTTGTCCCAACCTCTTTCCTTCTGGAAGAAAGCGGACTCCGGGTGGAAGAGATAGCGCGACGGTTCTGGGATCCTTCGTATCGTCCGGCCTTTATGAGGCCAAGGTTCTGTGCTGAAGACCCTGCATTTAGCAATATGGATCTCCCAACCGGCTCAACTATCAACCCACCAGCCCTGCAACTCCCTGAAGCTGCAATGGTTCGTGGCAGTGCTGCCCCAACGTCGATATACGACGTTACTTTGGGAGGAAGTGCGCTCCCAATTCAAGACTCCATCGAGGAAGAAGAACACGCATCGAACAGTGAGCGATTCTCATCGGAATCCAAGACAAGCTCGAGTCAGCAATCTGTTGAAAACGAGCGGAACGCAACCCAAATTGCTGAATTGGTTCAACCTAGCCTGCCTATTCTTGGTCCTGCAGAATACGCGATAGCGCTTCCCTGCGAGGGCAAGATAAATTCAACATACTCCGACATTATCAAAGCCAAGGAAAAGTCCATAAAGAAGTTCATCAGTAGACACGAATCCCTTGGCTCGTCAAACGGGTCTCTTAATCGAGCTCAAGAAAGAAACGATATGAATGAGTTGGTCCAGCGCCTGCACGATACTGTCACGCACATGGATTTGGGCTTACCTGGAATATCCACTCAACATTCACTCGAATCGCAGGAACTCGCGGCTTATACAAACTACGCAAGCGCGAAATTCTCCTTTCTTGGACATCTCGTTAATATGTTGAAAACCACCGACTGCTCGATTCTTATCATGGCTCGAGAGGGTCCTGTCCAGGATCTGCTCGACCAATACCTAAAGATGAAGCATGTCAACGTGAAACGACCAGATCGGATTGCCCGGTCGAAGTCACCAACCCCAGATCGACTCACGACAGATTTTCAGGTTGAACTCGTCAGCACCTGGTCGACGCACGAGCTTGCCATTTACCCTAGACCAGTTCTGATGATTGCTTTCGATGCGTCTTTCGATTCCCAAGACCCTCAGGTAGCACGAATTCGATCTCTTCGCTCTGAAAGGCAGCATGAGCTCATGCCGGTCCTTCATTTACTGGTTGCGAACTCGTCCGAACACGTCGACCGCTGTCTTCCAAAAAGCATGCCATCCCATCAGAGGCTAAAAGCGTTAGTCCGAGCTACCTATCAGGCTTGGCCGAATCTGGGCGGAAAGCCGAAGTCTCTACCACTTCCATCAGAAGAACCAGAGGGCAGACCCCTGGATTTTACTGATATCCAACTGAGCATCAGAAAGGGACTTGAACGGAGGCTTGTGATGCTTGCTGGGTTGGTTACGCAGGCCGCCATCTCGCCCAACTTTGATGCGAATTGGAAATTGGGTTTAATGCCGGAATTGCATTTGCAATTGACAGAATTAGAAGAGCCTCACTTCAAACGTAGTGGAGCGACCACCAGAGCTGAGACACCGAAGGAGGCTCTGGCTGGATCTGGGACTCCCGCGTCACGTGCCGACACTCCCTCGGGCAGAAAGCGCTTGTTAGATGTTGAGGGCTTCCTTCCCGCACTGCAAAAGCGACAACGCCTTACGCCTCTTGGAGATTCGGTCGAGGCGAGTGGCCGAATTGATGCGCAATACCAACTTGCACACCTTCAGGACCATGTCAAGAGACTGGAGGCAGAACTGGAAACAGAAAGGGACGCCCGACGAAAGGCGGAACAGGATCGAGATCATGCACACGAACACCTGGCACAATGGAAACAGGACCATGCAAATTTGCAACGACGTTACGAGAAACGAATGACCCAGTGTCATGAGTTGGAGAAACAAAAGCAGAAACTCCTGAAAACCATGGAAAATAATAGAACAAGAAACGAGAGAATTGCAGAGAGCGATGTCGCTCTAAGGCAGAAGAATGCAGAATTGCAGAAAGAACTTGTGGTAGTACGCGAGGAGATCAAAGCTGGTGGCGGCGACGCGGCAGCAGTGGAACTCGCGAGAGAAGAAGCTCGCACGCTTCTTGCCAAGAACACCGGCCTGGAAAAGTCCCTCGAAAATACCCGCAAAGATTTCGAATTTACCCGAACTCAATATCAGGAAGCGTCGAACAAGGCCGTAGACCTGGCAAACCAGGTAAAGGACTTGGAAGAAGAGGTTACAAACCTGACTAAGCAAGCCGGCGATGAGAAGCGGCGCCTGAGGGAGATCAACTACGAAGACAGCATCAAGCGGCACCTGGACAAAATCTCCGAAATAAGACTGGAATGCAAGTCACGGGACATGCTTCTGCGAAAACTAGAAGAGGAAAATCGCCTCTTAAAGCGCAATCGCGGCATCCAGACTCGTGGGTCCAGTGTGCAACCGCCAGGCAGCCCGGGGCTAGATGGTCACGGTGGCAATCGCACGAGAAGTCGCCAGGGAAGCCCTGCTCCGGGCCTGTTTGCGAATTCGCACCACAACAGCGTAGCGAACAGAGGCAGTTTATTGAGACATGAGCGGTAGGGTCGTGGAAATGGGTCGGAAGTAGATACGTAGGTGGAGACAGCAGGAGAGGGTCAAAAGAGGCGGGTTTCTTGGACCGATCAAGCGACCTAAAGGTATCTTTTTAGTGAGCACCGGATAATATTGACGGCGGGCATTTGCGAGATCGGGAAAACCCGACGGGGTGAGGGCTTGTCAGCATTGGTCCTTTATTCATCTTGAGTCCACGTTTGCACTGTGGCGGTCTCTGACATAACAGCCGGAGAGAACACAGGTATCTTGGTTTGTTTTGAGCCAATATTAATGCCGTCTTGCTCCGGGAGCTTTAGAGCCCAACAAGGCGGCATGGTTGTCTTTGCTGGACAGCTTCGGACATTCATAAATACACCATGGAGAAAGTCCTGCATTCAGCCACCGAGACGTGATGAGATTCTTAAAAGGATGGGAAATAGGCAGCCTAACATACCGTCTTTGTATCGGTCCAAGCAGGACACCAATTACTGATCTGGAGACGAAGTAGAGTCATGTGGCAGCGATGCCACAGTGGAAGTGTAATGAGGTGTCCTAATGGCAAGGCTGCGCAAGGCTACGACAAAGCTTCGATTGGGAGGTATCCCGAAAGCATTCTTGACAGCCACCTTCCACTTCGAACTTCGACTATAATTCCATCATCCTACTTTCCGCTCCCAGACGGTTGCTCATCTCTCTACGAGGACCTGCGCATAGTATCGAGTCTCTGTGTCAACTTGAGAAGGAGCCGCCAAGGTTTCAGTACATTTGGCAACTAATTCGACGGAATCGAAAGCTCTCGACCATGAGGCTCAATGATTTTAACTTGCAGTCATCCTCGTTGAAGAGACTCAAGGGGGTGCGGAGAGGGTTTGCAGCAAATAGAGGTGGATCGCTGCCGCCGGAGCTTCCGTTTCGAGGGTATCCCGGTAGCAGAACAATCATGTACTCCTGTAAGTTCTTTTTTCAAAGGCTTTTAGATACACCTCTATGGGTTCATCGAAAGAGGTTCATTCTAACCCGTTTCTTCATTGAAAAGGCGTTGCAGCCTGCCTCGGCATCTGGACGGCGTGGCATTGGAGTATGGGAAATTTCCCTCCCAAGACAGAGGGCCCTGACAAGCGGCCACAAAACGCCACGCAAAGGAAGACATTCGATAACCTGCTCAAACACTTCACTGTCAAATTAGATGACGTGAAGCAGCAAAGATGGTGGACGCTGGTCACCCCTGCGTTCAGCCACATCCAGACCTATCACATCGTGGGCAACTTGTTCACCTTCTCCACATTTTCGAGGATGCTACTCTGGTACGGAATTGCTCCTCTGCGCTATGGACAACTAATTCTGGTCTCCGCCGTTGCGGGCAATGCGGCATTCTTGTACCAGGCATCCCAGAGACAGCGTCAACACGATGGGAACCGCTGGCTGCAATCCAGGGCGCTTGGCTTGTCGGGGGTAGTCATGGGTCTGGGTGCTGCGGTGTCGTTGGCCACTCCGAAAGCCAAGGTTCTCCTCTTCGGCGCCATTCCCATGCCGGTCTGGCTGCTGATGGTGCTATACGCCGCTTACGACTCTGCAAGACTAGAGGACCAAACCTCCACTGTCGGGCACGCGGCACATCTCGGTGGAGCTGCTTTCGGGGCCATCTACTATCTGGTCGCGCTGCGGAGCAAAGCAGCGCTTCCGTATGCCTGGATGTTCAGATCTTAAGGCGTGCTTTTGGAGGCCAGCAGGGGAAGTGGAAAGGAACATTATGTCAGGCAGGGCATGCCTCGTGCCAGATCTGATCGGGATGGATAGAGTTCGGTCGGCATCCTTCTACCTTGGATCTTCTCTCCACGTCTTCGCCGAGCAACCCGTTGGGGGCCAGCAATCACCTCAAATTACACGGCGTTGACGGGCAGGGCAGGGCAGGGCAGGGCGTCAGAGTTTGAGGGGATTCAACTTGGGGATTCAACTTGTGGATTGTCTATCCAAGGGCGAGGTTAATTGAATATACCTGAGGCCTGAAGGCCATAAACGAATAGGCTGGGCAGGTCCTGATATTTTGACGTCGAGCAGAGTGTGTTTGCTGTTTAACAAGCTGGAAGCAATAATGGTTGTTTATTCGCTCCTCTTGGAAAAGAAAGGCAAAAGGCTTCATTATCTTTCCCCCCGCGTTTGGTTCCCGTGCGTTGACGGGATACTGGAGGCGAGTTATCATACGTGCCTGTGAGAAGACTTGGATTCCATCAAGACTATACGCGGATTTCCACGGGTATCCTCCCTCGCCTGGGCGATATTGGCACGTTTGACTCCTGAAGCTGCATTAGATGCAACGCTGTATTCTGTGTCCTGCAGGCCGTGCTACTCCGGTTTAGACGTGACGCGCCGTGAAAATGCAAGTACTGGTACAATGTTGTGGTGTCTGTCTCTGCCTCCACAATTCAAGTTCCAATGTTTTTGCAATGTCCCGCCCCTCAGACACCAGTTTAAGTCCTTAAGATACCTTTCACCACCTTGGGTTGATCTCGTCTTCCCCTTGCCTCGATCAAGACGCAGAATCCAAGTGAACTAAACTGTGCCTTGTAGCATTCATCATAACCCTTACTTACTTCGCCTGTTCCGGCAAGTAAGCACCTCCGGCAAGCACGAGGTTCATATTGGTGAATTTGACCTTATAGACGGGACTCTGCTTGGTGAGGAACGCGCTGATTTGATCGCTGGTGACGACCGCGTCCTTACCGCGTCTCTTGCCACCCTGCATTCCAGCGATGCCAACACCACTGACACTCGTGGTACCAACACCAGCACCCACGCCCGCTGCACCAGTCACCGTACCCGAAGTGAGGTTCAAATTCGACGTCGGAGCGTTGGTGCCTCCGGCAGATTTGGGAACTCCATCCTGTATTGTACCTCCGCCCTGCGCCGTTGTTAGGCCATCGCCTGGTTTATTTGTGGTCGCTCCACCCGCCGTGGTGGTACTTGCTGCAGCTTCCTTTGCCGGACCTGTAACGTCCCATGCCCTCACAGTGCAGTCCGCGCCGCCACTCACCAGCACTGTTGATTCAGCAGACCAACTCAGACTCCAGATGCCTCCTTTACCGTGACCGCGCATTTTCTTAAGTAGTCTTCCCGGTCCTAGGTCCCAGAGCAGTATGACTCCAGTGTCGTCTGCCGAAGCGAGGATCTTGCCGTTTCGAGAACAGGCCAGTGCTGTGATGGTCGATGTGTGGCCGGTAAACATCCTCACGGCATTTCCGTTATTCAAGCTCCACATTCTGACCGTTTTATCTGAACTTGCAGTGAACACATAGCCCGAGTTAGGATGCCAAGCGACGACATCCACATCGTCGTCGTGGCCCGCCAAAAGCCGCAGTTGGCGAATTTTATCGGTCGACCAGATTCTTCCCGTCTTGTCATGGCCGCAGGATGCGAAATAATGTCCAAATGGTCCCCAGACCACTGACCAGACGGGACCCACGTGGCCTTTGTAAACGACTAAGCACTGGAAGACGTCGAGGTTCCACAGGCGGATGGTACTGTCTGCGGAACACGACAGGAGCCATTTTGAATCTGTGTCTGGGGAATCTGGGCTAGGCTTGTCTGTCGAGGGCGCGAAGGCGACCGCATACACAGGTCCAGAGTGGCCGATGAGACGTTGGGAGTTCTGTTGTTGACCGCTTGGTGCGGGGGGGCCTAGAGCAGAGCCGTCCATGGTCCAGATGCGGATATATGATTCCGAGAAGCCCGCAGCAATCAGTCGCTGATCGCCACTGAAGTCCATGCAGCAGATCGAGTCGTGTGTATTGTGGAATGTGTACATTACCACGCTAATCCCGGGGCCGATGCCGCCAGTACGAGACTCGATCTTGAGGCGGTCGCGGTTTTCGCGAATCTTTTGGACCTCCATGGCCACATCCCGAGCAGTAGATACTGGGAATGGAATCTCGGCTCGATTGGGGCCCTCGTCTTCGTCTTCCTGCTTGATATTGACCAAATCATGGGTTTGGACAAGTGTAGGCTGACCTGGATAGGGAGATATCTTCTGATCTAGTTCCTCGAGTTCGGCGCGAACATCCCCTTCGGCATCCTTGTCCATGGGTAATTTGCCAAGTTTGAGGGTCGCTAGATTGTTTCCGACGTTTGGGTCTGTTGAAGAGACGGCATTTCCCGGTCTGTGACCTGGGATGCCTTCGTCTTCGGCGGGCATATCTTGGCCGTCAATCCCTCGCTGGATCACGGAGGCAAAACTGAAGCGATCGTCTGCTGCACGCTCGACTTGTCGTAGGTCCAAATTGTTTTCTACGATATTCATGAAGAGTCTGTAGCCTGCTTGGGGGAGAGTCTCGAGGAATTGCATGAAGTAGACGTATGCCGGATTGCTGAGGGACAGACGGTATTTGTTGTCGCGGTAAATCTTTGCGATTTTATCTTCGCCATGTTCCGGTAGGGAAATGTGCTCAAGCCCTCTGAGGTCGTATTCATGCTCCTTCTTGAAATCCTCTGAGAACTTTTGAAACAACCGATGGGCTTCTTTCGGGTAGAATTGTTTGATAAGGTCAAGGTACGAATAGACAAAAATAGGCCAGAGCAGTCGCTTGACTTCTGGTTTGTAGATGTCGAGCGCGTCATCAGTCCATGCTTGTAGCCGTACAAACATCTCATAGTATCGCGGAGGCCCGGAAGGTGTTGGTTTCAATTCTGCGTCTTTGGGAACTTCTTGATTTGCTGATTCAGCCCGAAGGGTGGCTTCTGTTTTGTGGTAGCCTTTCTTTGCGAGGTAGTCGATCACCTATTCGAAGCCATTAGCAATTGTCGCGAGGTGTCGATGAACACATGAACATGCAGGAGAGAGCATAAGTAAATAATCTACAAAATCCATGGACTTGGGACGTTTCGACTTCTCATATCTCTCGATATCTTTGACGTAGGCGTAAGGGTAATACGGGTTGTTTGCTTCCAATCCCAGCTTGTGCTTCTTTGACGGCCTTACCGGCGCACCAGGACTCTGATGCAGGTTGGGTACAGACGGCTGGATGAAAGGAGCGAGCCCCAAGCGTGTCACCGTGGGTGATGGTGGAAGAAAGCTGGGGTTACTTTGAGGGGGTTTTGGCGGTCGTCCCGGTTTCCTAGGACTCTGATTCATGTTGAATGTAGATGACTGGATGGGGGGAGCAAAGGTCCAGCGTGTCTCTGTGAATGCTGGCGGAAGAAGGCTGGGTCTGTTTTGATGGGTTTTTGACAGCGTTCCTGCTCTGCCGTGACTCTGATCCATGTTGAGTGTAGATAACTGGATGAAAGAGGCGAATTTCCAGCGTGTCTCGGAGGATGGTGGCAGAAAAAAGCGAGGGTTTGTTTGATGGGTTGTTTATACACTAAGGGCGAGTCCTTCTAGGGAGGAGCGCAATATAGAGAGCCGCGCTGCACCCATCTTTCGTGCCTTTATGTGACCGAATAGTTGCTTCACCTTGGCATTGTTGCTGCTTACCAGAACCGTCACGCATTTGGGCCAACTTAGACAGCGAGGCTAAAGCAGCAATCATCTTCACCTCCATCAAGTACAAGACGCGACACGACACGACACGACACGACAAGACAAGACAGGACAAAGATAGATGGAGGAAGTGCAGGGAAGGGATTGCTCACAATTTGGTTGAGATTCTGTTGAGACATGCCACCGCTGGAGCCACCTGTTGCACCAGTCGTGGGCGCTGAAGGCACAGAGCCAGATGCATTGGCAACACCATTGACCAAAGGAGCCGTGGTAGGAGTGACCAAGGGGCCATTTGGTCCTGTGCTTGCGCTCCGTGGCGCTGGGCTGGGCGCCGACATTGTTACTGTGAACTCATGCACTTGGGATTCGTAAAGGGCAGCTGGGACCTCGATATAGGTGTGTGCGACTGCGATTATTTGCAAAGGGAACTGCTGAGTCGATAATTACAGCACAGGAGGCGATATTGAAATCTGGACAATGACGCGAAGTCGAAGTTAGTGCTGGTGATTCTGATATTGAGGCCTGTGAGGCGAGTGACGCTTAGCCGAATCTGGACCGCCGCTCGCTTAACTTTCCATGACAGGAAACGTGCCTGGCACCACGCCAAAGCCCTTCCCATCTCCATACTGGGTACGTTGGCTAGAAGTCAGTCCTTGAGAGTTTCTTTCGACATCAGCGTCGCCAGTCAGGTTGAATTCTCACGCTGAGGCAGCCCTAGACCATGCACAGTCTACCGACGCATCACTCCACTCACCAATCTCTCTATCGCAGAAATGGAGGTTGATCAGCCCCATACGCGCAAAACCACAGCCTTTACGCCTGCTGCCCGAATTGCAGAATTGAACGACATCGACCGATCCATTTCTACCCTCCTCTCCGCAGCCTCTGATGCTGTCGGCATTCTGTCGAACTCGCCAACCACCACCGAAAAGCAGGAGACGGCTCTACGCTCAACTTCCAGCGCACGAGCGGCCTTTTCAGCAGCAGCCGAGACCTACTTTTCTACCCTCTCATCGATCGAAGTCCAACTCCGCCGCCAAGTCTATGCGTTAGAAGAGGCGGAACTCATACGACCTGGAGATGACAGAGACACAAGAAGAGGCCGAGCTTTGGGCGGAGACAGTAATTTGACCAGAGTAGGTGGTGGTCCTCTGGACCCCAGTTGGCTCAATGCCCGAGCGAGTGACAAGGTAGGGGCCGGAATGAAGAGAGAGCTTCTAGCCCAGGCGAAAGAATTTGTGGCAAAAGCAGAAAGCGAAGCGGGCACTGCTGAGCAGGACGCGCCCGCCCACGACCAAGCACAGCAGCTGAAGAGCTAGAAAACCGAGACATGCAATTATATGCCGAGGTGGACAACAACGCCGAAGGGCTCTCTGATATCCCCAGTCGATATCATACTATGCCAACGGGGATGCTCGGCTCAGCGATCGCCGTGGAGGATTAGTTTTACAGAGCCTTCCGACTGGTTTCATTCTGATGGAGGTCTCCCTAGCGTGGCGGTGCGCCTCTGGGCAATTCGACTGGGGACCCTCAACAAATCACTTCAGGTGGCTACTGCCAGAAGCTGCAAGTCGTTCTGTTGGAGGTCGGACTGCTTTTACATTGACTGCTTTCGCCTAACAGTCAGAGGGTCTACCGCTATGACAGGCAGCTACGGTCTTTGAAGCGCAAATGGGATGGAGACTCGGCCTTTAGACGGTTCGGCATGTCTTCATCATGATAGCCTTGTGGCACGGCGAGTCCGTAATATTAGATGCGATGCTACAAAGGGTTATTGAAGTTGAGCACTGGACTGTAACCGCGGAAAGCAGAGCGGAGAAAGACATTCAATCTCACAATCTACTCAACCACGCCTATAATAATCTGCGCTGTTTAGAGAGTAGTCGTTTGCTTGGTGTCTGCTGAGTGATGGTGTTGTTGAGTAGCAAGTCGGTGGCAGGGGCGACGACAACCAAGACGCGGACCAAAGCTTGGCAGAGTCTTGTCAGTTCGCGACCTCGACAAACCACCTGCCACCCATCTTCACACTACAATACCCCAGTATTGCCTTCATGATTTTATTTTTGTTCATATAGCGTCTCCTCGACATATTACTGTGCATTTACGGCTGCGCCGGCTACCATGGACAACATCAGTGTCGATGAGGTAGACACGAAACCGAAACGCCCACTTTTACGACGCGAGGGTTCGACGACGGCCCCCCCTCCGCCTCCATCACAGCCACCACCAGCTCCGCCAACCCAACCAGATCCTACAGATTCTCTAAGTCTCCCGCAGCTGAGGCAGTTAGTAGGACAGTTTCCCAAAGCTGAACAGGCCCCCTACGCATTTCAGTATGAGGACGCCGAGGACTTTGAGCGCGAGATTGACCAGTGGTTTCATTACACCGAACTTGAACAGGATCGACAGTATCTGCTAGCCTCTTTAGAGGCTTTCGAACAGAGATGGAAGTTTTTCTGCCAGTCAGAATCCATTTCCGACGACTCAAAATGGACCGCTGTCAGCCAAGAGCAGCGAGTGAGATTTGTGTCGGGTCTGGTTCATGATTTGGACGACGAAGATTATAGTCTGCGCGTCGAAGCCCTATGCTGCATCTACTACATCTTGATGGGTGCTTGGAGCACCACCTCTGGACTAGAGACGGAGGAGGCCGCCACCGAGGAAGAACTGTCGCATCCCGAAGATGACCGATGCAATATTCCCCAGGTCCAGTGGATGCACAATGGCGTGGACATTATGGAGCAGAACTCGGTTATTCCCCACCTTTACAGTTGCTTGATTCAAGCAGCGAAGGCTCCCGACCTGTCACATCCCCCAGAAGCGGCCAATGGAGAGGAGACAACTGAGGGAGCTTTTGGCGAAAATGAGTATCGAGAGCTCAGCCTATGCCTTTCTTGCTTCTATATTTTGATCGAGTCATCCCGGGTTCGGATGGAGACAGCCGCTGGGCAGGCCCTACGACGTTCGATCTCTTCCTTACACCCAAACTTCTTGGTCTTTCTTGTCGGCATGATTTCACGTTTACGATGGGATGAACTGTACAATATACCCCTTATGCACGCATTGCAATTGTTCTGGAAGTCGATCCTCCTGGTGTTTGGGGATGTCTCGAATCATCTGGAAAAGGTCAAAAGCATATTGCAACCGCGTGTGGACCCATTCTCTGCAGAAGCCGCCCACCCGGTTCTTACGGCGTCTCCTTTGGATTACCACCTCTTTAGACAAGAAATCACCTCAAAGTATCCCGCATATAACCCGCCGCCACCCATAATACCCCTGGAGATGGAGCAAAAAACCATGCTTCCTCCACTGTCGAATCAGTCTCGGAATGACATTCCCGGATCTGTTGGAGCAAGCATGAGCGGCGCGGCAACTCGAGGATCGATTCTTCACCAACCCGTTCACATCGCCACGCCGGCACCTTCACCACCCCCGTCACCCATTGGGCCTGGTGGAAAAGCTGGTAAGAAACAGAACTATCAGACCAATCAGAACTTTCCGTTCCTCTACCCGCCTCTAGACAGCACTAGCGACAATATTGGCGGCAAAGGCTCGACGAGAGTTCAGGATATGATGGTGGGCAAGAAATGGGAAGGCAGCGATGTACCTCTTTCCATTATCGAAGCCGGAGAGCTGTTCGCTAGTCGTATGAGGATGACGCGAGCAATGCGCCAACTTTGGAGGGAACGAGATTTGTTTATGAAGTATGAAAGAGGGTGGAAAGGAGACACTAAGGATGAGGCGAAAGAAGAGAAAGACGAAAGAAGCGAGGAGGAGAAGGAACTCGAGACCCTTGAGGATCCTGACCTGCGTTCCCGCATGTTGGCAGTGGACGATTTCTTCCACCACGCGCTGCCAGACCTGCAGTCGTTGGTCATTGTGATGATGAAAGTGATGCTTACCAATGTCCAGGACATTGCTGTTCGCAATGGTGGTGCTCAAGAAACAACGCAAACCGGTGGACTGAATCGCACCAAGTCGAGTTCCAACATGGCCCAGAACCAGACGCTGCCCATGCCACCGCCGCCCCCGCGTCCTGACGAAATGACACTGGAAGATCTGGATAATGTCCGTTCTCGGGAGATCAGTCAACAAGCAGTATCTGGGGCTCTGTTTCTCCTGCTGAAGTGGCTCAAGGTGTCTCACGTGTTGAAGTTCGAATACATGACCCAGCTGCTCCTGGACTCTAATTACGTGCAGCTCACGCTAAAATACTTTGCGCATCAGAACCTGGAGGACCTCGTGGCTTTCAGGTACGATCGAGATGATCTGAGCGTCTGGCATTATTGTCACGTTCATTCGGACCACCCACCGTTATCTCCTACCAGCCCGGACGAGAGATCGGAAGCTTCCGAGGGGGATGAAGCCATTCCGCCACCTATCTCAAGGCATAGGAGGTCGCCGACAGCTCGCTCTGAGGCCCAACCCACTATCGACCAAAGCAATCAACAACAATCGATCCAACCAAATCCAGATGCGCTCGCCCGACCCTCAGTCGACGAGCTTGGCAACCCGCTTGGCCCTCTCCCGACGAGTCCAATCACCACTTACTCATTTCGGCAATTTCAAACCTCAATCCACCTTCTTCGCGTTCTACAAAAGTTGACACGGGGAAAATCTCACCGCATCTTATTTCTCGTTCAATTCAAGTCTTCACAAATATTGCGCCGGGTTCTGCGCGTCCCAGATCCGACCCTCCGATTATATGTACTCAAGCTATTCAAACTACAAGTCCCCTATTGTGGTCGGAAATGGCGGCAAAGCAATATGCGCGTCATCACGGCAATCTACCTACATTGCCGGCCAGAACTGCGGGACGAGTGGCTGGCAGGGATGCACGACGCCAACGTTGAGGGGGAGGTCGATGAGGCGGTGCCGCTCGAGTGGGCGCTCAGAGGGCTTACTTTCTGGTGGCAGAAGAGGAGGTATCCTGATGTTGCTAGGAAAGGGAAGAAAGGGGCGGATACAAAGGCGGAGGATGATGTTGATGAGAATGAAGTTCGGCTTGATGATATTGACGATGACGAACGTGATTTCTTTCAACGCGAATTGGATGCTATTGGATGGGGCCTTGCAGGGTTGCGCATGGCTGATGGATCTGAGGACGTCGTCTTTGGCGAAGAAGCCGGGAGCATCAATGGAGCCTATTCTATTGCTAACGGCGACACGAACAATGTCAATTCTGGAGGGACTGCCTCCGGCAGCGCAGGAGGAGGCACAGTTGCGGGTATGGGACCACCCCAGACCCCAATACCTCAGCCACAATGGGTTGTTGCCGATGCAGCCGCTCTGGACAATTGGCAGAACAGTTAGGAACTCGCTGGGAGACCAGATCCCAGCGTTGTGGACTGTGGCCGACATGGAATGAGGAATGGCAATCAGGCGGCAGATTCGAATGAGAGATGGTTAGGGCTGAATGAGGAACTGCAAGATGTGTTGACTCGGGTAAATCTCAATTACTGGGAGCCAGGGGAGTGAGCAAATTTGAAGCAAGGAGGAGCAGATCTAGGAGCACTAGAGCCAATATTCATTAACGGTCGACTGACCTCCCAACCAAGGTCAGCTCTGCTCTGTCGATGCCGTGGGCGGAAAATGTTGCTAGTAATCCACGACTCGGTCTTGTCAGCCTTGTCAGCCTCGGTATTCACGTCCCCCGCGCGGAGCCTCGTCGGATCCGCCCCTGTCGAGGACCGCAGCTTATTATTATTATTGTCCAACCGTTCCCAAGTCTGTTTACGGCCGTTTCTGTGATCCACTCGTTTCGGCCGTTGCGGGTGCTCGGTTCGATATAGACTACACAAGCACGTCCTCATATACATCGCATTCCTCCTCTTCACTATTGACCTTCTGTTGACAGAGCGTTCGTCGTATACCGCCCAACTCACCGCCTCGGACCCCTACCAATTGCGATTCCGCCCTCGGCCCCCCCCCTCCCCCCAACACTCGGTGTTGCCCAAAGCACAGAGTAATCCCTCCCTCCCTCCCTCCCTCTGTCTCTCCCTAAAAGTACGCAAACAAGATGCCGCTCCAGAAGCACGAATACCTCTCTTCCGTCTGGCAGCCCGACCTTTTCCGTGGCAAAGTCGTCTTCTGCACCGGCGGGAACGGATCGATCTGTTCCGCGCAGGTGCGTGCTCTCGTCCACCTCGGCGCGAATGCCTGCATTGTCGGCCGCAATGTTGAAAAGACACTCTCAGTTGCCAAAGATCTAGAGACGGCACGCGCGGGGAGCAAGGTCTTGGGCATTGGTGGGGTCGATGTGAGGGACGTTCAAAGCCTAGGGAAGGCGGTGGACGAGTGTGTGAGGGTGTTTAGGGGCATTGACTTTCTGATGTAAGGACTGACTGCCACACAACTCCACAGACGCACACACTCTCTCTCTTCATATGGCTGCTTCCGTATGCTTTGCGGAAGCTGTTTCGATCGGATGTGGATATGCTGACAATGAGGTGCAAAAACAGTGCTGGCGCAGCAGGCAACTTCCTGGCGCCCCTGTCCCAACTATCCACCAACGCCTTCAAATCCGTCATGGACATTGACATTCTGGGCTCCTATAACATCACTAAGCTCTGCCTACCCCACCTCGTCGCCTCTGCTAAAAAGCACAACTCCTCGTCCTCTTTACCGAAAGCAGATTCTTCGGGACCGGGCGGCCGAATCATCTACGTGTCCGCGACAATCCACTACACCGGTCTACCCATGCAAACGCACGTTGCTGTTGCAAAGGCTGGCGTCGACGCTCTCTCCGCAAACGTGGCGATCGAATACGGGCCGCTCGGCATCACCAGTAACATTATCGCTCCGGGCCCCATCGCTGGCACGGAGGGGATGGACCGCCTCTCGCAGGCAGCAAGAAAGGGAGGTGATCCTACGGGACAAAAGGCGGGACGGAGAATCCCCTTGGGACGATGGGGAACGATAAAAGAAATTGCAGATGCAACGGTATATTTGTTTAGTGACGCGGGGAATTATGTCACGGGAGACAGATTGGTCGTCGACGGTGGCGCGTGGCATACCTCTGCTGGATCACCAGGAGGAGACTTTGCGTATCCCGACTTCATCTTGAGTGGAGCGGAGGTCACAGGCGTGGGCGGCATGAAGAAAAAGAAGGAGGGCGCAAAGCTGTGAGCAAGACCCCCGAGACGGAGAAAGCATGTGGTGTTGTACAATATGAAACTTGGGAGTGCCGGAGGCTGGAAACACAAGAGGAAGTCAAGAGCATTGGCTTTGGTCTTTGGCCTTTTTCGTGGCTTTGGAATCAACAGATGAGAGGAAAGATCGTGGGCCGGCAAACCGTTATGATCTCTTTGGTGGCCTTTCTGCTGGGACGAACCTATCTGGGAGTGTGTGTGGTTCAGAAAGAGATCCGGAAGGGTGCCTCAGCAGTCACAGCAACGTATTCAGGTCGAGTATTTGGATAGCGAACTGCCCCTCCAAGGTCAAGACCGACGTAGCTAGCATCGAACACGGCAGATCGAGGGACAGATGTCGTTCCTGTTCTTCCACATGATCATTGTATTATTTCTCCTTAAAACGTCGTGATTGAGGGATGGGGTGATTCGACGCGCAGCAGCCGTGGTCGCATAATTAGCATCGCTAACTGATGACAAACATATTGACCCACAAGTTATTTGTATCCTCGCAGAGCTCCGTCGGTGCTATCCTCACCGCATGGCAACCATTTCTTTCAAAGATCCTTCAAAGATGCCACCCTCACTGCTACTGCGGTGCCCCTGCGCGGATGGAGCGCAAGCTGGGAGAAAATGCGCTCGGATGAGTTCCTGTACGAGACTGCCATGATGGAACCGCATTCTTCGAGCTACTCTTGCAAAGACCGTTGGTCTTTGCTGTTTGATACAATGACCGTCCCTGGACCGGTCAAGGACGCTCTGGATCGGACATTGAGACTGCGTCCAGCATGCTGCAGAGCTTCAGGGGGTTGAAGGCTCTTGGATGTTAGGCTGGGATTGCCCTGAGAGCTGCTGGTGGCGGCTTCGTTGAGATGCCCCATGTCTGCCGGCGAGGAAAAGAACAATGGCTTGCGGTATTGGTGGCGTCGGGGCCCCTCGCCAATTTCACATCTCACAGAATTTCCATCGCAGCAGAACACAAGTTCACATCCCAACCATCTGGGCTGTGCGACAGCTGGCAGCTGCCTCGCCCAGGGGTTTGTGGCTTGCTCACGTGGCGTGGCTTTCCCGCTCATCACATCCTCCGGCGCTACAGACACGAACACTTTCCACCCAGGGCAACAGGGCACAAGACGGAAGGCAAACGAGCATGAGTCCGCGCAGTGAGCAGCAGTCATCAGCCCATCACCCTAGCCTCTTAACCGCAGGCTCTCGACTGGCTCATTCTCACGATAACGTCCCTTCATAAATTGCTCGAGCTCTTCTCATCATCACAACGTTTGTTTCTTCGATAAGGCAGCCTTGTTGCCGACAGTGAAACTCCAGTGCGCAGCAATCTTAGGGCCCTGGAACGGGCACAGCCTCATAAACCATGCCGCATATACGCGATGTTGCTCGATTGTGGGCAGAGCTGGTTAAGAAGAAGGACCATGCGTTTCTCATTCGAGAAGTCCTTGGTCGGCTGTGGCCAAAGAGCTTTCGAGATCCACAAGTCATCGACGAAGCCTACGTGAAGGACATTGTCCTTTTGAAAACGATCTTTGGCATTCAGCGCACACGCATCCGATTCAATCCCCCAGGCCGATACGTTCTCTCGACAGATGATCTTCTTGATTGCCTCGATTGTCTCTCCCGAGCCGCAGAAGCATTGCGCCAAGTCGACAACAGACTCCGTCGAACTTTCATGGATATTTCCCAGCAAGCTTTCTTTTCGGGATTTCGTACAGCCGCTCTTGCCATTGAGCGGCTGCCCAAGGAGACGCCGGCCAGAGTAGAGGTATCCTTTCGTCTAAGAACTTGTATCGGGAGGTGGCCGTTGGAGGACCTTCCTGGCCCAGTAAGGGACTGGAGTTCGGCCATTTTTGAGGGCGCTGTTGAGGATCTCCTGAGCCTGGACGAGTCCGACAGCTCTTGCGACGAACATATTTCCCTAGATAGACCTGACCGCGAAAACGTAAGTCCTGAACCCAAGCCCCAACCAAATACGAACTGACATCCCAGTTTGCTCACACCTTTCGTCTGTCGAGGTGTATCCCCCAAGCTATCGCATGCATCGCTCGTGGATGCAAATACGCCTACCGAAGCGCACTAGTTTTGTTAGATTTCCGATTGATGATGATGGCCGCGTGCTTCCAGCACCTGGATAATGGCTCCAACTCTGGCGTTCTGACCGACCCTTCGGAAAGTAGTCGAGGGAATTCTGATTCAAGTCTCCTCACGGACGAGTTCAACCAGCTGCTTGCAAAATGGAGAGCTCTCGGGAACTACCTCCAGAAGGCCAATCGGGGACGGCCTTTGTCGAATTTCTTGTATTTCGTCAACGACATTGATCCCGGGCCGCCCTTCGGCGAAAACGACGATATTCTCAATTGGATAGGCCCAACTATTAGTGTGCCGGCATCGTCGGCGCACCCAAGCAACCCTTCAGCTCTCTATTCAAATATCGTCGAGGATCTCAGACTCCGCAACCTTGCAGTTTTTGACGCGCAAGGGGCTCTGTTGGATGTCCATGGTCGCTTGTCCAAGCAAATCCGATCGTGGTTGCCACCGCTGGCCAACACGCCTGGTCCACACAGTTTTGACAGTCCAGATATAACACCTCAACATACCATATATGTGTTAGACTGCAGCGATGTACATCCCATCGACTACACGATGCTAGTGGACTGTGTGGATCCAAGTGGTCAAGAAGTAAGCAAGCCGGTCATCGCCCAAAGAACTTACGCTGATCTTTACCAGGCACTCAAAATTGGGCAAGAGATTGTTGACGTGTATTTTTGGTGTCCCTTTCCCCACTCAAAGGCATCGCTCGTCCGGAAAGCCAGAAGAGTGACTCCGATATGTGAAATTTATGCCACTCTGCAGCGACTGGTCAGCTTGCATGCCGAAACAGGTGAGCCCGTGGCCGAAAGAGAGAATGCATTGGCGGAGCCCGCGCAACTGTCGGAGAGCTCAGCTGGAAGTAAGGAGGCTTCTTCGAGCGACCAAGTGAGCATGACGTCTACGTTCACGCAATCCCCTGTTCCCCAAAGTCCATCTACAACTTCAGTTCGGCAGGCTTCAAGCCTTCGGGGATTCCTCAAGGACAGAGCTTCCTCCTGGAGGTCTTCAACTAAGCCGAAAATCCCGATCCATAAGTACAGCAAATCCGATTCGGTCCAACAAAGCCTCTGTCTACGGTCCGCGCTAAGTCCAGATGCTGCAAACTTGATCGTCTGGTCTCGGAATAGAATCCGTTGCTGGTCGTTGAATAGTGGCATTCGCTGCCGCCAAGAGCGATTCCTGGAAAACATCCTACTTGCAGCCGCCGGGGCCACTCACTTTGCTGCCATCATTCAGGGACACAACAAGTGTTTTCAACTCACCCTCTTAGACGCGGCTGGCGCACCAGCGGAAAAGCTAATGCCCTTCGATAAGTGTCCCAAAAGTCTGGCTTTCTCGCATGATGGATCCAAGCTAGCTGTCGCCACAGCGGACGAACTGAGGATCATCTCAACAACAATCGAGGATTGGACAAGTTCCTATTGCAGCCAGTCGCTAATACCACAATTGAATCGTAAAGACGCCGGTCCTCGAGATACTCAGAAGACGCAGTCAGAATCTTGGAGGACTTACGGCGTCCGCCGCCAGACGATATCCTTTTCGCCAGATCGCCATCAAGTTCTTGTAGGAACGCAATATCTTGATGACGAGGGAAGCACTATGTTGTGGCTCTTTGACATCCCAGAACGCGTAACCGGAGCACTCTCGCGTCCCTGTCTATTTGTTAGGAAGATTAACGTGGTAAGCGACAGACCCATCCTCTCCGGGCTACACGCTTCGCTCAGTATCGCAGCCATACTGACTTACGGCAGGAATCATCGGACACTGGCTTGACCGCATTGCCGTGTTTTCACAGTTCTGGCCAGACCACATTCATCCTCTGTGCTGCTACTGCCCACAGTCACCGATCAAAAGTCGAGAGCATTATCCCGAGCCCAACGCGAGGAGAGGCCCCTCAAGCTGCACTGGAAGAGATTGCGGGGCCAAAGCTATCTATTGATCGCGTGCATCGTGGAATTTCAATGCCCGGACAGTCTCCCTCTTTTGTTATTGTTAATGAGGAAGCTGATGTTTACCTCGTTCGCGGATTCAGCAGCCGGAGCGGATGGGAAGCGAAGCAGGTCCCTATATGTCTCGACCTCCGTCCTTTTGACCAGGGCGGCAGACGTCCAGGAATTGAAATTGCAGCATCTAGCGCAAACGATGTTATCATCTTTCACATCTGGCAAAACTTGGGCCATCTCACTCGATACGACGCCTCAAATCCTCAACAGAGCACCTCGCAACCCATCCTTCTAGACGACTTCTTTCCACGGCCTACGGATATATCTACTTCGCCAACAAACTAGCAGAGACCAGTTGTCAGAGTTTCCTCATTTCAGCCATACCCAAATCCATTTGCCCGTCTTTGTAACTCTTCTTATCAAGCTATCATTCTCTTCAAATCGAAGCTTATCTCGGCCATATTTAGGGTCATTGACATCCGTTTCAACAGGATATCTAAGGTTCAGGGTCGGGCGCAGTCGAGGTAGAAATTGACGATGTAGGTGCCAACGATAGAAGATGCAAAGTGCAATGAAAATGACAACCTATGCCAGGTCAGAATCTGGACTTTCAAGGCCTGTTTCTCGCGTCATGATCCTGGTATACTTACGCTAATGTAAGAGGCGACAAAATCTGCAGCACTGAATGGATTGATCGACCGCCAACCATTGAAGACGATCATCATGGTGCTGCCAAAGAGAGCGTAGCATGTCCGCATCGGCTGCCAGTTCGATCGATACGGATAGGTCCTCGTATCTTTCTTCCTGGAATACGCCTTGAGATCCTGTTCGGGGTCGACAAAATCCGTCTGTTGGAACTGGCCTGTGGATGCGAGTTTGATACTGGGAACAAACGTCAATTGAATCTGTGACCAACGGGTCATTGTCACTCACATTGTTTTGAACCGCAGGAATGTCACGCAGATTACTGCGTACACGATGAGCATTGAGACTGTCGAGTTTAGGGCGAGCCGACCCAATTCCTTTTCAACGTCAGCGTTGCAAGAATCTGGAGCGTCACGAACTAACATGTGATGGAGCGCCACTTGCCGCCAAATATCCAAGAAAACCGAAAAGCCAACTTGCTAACACTGCATTGCGTGGGACCCCTTGGGACCCTGTCTCTTTCAAACGACCTTGCAGCTTTCTCAAGCACCTTGGCCATGCGCCTTGGGATAGAGCAAGGGCATGCAAAATCCGGGACGACAAGTACAATGAGTTGATACCGGAGGAAGTCGCCGACAGAATAAAGAATCCATTGAAGAAGTTCGGCCAGAACCTTTTCCCCGCTCGGATAGCAGCCACGACGAATGCTGAGTGAGTACCATTATCCAGGACAGAGATGTCTCTGTTCGCCAGAAGCGGCTCATCGTACGGCACGTTCAAGCCGACTGTGAAAGTTGTGAGGGTGTAGAGCAAGATGATCCGAATCGCGATTTTTCTGCTCGAGATCTTGACCCCTTCATATGTACGGAGCTCTCGGTTCTCTGCTGCTGTAACCGTCACAGCTTCAAAGCCGATCATGGAGAAGATGGTCAATGTCATCGCCGTCCAAACGCTGGCGAGGTGTGCCCAGCCACCAGTCCGCACAGCACCACTTTGCGTTATCCATCCACGTGAGATGAATCCCCATGGGTCGTTGTAAAAGCGAAAGTGGTTTCCCGTCTCAATATTGATACCGATATTAAACAGTATCAACCCGACGATAAAGAGCATTTTCATAACACCGACCCAGTACTCCAGTTCACCGAACCACCGCACACGGATGAGATTGACAACCAGTATGAGACAGAGGAAAATCGATATCCAGACAGCAGGGTCGACGCTGGTCGTTCCCCACTCTAGAGAGGGTTCGGGATAATGAAGTCTTGCAAGGTCTGACGGTTTAAATCCGAATTGGAAGAGCCCTGCCACTCCTTGCAATTCTGCAGCGATGATAACAACCCAGGCAAACCTGTTGCTATTAGTGACAGAACATGGTGGATAGGACGAAGGGACTAACCATGCCATCCATCCGACAGCATATCCAATTGATTGATCCAGAAACCTGCAAGGCATCTCGAACAATGCCCCGGGCACAGGGAAAAGAGCTGACATCTCCCCAAGAGCAGCTTGCACGGACCAGACGATCGACCCCATCAACGGATATGCCAACCATGCCATTCCCGGCCCGGCAAGGTTTATGATCCTGCCATTTTGCAGGAAGAGACCTATGCCAATGACACAAGAGAAGGTGATCATGTTAACGTGCCGCTCTCCAAGATGGCGCCTTGTATGGAGTCAGTCGCCAGCTGCAACGATATCTTTCCTTGACAAACCTAAGAGACGAGTTGCCCTTCTGACCGACCGGGCCAACAGGTATGATCAAATCCTCGCTTCTGCTGGACCGCTCCGCGTTTTCAGACTCTCTCCGGGGGTAAACAGCATCGATATGAGGCTCTGGACCGCCTTCAGCCGGCCCACGTCGCATTGATGACGCCCGTGAGCTCACGCGCCCGCCAATGTTGGGTCGCACAGCTCCCAGATTGTATGCATCAGCAGTTGCCGCCATTGTTGCGTCGCTATTGAGTTAAGAAATGCAGGATCCTTGTGGCTGGCTGGGCGAAGATTCTGTTTAACACCGTGCCAGCCTGTGAATGAGGCATTGATGGGGAGAAAAGTTGAAATATTTGGTCTGAGATGGTCGGATTCGAGGCTGACTTGGATCCCTGGATCGAAATGGTTCGCGACTCAGGGCGCATTGCGGTCTCGCACATGGCGCCTCATCAAATAAGGGATTGCCTCCTTTCGACAGCTTTGCTGCCTCGAACTCGTATTACTAGTGCTCATGTCTGGCTCTAATGCGCCCTGGATCGTGTCATCACCCCTATGTTCGCTTTCATTGGTCAAGGGAGCACGCCACGTTCTCAGCCTGATTGAAATCTAGGCCTTGTCCGCAACTATCGGTCGATGCTGGCTCCGTTGAGACCGATGGAAAGGGCTGAGCAAACACAATGGTGCCAGAAAGTGTTTTGTTTGGCCGCCTTTTGGAGGAGCCGCAGCTTTGTACGCCCTCACTCTCCTTGTCGCCCTTGGCAACTTGAGCTGATCTGGACTGCCCAGGATGGCGGCCATCTTGCCCACTCTGTGAAAGACCAACTCGAAACCTCCTCCCTCAAAATCTATCCAACTCTATGCTCCGTGTGCCCCGTTGTCACTGTTCCAGATCCGCAGTGCGTGGTCTGAGATCTGTATACCTCGATACCAATGGATACAACCTCCGACGGGTCAAGCACAAGCTCCCTACGACAACCAACCTCTATCTTCCCTAACGAACATGCGTTTCTATCTAGCCTCAGATGTATACGGTGCGGAGAACACAGGGAAATCGAAGAATTGACGTTCTGTTCGGTCTGCAGCAATGATTTTAAAGCGGCTCGATGGTATCTGTGCAACAACCATTGCCACAATGCCGAATGTGGACATGAAACCGATTGCAAGCGCGAGGGACATTCTTCATGCTGGTATAGCCACATGTCGGGCTTGCCTGAAATGATGCGAGAGGCCCATCAAAAGCAGAATGCCTTAGCAGACGGCTGCATTCAAGTTATCATACCCCCGAGCATTGACGATAGTGCTCAAAAATACCATCATCGCTTCGATCAAAAAGCAGAGTGGTTTCGAGTGACTATGGCCAGCCAGACTGCGCAAGGCGAAGAACCTATCCTGCAAGTTTCTGACCGTTTCAAGAAACTCTGCAATCCGAGTGCTCACTACAGCCTCGGACAGTATCCAAGCCTGGTGTCTTTTATCGGGGACACCGGAGTCGGAAAGTCAACTCTTGTGCGTGCAATGAACACAGTAGGCATCGTCGACCAAATGCAGACGTTAGGGATTATGGACTGGAGCCAGGTGTTTGGCTGCCAGCTCCATGGTCCTGTCACACGATCGACGTCCGGGAAGAAATCAACGCGCCCAACGTCGGTCGGGGTCCACCTGTATCGAGACCAGGTGTTGGCACACGTCAAAGATGACCATGGCAATCAAGAGGATGTGCCGATTCTCTATGCGGACTGCGAAGGATTCTCCGCCGGAAGTATGAAGACTGATGCTGAGAGGAGTACCTCTAGCAACATTCAGGTTGCTTCCGGGACTGGAGCTGTTTCCATCAGCTCGCAGGTTTCACAATCCAGACCGCAAACTGAGGCAATCGTACTTCCTGAAGCTCAACCTATTGTTGGCATGGAGGGCCCTCTCCTGATGGACCTCGTCATCAAGACCCCTGGCTTTAAAGAGTTGGGAAAGACCAGTGCAGACGTATTCTATGCACGCTTTCTCTATGCCTTTAGCGATGTTGTCGTATTTGTGATAAACGAGGAACAGAAGATGAAGCGAGAAATGCAGCGGCTGCTTGAGTGGGCTGTGTCTGCAGTCAAGACTTCAGTACGGAGAAGCTCACCAAGGACCTTACTTGTTGTTCGCAACGGGCCAAGGGACCATCATGACTCCTTCTATGACGATGTCGACCTCAAAAATGAGATGTTCAACGATTTCGGTGAAATTTGGGATGACTCGCGTATACTGTCCGAATACAAGATCAAGCACGACTTGCAATGCAGCCGCACAGAGGACAAAATACATGATAATGACCAGTACTTTGGACTCTTCTTCCGCCAAACGAAGATTTGCTACATCCCAAGCATGCAGAATAGACAGCCCCCTGATCGCGTATACCAGCAGTACTCGCACCTCCGCAAATTGATTGTCGAGGGAGTCCAGTCAGCTCAAAAAGCCAGATCTAAATCGTACTTCCGGCACGACGTAGCGTCGGCGATCAACTTGACCAATCGAGCGTTTAGACATTTTGCAGAATATGATGAACCATTCGATTTCCACGTCGCTGCAAGGAAAGACAATCCCACACCCATATCCATTCCCGGTCACATAGCAAATCTGTTGCGCCATCTAGGAACCACAGTGGAGAAATTCGCCAAATTCGAGATTATTGTTGCGATTGGCCTGGTAGCGTACAACTACAGATCGTCTGCGCTCGGTAAGTCGATGCGTCCAAAACCCTTGCAAGCTGCTGACTAGGGAAGGCCGCGAGCCGGAAGAGATCTTTGACGATGGCCTGCGAGAGCTGTGCTACAAGGGACTTCAGATCTACCAAAAGCAGTTCCTGAGGTGCGCTCTCTGGATGGACGATGGAACCAGATGCGTCAACTATGCTTACAACCATGAACACCACGAGAGTGGGAAAAACCTCATCTGGAAAGGCTCGATTGACCGGTCGAGTTTTGAGAAGGAGATGTCTGTTGTAGTTGCCGACATCAAGAAAGCTTTCATTGACTTCTACTCGGAGCTGTGGAATGTCAGTGCTCAGCATGGGGCTCCTACCCTCGAAAGAACGTCAGCATACCGACTCAGGATCCTCGGCCGGGAACGAACCTTGCCAGATGCTCCCATCGCACGGGTCGGCACTCTGAGATCAGAGGACTTCAACAAACCGGACGGAGTGTGGTCAACTGTGAAAAGTAATATGTCCTGCTTTGCTTGTCTCCAATACGCGCCTGACCATGTTCTGCCCTGCGGACACGGGTTTTGTGAGGATTGCATAAAGGATTTCGGCAAGGTGCTTCCACAAAGCAGCTATCATTATGCTTTGGACGAATGCATTCTATGCGCCACAACAGCAGTTCAATGGCACACACAACAGAAGAGAGAGACGTGGCAACCTGAGCGAGCGGCTGCAGATGGCAGCTTATTAGAGGGACTTTCTCCGCTACCGCAAATTGCCCGACTCAACCCTCGATGTGGAGGCATCAGAGTACTCACTCTTGACGGCGGCGGTGTCAGGGGCATTATTGAGCTTGCTCTAATCGAAAAGATCGAGCAGAGGACAGGTTTGAATCTCCCGATTTCGGAATTCTTTGACCTGGTGGTCGGCACGAGCACAGGTGGGTCCTTGCAGGACTGCAACCATGAATGAGCTGACCACGCCTAGGGGGCATCATCTCACTAGCTATCACGAGTTCGACAAAAGACAGCAGCTCAGTTGGACTGTCCGCTAAGTTCCTCAAACTTGCCGAAGTGGTTTTCAAGAAAGACCGCTTCGGCGAGCTGTGGAAAGTAGATCCTCTCAACCTAGTTAACAAGTCCAAAATTGCAAACATCATGATGGCTCTGCGACTCATCAAAAGTCGCTACAAAAGCGGAAATCTCAAGGCTAGCTTGCTTGAGTTCTTTGACAAGGATCAGCCTATCTTCGGCGGAGCGGTGACAACTTGTAAGCAGAGAACAACACGGGTTGCGGTTACGAGCACGAGTGATGGCGAGCCTTGCCTCTTCACGAATTACAGTCGCGCGTCATATGATCGCGAGGACTTGTCAGACCGCGACCACTTGGTGGACAACAAGGGGTTTGAGCGGCAGGACAACCCTGAGAATGAAGCCCGAGTGTGGGAAGCGTGTGTATCCCCGCCCCATGGTTTGAGCTGAGTGGCCAGACTAACCTGAAATCACCAGGGCCATGGCGACGTCCGCCGCGCCAGGATACTTTCGTGAATGGCGGATCGATGATCCAGAGAACAGAAGGCAAGGGAAGGTCCCTTTCAGAGACGGGGCGTTGCACTCGAATCTTCCCGTTCAATGTGCTCTCGAAGAGCAAGACAGAATCTGGCCTGCGCACAAGGGCTACAAGAAGCCATTGGACATTCTCGTGTCTCTGGGTACGGGCAAACAGCTCAAGGACACAAAGATTCCTGGGTGGATGAAGTTCGCAGGGGTTGAAGACGTTGCGGCAGCATACTACAAGAACGTCGTCAATACAGACGCCGTGTGGGAGGCGTTTGCCAAGAGCCAGAGCAAGAACTTTTCGCCTCATCGCCATTTTCGGTTAACAATCAATTTGGAGGAGCCCGTCGGGCTTGACGAATGGGACAAGATGCGCGAACTCATCGAGAAGGTCAGCAAGGAGTACGCGGCGTCCGAGAAATCGAAACGCCCAACCGGCCTGTGGAATCAGGTCGAAACGGTGGCGTACAAGCTCACGGCGGCGTTGTTGTTCTTCGAGCCCGAGCGGTGCGACTCGGTCCCTTTGCGCGGTAGAGGCCGGGAGGAAATCAGTGGCAACATTCTCTGCAGGCTACAGACGCCTAGCGTCGCGTTGCGCAACCTCATCTACCGTATCGATGGATTCCACCACCAGACTGCCAATCGGCACGAGACGCCCATCCACCTGCGTAGAGACTGGAAGGACGCCCTCCTGCTGGCCGAGAGGACAAACCAGCCCTTCGCGATCCCTTGTCGTCTGGACAACACGGAGGGCGACACCGTTCCGCAGAGCTTGCTCGTGAAGCTGAAGCCTCCAGCTGAGGCGGGACGGGCGGTCTCATGCCCCATCAGCGGGTTTCCTGTGACGTACAAGGAGTTGAAGGCGGGCATGTTGCAGAGGGGTATCCAGTGAGTGAAGGTTTTACGAGGTAGAAATACATCAATTTATTGTTCCCAGGTCAAGGAAGAGTAATTACAGAGGAAGATCCAGGAAGGCGTCAGATAGGAGGAGGTTGAGGTCAAGCTTGATATGCGCATTACGTAAGGCGACTCGGGCGACTGGCGACTGGCGACCGGCGGGCAACCGACCGCCAGCAGGCAACGCAGCTCGCAGCTTTACAACAACAACAACCTCATTAATCCACCAACGCTTCGATAGTTCCAGATTGTTCCTTGCTTTCATTCCATTTCCGCCCTCCGTGACATCCTCAGCCTCTTCCCAACCTGGTCCAAGTTGCCGAGGATCCGGTCCTACTCAGCTCGAAGGACAGCTTACAGGTGGTCTGACCCCGCCATAGACGCGCCGGCCAGGGACTGTCTATCGCTTCCAGTAACTACTATCTCGACCTTCTCCAGTCTTGAACACAACCATCCCACAGCAACAGAGCCGCAGCGATGCCCTGCCCGATAAGCATCACCAAGTTTGTGGGGACCATCTCTCTCGGTCTCTTGACGGTGCGTTGGTCCAGCTTCATTCCTTGTCTGTTTCCCCAACGTCGACTGACACCTTGGTGACAGGGGACTTCCTACACCCTCCAATCCATAACTCTTCCTTCGCTTGCCCTTCTGCCCTCCGCGTCGCTGGCAGCACGCACCCTTGCCACAATCCAGACTCAATCCACGCGGCAGATCCTCACTTTGGCATCGATCTCCTCTTTGTCTCTCATCACCGCCTACACCCTCGCGAGCCCCCGAGGCCGGCACCCATACCTGCTCTGGACTGCGCTTATGAGCTTTATTGGGGGCCAAGGTGTCGAGTACTGGTTCAACGGCTTCTCACGCTTTCCATCTTGGGGCATTGGTACCCGAACAACTGGTCACGGGCAAAGCGGACATGTGAAGGCCTCGCGGGTGTCAAGTCCCTCGGCCAGTGATGAGGGCAGCTATATCGAAGTGGAATCGGATAGCAGTGAAGAGCAGCCAGTAAACGGCGAAAAGGTCGAGATGGAGATGGTCCGGGAGCGCAAAGTGCAGAAGGTCCGAAGTTGGATTGCCGGTATTGGATTCGCAATGGGCGTCGTGGGCATCTGGGGTGATGGGGCTTGAATGCTTGCTCAAATTTGACGAACTGAATGGAGAGTGGAGCTTAGGTTTGGCTGGAGCAGGTGGTGGCATTGATGTTTTTTTCCCTTCACCCTTTGGAGAAGAGATGCGATCGACAAGGAGACGCCTTCAATGCGAGAACAACACGATGGAAAGTACCCGGCATCATTACCAGCCAACAGCGAGAGTGGCCGTGTGCAGCATCGACAACAAGGAATGATGCTTTAATCAACAATATGAATCCGAAACTATGCGAAAACGGAATCCTCGAAACCTCTTGGGCTTTCGACTGCACAACGACATAGGTCACTCGACTCGATCAAGAAAACCTCCCCTCTTTACAACATGTGTCCGATATCACCATGCTTGTTGAGAAGGGGTATATCCACTCAAAACATCCCGACCGTGCGATGAGGATCTGCGTTGGCTTGCGGTCTCTAGCGGTTTGATAAAGGCTAGATAACTGCTCTACCTAGGTAGTTCTTATGATCCGGCACGGAAAATGCACAGACTGCAAATCAACTATAGGCCTTCGTTTCTTAGGACAAGTGCTCAGCTTGGTGTTGCAGTAAGTTTAACCTCAGGAGACAAGCATGGCACAAGTGAGCATCTGCGGGGTCGCCATCTCTCATCTCTACTACTTTATACCGACCATCTACATGTACTCCATACCTCACACGGCTCTGGGGTCTGGACCTCCACCATCAGGTGACGAGCCCGACCTCATCTCCATCCTCGAGAGACCTTTCAGATGCTCCGTCATTTCAATTCCTCAGACATGAACGAGGTCTCGTCTCATTGCACAATCTACAGAGATGGACAGACTCCCCACCGGATAGTCCTTGGCATGTGATGCGCGCAACTACGCAGCGGGAGCGCCACGTCTCGGGCTTGATCAACCTCTGATCCCTAACATGACCACTCCTCCCATCAAGAAAGCCTGTGATGCTTGTCATCGACGCAAAGTCCGATGCTCAGGAGACCAGCCATGCCGCACCTGCAGCCAGAGCAATCTCGAATGCACCTATCTCGCCGTCCCGCAAAAGAAAGGCCCCAAAGGCAATCGATCCAAAATCCTGTCAGAGATTCGCCATGCTCAAAGGAAGATGAAGACCCGGGCGAATCGAGCTTCACCCTCCGCCACTCCCCAGCAGCCGCCAGGCCGTGAGCTGAAGTTTTCTCTCGACTTTCGCAGTTCAGCTCCACCTCCACCGGCTTCGCCTCCGCCTCCGCCTCCGCCTCCGCCTTCGCATTCTCTCAAGGCTGAGCTCCTCAACAAGGAGACCATCGAAAACTGTGTCGCCTTCTACTTCTCCAACATGTCCACGACGACTTCAATCCTCAATCGGCGTTACATAATGGATACGATCCCCTCCCAGATTGCCACTTGCACAGAATCGTACTGTCTCGCAGGATCCTTGTGTGCGTTTGTCATGGTCCAACCGGGCATGAACTTGGCTGTTGCCCCGGGGAGTCATTACGAAGGCGAACCTCCTGAAACCCGCTACGGCTATGCCAACACGCTTCTCGACGACGTCATCCGTGTGCGAAAATCCATCGACTTCGTCGAGTTTCCGACTTTGAGCGCGGTCCAGACGTCTTTTTTCTTGTTCAGCTGCTATTTTACCCTTGAAAAACAGAATATCTGCTGGTTTTATCTGCGTGAAGCCGCCACTCTGGCGCAACTGATGGGCATGCACGAAGAGCCGTCGTATCTCGTCGGTGAACCTGTTGAGAATATGTATAAGCGACGAATGTACTGGCTTCTCTTGGTCACGGAGAGAGCATATGCGTTGGAACGACACCGCCCGCTTAGTCTCCATCCGACCATCGGGCTTCCATCGGCCAACGACCCGGAGGAGCAAGAACCCATATCTGGCTTCCTCTACCTGATTAGCCTCTTCCGCTGCATTGACGATGAGTTCATGGCTCTCTGGAACAAAGTGAAGAGCGAGTGCTCCGCCACCTGGCTTTCGCAACTCCAACGACAGCTCACAGACGCGTTGCCGCCAAGGTTGAGGACAACAGAAAGCCAAGTGGCAGACGTTTGGATCACGTTCCATTGGTTGCGAATCATGATCTGGCAACTCGCCATCACAAATGGCTTTCTTTCATCCTCGTCCAACGAGTCCTCTATGACATTCAAATACCCGATAGAAGTCGCCAGGGACTTGATTGAGCATATCTCAGACATGTCTCTGGACGCGATGGAGGTCCATGGCGTAGGGTTAATCGAGAAATTGTTCGACATGGCTTGTACGCTCACGGACGTCATCTCGTGCGTGCCCCTCGAACCTTCGGAGATCTCAAATCCAAGCAACGAGACGCCCTTCGAGTATCTGAGCAAGCTGCTTACTCTAATTGCCCAGCTCCGGGGCGGTGCATCGAGGTACTTGCCATTGCTACTTGTCAAAGTCTCTGAAACCCTACCGAGTAGTCTCCCTCATCATCTCGCTCCCATGGACTCGGACCCGGACCCGGACACTCCGATGCATATCATGAGCATCAAGCAAGGCTACGCGGGTGCGAGCGACCATATTCCCACGCCAGAGCCGACGCAATACTCCTCGATAGGGAGTTTCAGTTTCGGCCCCAAGGGCTTCGAATTCAGCAGTGGGTTGCACTATTCGCCTCAGCAGCAGGAGGGGCACGAGCACGAGCACGAGCACGAGCACGAGCAACAGGGCTCTGGACGTATAATGTGTGACAACGCATACACGCACGGCATGGCAGCAGGTCGTGACATGTACTCAGATGATTTACCACCCCGACCGTCTCCGGGCACGCCACCTACTAGCCAGTCTCTGCTGGGAAGACAGACACGCTCCTCTACGAAAGGTCTGCCCAGAAGTGCGCCTATGGGGGTAGACGACAGGCCCAGCTCGAGAGTTAACTTAGATGACGCGATCACTAGCGTTGAAAGCAGTCCTAAACGCCCCTCCAGTGCTTTTCATCGCAGTACGAGTAGTGGTAGTAACGTAGCCTTAGGTTCCCGCAAGGCTCAGGCTCCTCCTCCTCCTCCTCCTCCTCCTCCTCCTCCTCCTCCGCCTCCACGTTCAGGAGGATCCTCGACGAGTGGCAGCGGCTGGAGTCAACGAAAGTACCATCGTCCTTGGGAAGAAGGGAGCTGTTGACACAGTGACAGTGACAGTGACAGTGACATTGAGTCTCTCCCTCCCACCGCCGTCAGGGCAGAGTGCGCCTCGGATTGGACTCGAGACTCGTTCCTGCCAGCACCCTTTCGTGGCTCTATGAGGAGAGAAAGAAAGAAAGTGTTTGATTGATTGAAGGTATCACAATGCGTCCCAAAAATTAAAGGTTAAAAAGGACGGCGGATGGCTGGTGGCTGGGGGGAGGGGATATAATTGGAAATTCTATGCCGGGTACTAGGGGCAAATTACCCTGGCGGCATTCATGGCCTGGGAAACAATCTGGACGCTAAGGATTTTAACGAATTAACGAACCGCGACGATGTAGCATGGACAAGGTAAATCAGGACGAACGGAAACGGGACAACGATCTCTCTTTGTTTTTCGGTAGGTAGGTAGATTTTCCCAGCATACCTAGGTATGTAATCGGTTCTTCTCCTCGCTTGTCTTGTCGGTGGAATCAATACATATGACGCCCGAGACGCCGAGGACACCCCTTCGCTGTGACGACGCTGCTGGTATTGCGAGATGCTGGAATAAAAAGACTAGTGAGCGCCTTGTGAGAAATAGGAACAGATGCAGACGCAGACTCAGATCTGAGAGGTGGAGGAGACCGTTCTTCATCATTGACACCTTGTTTCCTTTTCTTTTCCATAGCATGAGGTCACCCACTCACTGCTTTCGTCGAGACGGTTGCCAAAAGCCATTGTCGGCCAGGTTGGCTCACTTCCCGCCCATGCTGGAAATGACATCCCTCTGGGCCTGTCTTTCGCGATTGACGCCGGTCAAAGGAGCCACGCTTCGCAGATCGCCGACGACGTCCTTGGCTTTGCCAAAGTACACCTCCTGGAGCATGTTTCTCATCTTGCCTTCCATGTCCTCGATCAATCTGCCGGCGTTACACACGTGGCCGCCGTCTTTGCCCTGGCCGCCGACGTTCTCCACCACCAGGTCAGCCTCGACTTGTCTGGTCATGCTCCCTGCCAGGTTCAACAACCCCAATCCCTCGCTTTCCCGACCCAGGTGCAGGATGACCGTGCTGGTCAGCTTGTAGTGACTCGTCCTCCCACTGCCTCTGCGCTCATCGACCTCAAACACGTGGATGCTATCCCACCCAGCCTCCTTTGCCACGGGTTTCTTCAACAGGACGACCCCTGCGAATCCGTCGTCCAGGTCCCAGAGGTACACCGACCCCGTGCCACCTTCGTAGTACATCTGCCTGTACACGTCAAACGCCGTGTTCGCCTCGACCTCCATCTTGCGGACCCGGTCGCTCGGGTAAGTCGCGTCGTCTAGGGGCGGTTCGAATTCATTGCTCCATGGACTCCGGTACGAGTCGCCGTCCCGGTTGTAGTCGCACAACAAGTAATCCCGGCCTGTCTTTTTACACCGTGCCGACGTCAGCGGCTGATCGACGGAGGAGAGGAGGTCTTCGGTCAGGTCGGGCACGAGCGTCGTTATGGAGGTGAGGTTATCCGACACCTTGAGCGGGGAGAGGCGACGGAGGAGGTCTCTGCGACGGACGGGGAAGGGAAAAAGCAAGGGTTAGTTCAGCTCCTTTCATTGTTTGGGAGAATGTTCATTCTTTCATCCTGGTCGTCATGTATCCTGGCTTGAAAAGAGCGAGAGAGCCGTAGAGGGAGGGCAAGCTTACAATGCGGCATCGAATTGGGCTTCGCTTGCCATTGGGCCTTGCTCGCAAGCAAATCGGAGCCGAGTCTGTGTTGAAGCAGCAGAGCGGATTTCAATCGAGCAGGTTTTGGATAATACAGACGAGGCACAAAGTCTGGTCGTATGTTTTCCCCGCCTCAGGGGTCAAGTCAGCATGCGGTGGAAAATTGATGGTGTAAAGGTAAGTTTGGCTGTTTGTTGTCAAAGACTGCGGATTGCGGGGTGAATTATCGTCGTTCAATGACGGGCTTTGTCGGCGGAGACTTGGGACGAAAATAGACCTGTCAGACAGAAAGATTTCTCTTCAAAAAGCCGAGCCGGCCAGGTCGGGGAGCCTCGTTTGAAAACAAAGGGTGCTGTCTGACAAGAATCTAGTGATGGTAGTGATCCACTATGAAGTTGGATTGAAAGTGACCTTTACTCACACCAAGCATTTTGATTTACCTATAGCGACACCTTGTCATTCATGCTATCTGTTGGCTATTGGTATAGCTGCCACGTTGTTGTTGGCGGTTACTGCCTAGTGTCAGGCCATGCGACTGCTTCAGTTCACTGATCGGCAGTAATACAAGACCCTGTTCCCAGGACGGAGGTATGCCTGCAAACATGCAGCAGTTCCAAGGAGAACAAATATGCCAGCGAATGCGGCAGATCTCACCAAATACCCTTTCGCCGAGACGGAATCACCAGGGAACCCCGGGAAGGAGAACTAAGGCTTCTAGCGGCTCCTACATGGCCTCTTGCCTTCGACTATCAAACTCTGTTGTCTGGCTTGACGCTACTCACACACCCAAGTCGGAGAATCTGCGGGGATTTGATGGAGATAAGTTCAAACCCTGTCTCTGCGAAGGATCCCAAAGGGTATGGAAACGTTGGTACAGAGGAGATATGAGCACGGCGACTGTCGGCTTAACTCCGTTGGTGAGGGGCAGAAGTGGCTGACAATCGGTGCTCTGACTTCATCGCGACGAATATAAAGGGCTTGCGTACGCTTTCGCTATCGGCATTACCCCCGGTCGCTGAGAAAGAAAAACCTCCTTCACCAAGAGACTTATCCAACATCCGAGTCCGTGAAAAGACAACCAAGAGCGAAATGGCACCCAGTCTCCCAACCCGTCAGTTGGGCAAAGATGGACCACAAGTCACAGCAATAGGCTTTGGACTGATGGGCCTGTCCATCTTCTATGGGAAAAAGCTCCCGGATGACCAGAGGATGAAGTTTCTGGACCACGTCCTCGAGTCAGGGGAGACCTTCTGGGATTCTTCGGATGTGTATGGAGATAGCGAGGACTTGCTAGGCCAGTGAGTCGATTCCTCCGACGATGACGACCACAGCGAGTCCTAATTAGTCACCCCCTTGCCCTGCAGGTGGTTTAAGAAGACCGGGAACAGGAGCAAGATCTTCCTGTGCACCAAGTTTGCCAATATCCGCCAGCCGGATGGAACATCAAAAGTCAACAACGACCCAGCCTATATTCGCGAGGCATGCGCCAAATCCCACAGACGCCTCGGTCTGGAGCCAGGCGATGCCATTGATCTGTACTATTGCCATCGTGTCGACCGCAACCAGCCAATCGAGATCACAGTGCAGACGATGGCTGAATTGAAAAAGGAAGGCAAAATCCGTTACCTTGGGTTGAGCGAGTGTTCGGCTGAAACGCTGCGACGGGCTTGCAAGGTGCACCACATCGCCGCAGTCCAAGTCGAGTATTCGCCGTTTTCCATGGAGATTGAGCACAACGACCTCTTGAAGACGTGTCGAGAATTGGGCGTCGCGGTCGTGGCTTATTCGCCCTTCAGTCGAGGGTTTCTTACAGGCACGATCAAATCGCACGACGACTTTGAGCCGGAAGATCGACGCCGCGCCATGCCTCGGTACTCGAAAGACAACTTCCACAAGAACATGGAGCTTGTAAACGCCATCACCGCCATCGCCGAGAAGAAAAATGACACGCCGGGTCAACTGACGCTGGCCTGGCTCATGGCCCAAGGCGACGACATCATCCCCATTCCCGGCACGACCAAAGCGAAGAACTTTGACGAGAACATGGCCAGTTTGAACATCCAGTTGACGACGGAAGAAGAGAAGGAGATCAGACAGAAGGTCGAGGCTGCCGAGATCACAGGGGCCCGGTATCCATCAGCCATGCAGGGCAACCTTTACGCGGACACTGTTCCTCTCAAGGCCTGATAATGCATTTAGACAGAAGTGGCACTGGGCGAAGCTTCGTCGTACATAGGAATAGGGCGCTTTGCTGCCGACCGGGATCAGACCCCGAAGTGGTCCCAACTGAGACTCGAAACTGATGAAGAGTGAGTAGAATGGCCGGTCCATCTGTGTTCTCCCCTAAAGAGAGACCTGTGAGATAGATACAAAATTACCACTGTGAACAGCAATCGCCCAAAGCAGGAACTGAAAAGGTGCACACCGAAGCCACCGCCGCGCCAAGCCTTGACGCGTGACACGCCATGTACCGCTTCCTGAACGGGCGCCTCGCTGTCGCTTGTTCCTCCCAACACTCCCCTTTTGGCGTCAATAAGCCGATCTTCAGGTTCATGCTCCTGCAATTCAATCAGTGAGCTCCCAATGTGCTTCGTGTTGTGTCCGGGGCGAGCACAAACCACCCCAAATGGGAGAAATCTTGACATACCCGTGTGCGACGAGGTGCCAGATGGCAGGTGAGCTGCAATTCTTGTCGGTCCATTGTGGTCGCCAACAATGGGCTTAGTAGCTTCAAGGCACGCGCAGTCGATGATGACACCCATTAGCTGAACCTGAGTCGCCATGGAACTCTCACATGTCCAGTTCCCGAAAATGCGGCTTCTTTACCAGGCGCTACTCCCAACATCCGAGATCTGGACGACTTCATGATTCTTGCCCTTCGACCCCTGTCGGCATCCATACGCCTGCCTCGGCCGGAGGCTGTCAAGAGCGGGAGTGAATTGCAGTGAATGGTTTTCTTCCTGTGAAAACCGGGTTGCTCAAGTTGTTGTGCATTGATGCCTCTGCCGGCTACTATGCATCGGCACCTCGGCCTTTTCTTTTCCCAACTCTAATTCCATGCCTCAATTCCCAGCCCTGGCCAGCACTATGAAATGGTGGCTTCTGCCCTCAATTGCCCTGGGGATTACTTCGAATTCCCTATCTCATCACACGAGCCGTCAGGAATTATGGCGCAAGCTTTGAGGTTCGATGGCCAGACCGTTGTTGTCACTGGAGCCGGAGCTGGCATTGGCAAAGAGTACGCGCTATTCTTTGCATCCAGGGGTGCAAATGTCGTGGTCAACGATTTAGGAGGATCTATCAAGGGCGAGGGTGCTAGCTCAAAGGTCCAACAGTCTTCACATGCTTCAAGCACAATATACTGATCGGCAATCACAGACTGCCGACCTAGTGGTGAACGAGATCAAAGCTGCCGGTGGCAAGGCTGTTGCAAACTATGACAACGTTCTCAACGGCGAGAGGATCATACAGACCGCCATCGACGCCTTTGGTCGCATTGATGTCTTGATCAACAATGCTGGCATCCTCCGCGATATCAGCTTCAAGAACATGACAGATACCGACTGGGACCTCATTACCGATGTTCATGTTACTGGCCCTTACAAAACCACGAGGGCCGCCTGGCCATATTTCAGAAAGCAAAAATATGGCCGAGTGATCAATACTTCATCTTCTGCCGGGTTATTTGGTAACTTTGGCCAATGCAACTACGCCGCCGCCAAAATGTCCCAGGTGGCCTACACGAAGACGTTGGCAAGGGAGGGGGCAAAGTACAACATTTTGTGCAACGTTATCGCACCAATGGCTGCGAGCCGATTGACCGCCACTGTCCTCCCTCCTGAAGCAATGCAACAACTGAAGCCGGAATGGATTGTCCCACTGGTTGCGGTACTGGTGCACCCGTCCAACCGCGAGAGTGGTTCTGTCTTCGAAGTTGGCGCTGGACACATGGCCAAGCTGAGATGGGAACGTTCAGATGGCCTCCTCCTTAAGCCCGACCGCTCATATACTCCTGGAACCATTCTAAAAGCATGGTCTAAAGTGAATGACTTCTCGAGGGCAGACCACCCTGATGGCCCCACTGATATGGTGAAAAGACTGCAGGAGTCTCTGCAGATCAAAAAGAACGAACCGGGCCCGGAAATTCGGTTCGATGAGAAGGTTGTTCTGATCACTGGTGCTGGTGCTGGGTAGGTCGACGAAGCTGGAAATTACTGTGCGTTCGCTGATATTTGATAAAGTCTTGGTCGAGCATATGCATTGGCATTTGCGAAACTCGGTGCCAAGGTTGTCGTCAATGATCTTGTCAACCCAACCGACGTCGTCAATGAGATCAAAGCTTTAGGAGGTCAGGCTGTTGCCAATAAGGCCTCGGTTGAAGATGGCGGTGCCGTTGTCAAGACTGCAATCGACACCTGGGGTAGAGTCGATATCCTGATCAACAACGCAGGTATTCTCAGAGACAGGGCATTCGTTAATATGACCGATGACCAGTGGCATATTATTATGAATGTACACCTGCGGGGCACGTACAAGGTGACAAAGGCGGCCTATCCCTATATGGTCAAGCAAAAGTACGGTCGAATCATCAACACCACCAGCACAACCGGCATCTACGGCAATTTTGGCCAGTCTAATTATGCTGCTGCAGTGAGTCCTACTCCCATCATTTAATCTCTATCTTCTCTAACATAACTCAGAAAGGAGGCATTCTTGGATTCTCCCAAGCTTTAGCCTTGGAGGGCAAAAAGAACAATATCTTCGTCAACACTATTGCGCCAAATGCTGGAACTCAACTCACCCGAACGGTAATGCCAGAGGAGCTGGTTCAAGCATTCAAACCCGACTACGTAGCACCTCTCGTCCTTCTTCTGAGTTCTGACATGGTTCCACCCCCGTCCACAGGTCTGCTATTCGAAGTCGGCAGTGGCTGGCAAGCCCGGACCAGATGGCAGCGAACCGGCGGCCACGGATTTCCAGTCGATGTCAAGCTCACCCCCGAGGCTGTTCTCGAGCAATGGTCCAAAATCATTAATTTCGATGACGGCCGTGCCGACCACCCTACAACCATTGCAGAGGGCGGCAAAGGAATCTATGACAACTTGCAAAACAAAGTCCAGAAGTCCACAACCAAGGACAAGAAGGAATATCTAGCAGTCATTGAGGTGGCGAAGAAGAGCAAGCCTTTCGGCACTCCATTCAGCTGGACGGACAGGGACGTCATTCTGTACGCCCTCTCGCTTGGTGCGAACAGGACACAACTCCCATTGATCTACGAGAACGACCCGAATTTCCAAGTCTTACCCACTTACGGCGTTATTCCATTTTACGGCGCCAAATCCGAACATGATCTCGATCAACTTGTCCCAAACTTCAGTCCAAAAATGATTCTACATGGCGAGCAATATCTCGAGATCCGAAAATTTCCCATCCCCACAACTGCAAACGTGATGTCTTACCCGCAACTATTGGAGGTGGTTGACAAAGGCTCTGCTGCCATAATCATGCAATCATATTCGACAAGGGATGCAGCAAATGATGAGGAGCTATTCTACAATCAATTCACGCTATTTGTTCGTGGATCTGGCGGATTTGGCGGCGTCAGGAACGATATCAATCGCGGCCCCGCTAGTGTTGTCTATACACCACCAAAGCGCGCTCCTGACTCGATCGTTGAAGAGAAGACGTCCGAGGATCAGGCCGCCATATATCGTCTTATGGGTGATCGTCTCCCGTTGCACATCGACCCCGAATTCGCCCGCGCCGGCGGCTTTAAAGTGCCTATTCTGCACGGACTCTGTACCTTTGGTTTTGCCGGCAAGCACGTTCTCTTGACGTACGGCGAATTCAAGAATATCAAAGTTCGATTCGCTGGCACTGTGGACCCCGGACAAACGCTCGTTACAGAGATGTGGAAGGAAGGAAACAAAGTGATTTTCCAGACCAAGATCAAAGAGACAGGAAAGTTGGCTCTGTCGAACTGTGGCGCTGAATTGCGAGGTATACCTAAGATGAAACTGTAGAGTCGTACAGCGTGTCTCTGTTGGTAGGCGTCGAATACAGTGTGTTTGTTCTGGACTGCAGTGATGTGGGAATTCTGAGTGACTTGTTCATCACGCACCATCGATACTCTGACAAGCTTTAACTCAGAGGTCGAAATGCAAGATGGCATGAAATGACTTTGGATCGATTGTGTTCGAGATGGATTCCGAAAGACAACACCAGATTCATCCATGTACACTCCTTCAATCCTGTTTCAACTAAGTTTAGCTGTGAGTAATGTTGAAGTCTCCTCCATTTCCTTTGTGGCTCTCACCAGACAGACAATGCCACGACCAGCACTGCACAGAAGACTTGTACTCTGTGCCTCGGTCGTTCTTCGTCTTCCAGCCACGAGCAGCAGCCGAACGAATCGAGTATGGGTGTGTAGCCATCGTCTATGTCGGGCATATTGTTGTACACCCTCTCTATCCCGACCCTCGGCTGTATGTCTAGGGACAGTGATCTAGACACACAGGCCGTCTTAGCCCAACCCTCCTTGCTCTTTTATCTGGGAAATCGCTGTTCTCGAAAACTTGTCCAACAGCAAAGATCCAATATGGCCTCTGGTGAGCCACCTAAACTATCGAAAGAGAGAGTCTGCTAACCGCTCTCTCACCTAGTCATCCTCTCAGCCATCTCGTCCATCCCAGCAACTGCCGCCCTCGCTGCTCCGGGGGCGCTGGCAGGGCTGGCCTATCTCAATGCTCGATGGAGACTCCCCGTTGACGTGCACCTGTTTCGCTGCATAATCCAGAGTCAAATGGCTTTCAACAGACGTGAGAAGGCGGATCGAATCAATTCCTTCTACGTACTAGAGGATCACGCCCACGATGCAAGGATCAAGGATAAGACGTTTATTATTTACCAGGGACAGTCATGGACCTTCAAAGAGACCTACGACGTGGTTCTTCGATATGCCGGATACCTCCACTCCCAGCACGGGATCCGACGTGGCGAGATTGTCGCCTTAAATTTCGTCAATTCTCCTCAGTTTTTGTTCTTGACCCTGGCTACTTGGTCCGTGGGCGCGGTGCCGGCTTTCATCAACTACAATCTAACCGGCGATGCCTTCGTTCATAGTGTTTCGGTCTCGACAGCACGGCTATTGATCATTGATCCTGAAGTCGCATCGAAGGTTCTGACTGAACAGACGACATCCACTCTTAAAGGTGCTGATTTTCGTGGCGCCGACTCCCCTTCACTGGAAACCGTCGTCTTTACACAGGACTTACAATCGACCCTCGAATCCGGATATGGTCCATCGTTCCGTGCCCCCGACAATGCGCGAGGAGGAATCACTGCTCGCTCGCCGGGGGTTCTGATCTTCACCTCCGGCACAACCGGTCTCCCTAAAGCTGCCATTGTGCCTTGGGAACGCAAAATTTCCGGAGCAATGTTGATACCTCGCTGGATCGGTCTCGAGCCCGTCACCTCCAAGAGACCGGATCGCTTTTATGTCTCCATGCCGTTGTACCATGGCACTGCATTCCTGCTCGGCTTCAATTGCTGTCTTGAAAACGCCACCACGCTTGTACTGAGCCGTAAGTTCTCCGTCTCTAAGTTCTGGGACGAGCTGGTTGCCGCCGATGCAACCGTGTTTTCGTACGTGGGCGAAACACTTCGCTACCTGCTCGCTGTTCCCCCGCAACCTGAAGACCGCACACGACATCGTATCCGGCTCGCCCTTGGGAATGGGCTGCGTCCAGATGTTTGGGAGCGCTTCAAGGATCGCTTCGGCATCGAAACGATCGCAGAGTTCTACGGCGCGACTGAGTCTGTTGCTGCAAGTTTCAACCTGAACCGAAACTCATTCTCCTCAGGCGCGATCGGCCAACTCGGTTTACTAGGTGAACTCCACTGTTCCAGAATACAAGCCATCGTCGATATTGATTGGGAAAGGGAAGAGCCTCGTAGAGATGCCAAAACGGGATTTTGTGTCAACGTGCCGAGGGGTGAGCCCGGCGAGTTACTCTATGCCGTCGATGCAAAGGATATTGCGTCTAAGTATGTAGGATATTTTGGCAACAAGAAGGCGTCCGACTCAAAGATCTGGAGGGACGTCTTCAAGAAGGGAGATGCGTGGTTTCGGTCAGGCGATGTTGTCAGGTTTGACAAGGAAGGCAGGATGTGGTTCTCCGACAGGATCGGCGATACTTTTCGATGGAGGAGCGAAAACGTCTCAACCAGCGAAGTCGCAGGGGTACTGGGCCGTCACCCTGCCATCATTGAGGCCAACGTTTATGGCGTCGAGATCCCGAATCATGACGGCCGCGCTGGCTGTGCCGCGGTTCTGCTCCGGGGCGTGACAAGTCCGGATACACCGGTATCCGAGGACGTGCTGGCAAGCATCGCCAGCGTCGCCCGGGCGGGCCTGCCGAAGTATGCCGTGCCGGTGTTCTTGAGGGTCGTGACCGAGGTCGTGGCAACGGGCAACAATAAACAGCAGAAACACGTCTTGAGGAAAGAGGGCGTGGAACCGGCCAGAGTCGGCGTCACGGGCGACAGGATATTCTACCTGCGGCCTGGAAGCGATCGGTTTGAGCCTTTTGGTGGCGAAGAATGGGACCAAGTTCGGAGCGGGACGGTGAAGTTGTGAACGCGGCTCTTTATACCTCGCGGTTAGAGGCATTCCTCATCAAAGGGCGCGAGAAGATCAGAAATGCCATGCCTTTGCCTGGAAAGCAGATCGTATACCACATAGTAGAAGCATTTCAACGATATCTGGCTTGAACCTACGCGAGAGCTGAATGCTGATCGGCAGCAGAAATGAGTGGGATAGCAGTTAGCCTCGAGTCGAAAAGACCATAGAGAAGGAAGTATGCAGCAGGAGAGAGTGAGATAGTTGCCATGGCCTGTTTTCTCTTTCTTATACTGTTCTCCTCACTATACTGACTCTGACTGTATTACGTTCTTTCACTCCATCCATACCATCCAAACTAATTAAATGTTCTGCCATTCATTCATTCACTCATCCGACCATCTCAACGTCCCCCAGGTAGTCCAAGTTGACCAGCATTGCAAATGAGTGGTCATAATCTATGTTACAGACTGGAAGGATGTCCGCGAGACTGGCCCGATCGATCAAATCCGTATTCTCGAACGAGGCAAGGAGTTCCGCATTGTTTTGGGTCGTGTCCATCCTCCCGCTTTTGCGCGGCTCGTGGTTGGTGGAGGGAACGGTATCCGGGGGAGTTTGCTGCTGCTGTTGCTGCTGTTGCGGATGCTGATGCTGATGGAGCTGAGGAGGAGGCGAAGTTTCTCCAAACTCAGCACCAAAGCAGCTAGAGCTGAGATTGAGCTGGCGGCTGCCCGGGCTGTAGTGGACGCCTCGGTATTCGACGCCCCAGAGTTTCGACTCCTGGTTGAAGAGGAGCGTGACGTTGGCCATGATGGCGATGTACGTGAGGAAGTCACCGCCTGCGTCGCCGCCCGGAAAGGCCTCCCGGGACGTTTCCAAGACTTTGATGCAGAAGAACAGCGAGGCCAGTATCTCAGTCGTCACGTCACTGGTCGTCTGGCTCTCGAGGCGCTTCGTGTGCGTGATGAACGCGGTGAATTGGAAGGGGATTCCGGCCGTGGCTGGGAGGTATCGATCGAGCTGTGATTTGTGCATCTCGCGATCGACCCTCGACACCTCAATGGCCGCTTCCTCGACCCTCTTGACCGAGCGCGCCTTATCCCTGTTCCGGAGCTGTGGCCGGTGCAGGGCCGAGACCACTGACCAGAACGTGATGTGCAAGGACGCTGCATTGGTGATGACACACGGGCTGTAACCCTCCTGGCCGGCCTGGGCCCTATAGACGCATGAAGCGGGAAGTGTCCTGTACCAGGCCTGTAGTTCTTCATCGTACTTCTGCACGAGCTGTTCGTTCGACGTGCCACTCTTCAAGAACATCATCGTCGCCGTGGATCCGTTGTCCCCCTTGGCCGTCGACGTGGATTTCTCGCTGGGCAGAACGGAGAAATGGAGCTCGAGAACCTCCGCTCCCAGCTTGCATAGTTCTGTGCTCTTGATGCACATCTGCGCTAGCGCAATCTGGTCGACCATTGTCAGGAGCACCTTCTCTGAAATACTGGACAGATCGACGATGTCGAAATCTTCGAGTGTCAGTGCCGGCGTATCGAACTCGGCTTCTTTGATCCGCAGCGGTCGACCCATCGCAATCGCTAGCATTCGATCTCGGATGAAACATGACCACCATACTCGTTTATGCAGCTTGGCGTCCTGAGACTGCACCTTGTACTCGGCCTTCCTGTGCATTCCCAGGGTTTGTGCAAGAGTAATGGCAATGCCCATCCAGTACCATGCCCCCCTGTTGTCGCCGGGATACTCGCTCCAATATGCCATCAACAGCACGGCTTGGATGATGGCGAGCTTATCAGTCTCCACGTCATGATCATAAAGTAGCTGCAATGGTTGTTAAGATATGTTGAGTTAGTATGGGACGCTAGGTATGGCACGTACTCGAGTCCTTTCGTAAAAAGCCTTTCGGCATGCCCGTCGAGAATTGAAACCCGCTCTCTGAATCTCGCTGATGTCTACAAAAGGGACGGACGCAAATACTATGGCTTGTAATGGAAGGATGCCGATGCTTGCAGTCTCGCCGGTCAAAGCCCCACGAATGGTAGAAAGATCGATAGTGGGCATGTACGGGTGAACAAACTGGATGTAAGCGGTGAGAAGAGCTTTCAGAAAACCCGCCGACGGCAGGTCCAGGGCCCCCTTCAGGCGGAGATAGTTGATGTCGTCTAGGCTGAGGCTCTGTGAGAGCGGCGTCACAATATCTGGAAGACCGTCGTGGGTTGTCCGCAAGGACGCTGCCGAAGTGGGAGAAGGCTGCGAGACGGCCGTCAAGCTCCGCGGCGTCAGAGCAGCATTGTTGTTCATCCGGTTGTGCACCGCTTCCTTGTCGACGAGGGACGCATAGCTCAGTTCCTGGTGCAGGAACCGTGCGTCGAGCTGAGCGGTTGCAGATGATTGTTCAGGAGCCGTAGTAGCTGCTTCCAGAGGGTTGTCAGTCTCCTACCACAGAAAAAGGTTCAGGTGAAACGGGAAAACATATGCACACCTTGGATGCAGGATTGGGAGAACATGTCCATATCCACGCTATCGTCGAGCCAGCCTGTTGTGTGGGTAGGGGAGACTCGACCTCGACACGACGGGGCTATTATTGCTCTTGAGCAGCTATCGAGAGCACCAACATCTGGGATGATTGCCCCGTGTTTTGGTCCAGCATTCCTTGAGCTGTTGGTCTTCAAGCGTGGACGGGGCTTCTTGCCACGCTTACTCCTCGCCGTCTGACAGTGGACGTCGTCGGTGAGACAGTTGCTGCACGGAGGGCCTCGCTCCTCGACGTTGCAGCGAATCTTGCGCGACCGGCACGTCAGACACGCTCTCCCTGCTCTTTTGGTCAGAGTTTCATGGAGCGGTAAGTGGGTGGTGGCCATGACACTCGTCTCGTTCTCGCGCAGAATTCAATATGGTAACCTGTGCCAGCACGGAAACAAACAGTCTTCTTTCATCGTGTGTGTCACGGCAACTGGCTCGAAATCGAAGAGGATTGAGATTGAATAAGAAAGGGAACGACGAAGAAAGGGATGGCCTGATGTCCCCGGGGACCAGTCACACGAGCCCACCTCCCCCCGCTAACCTGTTTGCAGTAGAAGCCTTGTGGTCGCCTCCCGCGATTTGAACCCCAGACTTTCTTTGCTGCCTGGAGGAGCTCTGGTGGAGAGACTATCCTTGTCTCCGAGCTAGACGGAGGTGACGGGGTATCTACACATGAGCGAGCGAAAGAGAGACAAAGGAGCTACAAAAGCCGGTGGGGCCTCGGTAACTTTTATATGCCGAACCCTTCGAGTATAACGGGCGCCATGGCTTCAGTTCCCCAATACAACTTCAGAATGTCGGAGGAGGAAGTGTGGAGAGATGGGAGAGCCTCACGATTTGGTTAGACGTGTGTAGCTTGTTGCAATTGGCTTATATTCGATAGGAGCTGAAAGATTGATATGGTTGAATATTCAAGGCGCTCTGCTTGAGACTATGTGTGCTACAATATAGTTTTATCCACAAGAACCACAATGTTTGCAATGACACAATCTTGGACAGTGGGAGCGCCATACCAGTCTACTCAACAGCTACAAACACTACCAGCATCTCGTCTCCTCGGCACTTAAAACCTCGCCTGAACCTTCTCCTGAACATCCTGCAGAGCGAACTTGGAGAAGTGCTTCTTGGAGACTGTGCGCGCAACGTCCTCGCTGGTGAAACCTTTCGCTTGTGTAGCTGGGTTATATCCGAGACCAGTGATTCTGGCGACTTCGCCGTCCGAGACGGGCGTGGCTTTCTTCCCATCGGCCCGCTTGTAGATGGTGACGATCGAAGCACCCCCGAGGCCGAGGTTCTGCTGGAGGGCGTACCGCGTCTCCTTGTCCCTGACGAGGCGGTTGTTGGCCCAGCCTCGCAGATGCCAGACGAGCTCGGCGCATTGAGCAAGGCCAGTTGCTCCTATGATTTGGCTATCGTCAGCGACTGCAACGAAAGGGATCAAAGAAAGACTTTTGCTACCGTACCGAGAGGATGGCCTTTCGAGATCAAACCGCCCGACGGGTTGATCACGTATTTACCACCATAGGTAATCCCGCCAGCGCGGACGAGTTCGTGCGCCTTCCCAACAGGTGCCAGACCGAGGGAATTGATCAACATCATCTCGTTGGAGCTGAAGCAATCGTGCAATTCAACCACGCTCACGTCATCCCGTGTGATTCCAGCTTGTCGGAAAGCCTCCTTAGCTGCAATCTCGGTCATGTGGTAACCGCACAGGTCGATTGCAGACGTGCTGAAGAGTTCTGGAGAGTCTGTCGCGAGACTCTGACCAATTATCTGAACCGCCTGAGACTTTAGGTGCGGCCTCTGGTCCAAGAACTCCTGCGAAACTAGGACGACGGCGGCGGCGCCGTCGGAAGTCGGGCAGCATTGGAGTTTTGTCAAGGGCGCATGGATCATCGGTGCCTTCTGGATCTCTTCCAAGGTATATTCTTGCTGGAACTGCGCGTACGGGTTTCGCTGACTGTGTTCGTGGTTGATACGAGCGATTTCAGCGAAGTCCGCTTCCGTGGCGCCGTACTTCTCGATATATTCTCTTGCAGCATTGCCGAACAGCTGGGCGGCCATGGGAGAATTGGTGAATCCTTTCGTCGCCTGTAGCATCTTGGCGGTTGTGCCCATTGGGGCCTCGCGGTCGTCCCAGAACCCCTTCAGACTGCCGGGGAACATCTTTTCGAACCCCAGCACAAGAACACAGTCGGCGGCACCGTAAGCAACCGTCTGTCTCGCCATGTTCAAGCCACTGCTTCCAGTGGAGCAGTTACTATTCACGTTATATATGGGGATCGAAGTCATGCCGAACTGATAAAATACTCTCTGGGCAGCCGTAGAGTCGCCGTAGACATAGCAGCCAATGCCTTGATCGACCTCGTCATAGTTGATATGAGCGTCCAGCATAGCCTTGATACCGGCTTCAAAAGCAACTGCTTCGGTGTCAGCAGTGAGGGCATTTCAGAAGGAACGACAGAATTGAGTATGTTGTGCTTGCTTGCAATATCGGGGCTGATCCGCAGGAGAAGTTACCTTCCGTATCTTTCAGAAGTTAGTATCAATGAGCATGACCACATCGATGATTGATGCATAGCTTACAGTCAACTTTGCCTCTAGGTTTGATGAACTTTGTCATCCCCACGCCGAGGACGTAAACGGGCGCTGCTTGGCGAGGCATTGTAGCGAGGTATGAATGTGGTCTTGATCTAGAGCACGGAAGAACGAAAAGTCGACTAGTATCCGAGGTGTTATAGGTTGCAGTAAGATCTCTGTCTTGAGAGTACAGGGAGAGATTGAACAATCGACTGATATGAAAGAAAACTCGAGAGTTAGCGGTTGATGTATACCTGATGGATCTATCCTGCATCGGCTTGGGTGCAACAAGCCTCCTTTCCGAGGCCATCGGCATCATGCAACTTGCTCTCAAGGTCAGTCTTGTGAAAGAATGGCGGGTTCTGCATATTCAATTGCCGGGGGAAGCCGAGGATCTTGGCTTGACCGGGACTCTGATTTCCGTGGGCAGGTCGTTTGGCCGCATAGAACAAGAGCAAATGTTCGAAAGATGAGATGGAAACACGATGCAAACTCGTTATACCTAATCAGGCTTAGGTGGAGCCTCCGAGGTCTATATGTGACTCTCTATTGCCGCCTTGTATAGCCGCCTTGTATAGCCGCCGAGTCCTCAAAAATTTACTCGAATCAACGAAATGGAAGAAAGCTCAGTAATCAGGGAAGTCGGTTTGGCTTCCGCAAAGATACTGACTGAACACAATACCTCATTCACATGATGGCGACTGGCGACGACAAACCGCACGAGATCGTTCAGGAGGAACGCATTCCGAGTCCAACTCCGCAAGAGACGGGTCTCGAGAAGGTCATTTCGGTCGACACCGTCCACAACGATGAAGCGATGAAAGTGATTACCAGATACACCGGACCGCAGACTTGGGAACCAGAGGAAGAGAAGAAACTTCGCCGAAAACTTGATCGACGTCTGTTGCCCATTCTGTGCGTCACATACGCGTTGCAGTACTATGACAAAGGTATGGTCCACCCAAGTTGCGTTCAGGATTTGATGAAGCAATGTCTTGTCTAAGAAGTACATGAACAGCTATGATATCCGTGGCGGTGAGATTCCACATGTTCCATATATATTGATGCCGGCTCAGTGTGATATCGACAGGCCATCTTCGGACTTCGCGAAGACCTCCAATTGACAGGAAATCGCTACTCGATGGCTGCGGCTATCTTCTTCCTGGGTTTTCTCGGTGGAGCCTATCCTGCTTCTCAGCTGGCACAGAGATATCCTGTTGAGCGAGTTGCAGGATGGCTCGTCTTTGCCTGGGGAGTCTGTTTCGCGCTTACCCCGGCGTGCCATAATTGGCAGGGGCTCTATGCCCAACGGTTCTTCTTAGGCTTTCTTGAGGCAGGTGTCAGTCCCATTTTCATGCTCATCATTGGACAGTTTTACAAGAAGGACGAACAGGCGCTAATGATGGGGTGAGTTCGTTTCTCTCCGCCGCTGTGAGTATTCACTGAATTCTCCAGAGTTTGGTATTCGGCGTCCTCGTTTATCTCATTCGTTGGCTTTCCCATTAATTGGGGTCTGGGTCATATCAAGGGCTCGCTGTCACCCTGGCGCTATATGTATATTGTGGGCGGGATCATAACTACCTTATGGGCCTTTGTTATTCTTTTCTTCCTGCCGCCGGATCCAATTCGAGCCAAAGGTTTGACGGAAAGACAACGATACATTGCACTCGCCCGGCTTCGAATCAACAATGCTGGCGTCCGAAATCTGCACTTCAAAAAACAACACCTATTTGAGTTGTTGAGAGATGAAAAGTTCTGGCTTATATTTGCCATGGGGTACCTGAGCATGGTTGCTGCCGGGGTGGTCAATGCCTTCCTTCCTATTGTCGTCGTTGTTGGGTTCAAGCTCGACGTCTTCAGGGCTCTTCTCATCCTTTCTCCTGGTGGAGTTGTGGTCGGAGTGGCCATTCTTGCTTCAACCTACGCGGCCTACAAAGTACCAAAATCCAGGTGCTATATCATTTGTGGCAGCCAGTTGGTTACCGTTGTGTCAGCCTGCCTGCTGTGGAAGTTGCCATTGAGTGCTCTCGGCGGACTCCTCTTCTGCTGTTATATTTTTCCCGGGTTCACCTGTGGATGGGGTGTTATAATGGGCTTATCAATCGCCAATACTGCCGGCTATACTAAGCGGGTTGTCAGCTCGTCTGGCATCTACTTGGGATACTGCCTAGGTAAGTCTACTCTGCTCGATCTTTGTCGTGTTTTCCAAATCTGCAACGACCAATTTTTCCGATTTGGTCTTATTGTCTCTAGGCCAATTCACTGGACCTTTACTCTTCAAGGATCAAGATGCGCCTCGATATGTGCCTGGGTTCCAGGCCGTTGTTGCTACTGCGGCTGCGGCTGCAGTTCTAAGCTTGATATATCGATTCGTCTGTGTCTGGGACAACAAGCGTCGTGATAAAGCAGGCATCGTCGAGGCCTTCGAACATGCCTACGAAGATGATTTGACAGACAGAATGGTATAATATTGTCTCGAGATGGGTGATGAAGTTTCAATGCTGACGATGTGATAGAATCCGCAATTTCGGTATATATATTAGCAGCGGTCCGGTATGCCACCGGAGTGAGGAGCGACACAAAACCGATGAAAGTAACAGGCAGCCCAATTTCTCCCAGTTGTCGAAAAACACGAACAGACCTGGTGGTTGACATCGATGTTACTGTGGCCGGATCGCCTCGGGCGTTCGTAATGACATTTGCACATGAGAGGGTGAAAACGTAAAAGCCTAAGTCTGCACATGAAATTCAATCACGCCAATCTCATCTTTCCAAGGTTAGGCGCCACTGGAATATGGTATCTCAACACATCTCACATGCATTCACTGGCAACTGCTTCCGTACAATAGCACCGTCTGGGTAGGATACAGACAAAATGAAGAGACTATCAAGTACAAGTCAAACAGACATAGAACTTATCCTTTGGTCTCGAAACTGTGCTGTTAAGAGAGATATCGGGGATACAGTGAAGACATCTATTCAATCCGCTACAAAATGAGTCGAGGTGGTTGGAAACCGTTCCTGCATTTTCCACCACGTTGTCTTCGTTTCCTAGAGATTCCATTAATTCGTGAGGGGATGCTCCGGGAGCTTTCGAGAACACACGCCCTTCGATCCAGATTCCTCTCATCTTTTTGTAATGCTCGACGGGGAGTGCGTGTTCGTCAATTATTGACGAATACCAGCTAAATATCCAGCCCAGCATTCAGTGGGTGGAAGTATCCGCTGAAATGGAAGTAGAGTCGGCTTAAAGATATCAAAGCATCTTCAATCAAGAGTTTTAAGCAATTTGTGTGTTTCGTGGGTCCTGCTGAGGCGGATGGGGCTGGTTTGGGCTGGTCGCGCCAATATTTTGGCAAGGATCAAGGAGACGCTGTCGCTAAAACAAAAGGGGCTTCAGCTTCCTCATGTGCTTGATGAGATAAACCACCCTTTTAAACTACCCTTTCGAGCATTGTATCCAGAATTTTGGTTTGAGGCCTCTGCACTGAAGAGGAGAGCTATAAAACAGCCATGAATGGCCCGATCATGAAGTCGATCAACTCCAGTTCCTTCACTCCTGTCTACCCTATCCCATCCACAAATTCTTTCCACCAAGTCGTCTCAGGCAAGTCCTATGACGCTGTCTACAGAGTCAATTATCTCCATCATTGGTGTTGCGGCAGCAACACCCCCGGCCATGCTTGTCATCATCACTCTACTTCAACGTCGACGGCGACACATATCTTCCACTTCCACTACGTTGGAAGAGGGTAATGCCTTCTCTATGCCTTCTACGAGCACACCGGATCCGCCAATAGAATTGGGAGAAAGAAGCAGAGCCTGAATAGGAAGTCCAAAATTTTGGACTTCCTTTTCCAGCCAAGCTCAGGTCTAGATCCTCCCCTATAGCCTGGTGCCTCAGCTGCAACAGATCCGAATCATTCACCCAAAACGCAATAGCCTCCGGCAGCAAGAATACCGTAACAGGTGAAATCAGAGGCACGACAAACTCAAGCACAAACTCTACTGACCTACAACCCATCCCAAAACTATGTGGAAAGTTGTTCCGAACGGACCACCGCCGCTGCCAGAATTTCCTGATCCTGGCGAAGTAGTCTGAACGGGAATGAGTCTATTGGAGATCAGCATAAACAATAATTACGAGTCTCTCCTCGTATCGCAATGCACACTGCTGTGGTTGGAACGGTCGACGTAGCACCGGTTGATATCGTGGTCGTGATCGTGATTGAAGCGGTCTGTAATTATTCATCTGTGAGCATAGCCTTCGTCGATCGCTCGCTCAAACACTCGTGTGTTTAGTTGCTGTGGTGTTGGCTGGGAAAATAAAGGGAGATGGAAATGTCCGCGCATGATAATGCAACAAGCACCCCAAACCACGAAAGACATGATATAAATCATCAGACTTTGACGGCATCGCATTGTTCCGCCTACTCCAGGGAAAGAGGAGCGAGCGATTTTGAGATCAAACATCGACAACGCGCGTTTTCGCTACTAGTCCGTCGCTCATTTAGCTGATGGACGTGCCCTGAAAGTTGCGGTGTCGATCCAAAGCGGCGGCCACTTTCCCATATTGAATCTCCATCCCCGCCCCGGACGCCCCAGAAATTAAAGCAAATAAGAGTGGGAGCCAAAAAGGACGTTGGAGTTGCGACTTTCCTGGATTTTCCATCAGGAGCCGCCTTTGGAAAGCGTTCATAACATGGCTTTGTGAATATGGGATTTCCGGCTCTCTAGCGCCGAGAGCCATTGTGCAACTTCCCCATGCTGCATAGGGGGCAGACTTTGAAACAAGCAAAAACAAGTCTTCGAGGTTGCACCAGGGGCGTACTCGGTAGTTGCACCATATTCTAGGAGAAGAGCATCTGATTCTCCTGTGATAATATTTATGGGAGGGAAGAGAAAGAATATACACACGGAAAGCAAGAGCTGGCATCGGCGGGATGACAGCTCCCCCAAGCTAGCGCCACAACAGCAAACATGAAGGTATTGTTTAGTTCCCTCTTCCTATCGCTATAATTGTGATTCTACCAGGGTCGGGACAGGCCGAGATTCTTCATGCGTGATCCAAGCGTTGTCATAGCCCACTCTGGTTCGCAGTGGGTGGTGGAGAAAAAGAACTGCCCTATCCACCACCCGTTCCTCCATAACCATCTACCAGGATATCTAGCGTTGATTGATACTATCAGGATACCCTTTGATGGTACATATTCAGAGAGATACTACCAGAATAGTTAATGCAAGCCTTGGTGCGTCACTCACCCCGGAGCATTGCCCCATCCGCCGTTGCCAAGGCTATTCGACCGCCGCGGCCGGTGGAAGTTTATGCGTCCATTGTGCAAGCTTCAATTTCACTCATGGCATTCGCTGAGTTGGAACACTCTTCTGCAAATCTTCAAGAGGAGCAATTGAGACAAGAAAGCGGACGACATGTCCCAAGAACAAGAGTCAACGCTGCGCCAACCGAAAAGAAGGAAAGTGCGGAAAGGCACTCAGAGCTGTTGGGAGTGCAAGCGCCGGAAGATACGGTGCACATTCACATCACCGATGGCTAATATCTGTGATGGATGCTCGCATCAGGGAACATCGTGCATCAGCCAGGAGCTTCCAGATGAGCCTGGACCTAAACGGAGTGTCGAGGAAAGACTGAGTCGACTGGAGACGCTAATGGAGAAGTTGATTGACAGTGGCGGGCCTAATGGTTTCTCAGACAACTCTGTGCGTCAGCCTCAGCAGCGGGAAGGTCTCAGCAGTAAATCCCACGCTTCGATAAGCAGTTCAGGTGTCGTGGAATCTGTGCCTTGCAGAGTCAGCTACTCTTCGCAGCGAGGTCGTGATGGCCATGGGACATTGGTATGTTCGTTCTGGTTGATTACCTGTCCATTCTCACAAGCCAATGGCATTATCTGCAGTATCATGTTGCCTCCGAGCCAACGACGAGACTGCCTTGTGCCTCCAGACTCACAGGCCCAAGGCAGAATATCCGAGGGCGGAAAGAATTATCTCACATACTGATGTCCGCATGGCCCAGCCAACGTGATATCGATCTTATCCTTGAAGTTCCAGTTGAGGCGGCAAAGTTTTTTTCACGGTATCGCCTGCTCGTCAGAGGGCGTTCCGTCAGCACGAGAGATGCTACAACTACCTCCGCACGATTCTCACCCTGTCCTACTCGCGTGGAAGCTATTGAGTCTAGCCAAATACCTGCAAGCGATCCTGCCGACTTCTGTGGACAACCTCAACAGCCTTATGGTGGATTACCACAGCATCATGGTCCATGCTGTCGAAACGGCCCATATCGTTACCTGTAACGATGAAGTGATATACTCAATCGAGGGCATCGAATGTATCATGCTCGAGAGCCTCTACCACAACGAGGCAGGTAATCTTCGCTTTTCACTACTTTCTGCTCGCCGTGGAATTGCAGCACTAGCGGAAATGATGGGCCTTCACCACGGGAAATCAATGTCGCCAGCTTTTCTGAAGCCTGAAACGCGGCTCCGAATGAAGCCAGAGCAATTGTGGTTCCGTCTCGTTCGCTTGGACCGCTATCTATCGCTATTGCTAGGCCTGCCACAAGGTTCACTCGATGACAGTTTCGCAAGCCCTGAGGTGCTCAAAGACTGCCCGCCTATTGAATGCTTGCGGCGCATTGACTGCGTCGCAGCTGGCCGCATTCTACAACGCAAAGCAGCCGATATGATCGACAGCGATTTCACTCAAGACATCGACAAGTTACTACAGAAAGCCGCAGCCCGCATGCCAAGTCAGTGGTGGCTGGTTCCGAAGCTTACGGCCACCAGTGCCCAAACCTGGGATGCCTTGGAAGAGATGGATCGTCTAATGTGCCAATTTGCCCACTTTCACATTTTGGCCCGCCTTCACCTTCCGTACGTGATGCGGGCTGATCAAAATCCTTATAACTGCGTCGCAGCCGTCAACGCAAACCGCGAGGTTCTGACACGCTTCGTCTCTTTTCACAGCCAGACCAGCCGCTGCTACCGCGGCATCTTGTTTCTCGCCTTCATTGCAAGCGTGACAATATGCCTTGCGCATATCAACACTCATGCTGCCGGCCAGAGAAACTCTATGACTACATACCTTCTCGCGCACCAACGCATGGGCGACCGCGGCATGATGGAGAGGACTCTCGAACTAATGGAGTCCACCTCCAACGACGTGGCGGCTACCAGGATTCACACCATTCTGCGTCATTTACTCCTGATCGAGGATGATGCCGCACACGGAGGCAGCTACTACACCTGTGCCTCTGCTGCGCGCAGTGAGGACGAGCTTGAATGCCATGGAAAACTCAGCGAAACTGACAGTGGGTTGCGTCTTTCCCTTCCACATGTTGGAACAATCCAAATTACGCGCCGTGCGATTGAGAAGTCTTCCTCAATGGCGCAAATGCTATATATGGCAGAAACTGTGCCAGGGATCTCGGTTACCGGTCCGACAGTACCGTTGAACCCTGCAAGGTCATGCGAAGAACTAGAGGGACACGAAAGCCCATCGCTTGAGGTGCCAATTACTGCCACGGCCCACACGCCTGGCGATGAGTCGGCCATCCCAGAGTGGCATGCACACCCTTCACTCTTGGACTCGGTGTCTCTACGGCATTATTCTGTATCTACTGCAAAAGGCAGCAGTTGCCTCGGCTTCAACGACGGCAGCAGACCCCACGCGCATCTCGTCCCGGGCGTAGATGAGTTCACAGACGATTGGGACCTACAAGGCGTTGACATGACTCTGTTCGATAGCATTCTCCACGGCACGTCGAGCTCTGGGTATACCATAGGCGCAAGCTGGGACGCCACTGATGGGTAATGAGCTTGACTGGCAGTGTTCTCAAACGTGTGGAAAGCGCTAGGCGATATTTCGAGTGATATCAGGTCAGACTTATTGTACAGGGTACAGTTGGCTTGCTATTTACCAAATGCGCGACGGTCTGCGTTCCAGGAAATGTCATATTCTGCTCCTCAGGGTTCAAGATGACATTCATTGGCCTAACCCCTTACTGCAGCCTTGCTGAGCCCACAATACCTCCTCGGTCACTCTCCTCGATTTCCAGGTGGCTAGAAAGTCTACGGTATCGCACCAGGCTCTGGTCAGGAACTCCTCCGCTGGGGTGAACTGATAGTCTGGTAGCAGACGATTCCATTCACCTCCAACCTTCAACGCACCTGTCGAGGTACTCAACAGCATCCCTGAAACTAGATTCGGTGGCAGGGCCACGGCGTGCTCAGTCGCATAGCCGCGTAGGCAATCGTTGGCAGCCAGGAGCAACTGACGATCTCGGCTTGCAGATCGCTGGGCTTCAGCCTCTCGATGCGGAAGGGCTCCCTTACCTGATCAGATTTGAACAAGCGAGAAAGCACACGAGGACGCACCACGAATCTTCTTGCCGAGAGTGAGCAATTGCCCTATGGAGATTTCGCTGCCTTTGACCCCACCGACAATAGGCCACTCATATTCATAGTCGACAGCGCGTGCTACGACATTTGCGAGGCCTTGCACCGTTGTGAGAGTGATGCGGTCGTCATCGTCGTCGTCTAAAGCCAGCGAACGGCGGTTGTTGAAGTCTATCTGGGTCTCAAACGGACGGAAGCCTTTCCCCGACTCATGGGAAGAGCTGCAATAGCTCGTAAACAGCCCCTGGAGGAACAGCGACTACTCCAACGGCTAGATTCATGCTTCGAGTCTGTACTTTGGCAGCTTAAGATATAGACATTACCAGCTTCTTGTCTTTGTTCAATTCTCGTAGGCATCTGCGGACTCCCTCCTTCCAGGCGTACCAATCCAGACGGTCGACGGTCGATCTTTAATGTCTCAGAGAGACTTGTACCTGCTTGTGAATCACAGCAATCCGAACTCACGTACCCCACTCGCTAGGGGCAAACCGCTTCACTCGAGCCTGTACAGCGGCGTTGATGAGACTCTACTGTGAAACACTCCCTGGATCTTGCTGAGTCGTGACGAGTGACAGTACGGTGTGGACGCCTTGAATTACCGCCAGTTCTTCAACGCTGCGGTAGTCGGCCTTTGGTCCACGTCATGCCTGGCCCCGGGTCCTCGACGTGAACGACCTGAGCACATCAACCTAGCACATTGAGGTGTAAAATGAGGCCGACATGCTTCTTCGCAACGACAAGAGCATCGATGGTTTCCAGATCAGCATCTGTATGAAGAGCATTAATGAACCTGGAAGACAATCTCCCTTGGGCTATCGGAGATCCTACTGCTCGTTCCACCAGCGATTGCAATTTTCGCCATCATGCTGTGCACAAATTTGCGCTGCTCCCTGGACCCTATTAGTTGTTCTGCCTCGGGGCCTTTAAACCAGAATATTTGGTAAAGCTAGACGGCTCCGGAACCCATCCCTGCGGTTATCCTTTGGTCGAGTATTCCGCCGAAACGTGGACACACACATGGTGAGGATTACAACGGCTTTGAGAAGCGCCTCGCCTCTAGTCAGCGAATTCCGCCTTGTAATGGTGGGCAGGCATGCTCGGCTAGCCCAACAGTACGCATTTGTGATTGAGCGATCGCGGCATCGTCGCCGTAGCCAGCTACTAGCACTTGCTGATATAGTCACATACTCCATATGGGGTCTGAATAGGGCCAGATTTGAACGCAAAGGGGTTAACGTCACAACGGAGAGGGAAAACAGCTGCGGCACGGCAGCAAAGTCGATGGCATCAAATCGTTATATACCAGCGATCAAGCGGTTTGTGCTTCTAGTCATAGAATGGTGACTTCGCACTCCCAAATTACCACTATCCAGCTCTGGCTGAGCACCAGCGTTATTTAATCAAATCGTGACCTCTTTATTCTTGTCATATTTCAGTCTCTTGCTGGTGTTCAGCTCGCAAGACATCTCGATACGAACGCCAAACAGGGAAAGTCTAGCCTGAGTTTCGGTCAATAAGTCACAGCTGGTATCCAACTGGAACATCCGGAGAGACAGTGAGGGAAAAGTTAAATAAATGATTGAAAGCATGTGATTCTTTCCATGATCTCCTCAATCCTCAAATATAATGCGGCAATCTGAGAATCGCATTTGCGACTGTCGGCACACCGAGTCTCGGTGCATACACTAAAACCACGCTGTTTGAGGGGAGAGAAGAGGCTTCATAGTTACCAGTGAACGCGGCTGTCATTACCTCCGCCTATTCGACCACCGGAACTCCTCCCTCCAGGAATGGCAGTAACCAACATCTCGTTCGATCAACCCCTCATTGCCCAAGAGGTCACCTGTTATTACCCTATCAGCGATATATACGCGCCGACTCCACGATATCTTTACTATGTCCTCCTGGCCTTGAGCTTCATCACGCCTAGCCATGGTTGGGTCGCCCACATCATCTTCGGAGCCGCAGTCTCATATGCCGCCACTGCTTCACTTGAAGCTTTTATCCTGCTTTCCGCTCATCTTGGCTTACCGCCTGCCCAGAATGTCACGATAGCCTATCTGGATCCAGGAAACCTGACAGATATCTCGGATGACTTGCAAGCACTTGTGACGAACACCACCAATGTTCCCGTGCAGCCTGACTACTTGGAGCTCGACATTGATGCAGTCACTTGCATTGTGATTACCGCGTACCTCGTGGGCTTGCCGCTGCAGTGTTGGTCAAGCACCGCTCGAACCAGTCGAATTCTCCATCTGCTGATCTTCATCTGGAATATAATTATGCTTGCAGGCTCAATATCGGTGCTGGTCCTTTGGCCGACTCTGAATGTTGGACCCCCTCAATATCGCTTCTGTTATTCAGGCATCGTGGATGGCAACACCATGCAAAGTAGCGGCTGGGACGATCAATACTGGGCCGGGTCTTGGAATTCAACCGTCTGGGGTCTGTTTGGACCGTCGGTCATCGACAACGAACGATGGTTGAATCTTTCAACGAATTGCTTCTATCCATGCTTCAACACGTCTCAGATCCTACGAGAGTCAACGCGGCTAAGGGCGACAGTAGTCGGTACAGATGCACCTGGCAGGAGTCTGCATACCTGGAATATGTGGGAAGGCGATGAATTCCAACCCCTCGTTTATACCGCGATTGCCGGCTTCACTGCCGCACAATTATTTCTTCTGGTCGTCGGGAGATTGAATCTTTGCACTTCGAGGGTCCCTATCCATCGCCCATTTCAGCTCTGGTTTCGGCGGAGGGAGATCTTTGGCGCTTTCAAGGCTGACATAAGAGCTGGTTGGTCGAGCACAAAGTGTTTTCTGCAGCATCCAATACCTTTTTTCGCATCGATACGGAACATTAGATTCCGCCACGCAGCCAAAGTCACGAGAATACACAAGCATCCCGTCTCCCATTTCGTCATCGACGTTCTAACACTTTGTGTTCTGCTCGGAGTCATGGTCTTAGGACCCCTGATCATTGTCGCTTTCATTATATGGATTGAATCGTATATCCATTCAGATGGCGAGCCGAACGAGCAAGTTCAGGCTGTTGGCCAATGGCAATTCATAGTCCAGATCGGCATTGTCATTCTCGCGGCGGTGATCCTGAGGCTGCGGTATAAAGTGGCTTCGGAGGAAGAGGTCCAAAGGGATCTGCGACACGCAAGGGCCCAGGTCGAAAAGCTGGAACGGGTTGCAGAAAAGAAGAGAATGCACAGAGAGGATTCGGCTACGAGGAGAAAGGAGCGAGTGAGGTATACATGCTTCTTCCGCCGGCGGAAAAGAAATGCTGGAAGTCAGGAAGATGAACAAAAGCAGGTTTCTGCATCATCGGCTTCTGCAGAAGGAGTCCAGGGGCTATCGCAGGAGATCAGAGAGGATAAAAGACAGGTCGTGTCGTTGCCCAGAGGTCCGGCGCCATGAACTGTGTTGCGTGGAGAAGGAAGTCATATGTAGTGGTCTGTACGACTAATAAATCGACGCGAATTCGTCTCTGGATTGATAGATCACTCGGAAATATCGGAGATAGTTGCCAGCTGTGGCGGTGCAGCCGGGCATGTCGCCGCTTTTTGGTGGCTGAGCCATCCAATGGCATGCCTCTATTTATTCCAAATAGAGTTAGATGGATTGTTGGATGGCGCAACCAGCGCTTTCACTTTTTAAGGTCCTCAATTTGGTCTTGGCATACCCAGTACAAGGTGCTTGCTCATCAACTCCTATGGTTCCCGTACTTCGTTACTACACCAGAAGTTGATTGAGAAAATATTTTTGTGCTGCGGCCACTGTTGGCTCGGGCGCAGAAAAGAATGAATCACCTAGGCTCCCAGAGGCTTTTCTCTCGACGTCTACTAAATAACGATCGCACTGGGCATAACTTCCTCAATGGAAAGAGTGACATGTGGTCGGAAACAGCAATCACCACGAGACTTCTTCTTGAAAGGAACGCTTTCCTTGTGCCATTCACACCGAACGGCAACTCAGTTCCTCGCCTTCACCTTCGGCTGGGTCAATGCCGCAACGATGACCGGCAACACACTGACCATCTCGCCGAGACCTGCATAGGCAGGAGGAATGCGAACTTTGACAAAAGCTCCTGCGGCGAGTAGGATGGCAAACACATTGTATACGGCCGACCAGACGAAGTTGAAGGCAATGCGCCGGAATGCGGCCTTCGACACATCCAGCAAATTGACCACGCCGTCGAGATTGCGAAGAAGGACAACATCCGCTGTGGCACGCGTGACGTCGGATGAAGATTCGATTTGAACTCCAACATCGGCTTGGGCCACCGCGACGGCGTCATTTGTCCCATCTCCACAGAACAATGTGGTCTTTCCAGCGTCCATGAGTTGGCGAACGTACTCCTGCTTCTGTGCCGGAGTTTTTTCTGCAGCGACATTCTCCATAGGAATGTTAAGGTCGGCGGCTACGCCCTCCACCACCCTGCGCCCATCGCCACTCACAATGTGGACAGCAATCTTGCGTCGATGGAGCTCTCGAATGACAACAGTCGCTCCTTCACGAAGCCGAGACTTGAGGCCGAATATTGCCCCAAGGCCGCCGTTGATCGTGACACAGAGCATGGTCAATCCTTGGGCTGCGAAGTCGACAGTCTGATCTGTATCGCTGATCTTGAGCCACTTTGCATTCCCAGCGCGGATGACTACGCCTTTCCATTTTGCTTCAACTCCGCAGCCAGGAATGGATGCTAGTCCCTCCATCTCGACGCCTTGTATTTTCCGTGCATCCAGCGCCTTGGCCACGGCTTCGGACACGGGATGTTTATTGCTCCTGACCATTGTCATGATCAAAGAGAGCATGGTGTTTTTGTCATATTGGTCTGTGGGAAAGATCAACTCTTGTACGACTTCGAGGCTTGGCTCAGTGAGGGTTCCTGTCTTGTCAAAAACCACATCGGTGACCTTGAATCCGCGTTGGATGACGTCTGCGGTTTTGATAATCACACCTCCACGGGCAGCCACCCCTCCAGCGACCACGAGAACCATCGGAACCGCCAACCCCAACGCACAGGGGCAAGAGATGGCCATCACAGCAATGCCATAGCCTATAGCAACTCCGATGGCATCGCCTGCAGATTGCTGTCGGACCTTTAGTGCAACCAGAACCCACACCGTGAAGACAATGAGAGCTGCCGTGCATACAATCGGGACGAAATATCCGGCTACCCTGTCAGCCAAGTCCTGGACGCGGGGTTTGAAGCTCTGCGCTTGTTCCACCAAGTTGGCGATATCAGTAATGGTATTCCTCCCTGGCAGGCGGGATACCCGAGCCGTCAACCTTCCACCGCCGTTGATTGTACCTGACACGACAGAGTTCCCGGCGGTTTTGAAAACGGGTATACTCTCGCCCGTGAGCATTGACTCATCTACTTCACTCGCTCCACCAAGTACATCAGCATCGGTCACGATCCGGGAATGCGGCAGAATTGCGATCCTGTCTCCGTATTGAAGCAATCGGGCATCAATCTCAATAGCCTGGTCTGTGGTCTGGTCGATGAGCATAGCCGTCGATGTTTGCAGGGACCTCAACGACACCGCCTTCACTGCTCGTTTACGAGCCCAGGCCGAAAGGAGCCGACCAAGCAGGATCAACGTGATCAACAGCGTACTTGTCTCGAAGAATGGTTTAGTCTCCAGATCAACGCTTCTGAAGAAGAGACCAGCCGCCATGATAGAATATACATATGCGGCCGTAATGCTGATGACCACAAGCATGTCCATTTCTACAACTCTGTTGTATATCAAGGAAGATATGGCAGGAATGTAGAACTCGGAAACGGCAATCGCTTGAACCATCGTGGCAAGGATCACGGCGACGATCAGAGTGGTATGCTCGGAAACACCGGAAGGACGGCCCCATTCGAGAACAACAACTGGAGTTGTAAGGATAAAGGCTGCGGTGGTCAAAGCAAAGACCCGAATGAGCCTGCGCTTCCCTTCGTCAAGGTAAGAGTTGCTCCGGGCAGGAGCAAGTTGACCGTCAATACCACCGAGCAAGTCCCTGGCACCAATCACGCATGGATCATAGCTGATTTCATATGTTGTCTTGGAAAGCTTCTCGCAGCACTCGACACCATGCGGTAGGTTGTCTCGAAATTTTTTGGCTTCCGCCGCACTCATAATAACGTCGATACCCTGGGTATCGGAGGAGAATGGCGTCAGCTTATATCCAGTGGCCCTCTGGGCGCTGCGGATCACGTTGTCTAGGGTATTGATTTCGGTGTCGAGGCGGAATTCAGCAACTCCACTGATGAAGGTAACCTTGACGTCTTTGATACCGACCGCGGCCTGAAGTGCTCGCGTCAGATTATTCGCGCAACCAGAGCAGTCCATTCCAGTGACGTTGAGAAGAATGTGTGACAGTCCTGCTGCCTTTTCGATGTCCATCGAAGTCTTTTTGGGAGCGGTCGCACTCTCACATTCAACCTTATCAAGGCTCTCACGACCACCACAGCATTTTATCTCGGGTTGTGTTGGTACCAACTCCTCTGGCACCTTTTTGAAACGGCGGCGAGACAAGATAGACCCGTGCTCTTTCATGTTGAGATGATGGCTATGGGAAGTGCTGAACGCGGAGACGCTACTGGCGGGAGGCGGGGTGCGGCAGGACTCAATTCGCCTAGCTGAAGACAGAATGCTTCGACAAATACACTGAGCTGACTCAAGGTATGTGGCATATTTCTCCATGGCTGCTTTAAGGTGGACGGTGCAAGGCTCATCAAGATGGGTGCCGTCGTCGCCATGAGCATGCTCGTGAGCTGCGCTGATGTGGACGTGTTTGCTCGTCTCGGGCTCTTCGGCATGACCATGGTGGCGGCGGCCACGAGCATGGTCGCAGCTCTCATGGCGAGTGGTCTTTTCGTCGGGCTCGACGCTGTCTGTCACGCTGGAACACTCCTGCTGATTGGCGCACGCCATGGAGCACTCGATGGCGGCGGCAGTCTTGATGCAATTTTCTTCGAATCTTCATCAGCAAAACTTCAGAGTGGGATACTGGATCATTTACCATTGCATCTATCGTCCTCACTACACTGATTTATGACGTCTCCGTCAACTCTCGATACTGCTGCTGCCGAGCTTGTCGAAGTACAACAAGAAGCGCCGTGAGCCGATGTCGGAAGCCTCGCCCCTGGAATCCCGCAGCAATCATTGGGGCCATCGGTAGGTTTGGCTGCGCAGGTGGAGGTCATGTTGGTCCGCTCGCAAGCTGTCGGGTTCTCCTTTTCGGTTCTGGAATTGGGCAATGGGAAACAACAAGGTTGGTGTTGATGGTGCTGGATGGGGTGATGTTACAACCGAAGGCCTTATCACGGCTTCTCGGAGACGGTGAGTTGGCATGGACAATCTGTACTTGCGCTACGGATCTAGACCCGACTGGGCAATTTCAACCGCAACCGCGTCTGGCACTTGGCACTGCGCTCGAAAATTGCACCACTGCTGCTGGCCAAACGGCTTATAGTCGACGAGAACGAGTGTTGCACAATCTACCGAATGATGACACCGATGGCCAGAAGATGCACGGGGACAAGAGCAAGCGATGCTCTAAGCCGCCCGGACGCACTGTTCTTCGCCGAACAGACATGACTGATACGCGGCAAATCCGAAGGGCCAAGGCAACAAATGACAACTGTTAATTAATTCTGTCCTTCGCCGGGCAAGCACGGACAATCACCGGCAAGTTTTGCGAGCCTAGAAACTCACGAGCCTGCGGCCTAGGAACAAGCTGCGACTCGATGTCAATTATTTGTTTCACCTGCACGATCCGCGATCCTTGCTTCTGAGAGACCTGCAAATTTCTTCTGAGCAGCTGCTGCATTTTCTCTTGCCACCTCTAGCTTCTGTCGGTCGCATGTCCTCAGGATTGCTCGTTTCGCCGGTACGCAGGATGGCTCTCTGCGTCCGTCCAGCCGACCAAGCCCGTCTTGCCGCTTGGCCTTGATATCCTCTTCGTTTTGGTGGAATTGATCGTGGTCAAGCCCACAGCTTTAATCAATTCTCCTGCTCGACCAGCTTACCATACCACATCTTGCGGTCCTCAGCGTCCATTCCCTTGCACTCGTTGCCGATGCCTTCCACCTGGTATCTCTTCCTTTCCTAGCTGTCTCATGGATCTCTTCCTTCCCCGCTTATCAGTTCAACGGCATTTTGTCATTGCTGGTGGGCCTCGAGGCTATCCGAGTCGCAACAACACGCGAGCCCTCTCGTATTTGCACATACGGGGTATGTTCTTCCGCTCGGTGTCTCCAAGATTGTGACAAAACCAAGACACCGTGTTTTAGTAATAACTCGCTGAGACACTCGATGCGCTGATCAACGGAGTATTTCCCATCGCTCTCTACATGCCGATCCTCCTCGAGGCTATCCAACGCTTCGCAGAACCTCAAGAGCCTCCAACCCGATAGTGATTCTTGTGGTTGGCTGCCATGGCCTCGCTTCGAATTTCCTCGGCATAGTCCTCTTACACTGGCATGAGAAACCTGAGCTGTACGGCTTACCAGATCAGCAACGGACAAAATATACAAGAGCTATCACAACACGCACGTGAATGCAGACGGGCTCCGACCTTCACACAGATGTCGGTCCACCCCACGGCTTTGTGCCCGGATGTCATTGCAAGCTAGTCAATCACACGCACTCCCTAGGAATAGCAGGCATGGCACCGAAATCCAACCACTCGTCACGACCCCATCGATTCCGTCTCCGTCTGAAGACTGGTCTGAACCTGTGATCTACCTATACATATGCAAAGCGACGGCAGCAAAGGAAATGGCAAGAAATGAGGACCTGAACACGACAGGAGTATTCTTGCACGCTCTCGGTGACGCTGTGGGCAAGCTCGGTGTCATCGCTTCGGCTCTGTTCGTCTGACTGACCGATTTCCCCGAAGCTTGCAGGCCGACCTAGCTGTCGCCGTTATCAACACGGCCATCATTCCGCATTCGGCGGTCCCACTGGCCGTGGCGGGCCGCCTGCATCACCATGGAAGCTGATCCTCAGGACGTCAACACCGATGAGATCAATCAGGATATCATCACCCTCCGAACGCGTTGCAGATTGTCACGAGGTGCACGTCTCCCGATTGAGCGACTCGAAAGTGATCGTGATCGTTCACATCGAAGTTGGCTACGGGGTCGTCAAGGACAACCATGTGCAGTATCTGCAGCCTGCATCGATAATTCGACATTGTCTTTCTACTCATGGCATTCACAGCCTCACCATTCAACCAGCGAGTGCCTCATCACATATTGAAGAAATGGTTTCTGGTCACAAATAGACTGCTAAAATATTGGCATGATGAGAGCGAATGACTGGCAGCCCTCTTAACTAGAGGCTGACACGGAAGGAACGTAGGCATCTATGTAAGGCTAGACTAAGTGTGACTCATACGCCGTCGTCTCTGTTCAGATGAGATCGATCTTGGTCGTATCAATGTCGGCTGTACCTGCTTTGCTCGTAGCCATGCTGGTTGCTCGCGTCGTGCGGATTGTGTCCTTGCAGGCTGTGTCCAGATGGTCTATCGCCATAGTGATCGTTCTCATACTGTCTGTTGTATCCGTGTTGCTCATAGCCGTGCCCGCCAGCACCTGGACCGTAACTGTGCTCGCGGGCCTCGAAGCCATGGGAGCGGTCGAAGCCCTCGCGTCCGTAGTAAGGGCCCGGTTGACCGCCGCTGCCACCACTATGGCCTTTCTGTCCGCCGTAGTAAACGGTATTGGTCTGCTGCAGTGGTGGAGGGCCACCAAAGTCGTCCCTGTGCTCGTCGTAATGTCCGCCTGAGTAGAGATGTTCGCTTCCACCTCGGAAGCCGGGACCGTGGGAAGAGGAGAAGGAGGGACCCATACGTTCGTCTCCAGCTACATGTCCTTGGCGATTGCTTCCGTACGGGTGGTTGCCGCCCATTTCTCCGTGTCTGGCATTTTGCGCGTCGTAGTAGTACGGTCCCGTGGGATTGCCGGAGGAGTACGGCATGCGTTGGTGAGGATCCGGGCCAGGGCCGCCTCCCACAAGGCCGGGAAAGGCCCCTGTGGCATTCATTCATGTGTCAACATGGCTATCCCGCAGTGTGTTGGGGGGGGTTTTTTCCTCTTTGTTTTTGTGGGCGTACCGTAAGGTCGTGGATTCTGTCCGTCTCCCTCATGCTTCTGCCCGCTTACTGCATCCGTGATTTTGTGCATAATACTAGAGCTACCAGAAGAGAGGCCCTGGCCCTGTCTTCCTCCAGCCAGTTGTCCTGCCACTTTGAACAAGTTATCCATCGGGGGTGTCGAGTACTGATGGCTGGTTCTATGCGAGTTGCAAAGGTCAAGGGAGAACCAAATAAGCCAGGCTATCGGTTGATCGAGCTATGAGGGCAGCAATCAGGGGGATTGGAAGAAGAGCAGCAACAGCAGTCAGAATCCGCAGCCAATGGCAAGAAGGGTTCAAAGTGTAAGAAGCCTCAGGAGGTATTCGTAATATGCCATGACAACCAGCCCTCTGGCTCCCGAGCTAAGAAGGTCACCTCGACGCTCTAGTCTGAAAATGGGAAGATGACTCTCCTTCCCTCCCATGGAAGCGCCCCCATGGAGGTTTCGGATCCTTTAGCCGACGGATTTGACCCGGAAAAGAAACAAATATCAGAATGATTCTGTGGAGACGCGAAACGTAGTGCGAAGGAGTTCTTACCTTTGGTCATTCTTCGCCATTGACTCTATATAAAACAAGAACAAGCAAGCTGTGTGTTTCTAATTCTCTGTGTGCTCGCTACAATGAACCCAGCTGGCAGGCCAGGAGGAGTCGGTCACATTAACCGAGTGTTTGCGGCAAAGCCTTATCTATGAAAGTGTCTATCTAAGAGTAGAGAAGAGAGCTAGGAAGACTCGGACTCGACTAACTAAAGCAAGAGAGGGACGCCAAAGTGCCTCCGGGCTAGTTCTGGAATGGACTAGGGGGTGACATTCATGTGGCAGACTCATAAAACACTCGCGAATCTACTTTCCACGTTCGCCTCTCCGCCCCAGCTCCAGAAGCTCCTGCTATCCATATACATTGCGTCTCTAAATCTGTAGAAATTCCGCAGCTCATGCTTTAGATCTGCTCTTCCAGTGCTCGTTGGAAACGAACAAGAGACTAAGGATCAAGCCAAGCCCGGCTAATCCAACCGCAAACCAAAGAGCATCACGGTAGTTGTGAAGCATGTCGGACCTGGTCAATTTGCCATGGTTGATATTGGTTTCGACGGTACCGGCGAGGCCGAGGCCCAGCGATATGCGATAGTTGACTACGGTCATGACTATGCTTGCACCCATACCCTGTACACAGAGTTCCGACTAAGAATGTCTGTCGCGGAACAGAGAATGCATCGGCAGGGTAGACGTCTCCTATCTTTTCGGAGGGCTCGTTGCGCTCACCATCTGGTTAATGGCTTACGTATCAGCGAAAAACGAAACTCCGGCATTTATTGTTCTCAAGTACCCCTTACCTTCGCTCAGTGTTGCTGTCTGGGATGGCGTATCTGCCTCCAGCTGCGTGGCCTGCTATGTTTCTGGTAAGGATATCATGCTGCGTAGTTTGCCTGTAGATGGAAAGGGCGATGAAGAGAAGAGAATGTGCGCGGTAGGGAAGCTAACATTGCTATGCATGATCTGAGTCTTTTATATTCTCCCATATTCCATGTCACAGGCATAACACCACAAGCGAAGCGATCTTGAAAGCTGCCGTGGCATGTAAGATGTGACATCCAGCGGCGCTCGGGGCGCGCAAAATCGTTCACTTCATGTAATGCAACACAACCCTAGTGATGGCGTATGACAAATTGTATCTTCGTCCAAGTTGAGCGCGCACTGTAGAAGTGGACATTTACGCAGCGCATGGGTGGACTTCCCTGTCACGCGCGGCTTAGATATGTACCAAGTATCCACTCGGTATACTGCGCGGCAGGTGGGTCTTGTGGACCTGTTCGGAACTGTACCTTCTATGCCGAGTAATGACAGCCACAATAGCGTTTCTCCCAACTCAACATTCGTCTTCCATTGTTCATACTAAGCCTCGTGCGACGTGATGATTAAGAATCCATTTATCGCAAAAGTCGTAACCACAGAAGAGTCGAGGGGAGATGGGGGACCGCAACAGGCCCAAGCACCCTCAGGAGATATAAAAAGTATGAACTGCTCTGGGTGGAAGACGGGGCCTTTCTTCTGTTCGACATCTGAGCTTCTTGGCAGTGTTTGGCAAAGCCCGTCTTCACTTCAGCTTCAGTTAAAAGCATTAGGCAAAAATGGGAGCCCCTTCTGTTGCATTCATTCTCGGTTTCGGCCCTGGAATCGGAGCCTCTGTCGCCAGGAAATTCGCCAGCAATGGATATAAGGTGGCGGTTGCGTCGAGGAGCGGCAGCAACTCCAACACGGCCGAGGGGCTTCCTCTCTCTCAAGGCAGATTTCTCCAAGCCGGACTCGATCCCATCACTATTCGCCGCCGTCAAGGACGAGTTCCGTGCCTCTTCCAGCGTCGTCGTCTACAATGCCGCAGGTCGTACGCTGCCACCTGTCAAGGAGTCCGTGCTCTCGACTCCGGCCGAGACAGTCGTGTCAGACTTGATCGTCAACACTATCAGCCCCTACGTGGCCGCGCAGCAGGCTGTCAGCGGATGGGCATCGCTGCCGAATGAGGCTAAGAAGACGTTCATATACACGGGCAACATCCTGAACGTGTGCGCTGTGCCCTCGCCGATGATGATGACTCTGGGCATGGGCAAGTCCGCTTCGGCGTACTGGATCGGGCTTGCCGACAACCTGTATTCCACCCAGGGCTTTCGGTGAGTGCTCCGAGACGAAAAGATTGATTCTTTGCACTCTTTCAGTTTCTGACATTTGTGTCGTGCTCTGAAGATCCTTCTGCGCCGATGAGCGCTACGAGGACGGGGCCCTCAAGGGAATGGCTATCGACGGGGACGCCCATGCAGACTTCTATGCACAGCTGGCGGCCCACGAGGGGAATGTGCCGTGGCATGCCACATTTGTGGAGGACGAGGGTTATGTCGGCTTCAAGCTCCGAGTTGAAAGACGTCCTTCAAGGCATTCCACATGATAAGTGGATTTTATGTCGCCATTTAACAAATACTAGCTCGGCCACGTTATCTCTTTCCCTAAAATATCGTTCGAAAATCCGTATGAAATGGCAACTCTAACTCGAGTCGATCGATTGGTTCGATTTCTCATGGTAATAACCACCTGTACACCTGACATATCGGAGTTGCAGACAAGTTGATACCGAGATGAGTTTGTCAGCGAGAGGTCGAGGGAGTCTTGGAATATGACCGCATCGAGGAGCCCAAATTACTCCATGAGTCATTCCTTCATAACTCTCACGATTATCCCCCTAAATGAGAAACACTAGTTCTCCCTGACTTCTAAAACAAGTAGCGAGATCGCGTGTCGCGCTCACGCCCGCGGATTGTTCTGGCCGCTCGCCGCGATAATAAGGAGTGAACAAGCCATTTCAGTATGTTGTTTGCTCTGTTTGAGGCGTCAACTAAACTGGCTTCGTGTTGTGCAAGTGGAGTAACCAACGTATCTTTGATCGGCCCAGCGCGGCCGACAAGCTCCACAACATCAAGGGCTCCCGCCCTCTTGCATCCTTGTTTCCATGCGTCGAGCGCGGCAATTTCGCTGATCTGAAGCAGCACCCAGTTGCGGCAACCGGAAATAGCCTCGAGATCGATTGAAGGTCCAGATGGGTCGGTACCTTTTAGAAGGCTGTGGTGGTAGTCATAGAGAATAGGTTTCTCCTGTAGTGATGTGCTGACAATTATGTCGTCGAATATCACGAGGGCTGCGAAAGGATGCCTGCTCAGCACTGGGAGCCTGGATATATTGGGAAGGCAGCGTCCACGGGGACGTGCAGAGGCGACTCATAACAATGTCGAAGCTTGACCAAGACCCTGCTGCGTCAATGAGATTAGCACTGTCCAGAACACGATGAAAGGGTTAGGGTTATACTTCTCAAAGCTCGATACGGAGATCTCGAACCGCTGGGACTGCATGACGCCTGCTAGGATCCTTACGGCCTCACTTAGATGATCTCGGGTGGCTTGCTGCCCATCGGGGGCCTGCAGCGATTGTCTGAGTGTTTCAAAAGCGTCCCTCGTCTGCTTGAGCAGTCTTTCCCAAGCTACGTGGCAGTTGGTCGTTCCCAGAGCGAGAGAGAAGAAATAGGAGCTCTGACACAGGGCAGTCTGTCGCACGACCAGGCTCGTCATCATGATGTCCAGGATCCAGGATCTGCCCCCTTCCGTGAGAGATGGGCGGTGGAAAGGGAATAGAAACGGAAGGAGATTTTCGAGGTAGAACATGAAGAGGCAAGCGTCAGGCCATCCAGAGGCTGTGGTTTCGCGCTCACCTGTGTAATCAAGGGCGACATTCACATTGCCTGGGTACGCTGATCGGGAGCATCGGCGATCCGCTCCGCTGAGTGGTCTCCTGTTGTCTGGCTCCGCCATCCGTCCATTCTGGCTTATCCTGGCCGTAGCAGCACGTGATATGGAGCGCAGCACATGCGTCGCAGATGGGGTGCTCTTCGTCGCAATTTTTTTTTCCGTCGAAGTCGGCAAGTCCAGCAACCGCTGAGGCTCCTCATTATGTCGCTATGACAAGGAGATAAGTAGAGAGAGCCAAGTCATGGTTTAGAAATGTCTACAAAGGCTGGCAGCAAATCTGCTATGTGTAATACACACGAAAGGAGTGCTTTGGGGTGGAGCAAGTTCAGAAGGCGAATCGTGAAATTCCACTTCCGCGTACAGGTTTCTACAGAAATTCGGTGCTTCGTAGTTCGTTGACGTCAAAAGACGCGGCGCTCTTGCACGTCGCCGCCCTAACGCAAGAGGATGTGAAGAACGAAAGACTGCTGGGTTTTGCAAACCCATTCAATTTCAATAGCTGGCTGCGCGTCTTCTGCCAACTAGACCCGAGCAAGCCATGACTTTCAGATGATCCTGCTCAAGAATACGATTTGAGCGGAGTTGAAGCTGATACTACTAGGGAAGTTGAATTGCTGAAGCGTTTCGGGCAGGCAGGCTGGGCGAGCTTCAATAGTGTGTGGAGAAATTGTCTCGAAAGCCTTGCCTGACATTGCTCTTAGATAGACATCTATTCTCTAGGCAGTTCTTGACGAGCAACAGCATTGTCCATCCTTGCCATTTGCGACCTAGACGTTGGGCATTGGTGTCATATCTGAGCAATGTCAGAGTGAGAATATTTAACCTCGAACACAGGCTCGCCTGGCCTTCAAGTCCAGTTTGGCCCCTTTCCTTATTTCTCCTTCCACGACCGCTTTTCTAACCCATTCTATATAGGTATGATATGGAAGCCAAGCCACATGTGGGAAGTTTTTGGCCACCCATTCCTTGGTTTCGTCACTGAAGATGCCTTGATAGTCTTGGAGGCGGATCTCCTGCGAAGTTGTGGTGAGATACACGCTGGACATGGGGGAGACGGGGGGTTCTGAAAACACTTACCTCGAAGGAAAAACACTGGTTACCTTCCGATTGGCTTGCGGCAAGACACATATATATTTCGCAACGGTCAAGGCTCCAGGGATTCTTATGAAGGAAAACATGCTCCGGGCCGTGGTAAAAGCGATCTCTAAGCGGGCTCATTTGGTAAGATATGAGGCCGAGCGGAAGGTCTCCTTGGGAGAGATTTGGAAGCGTGATTTTCTGAAAATCGAAGGTCATCTGACCTGACGGGAGCCTGTCTGAATACTTAGTAGATGCGCAATACTATCTGTTGGAAATGAACTTACCGAACGGAGGTAGCGGCCTGTCATGAGTTACGGATGAGCCTGGAGAGCTTGAGCTTCTTCCTTCGTCCTTTTTCGCCCCAACCGAACCAAGAGCGAATCCACCTGTAGGAGAGCCAAATTTGAATTCACCTGTAGTGGTGCCCTGTCTGCCTGTAGTAGAGCTGAATCCACTGAAGGATGGTGCCGTTGTCTTAGAAGGGAATGATTCCTCTGCCGCCGATGTGGTGGCCGGCGATCCAAAGCCCCCGAAGATAGCCATAGACCCGTATAATTTGTCGTTTGCAACAGTCACAGATGGTACCTTAAAGGGTAATGGAGATTGAGAAACCTTCTGCTTAGGCAAGGGGCTGGTCTGGGCTGGTGAGCGGTTCTCGACATCAGTGATTGGAGTCCCCGACGTATTGGTGCCTGATTTCTGGTTTGATGGTGACTCATTTTTAGGCGCAGTGGCAGAGCTGGTTAATGGTTGTCGCTGCGGTGTTTGGGAATGAACCATTGAGGTTGCATTTCTAGAAACCGGGGTCGCATCGACGCTAGCAGGCTTTGAAGACAGGGATTCAGGTCGGTCGTTCCCTGTGGAACTACTCGGTGGTGGTTCTGAGACCGGTCCTGGGGGTGCTCCTCGTGCTCCTTCAAACTCAAGCCCAAATTCTCGGCTTGCGTGCCTTCGAAAGTTCTTCAACGCCTCCTCGAGTGTTCTCAGGCGCGCCTCAAGGTTTCTGCGTTCAGAAATGATTTCTGGAGTTTCGCCCCCGAGCAACTGTAGCTTATCGTCTTTCATCTCTGCCACAGTCTCTGGGGAGAACATTTCCTCAAGTTTCGACAGCAGGCAGGACTCAACCCCGAGCACGACCACGTTATCGACAAAGGTCTCAAGAGCAACGCTATAGTATGCCCTTGAGAGCTGAAGAGCTGTCAAGCGAGGATCCTCATTAGAGCCGGTGGCTTGAACTATGCCGGGAAAGGAGGATGGTTTATCGCTTGTTGCAACACTGACATCACCCCATGTTCCATTTTGGCTCCGTACATTCTCCAAACTCACCTGTAGTCGATCCCTCATCGAGTATAGAAAGGAACCAGTGTGTGGCGTGAACAGCTCGAGAACCTTGTTGTCCAATTCGTCTCGATGGTTTTGAATGGCATCTTGAAAGACTTCGCGGAGTATCAACTCTCCACCGCGTCCGGTCGAAGGGCAGATAGAATCCATGACCTTGCGGAGGAATACTTGAACAGCACGACATATGGCGACAGTATACTTGGAGGCGAATGTCGGCCAATTTTGGGACTGCTCTTTAAATAGTTCCCCAACCAAACGTGGGTTGAAGAGCAGCGGTAACTCCGGGCCACGATAGCCTTCCATGAGCTTTCCGACTTTGACGAGAGCATCGGCCATGGCTATGCGCTGGGGCTCATCAGAGGACGTTGGTTGGGAAGATGTAACATCTGCAACTTCAAATACGTGACCCCGCGTGAGCATTGTATGTTCGAATTCATCAGTAAGAGCCATCGTTTTTGCTCTCAGTCTTTTGGCAGAATCACAATCGCCAAAGAAGGAGTCGGAGTAGTCGCCATTCAAGGCAGCTTGGACGAGCTGCACATATCGTCTGCTAATTCGGATAAGATATTGCCTCCGTTCGTGATGGGTCGTTCGATGAGGCCCTAGTTCGTGAAGAGATAATTTCGCTAAGGCGATCTTCCCTTCTAGAGACTTGATAAGCTCGGGTAAGACGTGCAAAACATGTTGCTCTAGGTATTCGCATAAAGCGGACCGCAGTGATTTTGTTCCAAGTCTTTTTTTGTCGAAGCTGTCCCACGGATCCCGGGAAAATAAGTCTGACTCAATCCTATCTCTATCGGCGCCCCTTTGGCGCTCATCATCTGTCAGGCACCTCATGATTTGCCAGTCACGTTTGTAGTTGAACACGGGGTTTTGGTTCCGTGCAAGTTCTAGGATCTTGGAAGTCATTCCAGCTTTTTCTGGGCGTTGGAGGGTATCTGGCTTGGTGATAACCCCGATGCAACGCTCGCCCTTGGGATCGAACTCTTGGGATAAAGTCAGGAGCCCTTGGCCATTAATCGGGTTTTCGGCGGAGACGATTACCATGATCAAGCTCTCTTTCTGCTCGAAATAGTGTTTGATAAGGTCCTCTACTTCGGCTACGTCGTCCCGATTCTCAGCAGAATGTATGAGGCCTGGCAGGTCCACCAAAGTGAGATTGGGTAACGGCCGACCGCGAAGTTTCAAATGCAACACATCCCGGCTGATGCCCTCAGTCCCACTAACTCCCATCGCTTCCTCGGCCTCTCGCAAGATGACTGGGATCGCATCGAGGCTTGTAACTGCCCTCCGGAATGATGCAGTGCGAGCTTGTTGGTCTTTGGAGGAACTTGGTCCAGGACTGATAGATGCCTCTCCTGTTACAGTCTCATCGGAGGAATACCGAAGGGCAATCTCTGTGGCAAATCTTGTACAGATGGTGCTGTCGACTGGGAATGGAATTCCGGATAATGCTCCCAGTACGGACGATTTCCCGCTACTGGTGTCGCCACACACGACGATCTGAGGAAGGTTGGCGAGGCCATTTTGGCGGAATTTGTCGATGTCATTGAGGAGCTCCAGCCGGTCCCGCGACTGGAACAGAGGGATGGAACTTCGGCTGATGTCGATAGCCATGATTGTCGGCCGTCACGGTTGAAGCATGTCAGAGTAAGAGTGACACCGTGACTACGAGGTAAAGAGGAGTTAATGAGTACCTCGTAGTCGAAATGACCCAACTTTTGTTGCTGCGGCAGACTTATTACCGTGCGCGCTTACTCGTACACCTGCCGGTTGCAAGTCAGGAGGTCGCATGGATGCGACTTTGTGGCGCTTGGGGCTTGTTTCATCTGCGTTACTGGAGGCGCCTGCCCTGGGCGGGTTGACACTGAGATAGCAGTACCTCATACAGTACCCCGTACTCTTATGCAAGCAGAACAGGGGCTATTGTCGGCGATGCCAGCAAGGAGAACCGAGTACGAGTTACGGAGTACCAGGTACTGCCACGATGCTCAGCCCTTGCACACGGGAGGCGGGTGCAACCGTGTTTCACTAGCACCTAATTAATCGTAGTCAGCTACTGTACCTGCCAAACCTGCTTAGGTAGTCACGAACGAAAAACCTAATACCGTCCGTCTTCCCATTATGGTTAGCCGCTCGCCGCTTTGCTCACCCTGGGCCCATATACTATTCCTAATTTATCCTAGAGCGCTCCCTAAGTGCTCTCAGAGTTCTGACTAAGCCTCTTTTGTCTTTCTTCTTCTTTATTCACAACACTAAATTTTGTTGACTTTAGACGATGGGACCTATTTGAGATGCTAGGGAATCCTAACCCGGTGTTACACATTCGGCGAAACATCGGACCAACGGACGACCGATACCTCAGGGAGTAATCAGGCCACCAGCCAAGAAGGGATGCGACTCAGGGAGCGCATCCTTATTACTAGCACACTCCCTGCATGAGAGGCACATTCTCTTTTTCTCATACTTAGAGTCGTGTACAGTATAAACCATATACTACCTCGTATAGGGGCATCTTACATATACACTTATCGCTAGACTCTGCCTACTTGCCAAGGAATCCCTAACAGTTTGTTCTCCGGAGTTAATTTACTGATCAAAGCTTTGGCCATATTCAGCTGTTGTGACAAGTCGAGATTCTCTAGACCAAACCTGACCCTTTCCAGCTAAGAACGAAGACTCCACGACTACTGTCTATATCCAGGCGAGAGACGGCACCGCCCCTACCCCTCGGATTAATGCTTCTCCCAGTACTCTCGAGCGATCTTCGAAAAGTGGTCTGATGAGCGATGCAGGAAAACAGGACCAGTCCAGAAAATCTGCACAGCAAATGCATCCTCCTCTGAGACGCTACCTCGTGTTAGTAATGGGGCCTAAAATTAGCGCAGCGAAGAGATTTGGTAGACCTCCCCTTAATCCAGGGTCCGTCTGCTCCCAAATAGGGGAAGCGAAATTACCACTTTTTGTCGACTTCCAAGAGTGACATCGAGGACATGGGTACTTGCAACTTGTCGTCTTCCTTGACGATGATTATTTTGTTTATATGTAATTGAAAGCTTTGCGCGTGTCAATAATGAGGTCCTAGTATCCCGTTCATAAAGTTCTCCAGCGCCAGATATGCTAAAATCTTTCATCTATCTCGGTGCATTATTGTGGTGGAGACAGATACCGGCACATACAGGCGGCGGGGTCGAAAATGATGTTACTGTCACTACTGCTTTGACGTCGATTCATTATTTCTGCCCATGCAACGACCTATCTGTGACATCAGACTCCGGGCAGAGTCATGTTACATCTAGCAGTACCACAACTATTTGGGAAGACTCTGCCAGCGAATCACTCGGTAGAGGAGAATGGACGAGTAGCATCTCCAGCTCTTCAGTCGCCTATGAAACGACTTCATTAAAGTCAAGCCCGTCACTTCATTCATGGTCGGCTCCGGCTTCTGCCTCTTCGCAGCGGAAAACATGGTCAGGTTCCACAACCACCTCAACTGTGACTGGAGCTTGGTCATCGTCAAGGATCACAAGTAGCAGCCCTTCAACTTGGGTTACAAGGAGCAGTAGCAGTGCCAGGACATCTTCCTCAAGCTCGGCTGTTAGTCCTTCAACATCGACAATCAGATCAACCACCAGCAGGTCTACCACTAGCAGACCTGCCACCAGTACTTCCATCACTACCTCCACCAGCTTATCTACTAGCACATCTACCAGCACATCTACCAGCACATCTACCAGCACATCTACCAGCAGCACATTGTCCACTACCACGACGACGACGACGACGACGACGACGACGACGACAACAACAACATCAACAATACCTCCTCCGTAAGTAGCTTGGTCGCTGGGGACCAGTACCATCTCCGGTCCACAATTGAGTCTCTTACTAACGAATATTCGCAGAGTACCTACATGCACAGCGCCCGGGGGTGGCCTTGGTGCTGGCGGCTGCACAAACAACTGTCATTGCGATGCGAACATCAACGGTCAAGGAGTGTGCGATGATGCAACGAATTGCGCCAACAGTTGTGCGAGCGATGCAGATTGCGCACTTGGTCAAGTATGCATCGAAGCGGCAGCTTGTCCTGGTGGCAGCTCTTGTGCAGATTACGTAGCCTGTCTCGGCCTGCCTCCGCCTACCTGTTCAGCCCCCGGAGGAGGTCTCGGAGCAGGCGGCTGTCCAAGTGACTGTCATTGTGATGCCGACATCAATGGTCAAGGAGTGTGCGATGATGCGACGAATTGCGGCAATACTTGTTCGAGTGACGCAGACTGCGAATCTGGACAAGTGTGCCTCGAAGCGGCAGCTTGTCCTGGTGGCAGCTCTTGTGCAGATTATACAGCTTGTTTGAGACTCCCTTTTCCAGCTCCACCCGCATGTACAGCTCCCGGAGGAGGCCTTGGCGCAGGCGGCTGCCCAAGCAGTTGCCAATGCGATGCGGACGTCAATGGGCAAGGGGTCTGCGACGATGCAACGAATTGCGGCAATGCTTGTTTGAGCGATGTAGACTGCGAAGCTGGACAAGTGTGTATCGAGGCGGAAGCTTGTCCTGGTGGCAGCACTTGTGCAGATTATACAGCTTGTTTGAGCTTACCTGCTAAGATGCTGTTTGTCAGGGATACACCGTTCTACAGCTCTCACGTGCCGTTTCGGATGGGGGTCATGAAAGATCGAGAAGAAAAGCACGCAGAGGGCACCAGAAAATTAAGGCCGGTTAGATCTGATACTCCGTAAAGCGGTGTTTGGCATGGGAATACCCTCAATCTATAGTAATTTCTAATGCGAATACCCGTTGAATCACGAGAGCAGATTTTACTGGATCTTGGCATAGATATCCGAGTCGCAATCTAGCATATCAACCTGGTCTCTCCCCTCTACCTCTTTGTTGATCCAGACACTGACACTTGTACCCAAGCACATAAACTCTTCAAAACTTTCGTCGTCGATCTGAACTGCGTCTTGTTGCCAACCAAGTAAATCTGTCCAAATTTCGCCCGCATGCTCCTCGCCCACGGCCATCCTCTTTGTTTTAGGTTCAGCATTGGACATGATGTATGCTAGGCTAAATCTCCTGTCCCCGGTACCTCTGCACACGAAGCCAAGCAAGCTTGGGTCGTCTCCTCAATAGTCTTCTTAGTCTCCGAATATAAAGAGTTTTCTTACCAGAATGAGACGAGGTAGTTTCTCATTACAAGATAGCGGTTCCGTATACTTTCCCTGCATACCATAGAGGTCGCCGTAGAATACGCAGAGATATCTCTCTCTCCTGAGCAGGATCAAAGAGTAAGCTAGAGGCTTAAAGCAGCCCTCCATGAGGGTTTTCACCGTCTATCTAGGTTGCGTGTCGTAGTTTATGACCACCGTTAATGGTAAGGGATAGGAATTCTAGCATGCGATTGTTGGAAATTCCTGGAAACCGCCATGCTTGTTGAGTTATGACATCATACGTTCAACATTTCATCATTGAAATGCAGCGTGACTCGGCCACGCGTTGTTATCGTTGTCTGTTCATGTAATGAAGACCTGGGGCGGACCTCATCGATGACGGGTAAAATATCGCGCTTGAGCTTTTTACAAGTCGTATTGTAACAAGGCAAAGTGGCCGTGCTGTGCTGTGCAGGGCTGGTACCCAGTAGAGTGGTAGCAGGGGGGAGAAGTTGTCTAGTCACATTCAAACCAAAATGGGCTGGCAGAGGGAGTGTGACAGTGTACAGTGCCGGCAGAGTGCCATTCATTACAGTTTGAGCAGAGTATCACGAATTCCATGGCTTTTTGGCGCCGTCTACCTAATTCCTGAGTGTTTTTATCAGTTCTGTCCAGTCCTCAATGCCGCCGCTGTGCTAGGCGTTCGTTGCCCTAGCCACTGCCTCTCTGGGTGGTGTTGGTGGTGGTGTTGTCTTGTCAGTGCCAACCAGAAACGCGTTCTCGATTCCCGACCTGCTGGACAGGCCTCTGTGCGTTGTTGCACGTGCACGCCGAACCCTGAAGTGCTCCGTTACGGTATATTCCTCATCTTCAACGTAAGGAGCAAATCGCCTTTTTTTGTGACATGGGATTGATTGTCAAAGTCTGCAAACGCTGCATGGACAGCGAGATTGGAAGACGATATTTGTCTACATTAGTTCGGCGGCAAGATGGCCAACCAAAAGTTTACCCAGTAGGCGGTGTGGAATTATTGGGCACCGTCACAGGGAGCAATGGGTCACTGCATGGTGGTAGCGCTGATTGCTCGCAGTTTAAGGAGGCCTTAGGCGTCTCGGTGCCCTGGACCTCCATTCTGCTTAATCAGCTTCTTGCTCTCAGTACGACGTACGAGTCAACCGCGCACCCCGTCGCACCGCCAGGCCTAAGGTTACAAGGAAATTTAGGCAGCAGCGTAGGGGCAGAGAATCTGCCAGGTTCCCTGACGCCGTCTAACATACCCGGTAGATGCCTAGCCGATCGTTAGGGGCCAGATTAGGCCCCCAGTATATTTACTCAGGGCGGGCTCATTAATGCTCAGTAAAGGCTCAGTTACAGCTCAGGTTAAAGCGGCCTTCGCTGAGCGACCCGAGATACCTCGTACTGGTACGGAGCACTGGGTACTGGAGATTGCCTGCCTTTGGAGGTCGCTTCAATGTTCACAGTGGCCGAGTGATCCCGGCGATTCTCGCACAGGCCCCAATGCGATCTTCGGGGTGTCTGGTAGATTGGCTGCAACGTTAACTGCCAGCCTCTATCTGAATCATTTCTTCTTAGCGAGTCTGGTAAAGACCACACATAGCTGTTCTGGTGCGGCTAATATCATGCAGATGCGGTTTAGTGGCCACCCAGGAGATTGATTTCGCAGGCTCGGTGGTCACAATCCCAACCCTCTAGCTCCCTTCGTCCATCGGTACAGCGACAACACTCTGCGGCGTACGAGACTTTCTTCTGCATTGGTAATCCTCGCACTTCTGACACTGTAGAGCGTTGAACGCAGGACTTTGCGGAATCTCTTCTGTCAAACTGTCAGTTGGATCCGCCTGGCCCACGGATATTCGATGCTCACCCACCTGGAACTCGGTGCTCAAGGTGACCACACAGACTTCGTGGGCTCTAATGATTGTCTCACAGGCTTTTTCAACCGATTCGTTCGGCCCGAGCTGAGGCATGCGATCGGCAAACAATAAGAGAATGAAGCTTCCATGAAGAAGATAGATGCCAAACAAATACGGCATGAAGGTCAGTTCAGGGTCACATCTGAGAATTTGAGAGACAGCTTCTGAAGCCGCAATAGCATGCGATGCACACTTCATGAATGGCACTGATGTGATCCACCCATCCTCGTTCTCCAGCATGGACACCGCGTCCCATTTACCGTACAACAGGACATGAAGAACATGCAAGATGAACGTGCTATACGAAGTGACGAGTTGTGCCAGTGCGCGGCTTTTGGGTCGCCGTCCTGCCGGGGTTCCCACAGCTTGGTTCAAAGGACTTTCTTGGAATCCAGAATTCGGTGTGAGGAACTCGCTTGCCGGAATAGCGCCGTCCAGCTCTTCGGTTTCGTATCGGCTTTCGAGGTCGCTGATGCTCTGAGCGCAGTTCGCAAATAGCTCTTCCACCATGGAGATGGAATTCTGGTCATCAAGTGTTCCAAACCGAGGGTGGTACCGACGATGGTGAATATGAATGACGTCTCCCATAATAGCCATCAAGGGTAGGAAATATTCGAAGAAGCTGGTTCCCGTCACTGACGTAGGGGGTCCATGGGATCGTCGAGTGCGAAGTTCGGTAGGAACTGTTTCGAAGTTCTCCCATATGTCGTCGGGCAAGGGAATGTACACATCGCATTCGTCGTCCGAGATGTTGGGAATACCGTTGAATGCCAGTGCCAGGTGTCTATCCAGACAGAATAGAAGCCAAAACACACGGCGTCGTTCTTCTTGAGCTTCTAATGCAGCATAGCACTGGCCATCGATGTTGCTTCCTTGACAGATATGTGATGATGTCGGACATCCTGAGCCGTATTTGCCTTCGCTGGCGTCTACTCGGTTCAAGCCCAGAGCCTGCGCTAGTCTAACGGCTTTGCTCCACCATGGGTAGCAGTCTGTTTTGAAATCTCCCCCCGAGATTACAATACACATTAGGATAAAGGTCAGGACATCATCGATTAAAGAGGGCGGCGGGTCTGTTTGTCGCTCTTCTGCAGACTTGGCTTCCCTGGTCGGTTTGCTGTAGCAGAAAGAGCTCTGCTGTACAAGACGTCCTCCTGCTCTTTGAAGTCAGCTGGCGAAAAGGGTTCTTGTTCCTTGTCGAAACACTCACCAGGACTTCGTTGCCAATGATCACGATCTCTGTCATGAATGAGCGAGGTAGACAGTTTGCGCAACGCCTCACAAACTCGGGATCTTTCTCCTGGAAGCAATAGCAGAGGAATGTCTGCTGTTTGTGCACTAACCCAAAGCATTGTTGTCAGCAATGCTGGAGTGGTTTCTCGAGGTTTAGTTGGATGCAAGAGAGATCTCTTCCTCAACACATGAGTCAACACGTAAGGGGAGGCAGATCTGAAAAGAGAGCTCCCTGCTTGAGCAAAATAAAATTCTAGCAAATCACAAGCATCTTCAGGGCTGATCAGGTTATTGAGCAAAGGCCGTATGGATTCCAGGCATAAGAATGATCGAACAGCTGAAGGCCCTGCTTGTGCATGTCGTCCAGATTGGGCCTCTACAGCAAAGTTGTTGGTCAACTGCGCAGTGCTGAAAGACTCGGGTCGAGGCCTAGGCGGAGGAAGCTGAGAGCCAACTGGCCCGGATGGTTCAGGGATATCCTGTCCAGCATGTTCGGATTGGTGGGGAAAGTTGTAGGAAGAAATGTTATGGCCCAGATTGGGTCTGATTGAAGCTCCGTGCTGGTTAAAGGTATCGGTGAATTGGGCATCACTGCTTGATCTGCCCTCGAGGATATGCAGGTCGGAGGCTCGAAGCTCCTTTCTCGCCAATCCTCTTTCTGTTTCGGCGGGACAGGGAATGTCCTCAACAGTCGTCTCAGGGGACATAGTGGCTAGATGGGATAGTTCTGCCCTGCCATTTCCCAGTGCTTGGCCCGCATTCTGACTTTTCGGCTTGCGACCGCGTCTCCTAAGATCACGATCATAATGACATGAATAGCGATATTCTGTTGGGTTGAGGAGCTGAATTTAGCACTGGCCACGCCGTAGTTTCTGTGCATTTCCCCAGAAAAGACAGTGCGAATTTACCTTCACATCGACGGCTAAAACAGAGTGAGCTTCCTGAATGCTGGCCACACGTCATTGGCGTGGGCGCTCACCATGGGCATTCACCATCACAGCGTACCTTGGAGCCGCTGCACTTGTCGCATGCTCGCTTGGTCCTCATTCGAAGGCGGACATCCGACTGCGATGAATGAGCGGCTGCTTGTGAAGTCATCTCCACATTGCCTCGGAAGATCGTGGCCGCTGGAAAATTCCTGAGACGATAGATCAGTTCACCACGTCAATCCAGAGTTGAATGTGTTGATTCCGTCGGATAATATCTCTGGCCTTCAGCCAAATAGGAGAGGATCCGTTGCCGTGGAGGTGAACCGCCCGGCAATCTTGCCCATACCAATACTCCATACATAGTCAACAGCAGATCTGCGGGGAATGAGACAATTTCCCCGCGACCTCTCGGGAAATTGCAGAGGTTTGCGGGGAGGGAGGTGGGGTGGAGGAACAAGCTCTCGAGCAGCAGGCGAGGGATGAAAGACTGAAATGCGGAAAATAAACGCCTCTGAAGCTGCGATGGAGGGACTCGTCACCTTGGTTTACAAACCGCATTCCCACGCGCAGTTGGTTTTGTTGACGAGGAGAGATATGCAATTGAGATGTGATGCCTAGCGGATGGCCAGTTAGATTCTATGGATTAGGCTGCTAATTCTATCTCTGAACAACTACCATCTTGGTACTAGGCCAACAGTTGACCGTCGGAACAACATTTGGAAGTCCTATGCTCGAAGGGGGTATCTTACCATCCTGCTGGACCTGTGTTTGGATCTGGGCCTTCGGTGACCCAAAAAAGTCATAATCAAGCCACGGGCCCAAGATCTTCTTAACACCCTCATAAAGAGGTCTATCTCGTTCCACTGCTTCCTCATCAATATCGCTATACTGGAAGAGCAAATCGCCAAAGGTTCTTGTGCCCGAGTCCCTGGACGAGGCACCAGGAGTCTGGAGGATTTGTTTCGCCGTCTTCACATTCTCTTCCAGGTCGGATTCAGAAATAATTCCAGTGATGGTAGTGACGTTGAAGTCAGTACAGCACGCTGCTTGAGCTCTGGATATTGAGAACCGCAAGGCGACAGAGGCCAGATTATCGCCCTCAGCCTCAACCCATTCTGCCGCCTTTTGGCACACAACTCGCAGCTCTGGGGGGGCGGGATGCCAGTTTCCCAACGCGCCGATTGGAACTCCACCGCTCCTGAGCAGTCCGATCCCAAGAGGACTGGAGTTGCAAACAGCTTTGACTCCTGCTATTCGAAATGCACCCAGGCTCCCTTTCTCAAGCCGAGTGTTCTGCAGCGTCAGCTGCCCCCAGATCTGAATCACATCGATGGCACGACCGAACTTTGCATGAGCCCGCGACGCAACTGCCTCGAGGATGTTGATGTCCGCACCTGAAATCCCCACGCAGCAAATGACACCTGAATTCGACAGCTCATAGAGAGTTTCAACAGCTTGAAGAGCCTCTTCTATGCCGACAAACTCAATATCGTGGCAAAATACCACGTCAAGGTAACTTGTGCCGAACCGTTGCAGCGACCGCGCAATCGACTTTTGAATCCACTCTGGTGAATAGTCGAAATGGTCCTCGCGCACTCTTCCGACTTTGGTCATAAGAATATAATCGCTTCTCTTGTATGAGGATGTCATCTCAGGATGGCGCAGAGCTGCACCGATTAATTGTTCGGAAGGCTCATAGTATGGCGAGGTATCGATCGCTCTCAAACCGAGATCAAATGCCCTTTTTATGATGCGGCGGACTGGTAGGGATTCAGGATGGGGATGGAGCTGGTAGCTGAAACCAGCTCCTCCCATCACCAACGGCGAGAGCCTTCTCAACAAAGGATCCGGCGTGCAGGTCATGGCCTCCATGGAGATCACAGTAGTTCTCTGTCGTGTTGAAAAGCTGAAGAGCTGAGACAGCGAAGAGAAGGTGGCCTCGCCCGCATCTATCAGCCACGACAGTCAGTTGCTTTTGCAGGACGTGCGGGCGTTCCTCGAGATTTTTGTGGTCAGTATCTTGATGTCCCAAGAGGAACAAATTGAATGTGGCGATACATCCCCACAGACAAAATCTTTGTGAATTACGTATGGGCACACGTGAAAATCCTAGCTCATGCAAACAGGCACTTCGACGGGCGAATTGCCGTTGATGGAATAAGGAGAAGCCGTCAGGTCGTCTTCGCTCGGGTTTTCGCCGTCGGGCATTTTCACCCTCACCTTTTGCACCACATACTATCTCCTCGAAATTGTCCGTCGGTTGAAAAGCACGGACCTTCGGACGAGGATCGTAAAGGAGACAGACAATCACCCGATGGACCGTTGCAACGGATAGCCAGTAGGCACCGACGGTATGCACTAACTAGTCAGCCTTACCGCGAGAAGAATCAAATGCCGGGGAAAGCTAAAAAGAGGTTTCTGAAAGTACTTACTCCACGAGCCACGTGCATTACAAGACACAGGAAAACGGTGCATCCAATCTACCACAACACCTATGCCGATTTCCTGGGTCTGGAGCTTTGCTATTGCTACAGGTCACACCATAAAATGAAATCACCCGTGGCTTCCTCCTCTTCGGACACACATCAACCCTATTGCGCTATTGTGCCAAACTCTGTATCTCGCAAGGTTGACTCTTCCGGCCCTCTGCCTGGCGTACTGGTATGTTTTGGCATGAACTCTGTCAAGAACCGCGCCGGAAATCTCCCGCAGCTTGCTGCTCAGGCCAAAGTGCGGGGCCCCGCCATGCGACGAAGCTGTATCAGCACGAGTCGTTCTCCACCGTCAAAGGTCCGATTGGATAGAGACACCCGGGCGAAATAGAACCGAACCCAGAGACCGTGGCGAGATGAGTTTGAGATATATAAGAAGTTCCTTCACTTTTGGGGTACCAGCCCCCTCCTCAACTCTCGAACCTTCTGCGAATTATTCGACTTTGCAGGTAACGTGGTCCGGTCCCTGCAAACATGCAAGAGAGCAAGAATACTGTTCACAATGTCGAGGACATTGAGAAAATTGCAACACAGGAGAAGCATGAGCGGGTCATCACTGTCGAAGACAAGAATGCGCAGTTGGTTGCCAAAGTTGATCAGTCGCTGATCGACATCGCCGCCGAGGCTACCGACTTGGAGCATAAACTGAGGGTCACCGAGGCCCTCAAGATCTATTGGAAAGGTGTCGTTTACACTACGATCATCACTCTTACTATCATCATGCGTGTGTACGACATTGTCATCATCAACAGTTTCTTCGCCTTGCCGGCCTTCCGCAACAAGTTCGGATACGATGTCCCTGGCAGCGGCAAGCAGATCCCGGCCAGCTGGCAAGCTGCTCTCGGCAATGCCAGTCTGGTTGGACAAGTGATTGGAGCTTTTACGGTTGCATACCCAATGGAAATGATTGGCAGACGCTGGACCTTAATCTTTTCTCTGATTGGGACTGCCGCCTTTACCTTCATGCAATTCTTTGCGCCCTCCATTGAGGTCTTAACGGCATCTGAGTACCTGTCAGGAGTAATCTGGGGTTTCTATCAAGTTCTTATTCCCACCTACTCATCCGAGTTGCTCCCGACAACGCTTAGGCCCTACCTCGCTGGCTATATCAACCTGGCCTACGCCATAGGAAACCTGATCCTCAACGGCGTCACCGCCAGTTTCGACACCTGGACCACTGATTGGGGATATAGAATTCCCTTTGCTCTCCAATGGATCTGGCCTACTATTATCTTACCGTCTCTGTTCTTTACTCCCGAGTCGCCATGGTGGCTGGTGCGTAAAGGGCGCATGGAAGACGCCGAAAAGGCACTCAGACGCCTCAGCAGCGACTCTCCAAAAATTGACACCCAAAGGACTCTCGCCATGATGCAAAAGACCATTCTGTACGAGAAACATGTCGAGAAGGACTCTAGCATTTGGCAATGTTTCAAAGGCGCCAGCCTTCGACGCACCGAAATCGTGATCATGATCTTCTTCTGTCAGGATTTCGCTGGATTTGCCACGAACACGACCTACTTCTTCGAACAGCTCAATGTTACCACCCAACAAGCATTTGACATCGCTATCGGAAACAGCGCCCTTGGGCTCCTCTGCGCCGCGCTCTCGGCGTTCCTACTGAGATACTTCGGTCGTCGAAACGTGTTTGTTATCGGTATGGGTCTCATCGTCATCTTTGAGTGGTTGGTCGCGATCCTCGCTTGTGCGCCAAACTATCACAACAGGCCCGCTGTTTCTGGGGCCCAAGTCGCCATCACCATGATTTGTACTATCGCCCTGCAGCTCACAATCGGACCTCTGACCTACACCATTCTTACTGAGGTACCTTCGGCCAAATTACGAGCCAAGACCGTTGGCATTGCCATTGCCGTTGACGCTTGCTGCGGGATTGTTACGAGTACGGCAAACCCGTACCTTATCAATCCAGGGGAAGCCAATCTTGCCGGAAAGAGCAATTTTGTTTGGGGATCCCTGTCCATCATTAGCTTTCTCTGGTGCTTCTTCAGACTACCTGAGACGAAGCATAGGACTGTGGAGGAAATCGACTACATGTTTGAACATCGGGTCAAGACTTGGGACTTCAAGAAGTACGAAATTGACGAAGAGGCTTTGAAGAACGATTTGGTGGAGTAAGTTGGCTTCACTCAATATGCCACGCAAATCTCAAGTGTATGTCCGGATGTATATGATGATGGAGGCATTTTTTCATTCGGTATTCGGAAAAGGCCTTTGTAAAGGGGCAGATGATGAATGTCTACATAGTATACGACAGCAGTGAGGACATATGTTTTTGCAGAAAAGAATAACATACCATTGATGCTTTTGATGCTTGATGCATCTGCTCATGGGTCTTCAGATTAGACATGTTTCCCATCAACTGGGACATCACTTGATTTTCTTGGTGCATTGTTGGTTTGTTTAGACTGATCTGGCATGCTAGCAACCCTGTGGGTGCTCATGCATGGACTGAGGAGGAACGATCTAAGGTTTCATGCTCACTCATCTTCGTAAGCCAGGCCTAGCGGACTCGGGAAGCCAAAAATTGAGCTCTGATTCTTTTGCAGGAGATTTCAGATGAAATACCACATGCCAGATGCTAAAATTCTGCGTCGTTACCGGGATGCAGTCTTGTAAAATATCGAGGACATTCAACCACAGGGGGTTATCTCGGGCTGAGTGTCTGGCTAGAGTACTTGTGAAGGGTAAAGAGCCGGCTGATTAAAGTTTCTGCCAGTTATATCGTCTTAGTTGTTCGGAACCTCGGCTGTTAAGAGATTGGAGTTAAGCTGATCATTTTCTATCCAGCAATTTATCCGGTAACCATCTGTATACTCCACAGTGAGCGGAACGGGAAAGTTGGAACTTTTGACCCACAGAATAGTTTCCACGGATGCTGTATTGCTGGACCTCGGTTGGAGGTGCCTGATCTGCATATCCGGCAGACGCAAGAGCCTGCCCTTGCAAGCCGTTAAGAAGGGAAATTTGATATTTATCCGAAACTGTAGGAGCGGGAAATTTCCCACGAATCAGAAAATTAAGCGACAGGAACAGACTCCAACCCGGCCATACTCCTGAACAGTTACCTCACAGTTTTCAGAGTCACTCACAACACAATGCCGATTTTGGTTTCGGCTCTGGCACGGGTCTCCTCTACTTGAGCTTTGCACTCGCGGGGTTCTGTCCGCCCTTCCTGTGGCTGCTCAAGGAAGGGGAGAAGCAATGGAGTAGCACGATTTCGATGAAGCCCATTATATTCTCAGCCGAAAAGGCAGAAACTCTCTCTAACTCTCTCTAAACCAGTCATCTGCACAACTCCCTCCAGGGGCTCAGTGACAGAGAGAGAGAGCTGGCGTATTGGCAATGCCGTGATGGCTCTTCCTCAGCAAAATCGCATGCTCTGGTATGAGCAACCGGCAAAAGTATGGACAGAGGCACTTCCGATTGGCACTGGACGCTTGGGAGCGATGATCAATGGTGGCTTGGACGTTGACAGATTGTGGATGAACGAAGATTCCGTATGGTACGGCGGGCCTCAGAATCGGGTCAACCCATTGGCAAAAGCCAGTCTGCCTGAGGTCCGCAGACTTCTGGATCTCAACCAGGTACAGGAAGCCCAGGAACTACTCAAGAGAACTTTCACGGCACTGCCATCGAGTCTTCGACACTACTCACCCCTTGGTGATGTTTTTTTAACCTTTGGACACGGCACTCCTAGCGACGACAAGAAGGATTTTAGTGGAATCCCGGACCAGACTAAGCGAGCTGTCAGGCCTGTGGCTGAGAACTATACCCGCCGCCTGGACCTGACGACCGCCATTGCAAGTGTAGCATACACATTTGAAGGAGTTGAGTATCTGCGTGAGTATTTTGCAAGTACGGCAGATGAAGTGGTCGCTGTGCGCGTTTCCTGCAGTCGCCCAGACTCTCTCCGGTTCCAAGTAAGGGTGAATCGTGGCAGCAACGACAACCCCATGCTAGAGCGGAATTGTCTATACGACAGCCTTGAGAACATTCCAGAAGGCTTGTTGCTGAAAGCCAATTTGGGAGGCCCTACTGCTGTGTGGGCAGCAATGGGGGCTAAAGTTGTGGTTGAAGGGGGAAAAGGTCAATGTCTTCTTGGTGAGGAACTCGATGCCACAGGAGACTCGATTATTATTCTCATCGCTGGCGAAACCACGTTCAGAAACAAAGACGCTGGCCAGGCTGTTATCGATCGACTTGAAGCAGCGGCAAAGTATTCGTGGCAGGAATTGCGGGACAGGCACGTCCAGCGATACTCCTCCTTCTTCTCAAGGGTCTCTCTCAGTATTGGAGAGGACAACCCCGAATTGAGCACAATCCCCACGGACAAGAGACTTTCCCGGGTCAAGGCTGGTGAAGTTGACAACGATTTAGCGGCACTGCTGTTCTCTTTCGGCCGATATCTACTCATTGCCTCTTCGCTGTCGGGCCTCCCAGCAAATCTCCAGGGAATATGGAATTACAGCCATCAGCCGATTTGGGGATCCAAATACACGATAAACATCAACATCCAAATGAACTACTGGTTGGCCGAGGTCGCCAATCTATCAGAGTGTCATTTGGTGCTCTTCGACCACATCCAGCGCATGGCTGAGCGAGGCCAACAAGTTGCGCAGGACATGTATGGTTGTAGAGGGTTTGTTGCACATCACAACACGGACATATGGGGCGACTGCGCCCCTCAGGACCGTTACGTTCCCGCCACGTACTGGGTGCTCGGAGGGGCCTGGTTTTGTACCCATCTCTGGGAACACTACCTGTACACTTATGACCTGGAGTTTTTGAAGTGGGCCTATCCACTGCTTCAAGAGGCGGCCTTGTTCTTTGAAGATTTTCTCATCGAAAGAAACGGCGTCCTCGTGGTATCACCCACGGTCTCGGCTGAAAACTCCTATATCATTCCGGGCACCCGGGAAATTGGTGCGGTCTGTGTGGGCGCCACATGGGACGCTCAGATCCTCTTCGAGCTTTTCACCGGCTGCGCTGAGGCGAGCAAGATCCTCGGGCAACCAGCCGAACGATACCTTACAGTCCTGTCTCGGCTCCCTCAACCCAAGATTGGGAAGCATGGAGAACTTCTCGAATGGATGGAAGACGTGGAAGAGGTGGAACCTGGCCATCGGCACATCTCGCACGCCTTCGGTCTTTATCCGGGCCGGAGCCTCCTGTCAGACGAGCACAAATCCGCCGTCAGAGTCACTCTGAAGCGACGTCTAGCAGGCGGCGGCGGACATACTGGTTGGAGTGCCGCATGGATTCTGGCGTTATATGCTCGTCTTAGGGAGCCTCAACCAGCACAATCGATCATCCAAAAGTTCCTGCAACATTCCACTCTCCCCAACCTCTTTGGCGATCACCCGCCCTTCCAGATCGATGGCAATTTCGGCATGGCCGCAGGAATTGCCGAGATGTTGATCCAGAGCCATGAAGAAGGTTATGTGGACCTCCTCCCGTGCTTACCGCACGAGTGGGAGGACGTTGGGCACGCCATGGGACTGTGTGCCAGGGGCGGCATCGTGGTGGACATGGCGTGGGAGAAGGGAAAGTTGACTTCTGCCCGCTTCACTGGGAAGCGCAAGGTACAGTTCGTCGCCCGTATCGACCCAAAGAGGCTCGAGAATGGATCGGGTCAAATAGTTATTCAGCTGGATGCAGGCGAGAGCAAGACTCTCAATGGATCCTGGCTAAATTAGGAGTATCGGCGGAGTGCGTTGAGACTTTGGGCTTTAGGATTTGCGGTATTGGCTCGCTTGACGTTGACGAAGAATCTTGCCTGCGGCCAGTGAGAAGTTTCCAATGCTCTTTAGAGTCCCAACTGGTCAGCCGCTTGTCGTCACATGGGCTTGGTATCGGATAAATAAGTAATTGATCTGGCCGAAGTCGCCTCAATTCCCACTAAGACCAAAGTTAACCCCAGCAAGCCGTATACCCTATTGGCAATAACGTGGACATTCCACCATTGGATGCTTGATATTTCTCACGTGGAAAGTGAGACGCTCTCGAGCGACCTTTGACGGGGAAATTTATGCGAAGTCCACGTGTAAAGATATGGTTTTATTGGTGGCTAGTGTATAATTATGGAGAAGGGCTGACCGATCTCGGCGCGCCTAGCCGTTAGCGCGGGCCCTGACTAGTGGCTTAGTGGGTTCCCCGCGATACTACCTCGTCCCAAGGACTACGTAGGGTGCGCAGCTGTACCCAGTACAGGGCTACGTGCGGGGCTCCCGCCTTGCCCGCCTTCCAGGAGAAACCTGGAGAAGCCAGGCCCTTCTTGGCCCAGAAAAACCCCGTCGCTGTTGCCTTAAAACCCCCGCCCAGCCTCCTCAGCCTCTTCTGCGCTCGCTTCTTCCTCTGCGCAATAAAACGAAATAGTGGCAGCGCTCGAAATTCCACAACGAACGAATAGTGCCATTGCCCTAAGCTTGTGTCAACATGCCCGCTGGTTCAGGGAATTCGAAGAGCAAGTCTCATACCTGTGTCGACTGCGGCCAAGTTCTCTCTCGACAAGATCACCTCGAACGGCACCGCCTGACTGCTCATTCGGAACGCGGTACCTTCGACTCGGCGTGCACAGCCTGCGGCAGGAAGTTCTCCAGGAGGTTTGTCAAGGTTGCGGTGGCTATTTTCCGCCAAGACTGACACCCCAAGGGATGTGCTTGTACGGCATTATCGCGTTTTGCATGGGATCCATTGTGAGCCACGACCGAAAGGGCGACCAAGGAAGACCCCCAAACCAGCGACCAATAAAGCGTATTCACGGACTGCCACTTCTTCTGCTTCCCCAAATTGCTAACTCTGAAAAAGTTCTGCTGATTCTTCCAATTCTGCGGCTCAGCCCAGCAACGACGCTCTCGACGACCCCGAGCAAGATAGGCTTGGGTCCGAAGGCAATCAAGCTGTTCCCGAATGCGTATCCGAATTACCTTCTCAAGACACTGGCGACGCTCTTGACACACAATGGGAGATGCTTTTGAATGCCACGACGTCCGAACTACACAATGCTGCTGGCATAGCTACAACAGCTGACCGCAGCAATAGTCGGTTCAACTTTCCTAATGCTTTTCAGTCAGATTCAGACCTCTTGAACTCGTACACGGGATTCCAGCCTTTGTTTGACAATGGTGCCTACTCGTTTAACGGTAAGCAAGCAAGTCCACAATCCTTTCTTTGGTCCTGCCTCCGGAAATTTTCTTACGGAATACAGACTTCGACAGTAATATCTCACTTCTCGGTTGGATGAACTCCGAAAACTTGGCGAATACTTACAGCATCCCCCCAGATCTAAATATTTCCGATTTCCCACTGCAAGGCTTGGAAGATCCACCGAGGACGACGAGAATGCAGCAGGCATTACCGGACAATCCTAAAGCTATAAATAATGCTGTTGAGGGGACGGTGACGGGAGCTGACCTTCCGCTGGACAAAGGAGATTCGGTGGCATCATTTCCGCACGTGGATACTTCGGCATTACCCACTCCGTCTGCGTCGCAGGATCCCGGTTCGAGCCCTCCTCTGGAAGACCCCCCAGATTCTGTCACCGTGGAAAGAGCCACCAACACTTGGCCTTACGAATATCAAGCTGGAGAAGAGGGAAAGATCGTTTTCCCCGTTCTGAATCCAGAGGACCTCAGAAGAGCTAAAACATATCACGGCGTTAGCGGCACCAGCTCTCCAAGGAAGAATTTCCAACTGCTTGGTACGTTTGGCAAACTGGACGATAAAAAGCTTTCTAGCATCATCCAACTTCTAAGTCTACCGCTGGCACGAGCACCATGGCAGGAGGACGTCGACTTACTACGGTCCCTTCCCGGGCCCGACATCCTTCACCACTTCACGGATCTGTACTTTCTCCATTTTCATGATGTGAGTTGATAGTAGGCTTGTTGATACTCCATCTCCACAGCTGACATGTCTTTGACAGCTCTGGCCCATAATCCACAGGCCAACATTCAAGATATCCGATGCGCCCACCATTCTGGTGTTGACAATGGCCTGCGTGAGTTTCTCTTTTTAGTTCCTGTGTCGACTTTTAGGTGTCAAGTCTGATGGATGTCTCTAGATTGGCGCATGCTACTCTGGTCTCGACCGGTCCCTCGAGTTTGCCGACACACTCGCCGAGCTTTGTAGGCGGACGACGGCTTGGATGGTAAGCTCTTCTGCCGTAAATGCTGTGTCAGACGAGTAACTCAAGTGGAATTAGGGCGAACATGATCCTCGATTCTTGCGGTCTCCGTCCTATGGAGTATCACTCCTCTTGCAGCACCTGCATGCCATGGGCTCCGGCTCGCGACGCCTTTTCGAGACGACCGACGCTTCTCGCTCGCGCCTCATCAGCATCGCGCGGCAAATGAATTGCGCACGGCCACACACCTCACCTACCGATGCAGATTCATCTAACCGAGACACGTTCCAAAACTGGCTCGAGTGGGTAAGCCAGGAGCAAGTGAAGAGATTGAGTTGGTTTCTATTTGTTAGTCTACTCGATTACCTAGTTGTGCTCTTGAAATCGCCCTTGTCCCGGACAAATCTATGCAGACCATTGGAATGTCCACTGATCAAACGCTAACCTACAGGAATTTGACTGTCTTTATTCCGCCTTCTCAAAGCAAAACCCATGCACAAAGCTTGAGGAATTACCGCCCGAGTTTCCCTGTGAACAGTTATACTGGGATGCACCAACAGCGTTTTCTTGGGCGGCTTGTCCATTTCAGACCACTCCGCGAGGACCTCCAACCATGCAAACTATCAGCAATTTCGTAGAGAAAGCAAGCCCATCAATCATCAGTCAACTCGACAACATTGGAAAACGGTTGCTGATTCGATGCCTCGCCCAGCAGCTGTATGCCTGCCAAGAACAGATGGACTCGAGCCTATATCATATTCTCTGGCAGGACAACAGAGGGCTGGAAGTAAATCGCACTGTTCGATCCCAACTTTCGAGGGCCATCATGTCTGTGTATGAAATCAGCTGGGCCGATCATCCACGCCGGTACACCCTCCGCCACGCTCTGCGCATCGGCATTGCTGTGCATTATAGTCACATATTCGGTGCAGGAAAAATTGTCGACCTGGTCACCCGCGTCGCACGCAAGCGGGCTTCGGGCTTCGACATGTCGAGAATGTCCAATAGCACAGGGTTCGTCTCGAGTTCTACCAATACAGCTTCACCAGGTGATGAAGTCGCGGCGATAGCCGCATTCGGCGAAGAACCCGAAGTCATCAGGGAAATGATGTGGCATGCCTCACAAGTTTGTTACCTTCAACGCCGCCATCCTTTCAACTCGCCCCTCGAACCCCTGTCGGTGTTTCTGGCGGGAATCACGCTTTGGGCGTGCTGCAAATACTTTTGTCCGCATCAAACATCCATGCGCGTCGGACCCTCCATTCAGTTGGACGAGCCGTCCTTTTGCAGTTCTCAACGTGCCAGCCAGGCTGTCAAAGTCTGGATTAAGAACGGCGGCAAGACTTTCCTAGAGGGCGTGGGCGATGTCCAGGACCCCGACGCACCAAGCCGCGTCCTTCAGCTGAGCGTGGATATGACTCGCCGGCTTAAAGTCTGGCAAATGGCATCAAATGTATCGGAAATCTTCGTCCGCCTCCTGCAGCGTGAGGAACACGAGTCCACCCAGCGTCACGACACCCATACATTTCAACCTTAGCAATACGTGACTGGAGCAAGTATCAAATTTAGTCGGTTGCCATGGCAATGGGCCCTGAATTTGAGGCTATGGTGCTTTAATGACCTTTATGAATCACCAGGGACATGATTGACCAAACAAAGCAAAAAGATCCGTCGGAGATGGAAATTGTCGGCTTTCCTATTGCGCTGGGTAAATGTGAAACTTATGTACAAGACAAATTTAGATGAGTGCGGATATATATTTCAGGGAGATGACATCTTTTATTTGACGAAATAACAGAAGACAAGGTTTGGCAAACAGAGAAATTTGCGCTCCCATAGCATTCTCCGGGACCCAATCCTCGATTCTGATCTCAGATACAGTCGACTCTTCAGGACCACGCAGTTATTTGGCAGCATTTCCTTTCCTCTCAGCCTCTAAGAGAGCAATGGTATCCTCGTAAATCAGATCCATCTTGCTCATTGTGGAGCCGGGTCCGGACGGCAGCGGACTGTCAACGAGCACCCTCCTAGTCGTGTGCTTCAGCTTCTCCAAAACCGTCCCTCCCTCGTACTCGGCGCTCTCCACGAGCATGAGCATGGTCTCGGCCAACTCTTCCGGAGTGGCAAAGACGTCGGCGTCGGAAATCGCCTTCATTTTGTCCGGGTTGTTGCTCCACAGTGGCGTCAGGACCATGCCCGGGGCGACCGCGACGACTTTTATCCCAAACTCCTGATGCAAAGGCGCCAGGGAGCGCGTGAAGGCGGACACAGCTGCCTTCGAGGTGGCATAGAGCGGTTGGTTAAAGAGGGCATATTGAGCGGCCAGCGACGAAATATTGAGGATGACTCCCACGGTCTCGTTGCATTTCCTGCCTTTGGATCTGGTGATCTGGTCGCGAATGGCCATCCGCGTTCCCTTGACAAGGCCCTGCACATTGATATCGAACGATTTGTAACTTTCGGTCTCTGTGTCTTTCCAGAAACTTGACCAGTCCTGCACAGATACACAATTAGAATCTCTCTCCGTTTCATACTCAAAAGGTGGAAACGGTAGGTAAGAGATCGAACCGGTTCAAAGACACCAGCCCCGTTACATAGCAGGTCGATAGGTCCCAACTCGGACTTCGCGAAGAGAAACAGCTTCTCCAAGTCCTTCCAATTTGATACGTCTGTCTTGTGGAAGAGTACTTTGGTCGACTTCGCCTCTTGTTGGAAATCCTTGAAAGCAGGAGTCTCCTGGACATCGGCGACGACAACATGTGCCCCTTTAGAGGCTAAAAATTTCGCAAAAGCAAGGTTGATGCCTATCCCATTTCCGTTAGCGATTAGTGACTAGGAAGGACTTGGTGTCGTCGGGTTCTTGACGGCGCATCTTCACATACCGGAGCTGGCACCTGTCACAATAGCATTTTTTCCGCGGACTGAGAAGGACATTGTGGCTGTGTTTTCAAAGGATCCTTGGACTCTTGCTGTCAGCAACGACGGCCCTGGCGATGAATGTATTTGAACGAAATGACTCTGAGCACAAACACCAACAACTCGACCCCGTGAAGTTATTGCCGTGCACTTTTCTCCAGACTTTAGCTGTCGTTTGCGGGGGTTTTTCATGAGATCCGTGGGGGAAGCTCAATAGGGATTTTGTTGCTACGGACGGCCAAAATAACGTTCCCGACCCATATTAGCACGCGGTACTTGTAGTTTGCAACCCTTCCACCCGGGCCAGTTTAGAAATCAAGAACGTCTGTGTGAGTATTCCTCGTTACCGAACGGAAACGGTGGGTCTGAAGTCTTTCTCAACGCAAGGTTCCGCATCAAGCCACGCATATGACTCGCCGCAATAGTGAGCAAGCTAGGTAATGTGTGCAGAGGCTCTCTTAGTGGTACTCGTTATCTCGCATGCTCCGCTAGTCATACCGCGAGAAAGGTTTCAATCTCGGGAGCATCTACTCTTACAGGTAGCACCGAACATATTCCCACTGAGTCCCAGATTAAGGGCTTGCTCACAGGAATAGTATGACTCAAAAGTTGGCTCAATGTAAAACTCCAGCACCATGGGTGTGTTATGCAACAGGACTATAGTTTGGATGGTTTCCACCTCGGCGGCCTCTTTTCTTTGAAGGCAATTAATCCTTCGCTAGAGTTTTCGCCAGCCATGAGTTTCTCGTAGAATCTCTCGTGAGTATTTTGAAACGCTCTTTCAACGCTGGATGTCTCCCAAGCTTCTCTTAGAGCTGACCTCGTAATAATCATTGCGTCTGGGGATATTGCGGCAATTTCTCGTGCGATACTGATAGCCTCTTCGATGAGCGTTTCTGGTTTCTTTGAAATTCGATTGATAAGATTATACTGCAACGCTTCCTTTGCAGTGATGGACCGTCCACTGAGGGCAATCTCGCTGGCGACGTGCAGCCCTGCGGTGCGAATCAGACGAGGAAGCCCGCCACCATAGGCGTACAGTCCGACCTTTGCCTCAGGAAGACCAAATTGCGCACTTGGAGTGGCAATGACCACATCACTGTTCCACGTGTTAGGGATGTCCTAGTCGTCTTTGGCCGATAGTTTGTGTGGATATTGATAGACGCACCAGTTCAAGGCAATTTCCCACCCTCCACCTAATGCATAACCGTTCACTGCTGCCACAATCGGCTTCTTCCCTTCCCTTCTGCTGAGCCCAGCAAACCCAGAACTTGGGTGGTTGTACTTGTACGGCTCAGCTTTCCATGAGTCGTTGCCGGACTTTTTGACCCGCTGCATCTCGATCAAATCCGAACCGACACAAAATGCTCGGTCCCCAGCGCCTGTTACAATGGCAACACGTAGCGAGGGCTCGTTGTCAAACCACTTAAACAAGGCGTCCATCTGCCAATGGAGGGCGTACGGGATCGAATTAAGCTGTCGGGGACGGTTGATTGTTGCAAGCATAATATGCGGTTCTGGAAATGCTGTGTCACAGCCATCACACTGTGGAGGCGGAGATTCAAATGCCCTAGAGATATCCATTGTGGTTGTCGTGACTGAAGTTCCAGTAAATGCTCAGTCTGTTCGCGTCGGGGGTAATAAACTTTTGAAGTCCTAGTACGGAGTAGATTGAAGAAAGATTGCAATCGCGGATTCTCGGGCTTCTTTGCCATTCCGGGGCGGGGTTATACCTCAACCGCAATCAATCTGTAGCAGCCGCCTTCGGATCAGGAATTCCCCGCCTAAAGATGAAAAAATCACATGCAAGAATAGCGGATCTATTTTTCCATATTGACAGTCAAACCTCAAAAATGCTTGCAATGTGAAGTAGTGGCAGGAAATTGAGCAGGGGAAATACATTACGTAAGCCGTGCATGGTCCTGACCATCAAAGACCTATTATCTATCTATCAACCTAGGTACCAAAGCCCGTAGCGGCTTGGAATATGTTATTACACCTTACAATCTCGCACTCAGCGAAGAAGTCTCCGTACCCATCAATTTCTCAACCTCGTAAAATGGCAGATATTGCATCAGCACAGACTTTTCTTCAGCAGGGCAAGTCAGCTTCGCCATCGCTGCCCTTCCTTCAGAGAGTACCTTCTTCAACGGTATCTCGAGCTTCTTGTTGTTGGCATTGTAAGGGATCTCCTGCACCCAAAACAGGAACTGAGGCACATGGCGGCGGCTGAGATCCCTTGCTATCTGAGCTCGAATCTCCCTTTCCAAGGAGCCAATATTCGCTCCCTTTGCTCCCTTGATGAACAAGAACACACGCTCACTTTCGTCCCAAGCTCTCTGCTGGCCCACGCAGATTGAATCTGCCACCTTGTCGTGAAACTTCTGCTCCATGATGGAATATATCTCTCCGCTACCGAAACGGACACCTGACGGATTCAACACGCCGTCGCTGCGACCGAGGATCACCCATCCTTTGGTTTGTGGGTTCATCTTGATGAAGTCCCCATGCCTCCAGACGCCTGGGAATGTTGAAAAGTATGAATCGGCATATCTCTTCTTGCCAGGGTCATTCCAAAACTTGACTGGCATGTTTGGGAACGGCCTTTTGCACACTAACTCTCCGCTCTCACCAGGCTTAGCAGGCCGACCGTCTGGTGTGAAAACATCGATATCCGTGCCAAGTTCTTTGACCGTCATTTCGCCTGCGTACCCCGGCATGCCGATATGGCCTGCCAGGAAATTGCCACAAAGCTCAGTACCCCCGGAGAATGACATTTGACAGACAGGCCCAAACACTTCCTTAAGCCACTTTGATTGAGATTCGGTGAGAATGGCCCCGGCAGACAGGATACATTTGAGATTTTTGACGTACGCCTTGGGGTTGACTCCAGTTTTTTGCAGTTCAGAGAAATATCGAGGGCCGGCACCCCAGGCTGTCACTCCAGCCCCCAGGACCGCCGCCAGTTGCTTCTCTGGAGTGGGATAGAATGGAGACCCATCATAGAGGACGACAGTAGCGCCGCAGAACATGGCCGATATCATGATATTCCACAGCACCCACCCGATACCTGCATAGTGGTAGTGGACGTCATCTGGACCAAAATTTTTGTGGAGGAGGCTCTCTTTCTTTCCATTTACGACCGTGCCGCCATGGGAATGGACTATTCCTTTCGGAGTGCCGGTGGTGCCTGAAGAGAAGGCGATAAGAAGAGGGTGATTGAAAGGAACCTGATCAAAGTTAAGCGGTCGCCCCGTTGCCCGCTGTCGAAATTCCTCTATGGGCACCCAGCTGTGTGGCACAGTTCCAGAGATGCAGATGACCTCAGCACCTGATGCTTTCTCAATCAGCGAGAAGATTTTCGTGACTCTGTCGGAAATGTTGTGTCGTTTGCCATTGTACTGGTAGGATGACTCTGCAAACACAATCTTGGGGCACACCTGACCCATTCTATCAAGCAACACTCTTTCTCCGGCATCCGTGGCGAATGCCGAGACGATTGCTCCAACAGTTGCGGTAGCCAAGAATAATGCGAGAGATTCAGGTGAACTGCCGCCGATAATGCAAACAACATCTCCTCTTGAGATGTTTGAAGCTCTCATCGCATCTGATAGAATCCGAACATTTTCATTGAGCTCATTCCAGGTAACCTCGCGAAGTGAGGCCAAGTTTTTCTCACTGAGATATTTGATGGCCACTCCTGCATCCGTCCTTGCAAGTAGATTTTCCGCATAATTGAGACGCGCATTCTCGAAGAAAGCTGGAAATTGATCAATTCTGAGCGATTCATCGATGGCGCGGGTGGGATGGACTGAAGCTTTGATTTCCATGAACCTCCACAATGCCATCCAAAAATCATTTGGCCTTCCAATTGAGAAATCATGGAGGTCATGATAGTTCTGCAGAGAGAGGCCCAACTGGGAGTTTACTCTCTTGCGAAAAATATCAAAATTGGTTTCGAGGCCCGGGGGAGGAACATAGACCAATTCTGGCGCCATTAGGTTTGCAATTGGAAACTTGATTGATCGCTTCGCTTTAGGGAAAGTGACTCTCTGGAAGACAATAAGAACTTCAGATCTTGTTGCAATAGCCTGAGTTGAAGAAAGAAAAACATAAAATAACAGCGGTCAGTCGTAGATCCTTACTAGTAGTTTGCCTACCAGACGTCAAATCCAGCGTACGATACCCATAAACCACAATGTGATGAGTTGGCCCTCGATCCCGAAGTTTCACTGTCGAAACCCCACTGTGGATGACCAAGGCAATCTCTCAGTATACTGAGCTTTGTGTCTGCGGCATTCAGCAGGTCTTGGAAAGTTCCACATGGGATAGAGTGGGAGTATTGTCGCCTCAGCCGATCTTGAGAAGCCGTCATAACATATCCCTATCAAACATAGTCCCGGCGATCTGAACCTTCTTACTTTCGGGAGAGATAAATCCCCGCTACAGTAGTCAATAACTCAATCTTGTACGTGTAAATTCACATTCACCCAAGTCTGACGGATCTATTATGCAAGATTCCGTCCAATGACCATCTTATCCAGAAGACAGGACTTCCATTGAACTTTACCCGAAATCTATATTGCTCCAGTCTCTGAAATAGCGCAAAAGCCCAACTCTCTTGCCTAGCACTTCAGAGTCGGAGAAATGGCAAGGCTTGAACTAGATCTGGCCTCAAAGCGGCTGCGGAAGCGTAGCGACTATGGTTACCATCTGGAATATCGACTGCGGTGGTGAGTCGTTCCACAAGTTTGCCCCATCAAGACTGCAGCTCATCGACAATAGGAACGACAACGACATTTTCGGCCATGTGAACAATCCCAACTACGGAGTGCTGGCCGATAGTATCATCAACGAGTATATGATCAAAGAATGTGGATATACGATGAATAAACATCAGCAAGCCGCAATCATTGCCAACACCTATTTTGATTATTTTGGATCGGTCAGCTACCCGGACGTCCTTGGATGTGGACTGCGGATCGTGAAGCTAGGCAAATCGAGTGTGATGTACGAAGTGGGAATTTTTAGAAGAGGTGATGAAGACGTCAAAGCAGTGGGAGGTTCGACACACGTCTTCGTCACGCAAATCGATGGGCAACTAGGAAAACCTGCTGAGAGTGGCATGCCGAATGCAATGCGACAAGGGTACGAGAGGTTGATCAAGAGGACAAATCCGCATTCAGCTCTATAGTTTTGTTTATAGGTCAGGATCCCACATAATGTGTTCTGTTGAACTCAACCCATCCTCCTGGATTTGGACTAGGGAACCGTGCCTATACCGCGTACCTTGCAGGTTGTGGTACCACTTGCAAGCTTCTGCCCAATCAAGAAATCATTGCTGAAGAATATTAAACTCGAGAATCATTGCCACCAAATATTCCCCATCTTCTGCTTTTGTTCGCCTCTCTTCCCCGCTCCATTTTGCAAACTGTGCCGAAAATCCCCACCCTGTGGCATTTTGAGAAACCCCACTAGCGCAAGGCTGAAGTCCCCTATTTTGCTGAGAATTGCGGGGTATTCTAGCCAATCGTATCTCACGAACCTGGGCGATTGGAGCGTAAGGATAGAAACTGCATTCACCGCAGTTTAAAGAAGCATTGCTCGTGAATATTGACGCAGTTTATTTGTCCCAACACTCTTGTCCGTCGTGTGTTTCCGTCTCATGTTTTAGGAGATCCCTCTCCAAATTCTAGTATTATTGCTCAGCAACCAAAATGGGATCCATTAACCCTGCAAAATCGTACGACGTTGTCATCGTGGGTGCTGGTTTTAGCGGAATGTGGCACCTATATCATCTGAGGAAAGCAGGATTCTCGGTCCGCTTGTTTGAAGAAGGCTCTGACTACGGCGGAACCTGGTACTGGAACTGCTATCCGGGGGCGCGAGTGGATACAGAAATTCCAGTTTATCAGTTCACCGAAAAGACAACTGTGGATGATTGGAACTGGACGCAACGATACCCGGGACGGGATGAAATTCAGGAATATTTTCACCATGTCAGTCGCGTCTGGGATTTGGGCCGCGATGTAACTTTCAACTCGAAGGTCACATCGCTAGTCTGGGACTCCTCTGCCAAGTTGTGGCTCGTTGAAATTGGCGATTCCGGAGAGATATTCCATGCACAACATATTATCATGGGAACGGGATTTGCTGCCAAAGCCTATGTCCCCTCTTACAAGAACCTCGAAGAGTTCCAGGGAGCCAAGACGCATTCAGCGAGATGGCCAATGGATGGTAGTATTGATGTCCAAGGAAAACGGGTTGCTGTTATAGGAACTGGCGCCAGCGGAGTGCAACTTGTTCAGGCAATTAGCAAAGTTGCCTCGCATCTAACAGTCTTCCAGAGAACCCCAAACATGGCTCTTCCCATGGGACAGGACGATATTAGCGAAGCCGAAAACCAGCGGTTGAAGGAAAACTATCAAAACACTACACAGAAAATTAACACAACTTATGCTGGGTTTCTCTATGACTTTGTGCCGTCAATGGGGAGAGACGCCAACGAGGAACAGCGGAACGAACTGTGGGAGCAACTCTTTTACCGTGGTGGCCTACACTTCTGGCTTGGAAACTATCTGGACCTTCTCGAAGACCGGGACGTCAACGCCGCAGCCTACCGCTTCTGGAGAAAGAAGGCACTCGCTAGAATCAGGAGCCCAGAAGCTGCTAAGATCCTGGCGCCGGAAATACCGCCTCATCCTTTCGGGGCCAAGCGTGTCAGTCTCGAACAGGGATATTTTGAATGTTTCAATCGCGACAATGTTACCCTGATCGATGCGAGCAACACAGGAAACCCTGTCTCCGAGTTTACGCCGGAAGGTATTAGAACGAAGGATGGTATGGGGCACAAGTTTGACGTTGTCATTTTTGCAACTGGGTTCGACGCAATCACCGGATCGATGACCAAGATAAATATTCGCGGCAAGGGGGAAACCATTCGAGAGAAATGGGGCAATGGTGTCTACACACACCTCGGCATGACCACCCACGGATTTCCAAATTTCTTCTTTGTCTACGGTCCACAAGCCCCAACGGCTTTCGCAACAGGTCCTGCTTGTGCTGAAACTCAGGGCTCTTGGATAGTGGAATGTTTGAAATTCCTCCGCAGAGAAAATTTCAGGTCCATTGAACCGACAAGGGAAGCGGAAACTCAGTGGCGGGAACATGTGAATGACGTTAGCGGCAAGAGCCTGTTAAGTGAAGCAGACAGCTGGTACTTCGGCGGAAACATCCCAGGGAAGCCGAAAGAGGCACTCAATTACATGGCTGGGTTGCCCGAGTATAGGAGAAGGATCTGGGAAAGTGCGGATTCACGATATTCTGGTTTTACTCTAGAATAGATTTTGGCGGAGGGGTGGTGGTCGGGCGCGAAAAGGGGTTCGGGAAGAGAAACGACTTTGAAAACTTAAAATGAATAGCTTGTATTTAGTTCTATTCTCCCCAAATCGCCTCGCTAAGAATGGAAGAATCTGAAGCATCTCATTCTGCTCACGACGACAGAACTTCTCATGCTTGGGGTATTGTGCAGTATGCTTTCTTTCCAAACCATGAAGAGCATGCAAAATGGCCTCCTCGTCTCCGGCCTCGAGGAATTGCCTGTTCGAGATATCGATGACGAGCCACTAGGAAGGTAAAGCAGTGGAAAATAAACTGTTCTTTTTGGTAGTATCGTTGGGGTAAACAGCCAGATACCCCAACTACCTCCATAGGTTTTCTTTTCTGTTGATATGCCAGCCCGCCTGCCTGCCGTGATAGGATCAGAGCCGGCTACTGAAGAACCTCGGCATCCCTATACAACACACTCAAGATCCGTTTCTCCATCACCATCACATGAGGGACATCCTACAATCCCCACCCGATACCAAGATATTTTCCCCGCATATGGCTTGGACGAGATGTGTTTGATATTGGGTAACGTCAAGCAATAGAACTTTGAATATAGAACCCCCTTCACGTCTCCTGAGTTTGCCACCTGCGCTTGAAGGGACGCAAAGGCCTCTAATACTATTTCAAACTCCGAATTATAGAAACGGGCACACTTCAACGACAAGGCTATGGCTTCATTGCTCAACGGCGGCATTGCTTTTATAACGGGGGCCGGCTCTGGTATGATGACGTCCCTCGTTCCTGAGCCCAAATCTTATCACAGACTCGAGGCTGAAGAATGATTCAACTCCAGGAATCGGCAGAGCCACAGGGAAGCAGTTTGCACACTATGGAGCAAAAGGCCTAGTGTTGACCGACATCAATGAAGCCGGGCTACAGCAGACCAAGGAGGAGATCCAAGCAAAGTACCCTGCGATCGAGATTGAAACGATCCAGATGGACGTCACGAACGAGTCGTCCATCGTATCAGCCCACAAAGCAGCGGTTGAGCGATTTGGGCGTATTGATTATGCTGTCAACAACGCGGGTACACCAGGTCATATGGTGGCGAGTTCAGAGTCAAGCTTCAGCGAGTTCAAGTTTGGAATCGACGTTAATTTATTCGGTGTCTGGATGTGTCAGCGCGAGCAGTTAAAGCAGATGGAGTCTCAGCAGGCCGATGAAAGGTTCTTCCCCATCCCCGTTGATGCCCTCGAACGTAGGGATGAAACACAAGAGACGTGTCTCGCTTTGAAACTAACTTACATTGATTACTTCACAGGGGCGCAAAGGGTTCGATTGTCAATCTCTCATCAATCTACGGCCACACCTGCGGGAAGAATACAACTTCTTACTGCGCGGCCAAACATGCCGTGCTCGGGATGACGAGAAGCGTATGGTCACCGTCTTTTCGATCCTTGTTTAAGATCGATTGTGAAGGTTCCGCTAGTGGTGATTTCCCGCTGACAACCTAACTTTTGTCAGGACGGCGCCAACTACGCGAAAAGCGGCATCCGAGTCAACGCGGTCTGCCCAGGATACACGGATACTCCTATGCTCCGAATGCCCGGCGCGGGTCGGTCGGTAGGAATGGACGAATATCTCAGGGTCTGTCCCATGGGTCGTCTAGGGGAAGCACGAGAGGTGAGTCGAAAACAAGAAAAACAAAGGTTATTCGTCAATAGGGACCTTTTTTTTTATTTTTAGCACGACTTCAGAAAGAAATCCATGTAAAACTGACGTTTTACAGATCGCGGATGTCATCGTCTTTCTGTCCTCTCCCATGGCTAGCTATGTGACGGGACAGGATATTCCGGTAGACGGGTATGTATCTCTGTCTATCCATACGCGATGTTCTAGATACTGAGTATAACAGCGGCTTCCTCATCGTCTGATGTTCTCCGGCTATCAAAGACGAAAACCGATTCTTGACTTCCGGGAATGATGGGACAAGTCTTAGAAAGGAATGATTGAGTAGGAATACAGCACTGAATCTGCAGAATTCGTGGACAAAGGCTCATTCCGGTTTTTCCAGGCAGTCTTTTACCTAAATAAGGTGATAAAAAAATGAGCGCTCTAAATGGAGGGCAAATTCACCATATCTCGCAGGAGATTCACAGCCCTCCAAGCCCGTAGGGGACGATTGCAAGGTATATGTATTATAAACCCAAAAGATCACCGCAATCGACCATAGGATGTGGAAAACAGGGCTTCCCGTTCGCTCAGCCGTACTTAAGCCACATGCCGGTCAGTTAGTACTAAGGTGGGTGACCACTTGGGAATCCTGACTGTTGATTGTTTTTGTCGGTATATTATCAGTCTTGTTTTTTGTTTTTCGGTTTTCGTTTTCTCTAACCCTACGGAATTCAGTTAAGTGGTTCTTTTTATTTTCACTTATTCTTTTTTTCTGAATGTGCCCGTTTCTGCGGCCCCCCGGCCTCATCCGGTGGGTGAATGTGGGTGGGGGAATATCATGCCTTATTGGCGTAAGCGTGTTGAGTGGCTTACTCGCTTCCAAGTTCCCACCCACGAACAACACGAATGAAACCATTATCCCCTATTCTATGAGCCCATCTGCTTGGGCGCAGATATAGTACTCAACCAAAAACCACACCTGTTTTGTCGTTGCTGATGTCACAGACGAGAAATGCCTTGGAAAACATTCCTCCTGCGATGAGCCTCTTATTGTAAGGGTCTACCGCAGCCCCGGTCAACACGCTCAACTGCGAGCCGTCGTCCCAGAAGAGCAACTCTGGAGCATAACCCTTTGACTTGTCCAGCCGCACCACTGCAGATTCGCACAGAGTGCCGTAGTCAAGGCCGCCGGGTCCGAAACCGCGTTTAAACAGTGTAACCAGATTGGGAAAAACTGTTGAAACAAGATCAACCATCAACAAAACGTCTTGCACATCGATCCCTTGACAACGCGCCCCGAGCTCGGTAATTCCAGATGGCCGGGGAAATTTTCATGGCTCGTCAATAGTTAATGGCTTACCTGGTACTACAATGTCTCCGTTGGTGGGAATTTCAGCCAGATTATCCGGTGTCCCTCCGAGTCTCTGTTTGTCACGTCAATGACAAGGAACGCCTCAACTGTTTACCGTTTGTATGTGACCTACAACTTTCCTCTCCAGCACGAGATCCTTTGTCTCCGGATCAACACTGTAAATGATCGTCGTACCCTCGTACAAGTCATTGACGAGGAGAGTCTTGCCCTCTTCCGTCAAAAGTATACCATTGGCGTATTGAAGGTCGTCCGAGACTTTTCGGCAAGTCGTCGTCGAGCCAGACCCGTCGCAATGAATTACCCACGAGGCCCACCGGAAAGGCGCGTATTTGTCTTCAAGAGTTCGTAAGATGCCGTTGTAGTAATAGTGGTCGTTGGTGCTGAAAAAGGACCTAGATGCCAAATGCTCAGCGACACAGAGCACATTCTGGTATGGAGAAGCTCACACAGGCCCAGATGGAGTCACCGCATTCGGTGTTTTCAGCTTGGGGTGACTGATATCCTTGACAAACTCTAGAACATTTGTCCCGAGTTTGTGTGAGAAGATCGTGATCGATTCACCTTTGCGGCCATGATTCACAGCGAACAAGTGTATCTGCGAGAGATATGGTGAGAGATGCAGCTGCATGGTTGCGCGATACTTTGTACCTTAGAAGGATCATCTTTGAACCTCCAAATATCAATGCCATGGAGGACTAAATCCCCATCCCAACCTTTGACTTCTAGCCTCGTGGTTTTGTTACCCTGGTTGACAGTGCGGTGAGCAATCAGCTAATGCTACGGGGCCGTAACCACAGAGCCCGCCTTACCTTGATGTCATATTTCAAGAAGTACTCCCGAAAGTCTTTTCGTTTCGACGTCCGATGATTATTGATCGGTGGATAGAACTGAGATCTTCCTACTGGATCTCCGCAAGCTGTGGGAAGATAGAGGTCAGCAATAGGCAGATCAATGGATGACAACTCACCAAGGAATGCCGTGTCGGTCTCATGATGGATTTTAACGTCTTCACAGGTTTGGCCCGCTTCGGATATGTTAGCACCACCATCGACAGACACGATCAAAAATCAATATCGTCAATCTCATGCTAATACTCATGCTCACAAGGGTCTGTCCAACAACGCTCATTGTTGAGGCCTCCATGACTCAGATATCGAGTTTTGGGATCCTTGCTTTGAACACGGCCACCATAACGGTCTAGGAATATAGTCGGACTCGCTAGAAAGAGCGCCAGGATAAGGACCCCAAGTCCAGCAACGGTTGATACTATCCAATTGGCCTTCGCCCGCTGTGCGAGTGTCGAGCTGACATTAGTCGACATGATACTGACGATGAAATGGTCACGTTCGTGGTCTTAATAACCAGGAGTACAAGGGTGCATAGAACTTTCTCAAAAGCAGAGATATTGAAAGAAAAGAACACCGCACCTACTAAAGTCCATACCTACTAGATCTATTGTTGGACCATGGAGATCCAAAACAAAGCATACGAGGTGAATCCGACTCGGGAGGTTGCTGTAGGTATGCCGTGTCGAGAAACTCCGCAGAGAACTGTGGAGATTCAATCCCTCGGTTGACGCATTTCCCCATAATCGCCCCCCAGCCGCTTCCTGTGGAGTAGAAGTCATGCCCCTTAGCACATAAAAGGACGCAGTGCATTCCAAACTCGTCTCAGGCTCAATTAAACAAAGTCGGAAGTACCAAGTACGGATTGCAATCGAGTCCGAGAGCCAAACATGACGTCCATCGAGTTTCCTCCCATTCCTGAAGGCCAATTCGAGCTGTATGCCGATGTGAGTCTGCTACATAGCATCCTCTCAGCCAAAACAGCTCCACCTCTAACATAAGAGGAACAGCTTTACGCCAAAGAAGGACGGGCGGATGACCTTGAGACGTATCTCCGGAAACTGGTCCGCCTGACGGAGTCCGAGCCAGGAGTTTTGGAATACGCCATAGCCCGCGACAAGGAAAATCCCAACCACTTTCACGTCTTCGAACGCTATACGGGGAGAGCGGCGTTCGAGCAGCACATAGCGGCACAGGAGTTTGTGGATTTTGCCAATTCTGGCGCCCTTGCACAACCCCCGAAACCAAAATTCCTCCATGCATTAAAGCCGCTATGAGCGCGAGCGGGTTTATCTATCACGGACTTGCATGTATCGGGCCTGAGGCTGAAATTGGCAATGCAACACACTGTGGATGCAATGCATCTTTCGAGACGGAGATGCGGAGCAAGTTTGTAGAACGAAAAGACATTTCACACTTCTGTGGACATTAATTTGGCCATGTCTGAGTGACGGAGAGTCCGCGCTCATTTCTGGTCGCAAGGATTAGGTCATAGCTACTTTGCATCCGTGTTGATACTTCCGGACAAAGGGTAACTCTACGAAACATTCGTCTTGCGCCAAGTCGTGATTGCGTTGTCGGCAGAACGGGATCAATTCAAGGACACGTGGAATGGTTAATGCTTCAGCGGGGGTTTTCGTTCCTTTCTTTTCCTTTTCTGTATACGATGCACTCCAGAGAAAAGTGCCATCTCGCTGGCAGAAATGCTTTGCAGATGCCAAAGACTTGGAAACAGTGTTTAGAATCGTTTAAAACCCCCACTCATTCCCCCGCCATGCTAAGATACTGTAGGGACGTAAGGAGACACAGCCTTGCACAAAGGGGAGACGATCCAGGAGCGGACATCCCTTTTTTTCGAACTCGCTATGCTTGTCCTGTGAAGGACAGCAGAGGAAAGTCCACAAAAGAACTCCGCCTCCATAACTCCAGATAATGCTAAGTGGACTGTGGAGCCGTGAACGGTGTTCGTTTTTGCAGGATCGGCCTGCGCTATGAAGACCCGCTATGCAAGTCTGGTGGAGTCCGAGTATTTCCTACTAACTTGCCAATTAAAGCTACCATTATGCGTATTGTGCGAGGATAGGGGTGAGGTTCTCGTCAACTCAACCAATGGGAATCTCAGGGGATGGACTCAAACGTATGGATAGAGCTATACAGATTTCACCAAATGGCTGCACATCGAAAGATTGTCGTGGGGTTTCAGTGATGTAGACTGCTGGCAACGATGACATGCGTCGGAACATCATGAGCTGTATAAAATAAATAGAAAGCTGATCCTTCCTCTCTCAGCAACAAGATACCTGCGGTCAGGTTAAGCCTACCAATCTTTCTAGATCCTGCTGCAGAGATGGCGCTCTCTGCTTCGATGCTTCGGCTGCTGGTAAGCAACCGTCGACCCTTTCCAGCTCTCGACACTGACTTAAGCCCCAGTTCGTGGTCTTTGTCGCTTTGGGCAGCGTAACCTATGGCTACTGTGCCAGCATCATCGCGACCACCCTCGGACAGCCGTCCTTCATATCCTACTTTGAACTGGACACACGATCGAACGCGAGCGATCTGATTGGAGCCACCAATGGACTCTTTCAGGTTGGAGGCCTCTTTGGGACGTTGTCCTGCATGAAGTCTGCCGACTGGCTAGGTCGCCGGAAAGCGCTGTTTGTGGCGAGCATCGTCACCACAATCGGAGGAGCACTGCAGGCGGGCAGCGTGCATATCGGCATGTATATTGTGGCCCGGTTGATAACAGGCCTTGGTATCGGTAAGTGTGACTCGTACCACTATTCTCAGTACGAAATCATCAGATTTTTCTGTCAGGATCCTCACCTTCACCAGGAGCCCTCGTCACTCTTGTCCCCCTCTATCAAAGTGAGGTCGCACCTCCGAAAATTCGTGGTATGCTGGTCGGAATACATGGAGTGATGATCTGCATTGGTTACACTTCCGCAAGCTGGATCGGCGTAGGCTTCTACTTTGTCCAGGCGGCCGGAGCTCAGTGGCGTATCCCTCTCGCAGTCCAGGCGATTTGGCCCGCACTACTAGCCATGGGAGTCTTATTCCTGCCAGAATCACCTCGATGGCGTATGTATTGTTCTCTCGTGGTTTGAGGAAAGCTTCCCGATTTGACTTGGAATAGTGCTAGACCGCGACCGCTTCGACGAAGCATATTTGTCGTTTAAAAGGGTCCGAGCTGAGACCTCGGACAGCTTCTTGAACGATGAGGACGCCATCCGCGCCGATTTTGCTCTACTGCACTCTCAAATTCTGCAAGAGAAGGAAGAACGGCTATCAACTTTGGACTTGTTCAGGCTGCCGGGATATCGTAAAAGAGTAGGCATCGGCTTCATCATGATGGTAGGAGCCCAGGCCACTGGAACGCAGATTATCAACAGTGAGTCCGACTTTGATAGACTTGAGATGTTATTTCTTTGTGAAGCTGACGGTAGGCTAGACTATGGACCTTTGCTGTATGCGAATCTCGGCTTCGACACCGTTAGGCAGCTCATCATTCAAGCTGGCTGGATTTCGGTCTCTCCTTTTGGAAATGGACTTAATGCACTGATTGTTGACAGGGTTGGCCGCGTCAAAATGTTGAGTACGTCAAGCCTGGTGACCGCCGTATTTTGGGCTTCTCTAATCGTCATTAGTAATTGGGATGTCAGGATGTGTGCTGGCTCTCGTCGGCGAGGTCATTACACTTTCTCAATTCCAAGAGCACGGCGGGCAAGGTGCTGCCAGTGCCGCAGTCTTCTTTCTATTCTTACACGTTGCAATCTTCGCCAGCACCATCGATGCAACCTCTTACATCTATGCTTCGGAAATATTCCCGACACCAGTGAGAGCAAAGGGACTGTCCCTCTCCATTTCTGGATTGTTCCTCTCGGCATTGGCCTTGCTGCAGGGTGCTCCCACCGGCTTTGCGAGTATTGGATGGAAATATTATCTGGTGTGCATTGGAGCTACCTCGGCTGTCATCGTCGTGGTCTGGTGGAAATTTCCAGAGGTAATGTTTTCCAGTGTTTGGTTCAACCGGCTGCTTGTGGCGAGAGACTAACATTCCGAACATCTCAGACCAAAATGATGTCCCTCGAGGAAATCGGCACCCTTTTCTCGGACTCACCCAGGGCAACTGGCGAAAAAGATATCACCAAAGGGAGGCAAAACTCTTCGCACGAGGACAATGAGAAGGATAATAGCCAGGTCGAAGTTGAAAGTGTACAGACATAAAAATATGCCGCTCGCAAAGTCCTAGGGAGAAGCGCTGGACGGTATGACACAGTCTCCCGTCTTTGTTGGGAAAGCTGTTCGCTCAACGAATTGACCTTTTTCGATATATTCAAACATACATTCTCGTCTTTCGAGGTGGAGCGCTTGTGTAATGTCGACCAACAGTCAGAATGCTGCGGTGGGATTCCATACATGGGTCCGTACGAAGATCATAGATTATGATAAGGCAGAAGATAGGAAGCTCCCTCAGTAACCGGGGTACGTGCCAATTTCATGCTGCCCCAGAGAAACTTGGCTGCTTCCTGCAAATTGTCGAGCGAGGCCACAGACTCAGGTCCGTGATATCTAGATGCGGTTGAATGTGGTTATTGAAAACGCCGCGGTTTCAGGCTGACTGATGCACCGAATTCATCAGACAGGACTCAACACCCGGAGAGGCATAGACAACTCCGCGTCCTCCACAATAGGAAGCGCCTGGATCTAACGAGTTGGTTCTTACCCCTCATTCTTGATCGTCCGGATCGCCGCTTGTTGAAGCGTTCTCCAATTTGAAGCCGTTCCCCGAAACATGACCGAGCGCGTTACAATTGTCCCCGCGCCCTCAAGGGACGATGACGAATTTCCCGAGTGATTTGGGGCGACGGTAATGCCTATGTGGTAAGATAAAACCGACGTCGTCAACACCCGCAATCTCTTCTCAGATAGAACCTAGACTTCTTACGATGAGACTGTCGAACCGACTAAGGGCCCAGAATCCCGACGACACCGGTGCAAACTCGAGCCACGCTATCAGTCTTCAAAATGTCTAACAAGATCCCACCGTTCCCATCCGATGTGCCGGTGGCTGACATCGCCACGGTCGATTTCGATCTTCTATCCCAAGGAGATCCAGAGCAAGCCCGAATACTGCTTCACTCGTGCCAGAACTATGGCTTCTTCTATCTGTCCAACCACCATGTGGACTCGCGCTTCATGTTCAATCTCGCCGACGCCGTCTTCTCCCTGCCTCTGGACGAGAAACTCAAGTACGACATGGGCACCACGGGCCACTACTACGGCTACAAGCGGTCTGGTGCCATGTTCGTCGACGACAAGGGCACAAAGGACCACAGTGAGTTCTACAACGTCTCCAAGGACGAGGTCCTGGGGATCCCGCAGCCGGCAGCGGCAGACGGGAAGCCACGAAAAACGGTAACAGGTCACCACCCCCAAGTCGTCCTAGACCGCTTCGACGAGCTCAAGACGTTCATGAAATCGTGTCACAATGTCATATACACCATCGCGACTTCTTTGGGGAAGTCGCTAGGGTTGCCAGAGGGCCTTCTAGAGTCTCTGCACGAGCTTGAGAAGACGTCTGTCGACCAGGCCCGTGTCACTTGCGCACCACCAGTCAGACCAGCCGAGACCATCACTCTGGGTGAACATACCGATTTCGGCAGTGTCACAGTCCTCTTCAACCAGCTGGGGGGGCTTCAGGTGCTCGCTCCAAACAAGCGAGACTGGGAGTACGTACGGCCGCGGCCCGAGTGCGCCGTGATCAACCTGGGCGACAGCTTGATCAAGCTGCTGGGAGGTCGACTGTACAGCGCGGTCCACCGCGTCGTTGTACCGCCGGGGGAGCAGGGAGAGTGCATGCGCCACAGTGTGGTCTACTTTTCGCGCCCAAACTCCAGTGTCAAGTTGCGCGATCTCTTCCAGTATCCCTCGGCAGAGGACGTGGTCAAGCTGGAGAAGGCGTCAGGAGAAACTCTCCTGAACGCCGATGAATGGGTCAAGCAGCGGGCGCACAACTGGAACACGGCGCAGTACAAGGGCAGAGAGTCGTACAAATTGAGTCGGGGCACGGAGCACAATCGGGATTGGGATGCAGACCCTGCCAAGTTAGATCAGCAGCGTCCAAAGGCGGTCAAGGCTGCGTGATGATGATGATGTGATGATGATGATGTGATGATGATGATGATGATGATGCCGGAGATGGTTATCAACAAATGTAGCTTCTTCCCCTTTTCGAATCAACCTCCCCCTAAGAACTCCCCAGGATTTAGCGCAAAATTCTCAGATTCCCACATGCAAATTGCAGGACTCTATTAGCTAATCGGCGTGCCACCGGAGCGGGAACGGGGCCTAACTTGCCAGCCTCCTCATATGTAGCTATATCAGCCACCCCCGCCTTTTCGGCTAGAGGCACAAGAAGGAGGGGTCAAGGTACAAGTCCTCCCTATAGCAAACCTCATATAGCAGCTAGATGAGCGTCCCTTATTAGTTCGGCCCGCGGCGGATGCAAGGCATGCAATGCCAGTCCCTCAAAATACGAACCACGGCCCTTCGCAGCTCAACATGTGCTTCAGCTGCTATTGATCAACGCGCAATAGAGTTCGAGCAGCGCACGCGAGCTAACATCACACGCCCCTGTACCTTGAGCCAATTGCAGACGCGTACCACGCTACCACGAACGGGAACAGCTGACAACAAACTTCGAGATTGTCCCAAGTTTGGTAGTGTCGGCGCTGCGTGTCCACTGCTTCGCGTCGAGTTCAGCTCAGGCGTGTTGGCTAGCTCGGAGGCAGACGGAGCTTTCGAGTTACGATGCGATGTCCTTGGCCAGCAAGCTGCAAGGACCTTTTTTTACTTCTGTATACTGATGCCAGAATGTCGTCACTCGGCTGGTTAACAGATAAAAGTGCGAATAAGTAGCTCTTGTTTTCATCGTCTTCTTTTTCCTTTGCTTCCTCTTTTCTTCCCCCTTTTTGGTCCATCTTTTTCCGGAGCTGGGAAGAGAAGAAACTATCAAAAGAGGCAAAATGAACGGACAGACTGTGCAAGCCACAATGGGGGACCGGCGGCCGCATCTTCGCGCGTTGGTTGATATGGGAAGGTAAGGCACACGCACACACAACAACATCATAGGGCTTATTTGGCTTGGGGTTCGGGGGTGTTTGATGGTCCTCAAATGATTCTTTTGTGTCCTGCGAAGCTACAAGGTTGACTAAGGTCATTAGCAATGGAATTCGATTCTCCGTCTCGGACCTGTCGCCGCCGACAGCACGGACGCTGCCGACAGTCCATTTCCATAGGTCCAACATCTCCTTGTACGAAGCGCAGTTCGACTCGAAGGGTGTTAGGATACCGATCCCGCATTCCGTCATACGAGCAGTCATCGCCGCCCTGTTGCGGTTCAAGGTCGTGTGCGAAGATCTCGGTGTGCCGCAGCATCAGATCCGCGTCATCGCCACAGAAGCGACTCGCGAGGCGTTGAACTCGTCGGAATTCCTCGCCGCGATCAAGGAGGCATCCGGGCTGACCATCCACATGCTTCCGAAAGAAGAAGAAGGTAGGATTGGGGCCTTCGGCATCGCCAGCAGCTTCACCTACGTCAAGGGCCTGGTGATGGACCTCGGCGGGGGCAGCACCCAGATCAGCTGGATGATTTCGCGCGAGGGCCGGGTGGAAACGAGTCCTAAGGGAGCTTTCAGCTTTCCATACGGAGCTGCTGCGCTGACGCGGGCGTTGGAAAGCGCCAGGGCCGGGAAGTCCAGAGAAGAGGCCGACAAAGCCGTCGCCGAGCTCAGGGCGGAGATGAAGAAGAACTTCCTCAACGCGTACCGCGAGCTTGAGATCCCGCAGGAGCTGATTGATGAGGCCAGACTTTACGGCGGGTTCCAGCTCTACCTCTGCGGTGGAGGCTTCCGGGGTTGGGGCTACCTGCTTCTTTACCAAAGCCAGGTACATGGGCACCATTATCCCATCTCAATCATCAACGGCTTCGTGGCAGATCACGCCAGCTTTACAGACACTGAGAGGTTGAAAGAAGTCGCACGCACGGCTCATCGTATCTTCCGCGTCTCGGACCGGAGACGAGCACAGGTCCCGGCGGTTGCATTCCTGGTCAATGTCCTGGCGGAAGCGATCCCGTTCGGTATCAAGGAGGCACAATTCTGTCAAGGCGGGGTCCGTGAAGGCGTTCTGTTTCAAGAGTTAGCCTATCCTGTCCGGAGGCAGCATCCCCTTGAAGTGGCCACTGCGCGGTTCGCCAAACCATCAGCGCTGGCCATGGGCGATCTATTTCTGTCGGCCATCCCCCCTTCCACGAGCGGCGAGCCGAGATCATTCCCAAGATCCATCTCAACAGAGGTCATCCGCTCGCTGGCGAACGTGTTCTTCGAACACTCGGACTTGTCAAAGGAATCATCTTCGAGTGCCGCCTTGTACAGCACCTCCACCGGCATCTTGGCCTCGGCGCACGGGGTCTCCCACACCGACCGCGCTCTCCTGGCGCTCATGTTCGAAGGGCGTTTCGAAGGCGAGCTACCTCCGCGCGAGTCCGATTACAAGGAATCACTCCGTCACCTCCTCACGCCCGAGCAGGTCTGGTGGGCCCGCTACATCGGCAGAGTAGCAATGGTGGTGGCCAGGGTGTATCCGGCTGGGATCATCGATGAGACCAACCCGCGAGTGAAGATGTCGGCGCGATGGGCGGCCGGGCTGGGCAAGGACGGCAACAAGGACGGAGTGGAACTTTGTCTCTCGGTCGCCAAGATCCCCGGCGACCCTTTCCTACTCAAGGACACGATGCAGGATGCCTTGCGGGTCATTGAAAAGGTCGGCAAGCGCAAGCACTGGATCGGCGGCAAAGAGGGGTGGGGAATCAAGGTCAAAGTCATCGTCGAAGAGAAGGATCTACAACGGGGGCAGCAGAAACTGGCGTTGCCCCCATCGCTCCCATCGCCCTCATCGCCCCCCCAGTGCGAGCATGAAGAAGTCGAGAGAGGAGAGGGAGAGGAAAACGAGTGGCAATTGGAGTGAATAGTCCTTGCATTCTCCAAAAGCAACGAAGTTTGCCCCTTCTGGTATAGATTCATCGATCGGGCAAAGGGCGTTCTGAACGGTCTGCTACATTCGGGGAAGGGTTGGTCTGATTCGTGGTTACACGGCCTTTTTTTCCTTCCAATCTGAAAATGTCAGGATTGTGACCGTCGTCAGTCTGCTTTCGTGCAGAATCTGCATGGCTTTGCTTGAATCACTGTTCCATCTTTCGTAGTTCAGTAATGTCCCCCTAAGCACCCAGCGAGCACACCAGAGTGCAGATACTCTTCACCAAAACGACAATTGGAGAGGATGAGCTTTTCATTTGCTAGGTATTGAATAAAGGCACATACATCTCTTTCCCTCTATTCTTCATCAGCCTTGTCGCCCTGCTTAGCTTTCTTAGCCCTCCACAGATAATACTCCCCGGCCGTCATGACAGGGTATTTCGCCGGGTTCTCGTCCGATATGCACGAGGAAATAGGCAGCATGGGCATCTTCCTGTCTAATCCGTAAAAGAACGGTATGGAGTATCTCTCTTTACCGCTCTTATTGATCACTCGATGCACTGTCGACACAAAGTAGTCGTTAGTCTGCCTCATGAAACAGTCTGCGATATTGACAACAAAGGAGTTTGGCACGGGCTTGGCACGGATCCATCGCCCGCTCTTGCCCAGCACTTCGAGCCCTCCGGACATGTCTTGGTTTACAATCGTAAAGCACTCAAAGTCTGTGTGGGCTCCGATGCCGTTCTGGTCATCCACCGATGCGTCCTGCTCGGGGTAGTGAAGGATGCGCAGTCCAGCTTCAGGACGTTTGGTCCACTCGTCGAAATATGTCTCGGGGAGGTGGAGTGCCAGGGCAAAAATTCGGGTCATCTTGCGAGCGAATTGGAGCATAGGCGTATGGTAAGCATACATGGCTTCCTTGAAACCAGGGAGATCACTTGGCCATATTGAAGTCCCCGGGTCATTTTCTGGGTTCTCGGGATCTTGCTCTGCGGAGTAGGCTAGGTTGAAAGCTTCACTGAGGTCTGACCAGTTCACACCAACGCATCGTCAGTGGCCACCTGGAGAAGTATGCCATTAAGTCTAAACTCCAGACGCAAATTCACTTACCATGATGCTTCCTTCCATTCCTGTTATAACTCGCGAGGGCATGGTATCCCACATACTCCTTTGGCACGAGATTCGTGTCAACCTCCATCTTCTTCTCCAGCGGCAGTGCAAAGAAGCGCCTAGCTTGCTCAAACACCCCGTCCGCCAGTTTGGAATCAAAGCCCTGGGCGGAAAAGAGAAATGGTTAGCAATAGACAAGTTCTCAGGAAAAGAAACTCACATGGTTGACCACGTAGAAGAAGCCGATGCGATGAGCGGCTTCTCGAATCTTGTCCGCTATATCCTGCCGGTCCGCCAACTTGTCACTGTAGATTCCAGCTACATCGATGATAGGGATCTCATTTGCATCAATGGCCTCGTTGGATTCAACATGGAGAGTTTGGCCATTCTGTAACTTGATTACGAGAGGATTGTTTTCCTCAATCTGAGTTGCAACTTGGGACATAGTGATAGCTGGTCGATGAAGCTTGCCGCCTGAAAAAAGATGACCTGATTGCTGAAAATCGAAATGCCTATCAGGGGAGATCCAGCCAAGATGATATCAAGTACGAACAGAGATCAAGCAATTCCAGAAACAGGAGCCGAACAGCCCGTAAGTATCGGAGTTGAGAGACGGAGGTACGCGCAGCCTTGTTGCTTATCGGCTTTGCCGTGCCGTTATATGTCCGATGGATTTACCGAGTATGGGTTGATATATTCGGACAGTGATTTCCGTCCTTCCTTTCTAGCTATCGTTTCTCACAATCCTGCATCAGCCGCTGCACTAGTTAAATGCTTAACTTTAGCCACATGGTTGCTGATATATTCTTTCAGCATCTAGTCGATAGCGATGATTGGCAGATCGATATCGGATGTCTGATGGTCGTACAACCTCAAATCCTATGCTTTGGACTTTGTCTGTCATAAATCGCTTTGTCGTGCACTGACAAGGAGACAAAACGTGATCTCGTGAGTGATCTTTGATGTGGCCTTCAGTAAGGGTTCTGTGGCGTTTCTTGTTTCAAGCGATCATCTCTGCTCCTGGTTTCTGACGCTTTCCTTGATTATAACATGTTATCGAACTGCCGGAAAGTGACCGTTGGGAGCGTGGAGATGAGCGGTATCATGTCGTTTCCGCCACGTGGTTTGTTGGGCTCTTATCAGCGATAGACATATCCAGGACACAGGGAGTGCTCGGATTCAGGATCTGTCCGGTCATGCTGAGGGACACAACCTCTGATAAACATATCCTTGATCGCAGTTTTGCTTGGGATATCAGCTCAACCCGTTCGACCTGAGGGACCCTGAGCCAAATACACATCAATTCTGCCTCAGCCGGTTAATCAATCCAGAACAATGAGTTCTCTTCGTCAACGAGCCGCGCGGCTCAGCGAGAAGCTCGAGGTGCCCGTGGATGAGAATTTGGACGGCAAGAGGCCCACGGCATGGAACAATCGTGATCTTGCGCCCCTTCCACCATACAGGCGAACGTGGACAGTATGGGGATTTTTGGGATTCTGGGCTGTCATCCAACTGAATACAGTAGGATGGCAGACGGCAAGCTCGTTGATCTCGCTGGGGTTGAGTGTGTGGGAGGCTATGGTTGTGACGATTATCGCAAAAGTCAGTTTTGCCCGTCGTCAATCCCATTGCCAGAAGTTCTCGACTGACCTTGCTGATATAGTTCCTCATTGCTGGAGTAGCCATTGCGAACGGCTGGTGGGGTGCTCTATGGCATGTCGGCTTCTCCGTTGGAAACCGCGCTGTCTGGGGACTTCGGGGCTCATATCTTGCTCTCGCACAAAGAATCATGCTCTGCCTGGTCTGGTACGGTGTCCAAGCCTGGATTGGTGGTCAGATGGTAGGCGTCATGCTCTACAGCATCTTCTCTGGCTACAGGCATATCCCCAATACCTTTCCCGCCAGTGCGAACATGACAACTCAGCAGTTCGTCGGCTTCGTCGTCTTCCTCTGCTTCCAGTTCCCTTGCCTTTTGATCCCTCCCGAGAAGACAGCAATCCTCTTCCGGTATGCTAACATCATCACTGCCGTTACCATGTTCTCAGTCACGGTCTGGGCGCTGTCAACTGCCCACGGCGGCGGGCCTTTGCTCACAGCCAATAGCACGCTTGCCACGACTAGCGAGAGAGCCTGGGCAATCATCCGTGGCATCACGACTGTCATTGGGTCCATCGCGGTGTCACTGACGAACCAAAGTGACTTCAACCGATTCGCAAAGACCCCGGGTGCGCAAATTCCGGGCCAAATATACTCTACCATCATCATCGGTGCGCTTGTAACCCTCATGGGTACGCTCTCGACCTCTGCCGCGCAGAAAATCTATGGAGAAGTGCTCTGGTCGCCAGCAGAGCTCGCCATCCGCTGGATGGAGGACGGCTATACGGCCAAATCTCGTGCCGGAGCCTTTTTCGCTGGCTTCGGCTTTTTCATCTCCCAGCTTAGCATCAACACAGTCGACAATGCGTGGCCGGGTGGCTTCGACCTTGCAGCACTCTTTCCTCGTTGGATCAATATCCGCCGGGGAGCAGTCATCACCTTCGTGCTCGGTATCGCAATCAATCCCTGGCAATTGGCTGACACAGCAAACACTTTCATCAATGTGCTGGACGGATATTCTGTCTTCCTCGGTCCCATGGTGGGCATGATGGTGTGCGATTTCTGGGTCATTCGTGACCGCAAACTCAAGCTCTCCGATCTGTACATTCCAAACCGATCGTCCATCTACTGGTACAACCGGGGTTTTAACTGGCGCGCCTACGCTTCTTGGCTCATCGGCATGGCGCCTGCGCTGCCCGGATTCATCAATGCTGTCAACCCGTCCATCCATGTGCCCACGGGCGCGCAGGAGATTTTCTACCTCGCGTACATCGAGGGTTTTGCATTGGCATTCGTTGTACATTATATCTTGAACCGACTATTCCCTGTCCCGGGCGTGGGAGAGATCGACGAGGAGGATCTGTTTGCGACCTTCACAGTCGAGGAGGCAAGGAAGCTGGGGGTGATACCAAATCCCCGGGTGCTTGAGACGGAGGTGTTAGAGATCCATGAGGGTGAGCGCGCGTCTTCAGAAGAGGCTGTAGAGTCGAAGGCTGTGGTGGTCGGGGAGAAGCTGGTTGGCTGAGTTTTGGAGGTCGAGGACGAGTAGCTCGCTCTCTTTTGTAAGCAGCCACTCAGGCCTCCATGTTGCCCAGCTCGTTGTATCTTCATATCGGCAGCTTGTGTCCTGAGGCTCGCTGTCCGGGACGAAAGCATTCAGTCGATAGACTATACGAGGTTCTAGCATCGAACCACCTCTGCTCTGCTTTAATCTGGTCAGATAATGCACTGACACTATCGAGAGCAGCAGTCAGAGCATATCCATAGCCTGGTTGAAGACCTCTTCTCCCAGCGGCTGAATTACATCTGCATAGTTGAATCCCCTCAGAACAGGGTAGACATCCTCCCATATCGACATTTTCATGTCCCGCACCTGGCGAGCCAGTCGGGTTGAAAACCATCGATTGCTTATCTCTCTATAGCTCTCCCAGTCGTAGTTTTCGTTGTCCCTGGAGCATTTGATAGCGCGAGGTGATTTCTTCTCCGCTTGATTCATCTCGAGGAGATCTTTATGCGATGGTGAAAATGGCTCTGAAGTTTTCTGCTTGGATTTTGACTTCAACCATTCGGCATGTGCGCCGATAAAGAGGGCCCAGAGGCGAGCATTCTGATATTTTGGTGAACAGTGGTGTGTCAGATCTCGACTCAAATCTTCAGCACGCTCCAGCGCCGCCCGAAGATTCTTCAGTTGCGTCGGCACCATATCGAAAAGGTCTATGCCACAGACCTCGACTTTGTAGCTTAAATGATGCGTCCAGACAAATTCTGCAAGAATCAAATATTGCTGGGTATACCAATACTCTTTCCCCTCCACAGAGTCCCCATCTTTTTCTCCACTTGCTGATGACGGAGACATACCCTGTATAACTTTGTGGACGGCCTGAATATAGTGTTTGATCATCCGCCCCTGCTGGAGACAGGCGGTCGTGGTTAGCCACAACATTATGAGTGGTGGCACGGGTAGACCATTGAGGCCGTAATGTAACCAGGTCTGTAGAGTCGTCCTCCGAGAGATAAAGAATGCTTTCAGCTCTGCACCTTCAACACTTGGGTCAAGGCATTTTTCCGAATCATCTCGAAGGGTGGTCCACTGTGGGATTGATCTGAGCTGCTCTAGAGCAGCAGCCCAGAGGGGCTGCATCGTGTTTACTACCCAGCCGCTGGGCCCAACATCAAATGCGAGAGGAGTCATGAAGATCGACGAAACTTGAGTGTCACTCCAGAGGGCATATTGCAGAAGTGTAAAATTCACTGTGCGATTCCTTCGCTGCTGCTCCTGGAACAAGTTTTGAAGTATCTTTGCATGTGCTGCAGCAGCTGTCAGATTCTTGTCCACGATTTCAGCTTTCTGTAGCATAATGATTTGGAGGATAATAATGTCACTACCGACTTGATTCGCGTGGTTTAGCAGTCTCACCCGTAACTCCTGAATACTTTGAAGGCGATATCGCATAGCCAGTGTCCGCAACGCGGGGTTGAGCACAGCTGCAACCGTTGCAGAACGGGCAATAAAGGCCTTTGCCAAAGTTGGTTCTTGAAGTGTCGAGATACAGATAGTCCAGTCCAATTTCGCATTTGCGGAGCTGACCCATGCTGTCGAAGGAACATGATACTGTGCGGGAAGAAGATAATCTCGATAAAATGCAATCAGCTCGTTAATTTCGGGATTGATTTTGACCGGATAGGCATTGAAAGGGTCCGAATTCCCCTTGAGCAGATTGATCGATGATGACGAGAGAAGAGACCCGACCGCAGACTCAGAAGAGGTACCTTTGCTGCGAGTCTTGCTGCCCTTTATTGTCATTGTGGGAATTGTAATACGACCTCGCACATCCCGGCTGCTCTCGGATGGCACAGCGCGTCGTCTGGAGGTGGGAAGCAGCAATTTCTGCTTGACGGTGCGAGGGACGATAGTGAGATCCTGAAGATGCTTGACGCTTTGCTTTCGCCGCCATTTATGATAGTTTTGACGGACGTGGGAGAGGACTCGCGAGTGATCAAGTGAGTCGCTTGGACTGCCCGAATCGTAATTGACGAACAGAAATTTCTCCACGTACGACTGCGAGCGAGGGCGGCCAGAGTGTTGATTCGACATGCTCGAGCTCGATGCAATGTTTTAGCGACGGTCTGCTCGCTTAGTCAAGTCAAGTCGGGGCCGGTCCCTGATCAATGTTGCAATGGATGGATGCACATACAGGCGCAACGGCCAGCTCTCTGGCTAGTCGTAGTTCATGTCAACCAAAGTGACAGGAGTTGATTCTCACAGACTCATCTCTGGGGCATTTATCCAAGATGAGCTGTCTTATGTCGAGTGAACAGCGAGGACGCCGGCGCTCCTTTTTATCTTTGTCGAGAAGCTCGGATCATGCTCCGTATATTGTGGGAGAAAGATATTCCAAGGCTCTCGCAGGGTCCCAGCCTCGGGTGTCCCGAGGCTTTGGCGGGTCCGCTGACGAGATCACTAATTAAAGCTCTTAATTGCAATAAACAAAGGCAGGAAAGGTGGGCCAAGACTCTCATAAAAGAGCTGACATGTGTGATCAATAAATCAGTCCTATTTCAGCTCCAGTATTGTCTGGATTGGGTTTGTACAGAGTCCATACCAAGCCATCTCCTAGGCAGTCACCAGTCCCAGCTCGACAGCAAAATAGCCCCTTCCATACGATGGACATTGCTTGATTGGTGGTGGCGTTAACCAACTGGCCCGGCCTTCCATCTTTCAGTTTCCGTGAGCACCGGCGTTTAACTCGTGATCATGCCTGTGGCCCGCGACTCCTCATTTCAGCATGCATACATCCCATCCCGCTGTCAAGAGTGCTTTCCTCCCTTCTCGCCCCATGGTCGCCCGGGTCCGAACCCTTCCAAACTCCCTTGCGAGGCGAGGCGATGATAAACAACGCAAGATTTGTGATAAAATGTGCCGCCCCTTCTTAGCATGTTTGAGGAACAAGATCCTTTTTTTGACCTAGGTCTGCGCAGCAGCCTGACCAGCCTGGGCCTGTGCCTGTGCCTGTCCCTGCCCTTGTCCGCCCCGTCCTCGATTACCACGATAGTTGTATCCACCGTACCCGCGGCTATTATAACCGCCTCGATACGTCCCGCTGTATTGTCTTCCACGACCGTAGCCGGACCCTCTTCCGCGTCCCCGATAACCACCATCCACATTCCCTTGACCAAAGGTCTCAATGTTCTTCTTGAACTCTTCGCTGCGCACCTGTCTGGCATGTGCGCGTCCGTCGTTGCCTTCTTCTCGGTCCTTTGCTTCTGATGAGATATTGTCAAAAAACGAAGTTGACTTGTTGTAGGCTGGACCGGCCGTGGGGAGACTGTCTTTTCTGGTCGGTGTGGGTTTCCCTGCCTCTCCGTCGCCTTCTTCCTGTGTTGGATTCTCTTCAAGGGGAGATCCCGAAGCGATCGCCTCTTTTATGAGGTCCTCCTTATTGAATTTCGCATTGGCAGATTCAAAGTCAAAGTCAGACTTGGGAATTTCCATCTTCTTCTGGCCACCTCCACGGTGGTAGTTTCCACCTCGACCACCTCTGAATCCACCTCGACCACCCCGGGCGGTCCCATTGCTCGTTGTTGATGTAGACATTTCTGCCACCTTCTTCGTCAAAGCATCTACTGCGGTCGTTGAAGGAGTCTGTTTGGCCTGTGCCGCAGCTGCTTGGGGGTTCAATTTTGCCATGGCTGCTGCGACCGCTTCCTTTGCCTGTCGCGCCGCCTCGTCCATTGCAGCTTGTGAGGGTACAGGTTTCTGGGGCTTTGTACCAGCGCCGTTGGTCGCTGAAGTATCCACCGCAGTGGGGACTGGAGGAGTGAAAGACTTCTGATTCACGGTGAGCGGGACTGCCGGTGTGACACGGGTATTCTTCGGTCCTGTAGGTGCAGCTTTGGGAGGCGCCACCACTGCCGCCGCCGCTGCCGCCACTGCTGGCGCAGGGGCAGACGTAGGAGCAGCTTTGGCAGCGACCTGTGCATGGGACAGTTGTGAGGGAGAGGGTGCGGGAGGTTGAGCATCTTTTGGAAGGGGAGGAGAAGAGATTGATTCAGGGGCCTTGTTGCTGCCTGGAAGTTCAGACGTCAGGTTCGAGGTAGGAGGTTCTGCGCCTGCGCCCGAGTCAGGATGAGGCTGTGGCTGCGGAACAGGTGGTGGTATATTGCCGCGAAACCCTTGAGGGCCGATCGGAGGCTGATGGTGTTGTGGAAAGAGGTGAGGGCCGGGACCTTGCGGAAAGCCTTGGCCACCGGGAGGACCAAAATACCCAGGAGGCGGAGGTCCATAAGGGGGGAAGCCAGGACCGGGGCCAAACCCTCCTGGAGGCGGGCCGTAGCTTCTACCAAATTGATTTGGAGGATAGTAGCCACCGAAAGGAGGAGGATGCTGGTACTCTGGAGAAAAGGGACCGTCACGCGGGACTCCCTGAAGAGCAGGGCCCGGTCGCGACGCATTCTAGATTTTCACGCAGGGTTAGCGGGACTCGAGAAATCAGGCTTCGAGGTCGATTAGGAGCAAAAATGAAGCAAGTATCAGAAGGAAGGCAACGGAAACATCCACATGGCTTTGCGCTTTCAGAACAGGTCTGTGAATTTACATCCGATATCTCATCACGCTGACAGGATTAGACAGGGAAGGGACAAGACATACCAATATGGCAGGGTCATTCGGCATGCTCTGTGGAGGAGATGGCTGTGACGGCTCATCTTCCGCAATTTTGATATCCTTGACATCGCTTCCGCGAAAGACAATGAAGCCATATTTCTGTTGTGAAGGGGGGATGAATTTGTCGACTTTGCGGTCTTCAGTACCAAAGGAGAAGACATTTTCCAAGGCAATTGTGGACTGTTCGGGATTTATCTCGTGCAAGGTACCGACATAGCTACAGGTGAGAGAGGTGTTAGAGTAGATGTAGAGAGGATCTTGAGGTTCACTTACCGAATTTCACTTTTCGAGATGAGGTTGAAACGCTGACCGATGAGATGATCCATATCCATGATGACAGCAAGAGAAGGCAATAAAGAAAACACTAGTGTTACATAAAGGGAAGGAAATCCGAGGGCGTAGAGAAGGGTAGGGTTGGTGACGGCAGAGGATTTGAGAAGTTGTTTTGTGTGATGAAGAAGCAGAAAAGATCAATTTGAGCGGCTGCGGAAGGTGAGGCAGGCTTGGGCAGGTCAAATGCCAGAGCGACAAACAAGCTAAACAACCTGAACACCATGCACTTAGTGTCAATAGCTCGACCGTACTCTTGGCACCTTGGCATTACCGTGGAGTTTATACTCTCTCTGCGCAATATCAAACATTTTGCCTTCACTGGAACTATCTTGTCCCTCTGTTGTCTTTTTCAAAGGTGTCTGCCATCGACCACCATGACCAGCTACAGCGCAGGTGACCAAGCAGGCAACTATTTCCAGACTGAGTGCGTCGCTGCACCTACTTGTCCTCCGTCTGGAGCCTTGCTGATCAGTTTCCAGTGCATCTTTGGCTGAAAGTGATCGGAAACGTCAGAAGGCAGCAAACACATTGGGGGATCCAGTCAAATTCCCCACAAAACTGCTAGCTGCCGGTGTCAACTATTGTTTTGATGCTACTGGGGATGTTGTTTTTGTCGCCGAGGCCGGGGGCTCAGTGACGGGTCTGCGGTTATCTACAAGCGAGATTTCCTCGACACTGAGCGGCCCTCAGGCACCCCTGACCAGCCTTGCCTTTCACGCTGCGCAGGTTGCTACAGGCTCTTCTACTCTCAGTCAAATTTATTCTGGTTGCTGGGACAAATCCATATGGAAATATTCGTTCCAAGGACCTACAGTCATCGATCAATCTTCATTTCCTGCTCACCAAGACTTTGTGAAATGTCTTCTAGTTGTTCGGACTCCTGATAAACAAGATATTCTAATCTCAGGAGGAGCTGATGGAGACGTGCGATTCTGGGCTCTGGACGGACAACCACTTGGCTCCATCAAACCCCAAGCCCGAGGTATCGAATGTCTTGTCCTAGACCCTCTTTCCCCACTCGATTCGCCTGTTGTGATGCTTTCGACCTCCAAGCAAGAAATCTTGTCCTTTTCTGTCCCAGCGGTATCCAACATCACCACGCATAAATTCCAAGTCTCTCCCCCGATCACGGCGCATGCTACGAGCGTGTACAAGCTGCACTTCGATGAGGATGGAGATCTATGGACAGCTTCGGCTGACAAAACAGCCAAGCGTCTCTTGAGAGACGAGGGCTGGAACGTTGACACGACATTGACTCACCCCGACTTTGTGCGAGATGTGGTGACACACGATAAATATGGCTGGGTGGTGACAGCTTGCAGAGACGAAAATGTGCGTGTGTGGAATAAGGCGACTGGAGACCTCCACCACGTTTTTACCGGGCATTATGAAGAAGTGACAGGACTGTGTCTGGTCCGAGATCTCGTCATCAGTGTCAGCATCGATGCAACGCTTCGAAGATGGAGTTTGGCCCCTGCGGATCTGAACAAGGCGGTGCAAGAGGCCAAGAACCCCCAGCTTCTCGAACAGGAACCCCCACCCAACGCGGATCTGGCGATGTTGACCGCGGAGGAGGAAGCCGAACTGCGCGCATTGATGGAGGAGGAAGAGCAGGAGATGTTGGAGAAGATGGCCATGGACGAGCAGTAATGCAGGATGCTTATACTGGGTACTCGCTATCCCCTAGCCTTGCCTTGCCTTGCCTTATCAGTCAACGGGCGGCCCCACGTGCTCAACCCCAGATTAACTAAGCGGGCTGATAGAGCTGATAGACTATCAGTTCTCGTGATTGGCTGCCCTGTCACCTCCCACCTACTTTTGCCTTTTTTCGCTTTCTCGTGATTGAGTTGATTGCCCTTTTGCCCCCTCTCTGAAAAATTTCTTCTGTCAGCAATTCATCCATCTCGGATCTGCCTATCCCATCTCTCTCCTCAGGCCAGAAAGTCTTCTCCCCTGCATTTGGAATTGGTCCGCAAAACGTCTCCGCTTCTTGTCGGCTCTACTCCTGCCGGCGGTTTCCGACCCCAAGCGCAAAACTTCTCGCAAAGCCTTGTCCAACTCCGACCCACGTGCCCACCCTAACATCAGACTTTTCTTTTTCCATCGCCACGACCCCAATTATAATCGCGGGTTCTCTCGTACTTGTGTGGCATTGAATTCTTGAACATATTATTTCTATACCTTCTTGGCGCCGACTTAGTCGGTCTGGCTTCTCGTCCTCTCGACAAACACCAGCACGCCTGATATCTTGGCCAGTCGGGCCACAACCAACCTCCATGGTCGACGGCGAGCCTGAACTTAGACTGCAGAATGCCCTGGCAAATAGCCTGTCCCTCTATGTGAGTTCGATCAGAACAGGAAATAGTTGTTGACCCTGACGTGAGACAGCTACGGGCGCATAAAGATAATCCCGTAGCCTGGCAAGAATGGTCCCCGAAAACGCTATCTCTCGCCAAGCGCTACCAGCGGCTTATATTCTTGAGTATCGGCTACAATGCATGCCATTGTAAGAGACCCGATTCAGCTAAATGTGCTTGGTTTGACTTGTTCTCAAGGGTGTCACGTGATGGAACGAGAGTCATTTAGCTCTCCTGAGGTGGCTGAGATTCTCAACAACTTCTTCATTCCAATCAAGCTAGATCGGGAATTGCGGCCGGATCTAGACGACATTTATATGAGTTATGTCACAGCCACGACAGGTTCGGGCGGATGGCCTTTAAATGTCTTCCTGACACCAGATCTCAAACCTGTCTTTGGCGGCACATACTGGCCCGGGCCCGCCCCTACCACCAATCTCATGCCTGCCACTCCTCATGACGAGGCTCCGGTCACATTCGTCGGGATCTTGAAGAAGATGAAGGAGGTCTGGACCACACAGCGCGACAGATGTCTCCAATCATCTTCGGAAATTACGGACCAATTACTGGCCTTTGCCGGTGAAGGCATCCATTCCCATTCGAACAGCCAGGCTCGGGAAGCTGAACCTAGTGCGTCGGATCCGCCCGAGCCACTGGACCTGGATCTGCTGGACGACGCCCTGAGCCATTTCATCTCTCGCTACGACTCAACGCACGGGGGATTTAGCCCAAGTCCGACAGCACCCAAGTTCCCGACGCCATCAAACCTCACATTTCTGCTTCGAATCGGCGCAGCCATCGCTCTACCTTCCACTCATACGCGTTTCGGCTTCTTCAGTCCTGTCCCCGGAATCCTAGGGAGAGAATCTTGCCTCACCGCTGCGAGGATGTCTTTACATACTCTTCTTGCCATGTCCAGGTCCGGGCTGAGGGATCAATTGGGCTATGGCTTCCACCGGTACAGCGTCACGGCCGACTGGAATCTTCCGCATTTTGAGAAGATGATGTGCGACAATGCCCAGTTGCTCGGCTGCTACTGCGATGCCTGGGCGCTGGGCAGGGATCCGGAGATTTTGGGCACGATCTACAACCTAGTCGAGTATTTTACGAACCCTGAATCCCCGATTGTCCACCCAGAGGGTGGCTGGTACTCGAGCGAAGACGCAGACTCGCGCACCACCCTTTCAACCATGAGCAATGGAGCAATGTCGGACGACAAGAAGGAAGGCGCTTTCTACGTGTGGACATACAAAGAGTTCCAGTCCATCCTCGGTGAACGGGACGCAGCCATCCTGGCTCGCCACTTTGGCGTCAAACCGGATGGCAACGTCCCCGCCCAGCATGACATGCATGACGAATTTCTGACCCAGAACGTGCTACACATCCATGCCACACCCTCCATACTAGCAAAAGAGTTCGGTATCCCGGAAGAAGAGATCGTCCGCACCGTCAAGTCTGGTCGTGCAAAGCTACGCGAGCACCGTAAGACGAAACGCGAAAAGCCCGAGGTGGACACCAAAATCGTTGCCGCGTGGAACGGACTTGCCATCACGGCCCTCGCTCGTGCGGCAAATACTCTTGCGACGATCGACAAACACCGCGCCACAAGATGTCAGGAAGCCGCTGAAAGGGCGGCAGCATTCATCCGAAAAGGCATGTATGACGAATCTGCCGGGAAGCTGGTACGGATGGCAGGTCCACCAGCCTCTCAGCTAAGTCCAGATGCCGATGACACCGCCAACAAAGCCTTTGTCGACGACTACGCGTACCTCGCCCTCGCAAATCTCGCCCTCTACGATCTCACCCTTTCCCAACCGTATCTCGATTGGGCTACTCGACTGCAATCCTACTTGGATGAACACTTCATTGCCAACACCACTGGCGGATACTTCCAATGCCCCATCCCCAGTGATTCCTCTCCGTCTGAGCAAATCATCCGCCTCAAGCCCGGGACGGACAATGCCCTCCCGTCACCCAATGGCGTCATCTGCACAAACCTGCTGTACCTTTCTTCTTACATTCAATCGCAACACCCTTCCCGATTACAATCCGAATCAGCCACCTACCTATCCAAAGCCCGCGCGATATTAGACGCCTTCGCCGTGGAAATCATCCAACATCCTTTCCTCTACGTCACGCTCCTGGGCGCAACGGTCATGGAACAAGTCGGCGTGAAAACAATCATTGCGCCCATGACGGCAAAGGAGAGCGAGCTGCGGAGAGTGAAGGGGTGGGGGCGAACCGTTGTCCGGGGCATCGTCTCAGAGGTAATGATCTGTACGAAAGAGGGAGGGTGCCGAGCACTGAGGAGAGAGGACCTGGAGGATGTTGATGACTTGGATGCTGAGGCTGAGGAGGAGAAAAGCAAGGCGCTTGGGAAAGTAGACAGCGTGTCTTCGGTGGTGGAATTGAGGAAGGCTCCTGTTGTTCCGGCTTCGGCGTGAGTTGGTTTTGTCACGCTTTTGGTGGCAACATGGGGCTCTCACATACCTGTCGGGCGTTAAAGCTACAAATTCTCGTAGCTGGAAATGGACGGTTCTATTCCGTAGATACGAGTCGTTTCGATAGGCCGGATCTGGTGGGTGTGTGTGAAGGCATAGTAAAGTCTCCTTCTGCATTCATAAACGGCCGATATTAAATACAAAGGTTTCGTATTCTAAATTCTCACGCCTATACCCGACTGAGAGCGCGCAACATTAGGAAGTATCTGTTCGAAGATGCGGAGCAACCTGCCGGTAACGGTGGAGGAGCATCTCACACCTCGTATCTCCAACCCGGCGCCCGGAAAAGCTGTTTATCCGTCGTTGAAGTTGGAGAAACGTCCGATGCTTTCAAATACAAAGTAACATGCTAGGAACGGAGTACATACTTGGTTAATCCATCCATTCATGCTCACGATTTATGTATGATGTTCTGTTTATAAGACTATACCAGCAACGTGCATACAGAACGAAGTCACACAGTAGAGACTTACGGTGCGCCATTCGTTAAAACCTCACGCTTCAATCGCCTTTCCACCCACCACTGCCACCACTACCACCGCTTTCCCCATGTCCCACACTATCCTGATCACCGGCGCGTCAGGCTATCTAGGCGGCACACTGCTCGCACAATGGACGCAAACCTCTCTGCCGGCGTACAAGCGGCTATTTGCACTGGTGCGCAGCGACGAGCAAGCGACGTTGGTGAAGAGGCACTTCGGGGCCGTGGCCGAGCCTCTCCAATTCGATACCAAGGACGGCGTGGCAGTGAGGGAGGCCGTGGTCGCCAACCAGATCAGCATCGTGTATTTCCTGGTCGATGCCATGACTGCCGATGCGCAGGTGCATTTTATCCGCGCTCTAGCAGAGGTAAAGCAGAGTACGGGGCTCGATGTCCATTTCCTGCATGTATGTATATGCTGTACTACATCGACGCCGTCCCTCTCTCCCTGCCTTTTTCAAAGCCTCGTGCCCAATGTCTACCAAGGCCGTGTGAGTGTATGACGGCCTTGCTCTGACAACCTCCACGCACCAAACATACAGACCAGCGGCGCAAAGATCTTCTCCAGCCACGCCGGCGCGCCTACGGACCGCCCGCTCCTGGACACTGAGGCCGATCTGTACGAGATCCAGAAGGCGCAGGAGGCGCCCATCCCGCTGATGCAGTCGGTAAGTTCTTATTAGCGGCAGTTAAAAATCATAGAGTCCCCTTTCCTAGGAAATATCGATGCAACAACGGCATGGCTAACGAGAGAAATAAACCGTTTTCGGAGTCTTTTAGGCCGTTAACACGAACAACACTGTCATCGAACAGGCCGAGTCTCTCGGCGTGCACAGCTACATCTTCGTGCCTTGTATCGTGTGTAAGTTAACTGTCTGTGTGCATGATGCCACATGAACACACCTGAACTCCCTCTCCCGCTTTCCCTTCTCCTTCCCATCAATAAACACAGGGGAATTATATTGTTCGATTTAAACTGACCAATGCCCGATCCCCTCACGGGGCGAGCGGGTAGACGGCCGAGGCGAAGGGTTCGGAAACCGCATCTCGATCCAGACCGTCGCGATCGTGCGCGCTGCGCGGGCACTGCGGCGCGTATACAGCGTCGACAGCGGACGCCCTGTACGTTTTGTCCATCCACCTCTCTTCTTTCAGTGTCTCCCGGGAGAATCTGAAAGCTTGAGATCCCTCCGTCTACTCGCTAAGCGATTCAATACTGATCGACACTGTGTAGTCCTGGCCCGTATGCCACGTCCTCGACAACACAAGCCTGTACCTCGCCCTGCTACGGGGAATCCTGTCCTCTTCCTCCCCCAATGGCAGTGGTAACGCCACCGGCACTCAACCCCCCGGTAGCGGCAAACACGGCTACTACCTCGCCTCGTCCGGCCACGTGGTCTGGGAGGATCTGTACGCCGCGATGGGCACACGGTTGGCACAGCGTGGTATGGTTGACGGCGATCCTACCGCCGCCGGGGCCGTCGAGCGCGCGACGGACGAGGTGTTGGGCAAGATGGGCGCGGCGTTAGGGTGTCCGAAGGAGTTGGTCGCGTTACACCTTGGTGGACGGTACGTACATGGGTGGTTTATTTCTTGTTACGAATTTACCTCTCGGTCTTGGCCGTTCTCCCTTCCCTTCTCTTCCTATGCCCCTCCTATCCTCTCCTCCCCCTATTTCCCTAGATGTCTCCATGCCAGCTCGCAGATCCCTCGCTGAAACCACAGATGCACATTCACCGCCCGCCACGGCGCCGAGGACCTCGCTTGGCAGCCGGCGTACCCGGCGAACCACATCCTGCAGACGGCGGGCGAGGAGGTCGACTTGATCCTCGACAATCTCAGCGGCTGAAAGTCCACCAACCTAGCCAGCTGACATTACATGGATTGCTCGGGACGAAAAATACATCTAAGCTCTGAATACTTCTGGTTATATACGTGGACTATACAGTATACAACATACAGCATACAACACGCAATATGCAATATACAATATACAATTACAGGGAACTTTCAAAGGCCTGGGTCGGTCTGACCACAGCAGTCCACACGCACACACCTCCCATCTGTCGTGTGCTTAAACCAAGCTTGCTTACCTACTCTGGTGGCGCAGGCTCCACTCATGCTTCCTCCACAATACATGGCGAACCGGGTCTTTTCAAAGGCAAGAACGCAACAGTCCATGGAGTTTGCGTGGTGCGCGACAATGGACTCAATAAAGTGCTGGGTCTCTCGTACAAGCATCACTCGAGCTGCGCTTTCTTTGTCTGCTCGAGCATGAGAATTTCCGCCATTTTTATCCTTAGAGACACCTTTCGGGTCCTATCGCGACAAATTTCCATCACCCTCTTCCTTGGCTCTCGGCCGCAGTGCTAACTAGTGCCTTGAGCAGGGTACGGCGCCCTAACGATTAGTTTTATCCGTGGTCTCTTCGGCGGAGGCGCCGCTTCGTCACTGCCGCTCGGCTTGTCGCTGCCCGACTGTCCACTACTGGGTATCTCCGTCACTGTTGTCGGTCTCAGCGGCCTGGCCCTTTTTCCTCTTGGCCGCGGACCTGGTTTCTCGCGACGAGGTTCCAAGCCGTGTGGGAGTCGTCCCCGCTCCGCGACGGCTTGCTGTCGCTTTTTGCTTTGCGTGCGAGCTCTTTGGTTTCTTCGTGCTCTCAGCGGCTTTGGCTCTCTGGTTGGTCCCCGCTGCCTTGCGCTTTTGACCTTTGGCCTTGCCGGCGGCGGCCGAGACACCGCGCTGTGCGTCCTCTTGTTCTCTTTGCGCCAAAGCAATCACATCTTCCCACTTCCTTGGTTTTGGAGGTGCTGGATTCAAATCTGGCTTAAACGGTTTCATGTCATTTTTCAAACCATCCGCACTAGTCCAATAGTGCAAGTTGAGGTCGAGCTCGTGCTCGCTAATGTTTGTAGGCCGATCGGGCCTTGGCAGCGACGAGGGCAGACTCGGCGGTCCATGACGTATCACGCGGCGTTGCTGACCTGAGGCAGTGCGATATAATCTGTAATCGGCTGGATCAGCGATGTAATTCACGTCACGGCTCACTCGTTCCTCAGTGTGGTTATTCTCAAAAGGACCGATGCCTGCGTTGAATCGCACGGGTTCTAGCAGAAGGCGCAGACGCCTTTGGACCGAACGATGTGTTTTCCCTGTCGGACTTCCTTCAGATTCTGACGTCGACGGGGTATCGTCTTGAATATCCGTTTCCTCTGCATTGGCATTGGCATTAGCATCTTCATGTTTGCCATTGGAGTGTGAGGTCTCTTCATGCTCGTCGTCGTCGGGAAGTCTCTGTTGGACCTGACTTACTTGATGCTCTGCAGTAGGCGCTGGAAACTGGTCTCTTGATGACTGCCAGTAATGTAATCGTTGTGGAGTGCGGCTAGGTTGTCGCGCTCCAAGATTATATCCATGATTAGCGCGTTCTGTTTCTTGGTTAATTTCTGTGCCTTGGAGGTGGAATTGTGATGAAGAGACTTGTAGTAGTACTTCTTTATGAATGTTGAAAAGAATCTGGGCTGCCTCGAGTGCTCGAGGACTGTAGTGAGCCGTAGTATTATCCACATTTAGAGTGGCTTTACTGCCTTCGATCCCTCCAGCATCATCGCTCCTTTCAGAATCGGCAGCTTCTGTTTCGCGTGACATTCTGTCTGATTCTCGGCGAGCCGCTGCCTGCTCTCGGAACTCTTGGAGTCTTTTCCTCGCTTCTTCAGCGATGGGATCATTTGGCGGAGGAACAGGTTGCCTCCGCTGTCTTGTCCCTTTTCCATTCGTCTTCGCAGTTGCAAGGTAGCTGTGAGTGGCTAATGCATTAGAATGAGTACCCGTAACAGCTTGCAGTATATTCCTCAGGTTTGAGGGCGCGTTTGGCAAAGCCGCAAGAGAGGATGCTCCAGGGGTCGATTGTCTCTGAGCCGCTGCTGTTGAGTCATACGCTGGCGTACGATTGCCAAGAATGGTTTCTGCAATATCGCGTATATTCATACCCGGCGGTCTGTTTGTTGCGCTCGGTGTGGTCGATGTCTGTTCACGAACAGGACGCACCGGCTGGATCTGGTCTGTTGCAATAGGGCTCATTTCTGCTTCTGAAAAAGCTCTTATTTGAGCAAGTATATTTCTGCCAAAACTAGCGAACTGCGCCACAATAGCGGTCATGAGAGCATCAGGGATACGAAGCCCTGTTTGTGTCGCGAGAACATCTCGAATGTGTTGATAACTCCCGGACGTGCCGGCCCTCCAATCTCTGTCCAGCAGAAACAGGGCCCGTCGATAAAGCCAGGCAGGTATGCTTTCCCCAGCTGCGGAGGGGGAGGTGCAGGGTGTATTCCTGGGAGCTTTGAGCAGCGATAAGTCCATGTCGGAAACAAGTAACGGTCGGAGAGAAAAGAGGTTGAGAGTGCTATTGTATTTGACCAATCTCAATCAATATGGTCCAAAATGTATTGCATGCGGAGAGGTTCCTTCGAGGTGCAGCCTTGCTGGTTGAAATGTATTTCGGCATATCGTATGGTCGATTTAGTGGGATATTGAATCTCTTTATCTCGCACAATGAGACATTGTCTTATATAACGAACGTCAGTCCCAAAATAACTGATGTTTACTCAAATTAGCACGGAGGTCTTTGTCTATAGTCTAGTCAGTCTTTGTCTTCATTGTTGAAAATGCAATGTTAAACACCCATGTAAGCGAGTCAATGTTTCCCTCAATAAGGAGATTTCGCATGTCTCTGATAGAACTTATGGTCAATGATGATCGTTGGTGATGTGTTGAGTTTTGCGCCAGCTTTCAGGAACAACCGAAACCGCTCATCTATCTTGTTATGGTCGTCCGAACTTCTTCCAAACCGAGAACATGTTTTCGATGAGGGAAAATGCACTAAAGCTAGGCCAAGGCATGGAGGAGGCGTGGAAAGTCCTCTCGAACTAGCTGTTATGCCGCATCTCGAGATGCAGAATGTGATCTAGCATGAGCTGAGCGAGCCTCAACCCTGTCAGGGATTCGGGAAATGGTGCGTTAGGCCGGGTAAGTTCAGTCCCCCTATTCGGAACCAATTGAGTCCCCAAGTGGTAGCCAACTCCTCGAGGCACGTCTCGAGGTTATGTTGAATGTCAACAAGGCGGTCGGCTGAGTCTATAACTACTGGCCTCATATCTGGCCGGTATACTTTGACGCAGTAGAATTCAAGCAAGCTTCGTACCCAGTCAGCTGTTTCCGGGTATCAGGGAGCAAACTCTAGTCACAGCATGAGATAGATCACATACGGTGGAATCGAAGTTCCTTAAACTCGAGCACAGTCCTCGGAAAATGGCGATGGACTTCCCAAAGCTCGTCATCTCGGACGTGCATCGTCGGGTCCTTGTCGTCCTTTGTTAGTTTGGCTCCTTTTCTTTCTAAGAGTCGTTTTCTCTGTGCTTCGACGATGGCTCTCGTCTCTGGGGTGGGAGCAAAAATAGGTGCAATAGTGTGGTGTGGTCTCCAAACTAGGCCATTCTTGGTCTTCGCTTCTTGGTTCTTGAGCCTGTTTTCCAGAATGGAGAGATGGGACCCAAGACCCAGAGTGGAGCGGTTTCCTTCACGTTGAATAAGTTCGTTTTGGATGACTTGAAATATGTTCAGGCCCAGCCCAGCAGTCTCCATCTTGTAAGCGAAAGCGGTAGCGTAGCTTGCGTATAAATGGGTCGAAGGACAAGAGTATCACAATTAAATACCTTGTTGAAGATATGGGGAGATTTTACAATGGTGAAATGGCGAGAAGAAGGAGTGTTGATTGGAAGCTCGGGGAGCCTCAATTGTCGTCACTTAAATCGAGGCGTTGCAGCATTGGCCCACGTCATGTCACGTCGCTGCACGCTTCGTCTCTGTTATACACTTGCTGTCACGACTACGGGAATACGAAACCGAAGACTCGGTCTAGAAAGAGGACACTTCATTATTCTTCATTCTGAACATAGGATCAAGAACAAAGAAGTTTGCAAAACGACAAAGGTGCTGAATGACAAAGGTGCTGAATAGAAAAAAAAATGAGATCAACACCCAATGGCATGATTCATGAATAGAGATATGCTTACTGCAGGCTCTTTACTCGGCTCAGAGGCAGGTTCGAGCTGCTTGGTAAAAGAGAGTAAGGGAGAGTAGATGGCATTCCCATCCAACCAAGTGTACGGCAGTTGTCCCATGCTACGCTTTCGCCTTCAGCTCCTCTGGAGTATCCTCCTGATTATCCCATCTCCCATTCTTGAACGCGTCCAACTGCTTGATCTCCTCCCAGATGCTCCACACATGTGGGAACTGGCCCTGAACATCCACGCCAAACCTCAGTGCCCCATCGACCGCCGGAGCAAGGGAGCAGTCTGCCATAGTCACCGCATCACCGACACTATACCTGCCCCCATAGGTCTTGACTAGTTCTTCATATGCCCGGAACCCTAGGGTCATAAAATGCTGCTGCCACTGTATGGCCTCGACATTGAAGGGCTTGATGAAATTCAACACACGCAAATTCGTGACAGGTTGAATATCGCAAGCTACGATGTTCACCAGCTCCCTGACCCGGGCTCTCCCCAACGGATCATCTGAGCTGGAGAGCAGCTTCATCCCGTTTCCTTTTTCGACTTCTTCGAAGAACTCCAAAATGGCAATCGACTGCCTGATTCTGGTGACCTCGTTGCCTGTTTCCAGGTCAATTACGATCAAGGTAGGCACGGACTCGCTGGGGTTCAACGCCACATAGTCTTGGCCATGCTGTTCACCCTTGACCAGGTGGATGTATTTGTACTCGAGCGGGATGTTCTTTAGATTGGCAGCGATCCGAATGCGAGCAGAGCAGGAGCTGCGGAAGTAACTGTACAAGATGTACTTGTACCTGGGCTTTTCGGACATCTCGACAAGACTGGCTGGGCTTCGTCCTGACGGGCTCGATACGACAGGTTCGAGCTGGATGCTCCTACTCCGTTTTCTTCCTTCCTGCTGCACTTGGTCCTTTCTTGGAAGCAAGCGGATCAGACTAACAGGCCCCTGGTGGAATCTGGGGGTGGAGTCTCCTTAAGCGAGACGCAAGATGGAGGATGCAGGATGCAGGATTCAGGACGAAATGCACCGTTTGCTCTGGCCCCTGCTTGTGCTCGCGCAGCGGTGGTATTTCGGCCTCCACAAGCCCCAAGCCTCGTCCGCGCTGCTAAACGTTTTGCCGTCCAGTTGAAGCCGAAGCGGACCACAAACCAAGGAGGTAGCTGAGGGTGTTGGCCAACCAACAAGAACTGTTGACCACTTCCAGCAAGCCTGAGACAATGCCAGTATCAAAATTGCACGGATCCCTGCGCTGCAGCTGACTCTCCTGAGCTCTTTATAAGACAAGCGCGGAAACCCCGCAAATCAGGAGCGGAGCTCATTCCGAAGACGCACGGGGCCGCCCCGCCGTGGTAGTCAATAGTCAAGGGCCAAAAGGATGATCAGGAATGACCGAGAAATGGCCGGAGGATGCGAGCAAAAAGCAGAGCCCCAAAGGAGTGGTTGATCTTGCAACTGCAACAGGAAATCGGACAGTTGACTCGAGCAATGTAGTGAGCGAGGTCTGGTCGAGGAATAAAGCATTTGTTCGGAAAAACTTCGGGCCGTCGATGGATTGATGATGATGTTGATGTTTGCGGGGGAGGGGTCGAACGAGTCGGAGAGGGTCGAGGGGGGAGGGGGGTGGTGCATAGAGACTTTTTCGGAGACGGACGGCCATCAAGGCAAGAAACGACACGGGATGAGCCATTGACTGCGCTCGCATCTTAGACCATCGGCTCGCTCGTTCCCCGTGGCTGCAACAAGTCGACGACCGGCTGTGTGTCTCGACGTCTGGCATTTCCTTCCATCACCACCACGGCCCCCTGCACGATCATCCAGGCATCCCACCAACATGGCAAGCCGTGCCATCCGCATTGGCTTCGTGCCCGAACACTACCTCCTCCCCCTTCATTTCTGCAACAAACACAACCTGTTTCCCTCGTCCCTGCAGATCAACCTTGTCCCGTTCCCCTCTGGCACTGGCCACATGATCACCTCCCTTCGCTCTAAGGAAATCGACCTCGCAATCGGGCTGACTGAAGGCTGGGTTGCCGGACTCCTTAATCCCTCGGTTCAAGGACAGTCGCTACAAGAGAAAGGGTACTCGATTGTCGGGTCATGGGTGTCTACTCCTCTTCGATGGGCCATCGTCACCGGAAGAAATCGAGACGATATTTCGTCCGTGGATGATCTGAAGCAACATCGACGAGTGGGCGTCAGTCGGATGGGCAGCGGTAGTCACATCATGGCCTTTGTTCTTGCACAACAGGAAGGGTGGCTTCATCAGGCCAAGGACCAAGAGTCAGAGGGGCTCACGCTTGTGCCACTGGGACCCTTTAAGGATCTTCGCGACGGAGTAACCGGGAACACTGCAGATTTCTTCATGTGGGAACATTTCACTACCAAGCCCTATTTCCACGGCGACGACACGCCCTTGAAGAAGATTGGCGAGATTTACACGCCCTGGCCGAGCTGGCATATCGCTGCTTCGACTGACGCATTTCCCGACCCGCGCTCGGATGAGACCCTGAAGCAGATTTTCGATGCGTTGGATAAGGGCATCAAGATGTTTAACGAGGATCCAGACGCTGGCATCAAGATGCTCGGGACAGGTGAGGCGGGTTGCCATTATTCTGAGGAGGACGGTCGGGAGTGGTTGAAGGACGTGAAGTTTGTGCATGGGACGAGAGGGGTGGATGCAGGGGTGATGGAGGGAGTGGTGGATGTTCTCAAGACGGCCAATATCATTGACGCCAATGTAGTGATCCGAGTGGGGGATGGAGTCATTGGGATTGCGAAGTAAGGGAGGCAGATCTGGCGTCTCTCCTGATAGGGCATGTACAAGTACCAAAAGCATCCACATGGAAAACTCTGCCATTCGAACAATCAACGGATGTCGCGAGTAGTCATCAACGGCTTGTTTCTTACCCAGTGTAGATAGTCGGTTTAGTTGCGGCCTGCACGGACAAGCTGTTGCTCTTGGGGCTGCGGTCATGGCTCCGGGAGAGAGGAAGTCCGGGGTAAGCCCAAGGCTGCCTGGCGCCCCGCTTCCTCTTGTGCTCTGCACAGACTTGCAGCACGACAGGAGAAAGCCTGCTAGAGTGTCCGACTTCTGCCGATTGAAGCCATCGACAAGCTGACGAACGACGGGGCCTTTTATGATAGCAACTAGTGGTTCTGCGGATTTAGGCGATCATTGCCATCTGGATGTGGTATGCCCGCTTGACCATTCCCTTTTTAGAGGGGAGAGTTGGGATACCGCCAAGTACCAAGTGGTCGGTCAAGAGAACTGCGTCTACTCTTCCTTCCTGGGCACCAATATCAACCAATCCATTCTTGTGCCTAGGTAAATAGTGCCCAGTGATTGAAAATGAGTGATTGACTTGGCCAAGAATCGCTGATGGAGGAGAGTGAAACGCTCATTTCCCAGTAGCAGAGGTGGCGGGAGGTTCTGTAACACGAGGTACAGTGGCACCACGGGACGGCCGAAATGACGAAACGAGGTCTACTGGCGGAAGCCTGACGGAGTGGAATATCCGGGAGGGATCGAGATGCTCGGCGTGTTCCGCACGTAGATGAGGTAGAATGGGAGCTATTACACATGTGTTGTGGGAGTGGATGGTATGTTAAGGGCAGGCAAGTGGACGGTAGGAGGAAGAAAGAAAGTCCAGGAGCGGCTGGGGCTTTTGGGGCGCGTTAGTCAGCCGACGTCATGGGCCTGATTCCACTGTCTGACACAATGCTCCGAGTCGTGCACGGCCAAGCACGGCCTAGAACGGCTGCTCCTTTCTGTCAGACAAAGACCATTTTCCGTCCAACGAGTTTTGGGCGCGGAAGACTAGGCTCGCCCAGGTTCCATTGCGGGATTTTCAGGCGTCATCTCTGGGCCTTGACACCACCAATGCTTAACTAGCCCGACGGTTGAGGGCACCAAGAGCTTGAAGGGGGGGTGCCCAAAAATGCCCACCGAGTTCCGGGCTGTTTTTTTTTTTAGGGGGCGTCGTGGCCTGTTTGTGAGTCAAATCAATGCCATCTGGAGGAAAGAAGAAGTCAACGTTTTGCTCCCATCTCTGAAACCTCTCAGTTTCTCACCTTTTTCCCCGCCAAAACAGAGACAAAACTAACAGTCAACAACCTGCTTGTTCCTCCCAGTCTCTCTCCCTAACTTCTGGCCTCCATAAGCCTCTGTCCCAATCTGATTCGTCTTCCGTTCACTTCTTCTTCATCCTCCTTGTCAACAAGCCTCTGCCCTATCGCTGGCCTCTCTTCGCTTAACCGCCCGTCACCCTCATTCTCATTTTCATTCTCGTCTCACCCTCTCAATTTTCGGCTGTAGTTCCCTCTTCCCCTGCCCTTTTCTTCCTGCTAAAAAAAAAAAAATTCTCTACCATCCCGTCGCTTCCTCATCGCTGCTGCAGCTGCAGCTGCTGTCCTTGTTGGCGCCGCTGCCTCTACCTCTGCTCTCCACAGGACAAACACATCACAAACACCGCACACCTGGTGTCACTCTCACATGCGCGCACTTCCGCAACTCTCATCCAACGTCTTTAATCCAGGCCGGGCCATCCTCTAATTTTCAACCATCGACCTGGGCCCGGCGCCCCTGTGGTTCATCAATTCATTGCGCCATGTCCGCGTACACCCCCATCTCCCAGTAGACCATCGTTATCTTTCAGCGTTGATCTCGGTCTTGCCCATTCTCAACCAAGATGACGCCGAGGTCGACTGTTAGTAACAATCCATCCCCCAGTGTCGGCCAGCCTACGCCACCAGCGGTTCCTTCGTCAACCTCGGGCACAGCCGCTACCAATGAATCTGACAGTGACAACCTACCAGAAGAACGCCCAACGCACACATCAGAGATTGGCACCCTCAAGAAGCTCCCTAATCATGGCACCGCCTGGCTAGGCAGCTCTTCCGGTGTCTACTTCGTCAACACGGTGCGACGTGCCTTTTCCGCCGCATTCGTCTCCTCGAACACGGGCGGTGCCAATGCCGTTCCCGCCAGCGAGGATATTCTCACGGGCGAGGATGCCGAAGGTCGCTCCTACAATGGCCCCCTGTACGAGGGACCAAGCACCTCCGATCAGTTCCCCACGATTCTGGCCTCTGCTCTGGGCAAACCTCCAGCGAAAAAGATCGCCATCGAATTGGTAACCTCTTTCTTTACCGCGTGGCACCCACTGTTCCCCTTCCTCCATGGCCCTAGTTTCATCAAGGATATGGAAACGATATATTCCACACAGCGTCGCCCTTCGAAATCGACAAAGGACAACCCTGCTCCCACCGACTTGCGGAAACTGCTCACTTTTCAGCTGATCATCAACATCGCCTCTCTGGACCGGAGCGATATTCATCTTCCCATGGAATCGCGCGTTAAATCCACCGCCGATGTATCTCGAGTGGCTGGTTGCCTGGCCATCGACCATGATCTCGTTACCATTCAAGCCATTCTTGCCGCCGAACTCTATCTCACCGCCACTCTGGCTATTCGCCAAGCCAGCACTGTTGCTGGAATCATCATTAAACTAGTCTATCATGCTGGATTGCATCGATGTCCCCTCCGCTATGCTCAACTTTCGCTTGAAGATTGCGAAATCCGCAAACGGATATTCTGGTCAGCATACGCCCTGGATCGGCATTGCAATCTAAATCTCGGCGATCCCAACGTGATTCAAGACGATGACATCGACGTCTGCTTATCGGGGCCCGAGCTTCATAAGGCTCTTGCGCGAGATCTGATGCCTAATCCGGATGGAGATATGAGCATGCACATGCCCCCTCCACGTGCGCTCCCAGAAGATCCACGCGTGGCACAATCCGACAACGACGGGCCTGAAGCTCAAGAGAAAAGGTTAAGAGAGGCCGCCCTGACCGCCTATGTGCAGTGGGGCAAATTGACTGGTCAGATCATTGAAGTCTTTCACAAAAGCATCAACCATCGCTTTCCCAAACATGAACAAATTCTGCGTCTTACCAGCGACATTGAGACTTGGTGGAATGATCTCCCAGGCTTTCTGAGTGGTGAAGTTGAGGCAGGCCATGAGAGGAGCAACCATGAATCCGCGGATATCACCAACACAAACCCAACACCTTCAACGACCAATGGTCATAAAGCATCTGCAGGCGGTGACGCCGACACATCACCTGTTGGTCCTCCGCAGCAGCACCTTGCCAGCTTTTTCAAGATCCTGTATCACCGACTGCTTCTCCTGGTCAATCGGCCTCGCCTTTCCCTCGACCAGTCCACTCCCGAATTCCAGCACGGCCTGCAGCTCTGCATTCGAGCTGCGCGTGGGATTCTAGCGGGTCTCAGAGCCCATAGACAACAGGGTCAATCGATGTTTCTTCCTGGTCTCCTGTCTGCGGCGTGGATGTCTGGCCTAATCATCGCCTTCGCCTGCCAGTTGGGCAAATATGCCAAAGCTCGAGCACTCAGTGATATGCAAGCGTGCCTGCATCTGCTGGAAAGCATGAACATCAGGTGGTACACCGTGCAAAATTGTCACAAAGTCCTGAGCCTACTCCTGATCAATATTCAGTCACGGAAGGCCTCGATCAACGGTTTCCTTACCGTTCCTAAGCCAGATCAATCACCGCAGAGCATGCCTACCGAGTTCGATCAGCCATCTCGAAAACGGCCGCGCACCACGAGTGGCAACGAAGACGCCAGTCCTCGTAAATCTTCGGCGGCAGACTCCACCACCAGCTCACCAATCCAAGGACATATCTCAACGGCAGCTGGGAATAATTCTCAGCCGCGTCCGAAACATCAAGCATCGACCCCCAACAGCACACAAACGTGGACACCTTCCACCACGTTCGACCCTAACAATCCCTCGGCCCTCACCAATCCTACAGGCAGCCTCTCGATGTTTGACTTTTCCAATTGGGACCGCGGTCAGCCGACCACTCAACCCCAATTCAACCCCGGCATCGGCAGCGCCGTGTATGCCACACCGCAGGATCTAGCATTTGCGCAATCAACCATGAACATGAATCTCCCCGGTCAATCAGGGTCGAGCAGAACCGGGGGAGATGGAAGCAACACGAACATACAAGAGTACTCGGACCCCATGTTCTGGGGCAATATGGATTACAACGTGGCTGATATCTTTGGCTCTGCCACGTGGGAGAACATGACGGGGCCGTTTGCCCCAGGAGGGGGCGTTAATAGCGGGTGGGAAATGTGAGCGCCGGCCATATCGGATGATGAAGGAACATCTGGATAGATCTGCTTCGGTCAGAGTATGCAACGCCGAACCCCAGGGATGCTATGCAAAAGTTTGGAGATCTGGAAAGGGAATTTGTGACGGCCAACTTGATTGCGCCTCCGGAGGGATCTGATGAAACTGGACGGAAATGGAGCGCTTTATAAGCCAGTTGGTGTTTCTGGTTGTTCTTGGATGGACATGTTCAATTCATGAGCTGCATCTGCGGAGCCCGGCGCCGGGTGGCAGAGCAACGAGGGTGCTCGAATCCGAGTGTGCTGTCGGCGTCCTGCTGCGGAAATTGTATGATAGCAATCTTTGTGGGAAGATGCGATCCCGGCATCTTGGTCCAACGAGACCTCTTCACATGGTGGGAATTGAAGTTGAATTTGAATTTGAGATTCGGGGAGCGGGAACCGCATACACGTTCTCTCGGAGTCCTCGTCGACCAGAAAGCAGCCTCCTCCGCCGGATATGATCTCTCACTGATCTCTGTAGCGCAGGTACCTCGCCCTTGCCGCGGACGGTGACGGTAACGGTGATGGGCGACAGTGACGATGACCGTCATTTTGTTAGACAGTCGAAGTCGTCACCACGCAGCACGTCCAACATCTTCATATTCGTATGGATGCATGCATGCATGCATGCATCAACGACAGTCTTTGTTGGCGCTGAAGAAAAGGGGGCCTGGTCTCTCACTTTGTAACACCTCATGCGCAGGTAATAGTAGGGGCGTAGTCCGTATCGCCGGTAAGTGTGCAGGTGAGAGTGAGAGCGCCTGAGGATGGGCGACTCGACTCGCCTCGACTCCGAGGAGGGGAGGGGAGATAGTTAGACGTGACGCACTCCTGCACGCCCGCTCTTCATCAATCAATGCGTCAATGTGTCAAGCGGTTTGATGCATCCCAGTCCAAGCCATCCGTTCCGATTTCCCAACAAACGTACTGAAGTAATACAAAGCGGCCCTGACCCAGCGCGGAGAAGGGTGGGGGGGACTGGAGCACGGGAAGTCATCGCGATCGTCGTCTCTCGTAGCGCCATGCACGAGCAGGGATGAGGTGTATCCCTTTTGGGCGGTCGATTCGATTCGAGGCTGTCGAGATCGCGCCGCTCCCCACTAACTGGGATCAAGATGCTTACCTAGAAATTGTGCCACACTCACCGCCAACGGCGCTGCGGCGTCGCGCCATTATGTAAGGCTCCAGTGTATACTTAGGAAGCGGTATGTCCTCCGCACGACTAGCCAGGTAGGAATGTTGCAATAGATGCTTTGCGATACGACACCGTACATTGCGGTACTGTGCAATCGCGATTGTGTTGCGGCGAGCGTGTAACAAATGTGACTTTGGTTTTTTTTTTCTTTTCTCTTTTTGGTTCTTTCTTTTCGTGGCTTTGGGCTTCGAGATTTAGTTTGAGCCAGGGTAATGTTTGCCTTTAGCATTGACTTTTCGTGTAATGGTTTAGCTTGTCGGGCTTATCAAACTAACTCACTAGTCTTGCGTTAGAAGTTATGTACTCATCTACCAGGGGGGTAAAATATAGTAGGATCTCTCGTTATCTCGTTAAGAGCGGCGTGATATAAGTAGCGGCAATCCATCCGGCCCGCGGCGCTTTCTGTGTAGGTGCCCGGAGCGACGGCGGCAGGAAGGGGAGGGAAGTCCGATGGTTTGTTTTCTTTTCTTTTCTTCCCCCTTTTATTCCATTCTCTTCATCTTGGTGGCGTGGCAAAAACGCGACCCGACCACTTATAGGTTACGAGAAGAGCAAAGGAGAGGATACTGCTAGATGGGGTATTAAGTGATTCGGTGGAGGAATTCGCGGGCCAAAAGAGAGAGAGAAGGCAGGGAAGGAAGGCAAAAGAACGAGTATAAGGCACCAATCTCCATCTCTATATAGAGTATATATATATATATAATACATACGCACGCGCACGATGAGCAATCCGAATCTCAACCTTTCTCGACCATCTACATAGACAGACGGCGGTGCGATGACAGTCCATTCAGACGGCAGCCCAGCCGGAAGCGAATGGGTAATGGTCGTCCAACCCTCAGAACAACATCGCACTATACCGCCATGGATGGAGACGTGAAAAGAAAACGTGTTCAGGTGTACAACTTTCACGGGAACCGGGTCGATACTGACACCATCGCGGCTGGCGAATTCCCCACATGTGACAACGACGGCGATGCCATGATCGATCGGTCAGTCAATCAACGAGAGACGGATCCGGCAGCGACGAACCCATTCACCCATTCGTCTACCCGCCCACTCGCTCACTCACTCAATGTGATAATCGATAGATAGGTATTGAATATGGAGAAGGGAGTATATAGCTATGCATAGAAGAGCAGCCAATTTACCTCGATGGCATAAGGGAGAGAGAGAGAAAAAGGAAAGCCGAATAGATATATCCATGCCTATGCACCTACAGCGCACACAGCCAAATCCCCCAACCCTGTAACCCCAGGATAAGTACGTGACCTGATTCCGCCGTGGAAACCCTGTGCTTGTTTTCTCCCGCTTATTCTGTTTCGGTGCTGTTCCATTCTGTAGCCTGTAGTCTGATAGTGTAAGCAATTTCCACAAAGGGCGCACAATACCCTTGTCAGTTCACTTCTAGCCTGGATCAGCGGCAGCCCATAGTTACCCGCAAACACCATCACCACCACGACTGCCATGATGACGAGATCAAAGACCCCAGGGAGTTCACGCCACACACGCCACGCAGCATGCAGCCTTGCCATTATTCTGGAACCCCCTTGAACTCGCAATCAATTTGGAGTCACGGTCCTGGATCCTTCGTTCCTTCCTTGCCCTTCTCGACGGGTTGAGGGAGTGTGTCAAGTGCGATAGTTAGCCTAAGGCAAGATGAAACGTTAGAACTGCGAATGTCAGAGAGAGAGAGAGCGGAGTCCTGGCAAGGTACCTTTTGTATGCTTCGTCGTGACGCGTATCTTAGTTATTGTCTTTTTGCTCTCTGGTGAATAATAGCCTCCTCTCGACAAGACAGAAACAGGGACCGGAGGCTGGCTTCCCCATTTTTTTCTTCTTCTATAGAGAACCAGCCCCTGCCCCTGTCCCGTTGCCGAGTGCTTGTTGGAGGAGCGATTCGAAATAGGCCTCGTCGATGACGGCCCCAAATCTGCTAAGATGGAAAGACAGAAAACGAATTAACCATCACAGAGCTTTTCAACAACACGCCGCACAAAGCCATTACTCCATTTTCTTCGCTGCCCCCCCCCCCCCCATCCCCCGCACAAATAGGCCGCATATGGGGTTTTTACACAGGCCCCTTATTTGGTTTTAAGAGTGGTCCAACGAACGCGAACGGTTAGGTAGAAAGAAGAACCATGAATAGACAAATAGCTCACCCGTAACAATGCACCTCGGGCAACAACGTCGCCTTCAACGCTTCAAGCCCGTCCCTCGTCAAGTTCCCGAAATTCGGATGCTGACGAACCCTCTGCCACGCTTCTACGGGAGTAATCTCCCCTTCCAGTGACAGTTTATCAGAGAAATCAAGCAGTTTTTCCAACTCCACAGCAGGGACGCTCCATCTTGTTCCGCTCGGCAACCCGGATTCCGTTGCTGCGGTCGCCACCGCCGGTTGTCGTGACGATGCGGCTGTCAGTGCTGGTTGTGGACGAGCGGGCGAATGCCACATTATCGGCGACATGAGCATCATTTCGTGGCCTGTGCCGTCGTCCGCCGTGGCATGTGCAGCGTGGTGTTCCAAACAGACGTGTTCCAGCGCAAGCACGAAATCGACTCCGACCTGCGTAGCGCCGAGGCCTTGGGGGTGCTGCATTGGGGTTGAGATTGGGGGAAACGGTGGAGCTTGGGAGTAGATACTGGGCGCGTGTAGACTCGTGGGAGCCTCGCTGATGGTTAATCCAGAGAATAGATCACTAGAAGAAGTTGTCGAGCCGGAATGCAGCGTACCGTAGGGGAGGTCGGGCGAGGTTAATATATTTTGTGAAGGCGGAAAGCCCAAAAAGCCCGAGTCTGTTTCAGGTGGCATCTGGGCGCGAATTCGCTGCGTGCGCGAGTCCGGAAAGCCGAGTAATTCGATGGTGGCCTGCGGGCTCTGGATATGGGGATCTGATGCCAAATCCAAGGGCAAGGGGATCTTGTGATACTTGATCAATTCTTTGAGGCGACGGATCGTGTTGCGGCAGGCCTGGATTTGTGCTTCGTGTGCCGAATCTCGAGCTCGAAGTTTGGCTACTTCCGCTTCCAGAGTCTTGACATAAGTGGCCTTGCGATCTCGATGTGTCCTATTGTCGGGTGACGTGATCAGTTCTGGTTAGCTAATTTAGACATGTCATTATTGTATTATTACACGAGGGTTTGCCTCGATCAGGCGCAAGCTGGCACGGGTACATTGGTATCCATCCCTGGTATTGCCAGCAGACAATAATAGAATGGTCTTACCTCTGAGCACGCCTAACTTGCTCACGTCGCCTGGCTTTGGCATCGGTCTCGGTATCACCACCTTCTATGGGTTTTGTCTTTTCACTTGTTTTGGGATCTAGGGATAGTGTGACACAGGTCAGTTACCATTAGTGACAAGGGATTCAGCAGGAGAGGTTGCATCTGTGCCGGAAAGGTAGATCTGGAACGCTGGAGATTGGCTATCTGAAACCACAGAAGTGGGCATTGATTGCACGAATTTCATGCTGAGCCCTTCGTTGGGAAGACTCCATTCTCCCAACAGGTTGGCTTGTCTTGGGAGAAGCTCTACTCACGCGGGGAGCGCCTTAGCTTTGACAGCCAGTTTGGCGACGGGGACGACGACTTGTCTGACATGATGCAAAATCAATGAGGGGCAATGGCAACGATAACCAGGACGAGTCTCAGGTGGTGCCACGACAGACCTAGTCCCCGAGGCCAGGGCACAGGCAGACGACAAATCGGATGGGTCGAGTATTTCGCACGTTCATGCGCGATTCCACGACTTTGGAGGCCAACTCGAAGTATGAGGTCTGTGAACAGTTGTTTCGCTCGGAGCCGTGTCTAGAAAGGACTCTTGGTGGCACAAAGTGTCTGGACTGGAGAATTAGGCTTAACATGATTATGGCATCACCCGTGTTCGAGTCCAGGAAGGGCTAGGCTTACAGAAGTCCGTTGGTCCAATATAATCGAAGGCCAAGCACTGGACTCTTGTGGTCAAAGTCGTCGTGCACGTTTTGCAAAGGGAAAGGGAGAATTTTGAATGAGAATCGACGTTGACTATCAGCTCTTTATAGAGCAAATGCAGCTTTTGCTGGCATGTCAGGCCCTCCGCTTCTCCCTTCGTCTCTGGCACATAGCCAACCCCCCAATTTCAGGCGGTGATTGGTTGGTTTATAGGAGAGAGTGCTGGAATGGGGAAGGCTGATGTTGAGTCAGGTCTGCATGGGGCTGTAAGCACCAATTCTTTTGCAGCCCTATGAAACCTGTAGAATCAGGTCGAGAGTTGATGCTGCTTTACGAAGTGACTTTGGCTGGACATTTGGCCATGGGGTCGGTGATACAACTTGGGCCGCATCTCCGCGCTGACTTAAGTTGTTGTTAAGCAGCTAATGGGGCTCCTCCTATCCTATTCGCCGGTGATACGGCTCGCGTCTGTCGCTAGCAACTGTGTGAGAAGTGGTCGGAGAAGCAGCACGAAACAGACAACCAGCCCAAGGAGGACCAAGTCGCACGAGAACACGCATAGTCTGAGCAAGGGCATTTTGCGCCGCATTTCTTCCTCGGTCATTGGCCTGGATAGATAGTTGATTCGGTAAATGCCGAGCTTGATCTCGTAGATTGGAAAGCGCACTTTTTCTGGCCGGTAGATATTGCCGCCATTTCCTCTGGTCCGGGACTGTGCAACAGTGGTGTGGGTGGGCCTGTCCAGGATTTGATTTTCCACTGGTTCTTCCGCGGGGCGGGCGTTTGTCGAGAGCATGGGATTATCAATCGCAGCTGCACCATCACTGATTCGACAGGACTGACCTTCACAAGGCTGCGCAACCCCTGATGCAGTTGTTTAGCTTACTTCATTTCACCAGCTGTTTTAAAAATGCTGAGTGAGATGGACTCACGGCGAAGTCGAGGCATGGTAGACTGGGTCAGAGAGCGATGGTGCTAAAGCACATGTGTGACTCGAGCCAACCCAGTCAGGAAGTCGATAATTCGCGCTGATCCTGAGGGTGATAGTCGGAGGCCCACAGTAGTGGTCGGTCGGCAAGGCCGGCGAGATTGGAGAAGGGCGAGCTCCAACGGTATCGGAAGAGTTTTTGGATACCCAAGTATATACACGATGTATCGCAATCTGGGTAACATGATTTGAGTTGTTTGTGGTGCGAAATCAACGTGGCGAAGGTGGTGACGCGTTGTGTCCTGCACTGCCCAAGGTGAATGGAAATGGCTGCATATGTTTCTCTAAGTATGAGGCTGCCCTGGAATGAAGTGCCAACTCGTGTCAGACGCGTTCTCCCACATTCGAGGAGGGTCATCTTCTGTTGTCCATCGTGGCAGCGGACATTCTGCTTTCCCATTGATAAATTCTTCTACCTTTGACCGCATGCCTGTATGGGCGTAGGGGCCCTCGTACGAGTTCGCAGCAAAGCAACTTGTGAAATCCTCTTCGTTGTGAGAGTGCCATTCTCCGCAGTCCTCCTAGTTCGTTGTCAGCATGAGTTCTGGCGGCAAGGTCTCGGTGTTGGAACAAAGCTCCATCAAAACTGCGCTAGGATCTCGAGGCAACTTACATCCACATACCAGGTCCCGAGCAAAAGAACCTCTGGGAAACGTTTCCTGCGAAGATGGTAAAGCAAATCTATCAATGAGCCGGTCTCCAGCCGACAATTCTTCATCACCAACGAGTTGATGTTCTTGCCCTCATTCAGGAAAGCCTCCAAATCTACCCAAGTACATCGGAAATGAGAGAGGGTAAGAGACTTGAGGTGGGGTAACCACAAACGCGGAAAGCGATCGATGTTCGTCCTGTCAAAGAGATCGAACGAGTACTCAGCCTCGAGACCTGCTGGAAATTCCAGGCTCAAGTGCTCGAGCTCGGAGGGCTGATTCAACAACATCCTGAGCCTTCTTGCGGCCAGGTTTCTCCCGCCGAAGTAGATCTCACCAGTCCCACTGCGAGAAAGCCAGTCACTGTGAGGAAACGAGCTGATTTTCATTTGGAGTTTCTTTAGGCACTGAAAAGTCTCTTCCAACACTTGGGAGCCGTGAATGGCGTCAACGGTGAGAAGCTGATGGGGGATGTCGATAGCTGTGAGATCGGCCACTTCACAGCCCGAAAGCTTCGCCGCATGGAGGAAATTGATAAAATGATCGAGGCAATGTTGTCGACGATTTGCAACTCTACGACGTGGATCAGGGTCATAGGGTCTTTCGTTGGCGTACTCCTCAGGATCGAAGGCCTCAAGCTCTTCGAGCCGGATCTGAGGCTCGGCCATGATCAGCTTGAAGCGCAGACTGAGGCTTGACTCCTTGAGAGCGCTCATTGTACGCATCAGGACGTTCCTCATGCGTGATTCAGCCATAGACGCCGCCTGCTGATCAAGATGCCAACGGTACAAATCATAGCGACGAGGTAGGTCCGTTGTGAACCTGGCTTGGAGATGTTCGTGGAACTGTGTGTACTCTTCCCTAGAGGCTCCAGCAAGGCTTCGCTTCCAGGCATTCTGCTTGTCGTGATAGACCTCAGTCTGCCAATATCTATAGTCGGCATATTCCAGCTGGATCCCTGACTCGAAGGAGACACAGCGCAGCCGAGATGCTATCGAGGGCCTTGCCGCCAGTTGCTCCAGCTGATAGAGTCTGTGATGGTTTGGATGGAGGCGAAACTCGAAGTTGTGGAAGAGATGTTCCTCGGCTATGGCGCCGAATGTCTTGCAAGTAAGGCGGAAGGAGCAAAGGGATGGTCTGTCTAGAAACAGACAAATATGGCCCACTAGTTCAGAAGCAAGCTGGTCCATCGTCAAGATATTTATTCCAAAAATTCAAGTGTGTCGGTGTTCAAAACCAACGGTTGGGTCGCGGTCATTGAAAGCGGCGATGATGCTGGCGCGGCTCAAATATATAAACAATACCAATCGCTTCAGCCTGATGACATTGACGCGCTAACAGTGAGTTTGCCGAGCTGTGCAGCCTATCCGCCACGTACTCACTTGCGTAAAATACCACAGATAGATCTGAGCTGCCTGCGAGAGGTTGCTGGCGCCCTGACTTCCTAACGACAGTAGTATGGGAGTCCGAGGGTGAGACTAGGGCTGAACTGATAACAGCCGACGGGGCGTCGTGAAGGGCCTGTATACTCCGCCCTATATTTTACGGCGGTTCATATCGACCAATGAGGACAGTGCAGGCAGAGGCAGCCTGGGCAACCTGGGCAACATGGAGTGCCTGATTGGGATCCCCATCTTTGCCTGTTGTCTGCTACCAAACAAGCCGATATGCTGTGAACCCGTCATTATGTTGCGGCGCGCAGTGGACATATCTGTTCACAGACCTAATCGAAATCCTCCCATAAGACGCTGGCTGTCAACCCATAAATCAGAACCTCCTTTACCATCACCACCCAAGTCCAAGCCAGACGACCACGCCGCTGTCAGAAGTCGCTTTGACCGCTTCATTGAACGCACCCCGCGTTTCCTCCGACCTACAGTCACCGGCCTGCGACAAGCTCCTGTGTCACATATTGCAGCATTTATTGTTCTCCATGAACTGACCGCCGTTATACCGTTATTCGGCCTGGCAGGGGCTTTCCATTACTGGCACTGGCTTCCTCCCTACTTTGCTGAAGGAGCTTGGGTCTCTGCAAGTGTCGAGAAGTTTGCACGGTACTTCCGGAAGAAAGGCTGGATCAGTGAAAAAGACGAGATTGAGGTTGAACAGGAGATAAAAAAGGGCAATGCGGGACGCCTTGAAAATCGAAAGGAAACAGCTTCAAAGTGGTTCAATCGAGGAGAGACTGCAACAAGATGGGTGGTCGAGTTCGCGACAGCGTATGCTTTGGTGAAAGCTTTGCTGCCTTTGCGTCTTCTCGTTAGCGCTTGGGGGTCTCCATGGTTTGCGCGAATCGCCATCATTCCTGTTGGAAATGCCACAAAATCACTATTTCGAAGAACCAAGTCATGATGTCTTGCCAGAACCCCTCTTATGACATTCGACTAGAAAGCGGATCAAGCAATTGAACACTGTATGCAATCATGCACTGTGTCATTTCTCGATTGCGGTAGGTCTATCTCTTCTTGAACTCGCTTGGTATTCATCATCATGGCTGACGTTGCTGTAGGCATCGTATTCAATGGCTCCAGACCAAACTCCATCATTTCTCATAGATCCAGTCGTGTTGGGCAGACTTCCAGCTCTGGACTTCCTCAGGCTTGAACCACAATGCAATCTCCTTCTTAGCGCTCTCGACACCATCGGAGCCGTGGCAGACATTGCGACCAACGTCAATGGCATAGTCACCTCGAATAGTCCCGGGGGCGGAAGCAAGAGGGTTGGTGGCACCGAGGATGGCTTGCATCAATGCTCAGCATGTCGTCCGTCCCATATGGAGCTTTTGCGGCAACTTACATCGACCAGTCTTGCAAGCATCGCGGCCTTCCCAGACCATGGCGACGATCGGACCACTCAACATGTCTGCAATATTTCTGTCAGTGGACTCGCTCGATCAACGCTTGTAGAGATCCTCCCATACATGTGACGAGTCCCTTGAAGAATGGCTTGTCGGAGAGGTCTTCGTAGTGCTTCTCGAGGTGCTCTTTGGAAGGAGACACCATCTTGATGGCGACCAATTTGTATCTTCACCGCCCTTTAGTCTCAGACTCTCCTTTGCACTGTTCAATCAAGATGGCTTTGCTCACCCGCGCTTCTCGAATCGGCTTATGATGTCGCCAACAAGGCCACGCTGGATGGTACTGTCAGCATCGGCGACATTTCAGGAGGAAAGAAGAGGGATTCATACCTGAACGCCATCAGGCTTGACAGCAATGAAACTGCTAGAGTGTTGGTATTTCGTTTTTCGCAACGATGGGGGTTTTGAACACTTACGTTTGTTCGTTAGACATGTTGCGTGCCGTTCGAGGCTATGTAGGCAAAAGAAGACTGGTATTTTGGAATGAAGAACTGGCTGAGAGAAAGACACGTTGCGGTCGACTGAAAAGAGAATTGGGCAAAAATATTTTGTTCAATCAAGTTGGTGGTGGGGAAGGAGCAGGTGACGTTGGGAGGGGCAAGTGAATTATTGAGCTTGCAGCTTGTAGCCCAATGCAGGGGCCCGCTTAGTGAGAGCCTGAGGAACTCTAGGCGAGGCTAGCCATTCCCGGGCACATCTTGGGCTGTTTACAGGACACATTTACTTGTTGACACAGTCCCTCACGACAGACATCAACCCTCTCCAATCTTTGCGAGGCAGGGACCTTTCGCAGGATTCAATCACGGCTATGGCTCGGTCTTCGAGGAGGATGCCGTCTTGGGCGGTATCCTGCCTTTCAATCCTGCTTCTGTTGTTCCTCGTCTCTCCGGCCGGCAAGTACTCCAATTAGCGGTAATTGGGTGCATACACACATGCTAACAGACCACAGTCACGGTCAAACACCACGACTTCAAGCGCTGTGATCAGTCTGGCTTCTGCAAGAGAAATAGGGCTCTTGCGGATTCCATGACAGAGAAGGGCGGCCCTGAATCCTCTCCCTACCAGCTGGATGCGGCCTCGATCAAGTTCAAGCATGGCCGATTGGATGGCTCCGTCATCAAGTCGCTGGTCGGCGGTGACACAGTCAAACTACCCCTGACGATGACCTTTCTCGACCGCGGCAATGTCCGAGTCACCATCGACGAGGAAAAGAGAAGGAAGGGTGAGATTGAGCTGCGACAGGGCAGTGTTGCTAGAAAGGAGAGATATAATGAAGTCGGTACCTGGGCTCTCACTGGAGCCGGTCTCCACCCTCAGACGACGGCCGAAATGAAGAAGGTATCGAAGGATGTTACAGAAGTATCGTGGGGGCCTGGCGGTCACTTCAAGGCCAGCATTCGGCATGCCCCCTTTGGGATAGAGTTTTGGTCTGGTGAAGAGAAGCATGTCGTACTCAATGGCCGAGGGTTCTTGAATGTCGAGCATTGGCGGCCGAAGATTGAGCAGCCTGTGGTGGACGACAATAGTACTGAGCCGCCGCCCACCGAACCCACGGAAGACGAAAGCACTTGGTGGGACGAGAGTTTCGGGGGCAATACTGACTCCAAGCCCAAGGGACCCGAGAGTGTTGCAATGGACATCACCTTCCCCGGGTATGCGCACGTATATGGTCTCCCGGAACATGCTGGACCACTATCATTAAAGGAGACCCGTGGGGGAGATGAGCACTATGACCAGCCATACCGGATGTACAACAGCGACGTTTTTGAATACGAACTCGACTCTCCTATGACCCTATACGGGTCCATACCATTTATGCATGCGCACAAAAAGGGCTCGACTGTTGGTGTCTTCTGGCTGAATGCAGCCGAGACTTGGGTGGATATTGTCAAGTCGAAACACGACACAAATCCTCTGACTCTGGGCCTCACTGGTGGTGTTGTTGATACACAAACACATTGGATTTCTGAAAGCGGTCTCCTCGACGTGTTTGTCATGCTCGGTCCAACCCCTCAAGAGGTTTCCAAATCATACGGAGAACTAACTGGCTATACCACGATGCCAGCATCATTTGCCATTGCCTATCATCAATGCAGGTGGAATTATGTGAGCGATGAGGACGTTAAGGACGTTGACCGGAAATTCGACAAATTCAATATCCCCTACGATGTCATCTGGCTCGATATTGAATATACGGACGACAAGAAGTATTTTACCTGGGATCCGTTGAACTTTCCAGATCCTATTTCGATGGAGAAGCAGCTTGATGAGACTCAACGCAAGTTAGTCGTCATCATTGACCCCCACATTAAAAACAAAGAGGGGTACTTTGTAGCGGACGAACTCAAGAGCAAAGACTTGGCGGTCAAGAATAAGGAGAACAACATTTTCGAAGGGTGGTGCTGGCCGGGAAGCTCTTACTGGATCGATGCGTTCAACCCGGCGGCAAGGGCGTGGTGGAAATCGCTATTTACGTTCGATCGGTTCAAAGGTACGCAATCGAACGTGTGGCTCTGGAATGACATGAATGAGCCATCCGTCTTCAACGGACCGGAAATCACCATGCCACGGGATAACTTGCACCACGGCAACTGGGAACATCGCGACCTGCACAATATCAATGGCATGACCTTCCACAATGCCACCTACCACGCGCTTCTGGAACGCAAAAAGGGAGAGACCCGACGGCCATTCGTGCTCACTCGCTCTTTCTACTCGGGCTCACAAAGATCTGCAGCAATGTGGACCGGTGACAACCAGGCAAGCTGGGAACACCTCGCCGCGTCGATCCCCATGATTCTCAATCAAGGCGTTGGTGGATTTCCCTTTGCGGGCGCTGACGTGGGTGGGTTCTTCGGCAACCCAAGCAAAGAACTTCAGACAAGGTGGTATCAAGCCGGAGCATTCTATCCATTCATGCGTGGTCATGCACACATTGACACGCGGAGACGCGAGCCATATATGCTAGGGGAGCCATATACAAGCATCATGACCCAAGCACTACGGCTTCGCTATTCACTGCTCCCGGCGTGGTACACGGCTTTCCACGAAGCCGCTACAGACGGGTACCCTATTGTACGCGCTCAGTATTTCGTTCATCCAACGGATGACAAAGGTTTCGACATCGATGACCAGATGTACCTCGGTTCCACCGGCTTGTTGGTTAAACCCGTCACCATCGAAGGAGGGGAAAGTGTGGACATCTACCTAGCGGATGATGAGAACTACTACGACTACTTTGACTACACGATCTATGCTGGCGGTTCCAGGACGCACAAGGTCGATGCACCATTGGACAAGATTCCGTTGCTCATGCAAGGTGGCCATATATTCCCTAGGAAAGAGAGACCGAGGAAGAGTTCAGGGTTGATGAAGTGGGATCCATACACTCTTGTTGTCGTGTTGGATAAGCAAGGCGAGAAAGCAGAGGGTACGCTATATGTGGATGACGGAGAGACATTTGATTATCAGCAGGGGGCCTATATCCACCGCAACTTCTCGGTTGCGGGTGGAGTGCTTCGGAGCAGCGACATTGGCACAAAAGGAGCGAAGACCGCTGGATATCTCAAGACGATGAAGGAAGTGAAGATCGAGAAGATTGTCGTGGTCAACGCGCCTGCTGCGTGGTCGTCCGCGGGAGAGATCAGGGTGACCGAAGACGGCATCAAGGAGGACAGAAAGGTCGAAATGATTTATCATTCTGCAGCTGGGAACAAGACAGCTTGGGCGGTGGTCAGGAATCCCGGGATGGGCATTGGCGTGGATTGGAGTATGAAATTTCCAGAGAGCGCGGACTCTGGGCCAAAGACAGAACTGTAAACGCCTTGTACAACACGGCACACACATAGATGGGATTCATGACTGCGAAGAAATATTTTCAAAAAAAAAAAAAAAGACATGCGCTCCGTCTTCATTCAGCCTCAGTTGTTGAGTCCTACCCCTATGTACATCTACGCCTATATCTACATCTATGCGTTATATAGGTATGTACACTTCGCACTCCGCTGCATCGCTGCCCCCGAGATGCTGTACCCGCAACAGTCCCCATCCCTAACAAGCAGGTAGGTAGCGAGGGAAGTAATTTTCTCTGCCGTCTTGGCGCGCATCGTGCGACGCCGGGCCGACACTCCGGATGTCAGTACAGAGCACAGCGTACGGAGTCCGTAACGGAGGATACAAGGAGGTATGTAACTCGCCTCATTCAGCGCGCTCTCGCCGATGGTGTTCTGTGCGTAGGTACGGTGTACGGCGTACCCGGGACTGCAATAAAATGCAATAAAGGAGGACCGCGAGGGCGTGGGCGTGAGCGTGAGCGTGGGCAACGAAGTGAGGAGGTAGGTACCTATTACAAACCAGCTGTCCACAAGGCCAGGGTCGGAGGTTTGCATCACATCGAATTACCGGCATATGTACCTAGAGCTGATCGAAACAGAGGAACATGGCTGATCTATAAGTACAAGGCCCTTCATGTTGTACAAGCGGACGGCGGCGCCAGGTTTTTTTTTCCCCCCCTGTTCACATCTAAGGCATCCACAAATTGGTAAGAAGGCAGCCAGCCACCACGAGTCCGTCGACGTCGAATGTCGATGTCGCGTTATACGGCTTTTGCGCCGCCGCCGCCATCGAGCTCTACATGCGTCGAAGGCGCGGCCGTGCCGAGCTCGTACCTCCTGTATTGCGCGTGCGCAGGCATCTCGCCGGGATAGACGGAGGCCGTCTCTGGCCGGTGCGGTGCCTGATGATATGGCGGGTCGATCGTTTTCAGCTGTGGTGATCTGGAGCGCCGTCGGAGGAAGTACCAGACCAGCCCGGCAACCAGGATGATGAACACGCACAGGCCGATGCCGATTCCTAGACCTTCTCCTAGCTTACTGTTGCTGCTGCTGCTGCTGCTGCTGCTGCTGTGGTCAGAGGCCGAATCTGCGGATAAAGAAGTAGGCGTGGTCGTCGCTGCCGAAGTGGTTGCGGCGGTGGTCTTGGATGAACTGTCCGACGCAGTCGACGTGCCTGTTGAAGCGGACCTGGGCGGTGAAGTGGTGCTGGAGGGAGCAGTGGATGTAGCTGAGGCCAGTGACGGATCGCTGACGTTGAAGTAATGGCTGCTGAAAAAGGTTGTCGTGGACGAGTTGTACATTTGAAAGAAAAAGACGTTTCCCTTGGTCAGGTCGAAGGGCGGGTTTTCCCCAGTCCCGACAGTCCATTCGAGACTTGTTCCCGTGATGCCCGCTATATTGAACTTGTTAGCATACCGCAGGGATTCGGTGCTGGAGTCCAATTGAACATCCTTACTCTGTAGGAATTGAGCGTTTGGGTTCCCATTCTGCCAGATCGCCAAGTCGGTGGCCGGGTACGTCGTCTTCCACTGGATAGTGAGCTTAGAGCCCTGGACATAAGTGGGATTTTGCGTAAAGTCGTTGTCGATTCCATTAGTCGGTGGGGTTAGAAAGATGTTGTTTTGATCTTGAGCGCTCGCGCTCACGGCCAACGCCAACAGTGGTAGAAAGAGCATTTTTTTTCTTCTGTTCCGGAAGGCTTGATGATAAAGGGTAGCTCTGCAGAAAGAAAAACACACCGATGGCCGCATTCAAGAAGCGTTGGTGCCAGAAATTCGGGTGCCCACAGTGTGTGCGGCTACCACGGGCAGCATATATTTGGGGTTCGAGTTGTTTGGGATAACTCACCTCTTACATGTTGAGTTTGGGTCTATTTGTCCTGGGGCGAGCAGGGGAGGAAGTCAGTTGCGCTAATGCAACGGGTTGATTTGTTCAATCAGAGCCGAGATCGAATTGTGGTCTTTTAGGAGTTGAAAGGGAACGGCTTCCAGAGCCCCTGGGCCCTAAGACGGACGGACGGGCGAACGATGCAGAAGAGCAGGGAGGAAATTCGCTCATCCCAGTCGCAGTCCCGCCATCCAAGCATTTTTGGGAGCCTGATCTCAAGTTGTCTGAGTGTTCGATCAGTTGGAGCAGGCGAAAGAGAATCATGGGGGCTGAAACGCGGGATGAAGCCTGCCGCCCGCCAAGTGTTTACAGTCTCCATGCAGGATTGCCAAAGCAGATAATGCATTGGTCGAGCACCGAGTGTATCTCCGGAGACATTATTTTGGCCCCAGGTCCAAGCAACCACTTCGGCGACTTCTCAAAAACATCTACATCTTCAGCCCGTGGATAGCGAGGCTTTGGCCTGCTAGTCCAAGGATGTTTTGACTAAGCTGGTTAGCAAGGATTGACCAGGCGGCTGGCAGGCACGCAAGATGAATATCCCGCTAGGGGTCCGGGCGTCAATATACGAGTTTCCTTTACGACCCAGTTGGACGGCGAGGCTTTGGAGCCGCAGGCCGAGGTTTCAAAACGCAGATGTTATTGCTCACTACCGAGTACACCTTCAGCGTCCCACCAACCGCAAGCCCATTTTCGTTTATAATAAGTATATACCTACTTACCTATATCCCTTGCACTATGTGGCTATGTAGCAGCTCTCGTGACCTTTGCATCTCCTTTGTTTTAGGCCAATTCATGCCACTCCCAACCCAACTCTGGGCGGTCTCAATGGGCCCCGACGAGGCATCCCATGCCAAGGACAGGGCTGCTGCCCCATATCTTGCGCACCTCGATCCCGTTAGATTTGTTGTGCAGTGTAGTCTCGAAGCGGTTCTTATCAATACTTATGAAAATGTTTTCGAGCATAGCGTCATCCTTACCGGCTTGAACGGGCTGTTTTCTTATTTGGCCAGTGAAGAGCAATAGTTGATGAATGTGAGATCATAACTCTCACATGAAGCGGAAAAAATGGCCCCCTGAGACGTACTCCGTCCCATATTTGGACCAAATCAAGCGCTGACCAGATTCCAGCGGCAAACCTGTCGTCGCCCGGGCGTTTAATCCCATGTGCCCTTTCGCTTATTTCCGCAGACACTAGCGGTTCGTGGAAGTGCTCCCGCTCGACGGGCCTGGTCAGGCCCCGGGCGAGGCGTTTGATGTAAAGACATGGCGAGATGTAAAGGCCAAATCCTGAAACGCATTGCAGAAAATCTCGACATCACCTATCAATATTTCTCGCTAGCAAGGTCGACCAAGCAAATATAAGAGGACAACTCATTGACTAGCTCGAGCACGACACAGTACCCGCGTCGATAGAGAGCCTAATCGAGACCACCCATCGCAGAGTCCTGCTGGGAAAGACTTGCATGAGAGACGTGTACGAGGCATTCAGATGACTGGCGGAAAGGGCACTTCAAAGCGGCGTGCAGGACATTCAAAATCAGAGGGCAGCGCAAGAATGTCATTTATTAGGGAGCCGCCCACAGTTCACCCCCAGGACCGTCCGAGCCTTGAGAGTCATCATTGCCTTTTGATCTCGTTTTCTCTAACATTAAATTGTCGGCTCTTTCAAGGATAAGTGGTTATCTCGACACGAAATTGTACTCTGCAGTTAATGTACGAGGTATGAAGGAGTCCTCCGCGTCAACGGAACGGCCGACATGCCAGCTGCTCACAATGTCATCACCAAAAGAAAAAAAAAATGGTGTTTCCTGTTGGTCTGCACGCAGAACATACAATAGCCGAACCTCAACTGAAGATCTCTCCGAATTCCCCATTTTCCCATGCTGTCAATTCCTCCTTAGACACAACAGTCGGGTCACACCCGATCTCGACGACAATAATCCGTTGGAGGTAGCCTAAAGACATTGGCGTAAGCTTTCAATAGTTTTGCTCCGGAAACTTGAAACTTGTAAATCTGGACGCAAGCTGGAATCACGAGATTATATGGAGAAGCATCTTATGCAAATAGAAGCACAGTGTGCGACTTACTTGGAGATTTTGGCAGAGTGTTCGGTTGAAAGCACGTTGATCGCAAATTTGATCTGAATGATTGATCGATGGCCTGAACGTCAAGATCCGGACGAGCAGAGAAAGCAATCAGACCCACGAGGATGCTGAGATCACCAGCTAGCATAGAACATGTTTCACTGTTTGTTTGTGCTTGGCAGGTATCAGGTAGAAGTTGCTCGAACCAATGCTCTGGTCCCATAGCATGAAGGCAATACCCTTCTCGGGAGAATCCAATCACTTCAATACGGCGTTTGGGCCCTGAGAAAGATAGCCTTCGCCACAGAGGCTCCATCACTTTAGTTGTACAATCGATAGGGGCAATTATGTAATTGTGTCGCTCAGGATCCCAGATTAGTGTCGTTGATTTCAATGTGGTATATCGTGCAGCCTCTGCAGTAGTTGGTCGCCGTACCCGGAGAAGTGGATTGAGTGGTTCAGCTGCTCCAGGATCCCAGATCCATAGCCCACTAGAGGCCTCCGCGACGAACTTCCCAGATGAATTCGGTTGCCAAAAAAAGTCTGGAGGAACCAACCGAGGTGGTTGATTCGGATGCTCCTTGTATCTAACGTGTGTGATCCGGAAAAAGAAGGGCCGAGCAAACGGGACACCGGCGAGAATGGGCCTTCCTGCAGTGTCCGAAGTCGCGGAAAGAAGATGTGGCATGACCGTCTCAACGTCCAGAGTTGAATCTGCTGGGGTAGCACCGTGCGGCATCTCGCTATCTGAATCTGATTCGTCAAGCGCCATTACGGCGGAGTCGGCACTTTCTTGAGGCTGAGAAAGGTTGAGAGATGTGTTCTCGAATGAACTCCTCATGGTGCTTAGATCTACTGCTGCATCTGAGCCAGGAATGCTTTCATCATCAAGAGAGCGAGGAAGAGCAAACAGCGCGATTTCCACCAAGTGACTACCCACATGCTTCATGAAATCCTCAGGTGTCACCACTAAGTCTTTACCAGGTGGTAATGGGTTGGCCTTGCTTAGCGCATCCGCCCATTCATCACAAAAAGGGCACGTTGCTGGTGAGATTTGATGAGGCAGGTATCGGTTAGATTGAATGATGGCAGGAAGAAGTGCTCTGGGCACTTTGTCCCCATGGCGAGACGACAAATGTCTTTCGAAGTCGTTGCTGGAATAGGACTACAAATGGCGTCAGTGGGCGGAATCATCGCGAGCTTCAGAGCCGCGTCTTTCAACACGTAAAGAAATAATTACCTCAAACTCGGGGTTTGCAGGCGTCTGGTAGCAGAAATTACATCTCCATTTATTTCTGTGGTTTTGCGTTTCATGTTGAAACCACGAATGACGATCCTCGAAAAGCTTCAGCCCACAGGTTTGGAATGTACAGATATAGGGTCTTAGATCCTCCAAGACGTGTTTTCTGACCAAGAAAGATTAGTCCCAAACTCTGAGATTAAGACAGATACTAGTATGTACCTCCATGACTTTTCATTGGAATGCCTTTGGAAACTCCAGCAGTAGTGGCAAAGAAAATCTTTTCGCCCTTCTGAAGCTGCTTGAAGCGACATGATCCGATTGATGTTTGGCATCTTGGTTTCGTTTATTGTCGTGGCATATGATACTTGAGAGCGAGTTTCATCAGCTAACTGGAGAAGTCTGGTCGTATCCTCAATCACGGTGGATGCCGCAGTGGGCGCGAGCTCACTTGGAGCAATTTCAGGGGCCAGCGTGTTGTTGGGCCTAGAAGAGTCTGCTATAAGAGCTCGAGACTTCTCGGAAAGTCGAGCAGTACTCTCAGTGACACCATGTTCAAGCTTCGTTTCTGAAAGTTTCTGGTGATGTTCCCTTATATACCTAAAATACTGGCGGCGCCAGATATTGGCCTCCCCCGAGACGGCTTATGAGCCATTCGTTTTTGTCACCAGTCAGCTTGGGGAATTTCTGTCTGATGTGAGCAGTATCGTATTGGCTACTGAACGCTTGTCTAGTAGCCGCCGCAGCTCGAGCATAGCGATCCCTGGTTGTAGAACTCCGAATGATGGTTGACAACCTGAATAAATATGATATATTATCCGAAAGGGAACCGAATAGCTCCTGGATCTCCGACACCGTTGCCTCTACCAAGGGCCCTCCTTCAGTCAGATCTCTAGGGCTCTTTTGATGCAAAAAGTCTTCATATTCCGATAAGGAGCTGACTCGATTCGCCCTGCGGCCCGAGGCGATTGAACGCACTGCAGATTCGGTCAATTGACGAAGCATGGCATGTCACCGGTAGCTCACCGCTTTCGAGCGCTTTGCTTATACTGAGTAGCAAGGATGTGACATGATTCGCGATGTCTTTGCAATCTCTCAACCTATATTCTAGCGAGCTGGTGAACTGTCGATGCTGAAGGGCTCCGATACTTGAAGCCCATATCGTGAATCTGCCCCTGGCATCGCAAATCTCCAAGTATGTTACACCCTCCATCTCCTGTCCGCTTAGTCCTCTCAGGGCGTCGCACGTCAAAGAAAATTGGACGAGACAAGCCTCAGCTTCTTCAGCGATGGGGGAGGCACTCGGCGCCATCGACGACGACTGTTTACGAGAGGGCGTCAGTGCAGGGAGCTCAACGTAACATTACGGGTGGAAGCGAGAGCCTACCAATTGTCACTGATAACATATACTTTGGGAAGCGAGGAAGTTCTCAGTGTACAATATGTTCCTTCCCATGACGTCTGCGAAAGGAGGCAGCGACCAAGCGACCAAGCGACCAAGCGACCAAGCGACCAGCCCTCATGAGTTGGGAAGTCGCTACTACCGAAGTTCGAAGACGAGTCGGCGCGAGCCTTCCTAGCGACATCAAAGTGCCAAGGAAAGCCGCAGAGCCTCATCAGCCCCACTCGGAAACAGCGGGGTTGTAAACGACTTCGACCCTTGAACTTCACCGTCCGGCATACCATTTATTGATGCCCGACCAGGGACAGGATGAGTGGGATAGAAGTCGTGGGTCTTGCTTTGGGTGCCTTTCCTATTCTAATTAGTGCTCTTGAACACTTTCGAGACTCGGCAGCAATCCTCCGCAATTGGTGGCGTTTTGAGAGAGAATTTAACAATTTCAAGCTCCAAATTGAATACCAGCACCAGCGGCTGAAACAGAATCTTGAACTGAACTTGCTTCCATTAGTGGTTGACGATGACGTGCGCCTGCGAGCTTTGGTCGCTCATCCTGGAGGCCCTCGATGGCAGGATCGAGATCTGGAAGAAAAACTAAAACAGCGTCTCCAGGAAAATTACAGTCTGTACATGGACACCGTCAAAATAATGAACGAAGTGATGGGGGAGTTGAAGGCAAAAGTTTCGACTGGGCACTCATCTGGAGACTATGAGATGCGCCGTTTTATCTTCGGCATTGACAAAGCGCCCCGTGACGACCTGCTTCGCAAGGTGGATAGATACAACACAATATTACGAGACCTTCTGGAAACAAGCGATAAAATCACGCAGATCAGAAAACGAATTGCGCTTCCAAAAGCTCAGAGGTCCTTGCTTAGCTTCTGGAAACATGCCAGCGCCATTTATGGTCTCCTGCAAGGAGCCTGGAAGCAGAACTGCTGTCGGTCACATCATGCCGATCTCTTGCTCGAAAATCGGAAATGCCCAGACGTTGCGTTCACTGTGTTGTTCCGTGCTGGTGACAATGAGGGCGAACCAAATATCGCATTCTGGCTTTGGCAAACGGCTTGTATCAAACTCTTTAGGGCTCACGACAATGACGCAGGAAACATACTCAAGCTTCCCGCGCCAGAGAGAACAATACAAGGAAATCCTCAGCCCCCGTCCCAAAGCCAGCTACCCTCTGCCCCGAAGGAGCAGTCTAGCTTGAAAGGACAGCTAAAGCAGCTTTTCAGACCTAAGTCAAGGTAGACGGTACATCCTGTTTTTTTCTCCCTTCTTTGTTTTGATTTTTTTGGACTAATTACACTAATGCTTTCATTGTGATAGGAAGGAGGCTGCCTGCCCTGTTGCCGCACCCTCACAGACGTTTCCCACGAAAACACCTATAGTTGCATCGAGCCGTCTGGATGGGGTGGCTCTGACGGAGCCGTCTATGATCACCGATCTCTGCAAAACCTTTGCCACAATTTCCCCCACCGGCGGTCTTTCTGGAATACTGGAGAACGATGACAATCAATACGCTCTCGTTCTTCCCGAAGCGCCTCATCCGGATGCCGATGCCCGAAAAATGGTGAATCTGTGGACCTTACTGAATAAGACCTCGACCATAGTCCTCACTCGTCGAGATCGGCTCTCAATTGCACTTGCGCTGGCATCGTCACACTTGGAGCTACATTCGACGCCGTGGCTCAGAAGCTTGTGGAGCAAAACGGACATCCAATTCCTCGTGGATCCGCAGGATGAGAACCGCGTTCTGACCGATAAACCATACCTCTCGCGTGACTTTTTGACCAGTCATCAAGCTTCGATCTCCAGACCTGCAAGTGGTGATTTCGGCTTCTGTGCCCTCGGGATAATCCTTCTTGAATTGAACTTCTACATGCCAATCGAGCATTATGGCCCGAGGAAGGCCCTGGAATCTGCATATCCCGCGACCGATCGACTCACGGCACAGATCTGGGATCATTCAATCGCCACGGGGTGGTGTAACGATCTGATGGACGATGTCGGTCCGGAATATTGTTCTGCCGTTCGTTGGTGTCTCGAAAGGACATTTTCCGGGCGAGACCAATGGCGGGAAAGCTATATCGAGGAAGTAATTCAGCCGTTGGAAAATTGCTATGGTCATTTGGCAGGAATACAATATTGATACTTCCCAAGTGACCAATTCGCCTATGACTTGATATCTGGTATGGCTCAGCGGGGAGAAAGACATATAAGCGACAACGTTCTGCAACGAGGGTTTCAGTTGTAACTAGGGTAGGACCCGGTAGCTGTGCTGGTTAGTTTGTGAATGGCATCGTGTGTCACTGATCCCAACTGGTAGCTGTTTGTAAATTCGTGAACTGGACCATTTAGAATAACGGATCCATGCGAGGAGACTCCTAAGCGAGCACCTGTTAGAGCAAGAATGCATAAGGCTTCATCTACTGAGAGAGCGATACAAAGTTGATTAAGAGCGGACGATAAAAGGATCGAGAAGGAGGGCATGCCGAGGCGCCTTTTGTGAAAGTCAATTCCGCCGAGCTTGAGCAGGCATCGGCGGGCTTGGCATCTGAAGTCTAAGTACCGGGTATTCCTCCTATTGACACCCACGTGACCACGAAGGACAACGAGAACGGATCACCATCTAGCTGTTCCACCAATCGCGCCTCACGATTCCACCTGCGCTTTACTTGTTCCTGGACATTATGTGCACAATTCCAGGATCTCTCGGATGAGTCCATCACCAATTGATTGCAGAATCCTCTTACGGTGAACCCTGGGGCTGACTGTACCAGTTCCCTCGTTCTTATCCCCTTGACAAAAATGTCCTGTTGAAGGTGTGTATGTCCCGTTCGCGAGCAACTCGGTCCGTTCCTTTGAACCCGGGACTTCTTTCGCTGAGTGGGAGACGATGGCGGTTGATGTAGGAGACCACTCTTTCTCCTTGCTTGCGTGGCTCGACGTCGACAAGATGTGGGGTCTAGTCCAGTTGCTTGTGGATTACCTTGCGCCCATATTGTGAGTTTGGCAGAACGCGGATACATGAGATGTCCCAAACTGATTGATGACCGTGGAACAGTTTAGTCTTGTCCCCCATAACATCTTACGCCGACCAGATCGCATCGATACACCGGAAAAAGTCCTGCGATGGATTCTCCCTCGATATCCCCCTCATCATGCTGCTTGCATCGATACTCAAGTATGCGCTACGTCCTTCCTCTCTTGCTTCCGCGGCTTAAATGCAGTCGACATGATTGCGATATCGAAAAGAATTGGGCTGATAATATTGCGGGTGAGAACAGGGTCTTCTACTGGTTTGGCGCCTACTACGACCAGTCGCTCCTCGCGCAGGCCTCCCTCATGATAGTCGTCCAACTCATCCTCTTGAAGGTCGCGCTGGATAACCGAGCACCATCGGGCGGAAGCGAAAAAGGCGGAGTACAGCATACACCGTTCCATGGGTATACACATAACAGCCCCGGGAATAAGGGGATGTTGTGGGATTTTTTGATGGAGGGAAAGAGACCCTTTGGGTTTTGGCAGTGGAATGGGACCAAGCCGTATGATCTTACCTTTTGCCTTCCTCTTCAAGCAAGCAACCTGCTTAGTTCCGCGCTCCACCTTTCCGTCTGCTGGTATGCTAACAGAGGACAACGGGAATCAGGTACTTCGTCTTCCTCGCGTACTTTACCACCACCCTCCTCTTTATCCACGTTTTCCTGCCCATCCTCTCCCGGACTCCCTTCTACATCACCTTCCTCGGCTACGTCGGACTCGCCGTCGAAGCCATTCTCCCCATCCCTCAAATGCTCAAGAATCACCGTGCCCGGTCTTGCAAAGGGTTTCGCCTCTCAGTCATCGTCAACTGGCTGGCGGGTGATGCTATGAAAATGAGTTATTTCTTTCTGAGCAAGGAGTATGTACCCTGGCCCTTTCGTCTCTGCGGAATCTTCCAGGCTTGCTGTGATGTTTACTTGGGGCTGCAATTCTTGATGTACGGGCAGGGGCCGGCTGGCATGAGGGAGGAGGTCCCGATGGCGAATGTAGGAGCAGGGTCAATGGCGAAGGCTGGATTCCCTGGGTGAACAGGGTCCCTTTGGAAACGTAGGGAAGAGGAAAGATGTCATAATGGGTTGATTTGAATATCAGCAGTCACTAATAGAGTGATTTCTCCTTTGAGCATGCTGAGGCGAGCAAGCACAGAGTTTGTGAATTGGGGACTTTGACGTCGCAGAGAGGGGGAGGTAAAAAAGAACTAGACCATTCTTGTAGATCATTGGAAAGATGGACGTGGGAGTACCTAGATTGATACTTTGCACGATGGGGACTGGGGGGTGACGAGGTAAACAAAACACCCCGAATGCCCACACCAATATCCCAACATCACATCTGGGTCCTGCGCAAACCCCGGTAATTTATGACGTCGTCCAAGAAAGACGCAGATGAGGGAGGAGGAGAGGTCAGGCCACGACCCAAACCATCGGGAAGAAATGGAGACGGAATGAAACGTAGCCTCGTCAAAAACAAATCAGATTCTGCCGTCGATGCTACACATGGGGGATGTGTGTGGTTAATAAGAGTGGGTGGGGGGGGGGGGGGGAGGGGTTGGGAACCGCATGCCACGAGTACCGCACAGTGTGAGTGAGAGAAAGTGTTTGTGTGGGTTCCCATGAGCCTCAACGTTCAGCCCGCTGCCTCAGCCTTGTGCCGGCCAGGGTGTTGGTCGCCCTCCCCTCTCCTCCTGGGTGTGCCTGTGTGTAACAAGTACATGCCACAGTATAAGGTAGGTAGAGTGCAGTACGGTACAGTGTTTGAGTAGAGCAGCCCACCAGCTCATACCACTGGCTCGTTATGCAGTACCTTGTGGACTTTGGGGACGAAAGGACTCAGTCCCTGGTAGAGGCTGATTGAAGATGTGGCGCTCACTTGCTTGCTTCGGCCATTGTTTTGACTTCGTTGCAGTCGCAGCGCTACTTACTATTTTTACTAGCGGGTGGTTTTTTGATGCGAATGGGTTTTCGGTCTTCTTGGTGGCCCCTGTTGGCCCCTGTTGGGCCTACGCTATCTCGTCACACCCTCGCCTCCCTCCCTACTTAGCTCCTCTCGCGCAGCAGGGCTTGATGCAAGGGCAAAGATCGTCGCTGATGGTTCCATGTCCCCTGCTTTTTAGCACAAGGGGATGGACAAGTTATGCACAGTGCCCTGCGCATTCGTCGCATGGTGGAGACGTGGTGGCTTGCATCCGACAGAGGGGTCCGGTTGATCATTTTGCCAGGCAATCGGCAGTCACCCTGTTCGATGAGAGGCTGCGCACCACGAATGTCCAAGCCTCATGTGGCTCGTGGCCTTGGTCAACCCTGGTCTGCATTGCGTGGACTCTCAGGTACCCTTCTGCTACCCACACCGCAACTGTCCATTGTTCTCTCAGTTATACTTGAAGGTACTTGGTTTATGCTCAAGCCACGCAAGCATTCTGGGGAAAGGGTCTGATGGGCGCTTGCGCAATGCAGCGCTGTTCCTTGTTTTTCAACGTGACCGCAGTCCTGATTGGGCTGCATCTTACGACTGTCGTGAGACAATAGAAGGACACAACTCTGCGGACTTTGATGTTCAGGTGAGAGTAATTTGAGCCTCCTGGATGCATCTCGGGTCACTTGAGGCAGGCAGATGTGAAAAAGAAAAAAAGGAGAAGGAAAGTGGCCAGCCAGAATATCATCTCCAGAGAGCTCGCCTCTTTCCAAGAAATCACGAAGGAAGCCACCATCACCACCAGCATCTGCCACACTCGACCAAATCCTGCGCCATTACAACCGCACCGAGTCCTCGCATCGCATCACGATCTCCGCTATATCACTCGTCTCGTCCGACAAGCTTGTCCGTCCTCTCTGGCAAAAATCCCACAACAGGGCATCCCACACCAAGCGATGGTCTGCCACATCCGCTTCCACCGACGGACACATCAAAGACATATCCGGACATTCATCTGGATGTTCTACAACCTTATCGTGCCTCCTCACTCGCCCAGGATGTGAGGGAAAAGGAAAGAGCAGTGAGAGATAATGACAAATACGGCATTCGGCATCCGAAATGCAACAGGCCCGCAAACAACACTTCCGTCGACAGCAAATGCTTCCAATTGAAGGACAATGACTTACAAACATTCAGATGCCAACCAGGAACTCAACAGAACAGTATCCCACTTCACTCAGACAGACGTCCACTTATGCTATTTTTCGGAAGACGAGTCCTCCGATACTAGAGGACATCCGAAGCCGTGACGATTCGATGTGAGATGTTCAATCCATCTGAGCCCGTAAACGTGAGCCATAGCGTTCGGGGTCGCCTTTGGGGTCAAGGAGCCGGTAGAAATCCCTCGAGACCTCTGTTCTCCCTATCAGCCCAAGAACGGCAACGGTTATAAGACATCAATTTGGCGATAACCAATTCAAGAGTCTTGGAACCTGACTAAAGGCCGGAGCCGCACAAGAAGAAGGACAAAAATGTCGACGTTGCTGGTGCGTGATGCACTGCGGAACGAGGAGCGCGAGTGAGCAAGCTGACAGACATCCAGGAAAGGATACTGCTCGAAGCGAAGGCCAAGCTTCTGATTTGAAGAAGTCGATGGATGATGTTGTCGGTCGCTACACGGTGCAAGGAGCAACTGATACTTGGGATCTGCGCGAGACATGAGACGCGACTGTTGCCACAGGCCAGGCTCCTATGAATCTATCTTGCTTCAGGAAGTTCTTCGCTGTCCCTCAAACTCTGGTGACCATCGGGGATTCCCGGCAGTATCCGCGATCTTGGAGACTTTCGGTCCCCTTGGTCTTTGCGACGGAAGTCCGGCAGGTTGATCGGAGGATGTTGTGTGACACTATCTATCTGATTGTCACATGTTTAGTCGAGAACGGGTATCAAGTATGCCGGTGGGCTCGCAACAGACACCATGAATACCTCGATTCCAGGAATTGTTGGTGGAAAGGGGAGACCGAGATACGTACGCGACGGAAGTGCAGTGAATGTAAGTTTGAAATTGAGGGGCGTGTGGAAGGTTTGAGGGCGCTGGGGGGAGCCAGCCAGCGGCATGACGTCGATGCGTGTTTGGACTTGGACGAAGATAGTTAGGGGTCCGCTGTGAACAATTGGGTTGAGTTCCCCTCACGA